TTTATGACAAACGGACACCATTGTAGAAAGTTATGACGAATTACTGTATAAACAGAAAATTGTATAAAAAGTACAGTTAATGGAAGAATTGAGGAAAACTGTGGTTCGCTTTTTCCCTACTGGTGCTGTGGATCATATTTATGCAAAAAACTCAACTTCGAAAAAATCCTATGTCACGGCTTGCTTCACTGACTCAGAAATCGTCTTTTAAACGCAAGTTTTTTCAATTGGGATCCCCACCATATGCTGTGACGTAAGAGGCCCACCGACTTTCTTAAGACCCGTTTCAAGCCAGGCAAATGTTTGTCGTAAGACGAGCTCTGAAGGCCAAGACATCATTGTCTCTGATAATCAAATGCGTAGAAGTGGCTGACAATAAAAAAATGCCGGAGATTCGAGAGTTGAAGAGTGCAAAGATGTATTGTATGCAAACGTAATGGCCGGCAGCATTTCATGAAACTGACGAATCGGGACAGTAGTTTTTGCCAATGTGTATGAAAACTCCGAAAGGACCTCGCCACTGCTTCTTTCCAGTGTTGTGGTAGGGTACTGTCGTCGTATGTTCAATTGCCAAATATTTACGACAGGGCCAATTAACCGATGCGCTACTCTAGCCATGGCGGCTGAACTAGGGGGCTTTAGGAAACACAACGCCCACAGCAATGGTCCGAAATTGGTCGTACACAAACTTGTGTCCCTAAATTACAATAGGACGAGAGATATTCAGGGTATTTTGGATGAAATAGAAGTGATCCGTGAAGCACAGCGGGATTCCCACTTTAAAGCGAGAGTCAGGTTGGTGGAAACGGAAGAACAGGAGGTGACAATGAACCAAGATTTATGGACTCGGACAGCCGTAACAGCAGGCCTGGACGGACATAAAATAACAGTACACAAAACTAACGGAATATTTATTTGCAATCTGAGGATGTTTTTTCCGACGTAGGTCTTACTCTTTTTCGTTGGCATTTTCTTCTAACCGCCATCAGATCCCTGTCGCTTCAGAAGCGAAAAACTAAAAATCCGAGAAATGTGGCCTGATCGCTGATCGAAAGCATAATCGTGGCGGCTCAATACTTCAACGTAAATTGGAAATGCAGCGACAAAGCGATATTTTTAATGATAAAAACGATACTTTGCAGAAAGAAACACGTGTCAACAATAACCCAATGGTGGCACTGGCCGTAAGAATCTGAAAGAAATGTTTTCGGTTGATTATAATTCATAATATGAATAGTGGATATGCGACGATATAGTCACAACGTAATAATAGATGCCCTGACTGCCCTGGCCGTAAAAGCTGGGTAATAAGTAAGACTTCTGAAAGTGAACAAGGCCAACTCTCTTTTGGACGGAAACATTCTACCGGAGTTTCAGACACCATACCTGTCGCAACAAGCCGTAATTAATGGATAATTGATGGCAAAGAACAGTCTTGCGAAATGTCAAGTTGAAATTTCCTTTGAAGCTGTGGAAGAAAATAACCCAGGTATAACAGAGGTCGTAGAATAAGAAACTTAAAATTTTACATTTTTTAAACAGGAAGGTAATTATCTGATGGAAAACATTCAGGAAATATGTTTTCAGCATTGATGATAGGTTTAAAATGTTTTAATTATTCATTGCTATTCAGCTGTTCACGTTTTGTTATTCACAACCTGTCGGAGACAGTAAACGTTACTACTTATCTGCTTTCTGATCTATGAAAGCAGTCTATCCGTAAGTACGTCATTATTACTGGCTAGCAGAAGACAAAGAGTTCGCAATGTTCTCGACCCAGTTGATGATAGCAATATGTATAGTGGATATACAATGTTGTCGACATCATGTGATAAAAATCATAATAGTATATGATTGAAACGATTGTAATATGTCATGAATTATGAAGCGAACATTAAGGCGAACTTGCTTAGGCCGATAACTTCAATTTAAAAAGAAAGGGTATGTTATAACGGCAGCTAAGTTATAGAGGAACGAATAAAAGATTCTTGCTCAGGACGACGACTGCAGAAAGAACTGGAGGAAGTTATCGAGGCGGCAGTACACGGTCATAGCAGAGAAGCTTTTGCACACCGAGGCTCCCTTCCCAATTCCGTAAGAGCCTAGGATCATGAACAACTTAAAATACAACGTAAAGGCTGGACGCCACGGCGAGCAAGATGTGAATTGGACGTAATTGAGTTAGAAGAGAATCACTTCGAATTGGCAAGAATCCACATTCTCAACGCGCTAAATAAGTCGCTGTCATGATAGGTTCTAAATACATACTTTCTGCTTTTAAGTCATCAAAAAAGGGCTATAAAACAGAGCTTGAATAAATTGCGTTGAAATTGAATTATCCCCTGTAACTCTTGGTCGGTTTAGAAGCCGAACAACTCTCTCTCTCCAACGCCAATTTTCGAAAGAAATCGTAAAAAAGACTGTACGTCGTAAGGTGATCACTAACAGATAAGGCCGTCACCCCAATGGAGCAACTTTTCCCGTAATGCCAAATGTCTACGTGTTACTTCCATTTCCCAAAATTTCTGCTGCGTTATTTCAAGAAGTGTGCCGTAACCAATTGACTTAAAGTATGAGGAAATGTACAACTGGTTCTTTGGCTTTATTGGCCTTTATTCAGAAAAAAATCGTAGTCGCCGCGGAAGTTTTATACTGCAGGTACGTAAAAAAACAGGCCGCTTGGAAAGCGATACGTAATTCCGCTGTTTGCAAAATTTTGTAGCCTATTTCGTCGTAAATTGGAAATGAAGCCACTAGTTTCAATGCAACATCTGGGAAGATCCTTCCGAGAGGCCAAAATTATTCCAAAAGGACAAAAAATTTCTAAAGGACACGATTGCCTGATCAGAATCCATCTATTGGAGATGTCTTTGACAAGATTTTCATGTGGCCAAAAGGGTCCGGAGCATGGTATACCTTTTCAAAGGCATCATGCGCAGAAAGGACAACATCAAAAAAAGAAAAGCGACGGAGATAAAAAAAATCCTTAAGGACCGACAACTTTTTGGCTGGAGAGAACAAATGAAGCCTCTGGAGAACGTAATTGTGTTTTTCTATTCTTTGAATCAACCTAATATTAAATTTTCGATGTGGTATATAGCTATTTTACTATTTAACAAGCCACAACCTTCTTCGAATATACCGGTCATTTGGCAATTTCTTAATTTCAGCTCTTTTTTATCAACCAATCTGCCGTGCCAACAAAAGACAAAATAACGATTGAAGAGCTCTCTGGAGTCTACAACAATGCGCTGACGACGTCTTTCCACAAGGGCGTATCATGGACGTTCACGACAAGGCACAAAGAATACCAGAGCAAAGAATTGCATATCAAGTCGTATTCACGAACAAGTTCATTGCAATGGCTCTAGCGACAACGGAAAGCTATGGAGAATTCCCAGAAGCGGTTCAAATTGGGCATTTTGAGTCACAGCACCATCGATTTCTCGCGGCGGGGACAACGCGCTCAGATACGCGATATCTCTCTTGTAGACTAACACTACGATGTGATTATATATTTATTATCATCTTTAGAACAAGCTCTCACTTCTCACAGGCGTGTGAAAAACGAGTTGAGGAACCGTTACGTCCTATGTTCTCTTCTCTTAACAAAATCTAAGTCAGCTCATATAAGCGGATTTTTAGCTATTTTAAGTAAAACAACGCACACATTGCATAACACCGCGAGCGAAGAAATTCGGCTCATGGAAAACAGTCTATAAACAGGAAATGGCGATTATTTCAGATGTGTGCCGTTGTATCGGCATGAAAATGGGATCGGCAGCATCCTGAACAGTTTGTTCAGATATTTACGCCATTGAATGTCTCATTACCGTAAGTGAAAGAAATCGACTTAACAGTACTGTCCTTAAAAGAACAAAAGTAGACATCAGTAAATATGAACATGATTTTTGAAACCGGCAACATCGTAAACTGCTCAAGTAGTTTAGAAACAAAGTCTAAAAATTATTACTACGTAACAGTACTAAATACTTAAGAACAAAAATAGAAATCAGAAAATATGAACATGATTTTTGAAACCGGCACCCTGGAAAGCCCCTTAATTGAGTTTCTTAAGAAAAAGTTTTAAAAAGTACTGTTTAACAGTACTACTAAAGAAAAAACAGAAATCAGCAAAAATAGTGATGTCGAAGCAATCTCCCTCTTTCTCATTTCCACGTTGGATTATACAGTGAGGGACGGGATCCAATGTCAAAAAACGTCTCCTTTTGCATCTTGGAAGGGGCCAAAATAACTCCAAACCCTTCCTTTCTCTAAGCTAAAAAACTCCGTTTTGAAAAGTGCGCCCTTTCCTTCAAGGCGGGCTCTTCAAATCGGGGTTTTTTAGGTTCGAGAAGGGAAGAGTTTGGAGGCGTTTTGGTCCCTTCCGGGATGCAAAATGAGTCGTCTTTTGCCATTGGATCCCGTCCCTCACTGTAAATATGGAGTTAGTCTAAATAAACCATCGCTGAATTGAAAAAAAGCTACAGTGACGGACTTGATCCAGTGGCTAAAAACGGATCATTTTGCATCCGGGAAGCATCAAAAAATGTAGCAAACTGCCTCTCTCTCCTAATGAAAGAACTTCATTTTGAAGAGTGCGGCCTTTTTCTTCACAAAAAGAGCGAGCGCGCTTTTGAAATCGGAGATTTTTTCACTTGGAGAGGGAGGTATTTTGCTGCATTTTTTGATGCTTCCAGGACGCAAAATGATACGTTTTTTGCCACTGTAACAGGTCCGCCACTGTATTTGTACATAAATTCCTGAACAGTGCCTCAGGGTGTATACCACGTCGAATAACATACTTGATTTTAGATGGCTTGTCCGCAATTTTCTTGTTTCAAGGATCAAAAAGTAGCTCTCCTGAATTTTGCTCAAAACTTTTCCATTTTATTACACTGCAATACAATATAATAATACCATTATTGATTACGAGATTGTTATAATATTTTTTAAATTAAAACTCTACAGTGACCGTTTATACAACTTTTTCGTTCTTATTAGTTGCTTCTTCGGTGGTCGGCCTTCTCCTTGATCTCTTCGCTCATTCCTTTCTTCTGTTTGACGTCAGAATCTTTTCGAGTATCTCTTTCGATTTTACTGCTCGCTTTCGCTTTGCTCTGAGGTTTCTCAGCACTCTTTGGTGCGCGTTCTTTTTGAGGCTTTTGAGCATGCAGAGTATGTCGAGGGGCAGTGTTGGTGAGGGCGGCAGAAATTTGAATGGAGCGGGAAGCTGAAAAAGATGACCGTAAATCTTGCAGCTGGTAAAATACGCAGCCTTAAACTCTTTTTAAAATCTATTTCACAAGGGAAGCACTCCAAGTGCGATGCTGAGATCTTGATGAAACTTGGCACAAATTTTAAAATGATTTTTTTCAGACATATGCGAGACTCCTAGCAAGCGTTTTGCAGAAACGACCGAGATTTTCAGGCAGAAAGTTGGCAAAAATTCGCCATTTTTTGCCAATTTTGGCATGGAAAGTTACAGCGACGGATCTGATCCAGGGGCAAAAATAGTACCATTTTGCATCCGGGAAGTGTCAAAAATGTATCAAAATGCCTCCCTCTCCAACTAAAAAACTCCGTTTTGATGGGCGCGCCCTTTCCCTCGCAAAAAGAGCCGGCGCGCTTTTGAAATCGAAGTTTTTTTTTCACTTGGAGAGGGAAGTATTTTGCCACATTTTTTGATGCTTCCCCGATGCAGAATGATATGTTTTTTAGCCACTGGATCAGATCCGCCATTGTAGCAAAAAGTTTCATAGGCTTTAAGATTGAATTTTCGGCCGAGACAAACAAGTATTAATACAGGGTCTTACAAAAAACGTGAAGGAAAGTGGAAGGCTATAACTTCTGGCGGAGGCGGCGCAGAGACTTCGTATTTGAAATATGCACAGCATTCCGAAATTTTTTCGCCGCCGATCGGTGTCTAAAAAAATGAAAAATTAAAAAGTGCACATTACATTTTCATGTGTGTAAGGGTAGCCCGAAGAGATACCGGCAAAAACAAAAACTCTTTATGTAGAGTAATCAATTTCCTTTCAGAGTATGTAAGTTTTGTCTTCAGGTTGTCCGCTACCTTTGAGAAAATCGTCACTAAAAAAATGGAAATTTCGATTTTGAATGCCAAAAAGATGTACTTTCTTGGGGCCGCCAAAACAGATGTTGGAGTCTATCGTAAAGAGAATTTCAAGGGCTACAACATATTAAAATTTCAAGATTTTTGTGGGGGTTTGAGTCAAGTTAGAGTGAAAAAACCTCTGATTTTGGCCATTTTTTGCACTTTTTCTTGATTTGTTTGCACTTTTTGTGCAAAAATATAAAACCATCCGTGGGCGATGGAATCTGTGTGTCATGCCGGATATGCATGCCAAACTTGAAGCTTCGCTAACGCTCCGGAGTCGCTGAATATCCGTTTAAATACGAAACCTTAGAGTACTATTTCTATTGTTTGAAGTCGTTTTATCTGCTCCAAGATACCTTTTGATAAAAAGTATATTGTCTATATACAGTGTATAACAATTTCTTATCATTTACTCACGATATATTTTTTTCATTTCGAAAATTGCATTTAACAGAAAATCCTTCCCAGAGCCAATTTTTTGTTGCAACAACCTATTAAATTAACCGCCAAGCTGAGTTAGACTTTTGCAATTAAGTCGTCATGCAGTTGTTATACAATGTATACAGACAATATATTTTTGATCAAAAGGGATCTTGGAGCAGATAAAGCGATTTCAAACAACAGAAATTGTACTCTAAGGTTTCGTATTTAAACGGATATTCAGCGACTCCGGAGCGTTAGCGAAGCTTCAAGTTTGGCACGCATATCCGGCATGACACACAGATTCCATCGCCCACGGAGGGTTTTATATTTTTGCACTAAAAGTGCAAACAAATCAAGAAAAAGTGCAAAAAATGGCCAAAATCAGAGGTTTTTTCACTCTAACTTGACTCAAACCCCCACAAAAATCTTGAAATTTTAATATGTTGTAGCCCTTGAAATTCTCTTTACGATAGACTCCAACATCTTCTTTGGTGGCCCCAAGAAAGTACATTTTTTTGGCATTCAAAATCGAAATTTCCATTTTTTTAGTGACGATTTTCTCAAAGGTAGCGGACAACCTGAAGACAAAACTTACATACTCTGAAAGGAAATTGATTACTCTACATAAAGAGTTTTTGTTTTTGCCGGTTTCTCTTCGGGCTACCCTTACACACATGAAAATGTAATGTGCACTTTTTAATTTTTCATTTTTTTAGACACCGATCGGCGGCGAAAAAATTTCGGAATGCTGTGATATGTATTTTTAAAAGACATAAGTTTTTGTCTACGAAATAACAAGCTTTTAGAGTGCAAACTGAGGTCGCTACGACCTTCTGAAGTAGAGGCATCTCTACCCCGAAAACTAGGTTTTTTCGGTTGAAAATGATCGAGAAATTTCGGACTTTTTCGGTTGAAAATCACCAGGAAATGTCGGATTTTTTGGGGTGTTTCGATATGGTTGATGTTGAAAAATATGAGGAGAGTGCCAACACTTGCAAATTATGCACGTTTTCTTAAAGACTATATCAAGAAACCCCATAAAATCCGACATTTCCTGGTAATTTTCAACCGAAAAAGTCCGAAATTTCTCGATCATTTTCAACCGAAAAAACCTAGTTTTCGGGGTAGAGATGCCTCTACTTCAGAAGGTCGTAGCGACCTCAGTTTGCACTCTAAAAGCTTGTTATTTCGTAGACAAAAACTTATGTCTTTTAAAAATACATATTTCAAATACGAAGTCTCTGCGCCGCCTCCGCCGGAAGTGACAGCCTTCCACTTTCCTTCACGTTTTTTGTAAGACCCTGTATAACAAAGCCATTCTGTTAGAAATTTCTTCGGACCCTTCGTTGTACAGAAGTATGACTATAACAAATGTTTTTGGCCTGTAGACCATTTTTTGTGTATTATGGCGGCGTTTGTAGCACAATGATTACTTACCACCAGATCTCAAGGCAAAGGCTGGAAGAGACGGCAGAATTCGTTGAGCGTACATTTTTCTGAAAGCGATGACTTTGTTATTATAGATTGTAAAGTAAAATTAAGTAACAAAATACACGGAAGTAAGAATATAATATAATTGTCAATGAAAACTCTAGATATTATATTTGAAATTACTCTCTGAAAAACAATTTTATCTCCAAAAAAATTCACAAACATGGACGTTCCGAAATATGGCCGTTCTGAGACTTCTATCTAACTAAATCCAACACAAAAAAAACATTCAGCCTCTGGGGCACTGAAACATGGCCAACAAACGGAGCAAAACACGAGGGCGCTCGCGTTCACAAAGTGGTAAACATTATTGTTTTCGAAAGGGGAGTTGTTGTTTTTCCGAGCGTTCGAGGGGAAAAGTGTATGGAAATAGGAAAAAACGGGGAAAAAGTAATCTTTAGTTTGTCAAAATGCGGAGTAAACAAAGTACACGAAATAAAATTGTGTCCTTTTGAAACTCGATGAAAGTATAACAATTGGCGGCCTAAATAAAAAGTTGTTGTTGGAAAAAATTGGCGAACGTTTGCTCGTGCTTTTCCTAACAGAAATGAAAAAAAGTACTGTCAATGCTCGGCACAAGAAAGTCCCATATCAGTCGGTCGGGGAAATAATGTGGAATTTTGCACACGAATCAGGCATAGACCACGTATCAGTTACTTAAAATTTTAGCTCGCGCTTTGCAGGCTCCGTCGAAATATTGAACAACTTTTGTCGCCGAGAGAGCACGAAAAATGCGGAGAGCGGTCAGACAGGAGGACACTTTTAGGCCGCATAATTGCCCGATTCGTACGGAAAACATTGTTTTTTTTATGGAAACATTACCCTCTATGGTAGAAATCAGCACACAGCTTTTTATGCCAAATTTCGCAAAAAAAAAGTCCCATTTTTGCCAACTTTCAGCCTAAAAATCTCGGTCGTTTCTGCAAAGCGCTAGCTAGGAGTCTCGCATATGTCTTATAAGATATTAATCTAATTTTTTGCCAAGCACCATCAACAACGGCCTTATCAAATTGCATGAATTCCATCGACGGATCCGGTTTTTTCATCGACTTCCGAAGGATTTGTCAAAACCCCCTCATCGATTCATGGTCCGTTAATTTGAAAATCTTGTTCGAAGTTCCGGTCGGCGCACCTTACAGGCGTTATAACGCGCGCATTAGAGAGGTTTTTTGCCTTCAGGAATTTTCAAGGAGCCGGCTTTTTGTCGGCGGTAAAAGCCGTAGAAAGTGTATAAAATGCGAGCGGAAAACACGATTTCGAGTATTTGTTGGTGGGGATTTGAGGTTGTTTTGAGGTGCCGTTGAAGCGATTTTGTTTTTTATTATATAACAAAACTTACGGTGAACAGCCAAGTTACTGTAAATCAAATAGATTTTCGAAAGTCTTTTGGTGACTTTATTGCTTTAGCGGAATTTCGGGATAAAAAAACAAGTGTAGAATTTTGTAGTACAGTAAAAACCTGTTTTAGAGAAGATGAACAAGGATTTAGCAGCCAAATCTGTGACTTCTGTTACTGCCATATTCATAACGGCCACGATTTTGATCTGTTTTATAATCGTCAAGGTAAGTCTTGAGTTCTCAACCTTCCGTAAAGACTGCTTCTTCTCTGTCAATTAAATCGGTCAACCGAAACTCTCATTTTTTCAATTTATATACTTCCAGGACATCAACTCGATGTACAGCGAAATTATGGGTGAGATGGGCGAATTCAAGACTCTGGCCAACAACGCGTGGAGTGAGATGATGAGAGTCGAGAAATTGCGAGAAGACTCGATTTTCGGCCCTATCCGAAAGAAACGTCAGGGCTATCAACCCGAAACAGCTCAATGTAACTGCCTGCCACGATCAAACAATTGTCCGCCCGGCCCCCAAGGCCCTCCTGGAGAGGCCGGATTGCCCGGTGATGACGGATTGCCCGGACTGGACGGTACGCCTGGCTTTGATGCTGCTGACAGTGGTTACGGTAGGAGACCTCTTATCGACATAGCAATATGATTTTAGATTCACCTCCGCCCCGGAACTGTTATCCGTGTCCGGCTGGCCCACCTGGACCTCCCGGGTTTCCAGGCCAACCGGGTATCCCGGGTCCAAATGGTATCCCTGGCTTCCGTGGGCCCGCCGGAAATCCAGGACGGCCCGGTCCAGCTGGCGAGCCCGGTTTTCCAGGCCATCCTGGGCTTCCCGGAAATCCCGGACAGCCAGGCGCACCAGGAGAGTCCGGTACACGATACAACCCGTTACCTGGAATGCCAGGCCCGCGTGGACCGCCTGGCCCTCCAGGAGACGCTGGTGCTCCTGGCATTCCAGCCGCCCCAGGACAACATGGAATTTCCGGCCCACCCGGACCTCCCGGCTTGAACGGCGACCCAGGACCCAATGGGCCTCCGGGCGCTCCAGGCATTAGCGGAGAACCCGGTGTGGATGGTGCTTATTGTCCATGCCCCGCGAGGTCGCATTTGCTAATCCAACAAGCGTTGAAGAATATCGATGAGAACTCCTCGGAATTTCCTAGTCCAAAGAATGCGTTCACTACGACAACGCCAATCCCAGATCCATTTCCAGGCGAGGGAGAGCCTACAACTTCGGAAGCAAGCGGATATGCACACAAACAAAATTCGCCAGACTATCTCGACGATCAAGTGGAAGTCCAGCCTTCGAATCAAGTAAATTTGGATCGAAGAATTGCGCTGCAACGAGCTCTGGCCGCAGCGTTTGCAATAAGGCAATAAAGACATGACAAAGAAGTTTATGTAATAACTTGGTTACAATTCCGATTTCGGCTCACATTGGTCTAACGGTACGATATTACGTTGAGACACCGTGATTATGTATTATAATAATAAACAAAGATTTGAAGAGATTTAAGTCATTTTTTGTTTGCTCTTCCTTTCCTCCCTTTGGGTTGGGCGTACGGACCGGAAGAGAACGCACTCGGGATCACGCAGGAATAGGTTCTGTGGGCTCATCATTAAAGAGCAGGCTTTTGTTGATTTTGCAAATCCGAACAGGTTTCGAAATTCTTTACCGTATTCTGTGCTCTTGCGTTTTCCGTAGGTCTTTTTTGAGGGAAAATCGGGGGATGTTAAAATTCTTTTTTTAACATCCTACAAAATTCTTCGTTGTGTTCCGTCTGAACCCACACTAATCCTCGGGAAAACCTCTAATTACCCATCTAAATGCCCTAAACCTCTTATTCCTGTCTCCCCCCATTGGCATGCCGTCAAAACAAATTTTCATGTGGAGGCGGATTATGTCAACCGAACACTCTGTCAAAATGTTCGAACTGGAGAAAAGAAGAAGAAGAGTATTCAATTCTTTGCACTCTAACCGTTCGGATTAAATTTCCCACCTCAAGAGGTAGCTCGCAACTTGAGTGGCTGGATTTTCAGTTGAGGAGAGAACTCTGAAAGTTCACGCAAAATAATCCGCTGCGGCAATTATATTGAAATTATCGGGTATTTAGAGGCAAAGGTAAACGAGTTTTTTTAGTGTTCAGTAGACAACTGTGATGTTTTTTGAACAGTGGAAATGGTAGCCTTTGTTTGTGTCTACCAACCTTACTGGGAACAGCAACAGTTGTTTCTTTATTTCTAGACCGTTTTTATTCGTCATCTGTGGTACACATACCACACACAAAACACCAGTGATTTTTTGATAAACGTTCGTCACTTGGTAAGAGATCTAGCTCCTGGTCGCCAGGATTAGACAGACACGGTTGGCTATTTGTCTCTGTTCTGGGGTCGTCACCAATTGAGGGAACACTTATTCTCTGCCTCTCTGTCCTCTCGTTTGCGAATCTTGCCGGCCTGAAAATAGCTGTTTATTGAATGTGCTGCTACTGTCGCCAGAACTTTATTACAACAAATATATTCTACGTGATTATAAAATCCATTTCTCACCCCAAGTTTACGAAGTTCTTTTCGCCAGATGTTTTTTCGTATGATATCCCATAAACCATTCCGTAAGAGCCAGTACTGGAACACGTGTGGACAGCTTTTACTTTTATGGCCCCATCAAAGTTTCCATGATTCTAAAAATGTTTCCTTCAAGTATTTCGGGATGTTAGGGGCTTTATAAGAAAATCTCACACCCAACTTTAAAATAGTTCGCCTCAAATATCTGATATGATATACGACCCTACATTGGTGGTATAATCTTGCTGGGTTAATCCTGGATTTCGCTTTCCTTTTCCATTGTAGCGGTATTTATTTCCGGACTCGGCTACCCTTTACTTTGTTTACTTTTTGCACATCTTTTTTATATTGTTTTCCCTTTTACAAATAGTTTTTTTACTGTGAATACCTCAGAAAAAGCGTTGTTATGGGTTTTTAATGATTTTATGCGAGTTTACGGGAAATTCCGCTGCAAATAAAAATAAACATAATGGCGGGAATGTTTTGATGAGAGAGCCGGAATGCGAGGGGTTTGGGCCGGTTTGCGGCGATAAAGTCAAAGCTCGCTGATCATGGGGTAATTCAGTAAGAGAGAATATTGATGGAGGTTGATGAGAAGGCTGGGATGAGGGGGAGTTTTAACGGGATATAATAGAATAGAATTTTGACGGAATTTCTATGCTGACATTTCTCTTTTCGTAGACAATACGAAAATTTGTTTCAATGTAATGTTATGAAGTTTTTTGTTAGAATAAAACGTCTGCATGCGTTTCTTCATAAAGACTTTTAAAAATTTCTAGTTTCTATCCTACCTCTAACTATTAGCAAGCATCCCCGTCAAGCTCACGATCGCCCTCGTTGCTCCGGGGGCGCTCCCGACGAGCGTATGCTAATCCCGCCGGGAATGTTTGAACTTATTTTTTCGGGTTATTACCGGTCGTTTACCCTCAAACGCGCTTCAACCATAAAAAATGCAGCAAGGCGAAAGCGGCTTATTATAAACCGAAAAAATAGTTTGAGCACTGTCAAAAAACGGTTTGCTCTCCGACTGCGTGATGATTCTCGGCGGATGCGCGGAATTTCTTGAGGCAAAGCGAAGTGTAGTCTTGGATCAGTGGGGTCACAAGACATTCGTGTTGACGGGGAGGATCATGGAGCACGCTGAATTTGTTGCCAGCATTAAATATACCTTTCACCTGATCTCCAGTGTCACGAATAGAAAGCGGATTGAAAGGTTGTTTCCTTTTAGGCAGTTTGCATTGTTTCTCATACAACTTCGATACCTTTCACCTCGAATACCTTGAAAATTCGCTAAATTCCCCCCTCAAATTAGCGTATTTAACCCTTGCGAATTCGCGCAAAACTGAGCCGATCCCTCAATTGCGCAAAAACAATTTTTCAGGATCACCAACCTCCCCAACGATTTATGGAAATTTAAATGCGCCATTATTCTCTCGGCTTTTTGTTGGTGAGGCGGGGGTCATCGGAGCGCTGAAGCGATGGCGAAACGCCCCGATCAACCGCAATTATCCCCCCATGTTTATTATTATGCGACTCTAACGGAAGCGCTTTTCCTCCGGGCTTACGAAGGGGAGATCTATAGGGGATCTTCATTTTTTATTGTCATGTTTTTCGGTCAGGTCATCATAATATTGCCTGAGGGGAAATTACGATTTCTCCGCCTTTTAACCTGGATTTTTTGGGGCTGGCGGTATGTAAGCGGGATTTAATAGCGGTGAGGTTGGTATAAAGGCCTCAGAATGTTATTTTAGAAAATTTCAGAGTGTTTCTGGCGATCTGATTTGATTTTTTTATCGATTTTGACAAGAAGACATACTGTAGCTTCGGTATGATGACCGAAAAAGTACATTCTTCGTACATTATCGATAAAATTTTTACTGTAACTCGCTAATTATTGGGAAAATACGCCACATTTCGCTTACATCTTCAAGTTTTATCCCTTTTGCCCTCATTAAATGCGCTTGTCATGAACCTTTCGCCTTTCAAACCCCTCAAAAACCTTTTTTATCACCTCATCTTATCCCGTCATGCCGCTGCCAACCGCCAACCCCTCCTGGCTCATGCCGACACGCGTACGGCCTGTCAAACATCCCCCACTGACCTTATCATGGTGACCAAAACAAAAAAAAAACGCATCCGTTATGCGAACAGCCGGAAATTGAGTGTAAAAATCGCCAAAGGTCGGAGGGCTGCGGATGGGATTGGGAAAGGTCTTAAACCTCCGCCGATCTCGCCCCGCTTTAAACTCGTTTCCCTCCCTAATTTCCCTTTCGGTTTTTTGGCGCTTAAATTTCAATAAAAAACGCAATTCGACTTTTGCACTACCGGCGGCGCGTTTATGAAGTAATCGGCGGACATTGGGTGGGAATGATGACAAAAAGTAATGTTCCGAGTAAAACATAAGTAATACGGGGAGCTGGGAAAAATTGGACCGCGGTTTTTGTGATTTTTGGATTACTGTGGCATTTTCAGCCAAGATATTCAATAATTTTTTTGAGAGAGAGAGCACGGAAAAAGAAGAGAGTCGGCCAGAGAAAAAAGGTTTTTCGGGGGTAATTTTGCCAATTTCGCTTTGAAAAAAATTATTTTTGATGAAAAAATTATCATTTACGGTAGAGTTTGGCATGCAATTTTTCAACGCCAAAAAAGCAAAAAAGTTAAAAAAAAAAGTTTGGAATTTTCGACGTAAAAATTTAGCGGATTCTGCAAAGCGCGGATTCAAATACGGGATATCTTGGAAATACTATTCTTTATGATTACCAGGTAACTAGCATTTCCGATATATCCCGTAATTTAACCCGCGTTTTGCAGAATCAGCGGGATTTTTATGGCGAAAACTGTAATTTTTTTTTTACTTTTTTGCGATTTTGGCCTTGAAAAGTTCCATGCCTAATTCGGAAAAAATGCCCAAACAACCTTCAGACGTCTGATCCCGCCTAATCTTCAGTCCTTCCTTCGTTTGTGCGGTATCTTCCCAATCTTTTAACAACTCGCCCTAATCCCCGCAAAAACAACAACACCCGGACGTTCGCACGTTGTATATATTGCTCGTGTCCGGCGCGAGTTTTAATTGCGACACGCGCCGTTTGTTGTTCCGACTTGATTTAGTAGCGGCGGGGCTTCAACCTCACCAAATCCGGCGTTCCCTTTGCTTTCGCCCTCTGATTCCCGCTTTCCGGCTTCCAAAAGCACCACTTTGATGGGGGAATTGCGGATCGGTTACGTATAACAATCGCAGGTGGAGGTGTGATGCAATTGTAGTAATAGGCGGGAATCGGGTTGGCGGAGATTTGGAGAGTTATGATGACTTTTTTATGTTACACTTGGGGACCAAAAATTTGATGAAATTCGAAATTTTTTTTGTAAAAAAGTAATAGAAAATTGTGTTCAATGAAGACCTAGGGACTTCATATAGTTACTGCAAAATTTTTTAGACCGAAGCTCGGCGATTTTTTGGGGGGAAATGGGATTTTTTGCAATTTCAGCTAAAAAATCATCGTTTTTTCGAATTTTTGCTGATTTTTCATGTTTCCACTAAGCAATTGGATGTAAACTGTACTTTTTATGGGCTTTTATGCCTATTTCTTTGTTGTCGAGTACCGTAACGGCTTTTTCATCCCAAAAAATCATCAAATTTTAGAAGAACCGGGTCGCAACATCGCTTTTCTCGAAGCCCGTACCTTCACGGTACGCCAAACATCGCACAATGGCCACCGAACTGCTGCAGAACATGTTTGCGGAGACGCCGGCGCTGGAGCTGCACGCCAAAGACCACTGGATCAGGCTGGAGCAATTACAGAGACACTCCGAAGACAAGGACGCACTGATCCGGAATCTGGAGAACATTATCGACGAATTGGAGGGAGAACTAGCCCATCTTCGGGCGAAATACAATGGTAAGTGCGTTCTAATCGCTTCCGGATATCTGTGCGGTCCATTTGACGGAAAATTCCCGCGGGGAATTTGAAACGACGGGGAGAGGAAGACTTGACTCAAAGTCGCCCCTAAATGGGTCAAGTCTTTCTCTATCATCTTGTTCTCGAGAATTTTTTGGGAAAGAACTTTGTTTGTTGCAAGTTGTATCAGTTTCGTTCAGAACCCGACCCTCCACTCAACGAACATGGCCAAACCCGCGTGCTCAAGGGAATTTCCTACCTCTCCGTGGATTTTGGCCGATTGTCCGCCGAAAATCTCGATCTCCGCAGTCAATTGCGACAAGCTCACATGGAGTTACGGATGATTCGCGAGAAGTCGGTGAAGACCATGCACTACTCGACCTTACCCATCAGCGTGGACAGTGCGATTCAGACGGACACAGAAAGTTGGTCAGGCGCAACAACTCCCTCGATCCCGGCCGATCCGATCAGCGATGATACGCAGTTATTGGCGTTGAGAAAAGAACTTCAGGTTAGTTTCATGCTTTTTGATTTATTTCCTTGATTTTAGGACGAGGGATTTGGAAATATTCAGCTGTTTCAGAGTTGGTGATATTCCACTAGGCGGAAAGTGATGTTTTGGTGAAATGGTTTTATGAATTTTCTAAATTTTTGTTGACTTTCTCTTTAAAAAGTGTTTTCAAGGGTGTGTTACACGCGTGAGTTGAAATTGCCGTATTTTACCATTCATTTAGCGTTTTGTTTGCATTTTGGGTGTCAAATGGTGTAGTTAACCAAAATTTAGTATAACTTGACGGGTGTACCTGCAAATGGGTTAATATTTTGTACACAGTTACTGCATAGCATATGGCTCTTGTATTTTATATCAGATTCTACTCTAACGCTATAGGTTTTGAGGATTTTAGAAGACTTATACATCAGATGCCATGTGGAAGAAAATTAATGTTTTTTTTAGAAATAGGCTTCTATTAGCTGTGGTATCGATCTACTAGAGCAACTTGAAGATAATTCCCGTCTATAATTACATTTAAAACCATTAGTTTCATCGAAAACACCTTTACATTATCCTTCATTCAGCTGCTTGGAGAAGAGAACAGTTCGTTGACAGTTTTCGCCAAGGACTTCAAACGCGAGCTCAATGAGACTTTCGAGAATCTTAGAACAGAGTTGGCGATGGAGATTCCCAAGCATTTCGTCAAGATTCAGAAGCGTTTTCAGGAGGAAGTTGAGCTCCGAAGGGCACTTCACAACGCTCTGATTGAATTGAGAGGTAAATTTTAGATTTTTTTCTTTCGTTTTTAGGAATTTTCATCGAATACTACGCCATTTTCAGGCAATATCCGAGTGTTTTGTCGAGTAAAGCCGGGTCCGGTGGGTGTTGTTACACTTGATCCACTGGATGTTGATGTAATTTCAATTAATATTGATGGAAACCAGAAACGATATTTGTTTGACAAGATCTTCAGTCAAGAAGCCACTCAGGCTGATGTTTTTGACGAGGTTAGTCCATTAGTTCAGAGCTGCTTGGATGGAAAAAATGTGTCGATCTTTGCCTATGGACATACTGGAAGTGGAAAGACTTTCACAATGGAGGTGGGTGAAAGGTTTTAGAGGGTGTATAAGGGCTTGATATTTTATTATTCATCCTATTTTTTCATTTTTTGGGGAAAATTTTGAATTTTTAAAATTTTTTGTCTAAAATAATATAAAAAGTCAAAGTAATTGTATTTTGGTCCGGAATTGATGTAACTATGTCATTTTCAGGGCCCAGAATCCGATCCAGGCATCAGTCGTCGAGTTGGACATGAGATATTCACCTTGTTGGAAGAGAAATCAGAGTATATTGAGTGCTCCGTTACAGCGAGTATAATCGAAATTTACAACGAAAAAATCCGAGATCTCCTCGAATCGGACCAACCCACCTCACAGAAGGTCCAAATCCGGAGTGATGCCGAAGGCCGCGCCGAAATTCGCGGGGTAAAACGGACCGAAATCAGCTCCGTCAAAGACCTGCATGATCTCATTCAAATCGGGCACAAGAATCGAAGCACCGCCGCCACAGCGTTGAATGAAGTCTCATCGAGAAGCCACGCGTTGGTTATGTTGACTCTGAATATGACAGACAGGGACTCGGGGAATAAATGGACGGGCAGACTGAATCTTGTGGATCTGGCGGGCAGCGAACGAGTAGCCCGATCCCAAGTGGTCGGAGCTCAATTAAATGAAGCAAAGTTCATCAACAAGTCGTTGTCGGAGCTGGGAAATGTGGTACTGGCTCTGCGGAAGAACTCTCCCCATGTTCCGTTCAGAAATTGCTTGCTCACGAGGATTCTGGAGGATTCGTTGGGTAAGGGTATTATTTTAGATGGTTTTCATCAAATTTCTTTGATTTTTTTAGATTTTCTTGAGATTAGGGGATAGTAATGGCTATTTTTTAGTGGGAGACAGCAAAACCCTTCTAATTCTTCAAGTCACAACCGACGAAAACAGCGCCAAAGAATCCCTCAGCTCCCTAAACTTTGCCGAAAAGATCTCCAATATCACTCGCCGACCGAAGTGTGCGGCCGTCCAACGACGATCAAACTTGGTATAAGGCTCTACAGATCAGAATGTTTGCAATTTCCAACTCGAATTGCGGAAAATGACCCTAAATTATCGATTTCTAGTCATGTTACAGTATTATGTTTAATAAATGTTGAAATTCGCTGGATTTTTGAGTTATAATTGACGGTTTTGTGGTTGTGATTTATCCACAGTGAAGTATCTAACAGTTCACACTGGTTTTAAAAGAGAGTTTTTTACAGATTGAAGCTTCTCATAACAAGGGCCGGACATTTCGAAAAAAGATGAACTCAGAATCTTTTGATATTTTGCATAGCTGTTGTACTATGATAGCTGAAAGTCAGCGTGAATTTTTAGTTTTGAAAATTACCGTATACGGGGGTTACGGTAGGTACAATTTTTAGAAAGATTGGGTCCGTGTGTAAAACCCCAAAGGAGTAAAAGCACAAAACCCCGCTATTTTACATTTTCGACCATGGGGAACATTTTCATAATTGACACTTTTACCGTAGGATGTAGCCTTCGACTACTTTGAAAAATACCAAGGTACCATTTTGAATGTAACTTTTTTGCAGAGAACTTGTCTCAACTTTTGAAACCTCTCAAAAATACTTTGACATAGATGTAACAACATATCAAAAATGCGCGAAAATAAAAGGGGTGGTTTTGGGGTTATGGTATTTTGATTGTGGCCCGAACGGTATATCAAAATATCATTTTTTTCAAAATAGGTGTAGAAGAGCCGCAAATATCGCCAAAATACGTTTTCGACCATGGAGAACATTTTTGTAATTAGACTTTTTCTGTAGGATGTCGTCTTCGACTACTTGGAAAATGACCAAGGTACCATGTTCAATATAACTCTTCGGCATTCTACTTGTCTCAACTTTTGAAACCTTTGAAAAATACTTTGAGATGTATGTAACAGCATATCAAAAATGCACGAAAATAAAAGGGGTGGTTTTGGAGTTATGGTACTTTGAATGTAGCCGGTACCGTATATCAAAATTTGTTCAATATAACTTTTCGGCATTCTACTTGTCTCAACTTTTGAAACGTTTTAAATACGCTTTCATATATGTGTAACAACATATCAAAAATTTAGGAAAATAAAAGGGGTGATTTTGGAGTTATGACACTTTGAATGTTGGACATACAGTACACCTCGATTTATTCTCGGCTAAACTTTATGTAGATTATTTTAAAAACAAAATTTAATGCTTTATGTATGTTGTACGACCCTCAAAAACAATTTTCACTAGGAAATTCAGAAAATTTAGGCCTAAGCATACTGTAACATATCGTGGGCAGATAATTGGTTACTGTAACAGCAAGATCAGCGATTTCTTAATTTTTTTGCAACGATTACCACGGTTTAGAGTCGTGTGTGCTATACGACGGTGGAATCTTCCAATTTCGGGCGTCAGCATCACAACGAAAGTTCGGTGTACTGTATGATCAAGATTAAAAGTACCATAACTCCAAAACCACCCCTTTTATTTTCCTAAATTTTTGATATGTTGTTACATACATCTCAAAGTATTTTTGAAAGGTTTCAAAAGTTGAGACAAGTAGAATGCCGAAATGTTATATTGAACATGGTATCTTGACATTTCTCAAACCGGTCGAAGGCTACATCCTAGAACAAAACTGTCAATTACAAAAATGTTCCACATGGTCGAAAACGTATATTGGCAATGCTTGCGGTTGTCCTACTCCAAATTTAGAAAAAATAAAATTTTGATATACGGTACCGGCTACATTCAAAGTACCATAACTCCAAAACCACCCCTTTTATTTTCGTGCATTTTTGATATGCTGTTACATACATCTCAAAGTATTTTTCAAAGGTTTCAAAAGTTGAGACAAGTAGAATGCCGAAGAGTTATATTGAACATGGTACCTTGGTCATTTTCCAAGTAGTCGAAGACGACATCCTACAGAAAAAGTGCTAATTACAAAAATGTTCTCCATGGTCGAAAACGTATTTTGGCGATATTTGCGGCTCTTCTACACCTATTTTGAAAAAAATGATATTTTGATATACCGTTCGGGCCACAATCAAAATACCATAACCCCAAAACCACCCCTTTTATTTTCGCGCATTTTTGATATGTTGTTACATCTATGTCAAAGTATTTTTGAGAGGTTTCAAAAGTTGAGACAAGTTCTCTGCAAAAAAGTTACATTCAATATGGTACCTTGGTATTTTTCAAAGTAGTCGAAGGCTACATCCTACGGTAAAAGTGTCAATTATGAAAATGTTCGCCATGGTCGAAAACGTAAAATAGCGGGGTTTTGTGCTTTTACTCCTTTGGGTTTTTACACACGGACCCAATCTTTCTAAAAATTGTACCTACCGTAACCCCCGTATACGGTAATTTTCAAAACTAAAAATTCACGCTGAAGTTCAGCTATCATAGTACAACAGCTATGCAAAATATCAAAAGATTCTGAGTTGGTCGATTTTTCGAAATGTCCGGGCCATCCTTCGAGTTGTAAAAAACTCCCTTTTAACAAGTTTGGATTAGAAATTTGTCATTTGTTACCTAAAATAATGTGATTTTCTAACAAAAAAGGTTTTGATTGTGTATTTTTAGTAGAACCCCCAAAAAATCGAATAAAAAATGGACTCAGCCGCCGGAAGCCGTCTTGTCCAACAACTCCAAGCCGAATCGCAACGACAGAAGTTCACCGAACAGGTCAGCACCCTGACTTCCCGATGCTGGGACATCTGTTTCAACGACAGCCGGCCTCCCGCCAAAATGGACGGAAAACACTCGGGATGCCTAGCCAATTGTGTTGATCGCATGCTGGATGCTTCACAGTTCATGGTCGACCATCTCCAAAACTCCCAGCTTGCCAAATAGATGTTGTTATCTTCACCATGCTGCTGCACTTATAACTTGGCCGATATTTGTTGTTATAGGCTTGTTTTTGGTTAGTAAATGAAATTGATAGATGAAAGGTCGTTTCATTCCGCTAATTGAATAAGTGATTGCAAAATTTACGTAGTTTTCCACTAGCACGGAGATAATGTTTGCGTACCACCACGAAAAATTGCAATGCCAAGAAAATGAGACGGTATGCCAATCACGTGAAGAAGCAGACGTCTTTTTCGTCGGGTTTTATGTACGTTCTCGAACGCACCGCACTGGGGTGGAGTCGTTATGGTGAAGCTCAAGGTTCGGTCACGAGTTTCAACGCATTCCTTTATCTCCTGCGTACTTTTGTCTTCTATTCAGATTGTAATGATCATAAATGGGGGGAACGGCTTGTGTAGATGTTTTTATCTGGGTTTGGTTTCTTGTTGTGTTGAGTATAACGAGTTTATTCGCTGTGTTCCCAGGTTTTTCTTTGTTTACGGGCCAAAAATATCTGGAAAAACAAGTTTTTATGATGGTCCAATATTTTTTCTGCTGTAATTGGACACGGAAATGATGCGGGAGGTCTTTTTCTTGCTTTGGCTTCCGTGAAGTTGTCTAGAGTAATGTTTTCGGTAGGGAAATTAGATTCGCTTCTATATCTGTCTTCGTTTTTGGTCAAGTGTAATTTCAGGTGGGTCCTGCCATGATTTTCAAGGAAGCTCATCGAGCGCTCGTTGGTAAATTCAAGTTTTTTATTATTGTTTTGAATTTTTAGGTATTCTTCTTGTATCGATGAGTAATCGCCGATTTTTGGATATTATTCATCGCATTGGAGGTCCTTTACGGAGAATAGCTGAATTTTCTGGTTTTTGCTTTCCATAAGTTCTGGATCGGTTTCGTTAGCAAGAATAGGTTATCCTTGAGCTCACGATGGACTTTTACTAAGATCGGACCATCAACTTTTGTATACCACCTGATTCTTTCTCATTCAAAAAATTTTGGCGGTTTTTTATGACACCACTCGCTTCTTTGAATTGTCGATAATGAAACAGTTCTAATCTGCCGTAGCATGCCGGGGGACCGCACGTCCACCTCATTTTTTGATAAGGTGCTTGTATTATGGTTTATTACATCATTTTTTTCTGGATTTGTTGTCATTTGACTCTGATGGAAACCGGTTTTTCGGAAATTGTCACAAGGTGTCTATCACACCTTTCGTATTTTTTGCGCAAATGATTTCACTTTTTTCGACCTTTTTGGGAAGTCTTCTGCTCTGCTGTTGGTTTGCGAATGAGGAAAAGTGCATTCTGAGGGCTTGGATGTGGAAATTGAGTGACTGTTGAGACTAGTCATGCCAAGCTATATCCGGAAGGGGAATTGGTTAATTTTGTTGTCTGTAGAACCGTCAGGGCTTGGGGTTTGAAGTTTTCAGTGAGATTTTTACCTTTGTGGATATTACACATGGGAGAAACATGATTTTTTTGGGAGGTAGTTTTGTGCATCGAGAGATATTTTTGGGGTTTTATGGGATGGTTTTTGTTTGGATAGTCTTGTAACGGTTTTTTGTTCGAGAGAACGGCGAACTTGGACAAGACTATCTTAAACATTAACCATCTGAAAAGTGGGGAAAATACTGAAATATATACTTTCAAACAGATCTTTTCAAGGTCTATTAGTAAAGTTAATCAACTATAATCCAAAATTTGTTGTTATACGGCTCAAAATAAATTGTTTTGATACAAAAATATAAATAACAATTGATGAATAAGGTCCCGGTTCGGTCGATACGCTCGGCGAACTTTGATTCGTCAGCGATTTCATAGACAGCGAGGCGAAAAAAACTCCCTTCTTCCCTTTCGAGCACGAGTTTTTTCGTTTCGCAGTCAGCCGATCGCACATTGTGTCTGGAGTTCTCTTCCACTCACTTCCTTTTTCCGCGAATTTCTCTTTCCGCTCAGCTAATATTACTTTTGAAAGCGTTGGCGAACGCTTTCTCCCCGCTGATTCTGTTGATTGAGATGAATGTCGGGTCTCTGACAGCAGTCAAAACTAAAATAAGTCGATAATTTTTGAAGATCTCTATGATTTTGGTGGAAATCACGTGATTTTCATCAATTTTCGGCGAGATTTTTTGATAAAATGGGTTCAGCAGAACCCGCAATAAGACATGACTTGGTTTTTATCAGGTTTTGGAGCCGAAAAGATTCGAAATTTCAGTAATTTTGCTTGTAAACTGGGAAATGTCTCTTTACTCGGTATTTTCTCTGTTTACTAGACCTTCTTTTGATGTTTCATCGGGAAATTTTGATTCGGAATCAAAGTCTCTCGTCGTCTGAGTCATCAAAAAGATCTGAAAAATAACAAATTGAACGATATTACTTCAATTTGGACCTGTTTTTATATGATTTTGTTCGAAGGATGAAATTTCCGACTAAATCAATGAGATTTGTCTGTCATGTGACCTATGTCTCGAGGCGGACCACGTGCCTTACTACCGCACTTTTAATCCGGGGTTCGAAACGTGATAATTTTCGCGGAAATGACCAATGTGAATTGGAAGTATCGGTTTAGGACATGGTTTATAGGATTGCCCTTATAAGACTTGACTTTATAAGGGCGGTCTGGGTTGACAGAGGTTTATAACAGCCCATCTTGTCTATGAGGGCGATAAAAAATGTGTGGACAGTTTTTGAAGCGATTGATGGGTATTTTTTATATTATCCATGATGGATAATGTAAAATAATCCCAAAATTGATGTTCTACCTGATTTTTAAAGTGTTTTTTAATTGAGAATTGAGATAAATTGACTGAATTACGATTCTATAGATGTTTATCGGTATATATTTGAGTTAGAGATGGTATATTTATACTATTCATCCCATTAACTGTCAAATTTTTGAAATTTGTCCGAGTTTTGCCCTTCCGGCTCAAAGATCACCCTATATCTTTGTTGTTTATTGCCCTCTGTCTCATCACCGATTTCAATGATATTATTGAAGGGTTGAATTCAGAAAATCAAAGAGAACAGACAACAAAAAAGTTATGAAACCCTTCCTTTCCCTCCCTTGTTTATTTCTCGAAAAATATGCCTTATGAAATACGCTTTATGAACGCTGAATTATTCAAAGCGATGTGTTTCAATATGAGAGCGAGTGAATTAATTGGCCACGATTAGGAATGTCTGCGTTCAATTCGTTGAATTGATAAGCTGATAAGAAGGAACTCAAAAAACTCTTTGTGTCGTGAGTTTTTGAGGAATTCGTGGACCTTGCAAAGGTCAGGGTAAAATACGGGAGACATCTTGATATCAAATTTCCAATTAACTTGGATTTTTAGTGTTATCCTTGATCAAGGATAACAAGACCTTGAAAAGGGGTATTTTGAGGTATAGCCAGCCTATTTAATATACAAAATAGTTAAAATAGAGGTCGGAATAGCTGATAAGGCTTAGAGAACAAGTATAAATGGTACTCGTCTCCATTTTATGGGATTTTTTGAGGTCGGACCAAGTGTAATATAATTTTTGTTGAAATTTTTATTGCCTTCGATTTGTATTGATCCCTGCAGTTCAAAAAGCTTTTTTGAACCTTGTTTTAGCCTGCCATTCAATCATTCGCGAAGTTTTTTGCTCATTTTATCTAAATTTATATCGATTTTTACAAATTTTTTTCTAGACTTTGATCAAAGTTTCCCAAAATGAGCAACAATAGAAAGAAGGCCCTGTTGAAGATTATCATCCTTGGTGACACCGGCGTCGGGAAGACCTCGCTTATGAACCAGTATGTGAACAATCGGTTTAGCTCCCAATACAAAGCCACCATCGGCGCGGACTTCCTCACCAAAGACATTCATATCGACGGAAGGACGGTCACTGTACAGGTGAGGGAGTTTTGATGTTGTTTTTTGGTTTTTAGGTACAAAACAAAACAATTTTTTGTGTTCTTCCAGATCTGGGACACTGCTGGTCAAGAGCGCTTCCAATCTCTCGGTGTGGCCTTTTACCGAGGAGCCGACTGCTGTGTTTTGACCTACGACATCACCAATTCGAATTCTTTCAAGTCCCTGGAAACCTGGAGAGACGAGTTCCTCGTCCAAGCCTCACCCCGAGACCCAGAGAACTTCCCATTCGTCTTGTTGGGCAATAAATTGGATCAAGAGCCAAGAAGAGCGGTCACCACCAGAAGAGCGGATAATTGGTGTCAAAATAAAGGGGGAATCCCATACTTTGAGGTGAGTTGTTTGCAAAAATATGATATTTACTGATAATTCATTGAATTTTGAGAAGATTTGAGCAGTTTAGGCACGTTAATTGCACATGGTTTATATTACACTTGACCAAAAATTTTTTAGGTCTCTGCCAAAGAAGGTTCCAACATCGAAGACGCGTTCCAAGCCATTGCTCGTGCAGCCCTAGCCCGCGACTCTCAAGACTCCCTGCATGACTACCCCGACTTTCCCGACCAGATCCGGATCAGCCCATCGGACCGAAACCGGGACAGCGGCAGTTGCAACTGCTAAAACTCTCTGCCACCCCGGGTCTTTTTCCAACTTGTTATATTGGTTTTGATGTCTAGTTAAGGTCGATGAGGCCGAAGTCTGTGGAGTTGACCGAAATTCTGGGATCTGGAGGGATGGAGAAGATAAATTTTGGAGAAAAAGTAGATCTTTTGGTTATTTTTTTGTGTTTTAGGTATGAAAAAGGTATTTTTATATCATGTCCTCCAAGATCCTACGGGTTCTCATCCTCAAATCCATCATTTTCCATGTTTTATTCGCTAAAATTGTCAAATTTTTGAGTAAAATCGAAAAAAGTAAAAAAAGCAGAGTGCTGAGTCCGCAAATCCACCCCCAATTCGATGTACAATTTTGCCGTCAAGCGCATTTAATCTCGAAATCAGATTAAACCTTCAAAATTACAAGTTTTTCATAAGTTTTTCCTCAGTTCCGACCTTGTTTTAGAGGAAATTGCGATTTTTTTGGTTTTTCGACTTTCCGAACCTGTTCTAAGCGCTTTTCTTCACTTGATGCCATACCCTAGCTGTAATTAAGTGTACAGGGTCCGACTTTGTATAGTATATTCAGTTTTTCCACATGAATTTTAATCAATTTTTATCAAGATTTCCCCAAAAATTTCTCCCAAAACCCCGGCTCAACCCTCGCCTTCTGAACAGCCTTGGCCAATAATCAAAATTTGGCCGCAAGTTTTTTTCCTGGAGCCTCTCAGTGATTACCGTATTTTTGTCGATTATTGTTTTTTTTCTTTTCTTTTTTTTATGAATAAATTGTAAATTAGTTGCAATTGGAAAAAAAAAAGAAGACCATAGCTGTTGCAGCAGCTGAGAAATATCTGAATTGTAAGTTTACAAGTGCTGGGGGCAGTTTTATGAGGGTATTTTGGGATAAATTTGAGCTCGGACCTTATTTTAGACAAGAAAGATCGATTTTTTGATGAAATTTCGATCAAAAGTGCTGAATTTTAATGAAATTTGGTCAAATTTCCTCTGTAAATTTAGCTATAAGCCTTTTTTTCAGAGTTTTTTACTTTTATTTTGTCACAAATCCCCTGTTTTTCCATAAAAAACTTAAATTTTTTTTCCAGAATGATCGGGCGTTTAATGCAGTCGGTCAGCCAAATGGGCCGCCGTTTGTTGGCCAACCCCACCGTCCAACAACAGCGCGGCTTCAAAGTGAAGAAATTCCCGAAACTCCGCTGCGAACATTGCTATTTCATCCGAATCGACGGCCGCCTTCATGTGGAATGTCATGCCGCCCCCAAGCACAAACAACGCGAAGAATTCGACATCAAAACTCTTTGGTAACCCTTGAATCTCGCATAATCTGAAAGTTTGACCGATTTTTTCCGGGAATTTTTCTGAATTTTTGGAAAAAATCGGGAGAAAGTTTGAGAAATTTTTGTTGTTTTAGGCGTTGTTAAGTTTTTTATCTAATAAATAACAATCTTTATACTGTAAAAAGGAATAATTTACATCAATCATCAACTATCCGTTACGAAAAGGTCCGCTAAATCTCTCTGCTCGGCTGCGAGGGCCCCGGAACGCGAGGGTCCTGCAGTGGGGGCAAAAAGAGCACAAAGCTGAGCATCGGGGACGAAAAGGTCCGCCGAAAAAAGTTTCGCTAAAAGGGGGATGCCCGGATGGAGTAGAGGTGGCAATCGGGCTTGGCCGGCCGGGCCCTGAGCAGGAGCAAAAATCGGCCCGGCCCGATTGCCACCTCTAGGATGGAGGTAATCGATGGTGGAGATTTCAAAAATCGTATCCGTTTTTTCTGAATTTGACAATTTTGCTTAATTAGTAGTGTTAAGTAGTAATTTCTTTAACTTTTGCTCTACTGAACACCACTACTTACAGTGACGGACCTGATCCAGTGGCAAAAAACGTACCATTTTGCTTCCGGGAAATATCAAAAAATGTGGCTCCAACCAAAAAACTCCGTTTTGAAGGACGAGTTTTTGAAATCGGAGTTTTTCACTTGGAGAGGGAGGCATTTGCCACATTTTTTGATACTTCCCGGACGCAAAATGGCACGTTTTTTGCCACTGGATCAGATCCGTCACTGTAAGTAGTAGTGTTCAGTAGAGCAAAAATTGAAGAAATTACTACTTAACACTACTAATTAAGCGAAATTGACAAATTCAGAAAAAACGGATACGATTTTTGAAATCTCCACCATCGATTTCCTCCCCTTCCGTCGCCCCCTTTTTTAGCGATTCTTTTTTTGGCGGACCTTTTCGCCCCCGATGCCGACCTGTGTGCTCTCTTTTTGCCCCCAACTGCAGACACCCCTTTTTCCGCGACCCTCACAGTCGAACAGCGGGAGAAGGAATTTGGGGGTTTGGAGTGGGTGAGACCCCGGAATCGGGGGTCTCTTTCGACGCGAGGTCTTTCGACTCGGGGTCTCTTTCGAAGGAGGCCGGCCCTCCCGCCATAAATTCGAAAACTCTCTTCTATTCTCGTCGGATTCGGTGTGTGCGATGAAGAATGTAAGCCCAAACATTGTTTTTTGTGGGATTTCGGTTTTTATGAAGATAAGGGAGCTTTGAAAAAAGATTTGGGATCATAAATGGGTATCAAGTTAGATAAAAAGTGAAAAAAGAGGAATTTAGTTGGATTTTTGTGTCAAATCTAGCTTATTAATACCTACTCTAGCTCTATGCTTGTTTCTAGGCCTATAAATCAACCAGTTTATGCCAAAAAATATGTTAATTTACCTTTAACTTGGCTTAATTACCTCTATATTATCTATGATAAAAAAGAACTTGAACTCCCAATTTTATTACCCAAATTTGCGGCTAGAGTTATCTCAGAGCTGTAATGAACCAGCACAACCACTTTCGTCTGAAATTTGAGGCAAAAATAGCTGTTTTAGACCCAAACTACCACCTGATGTCAAGTACAATATAATTTGTCTATTTTTTGTAGAAGCTCGGTGTTTACAGTCATGTCGGGACCTTCAGCACCTACGCCGAGGCTTATGCGACTATCGAAAGGGAGTATCGATATAAAAGACAGCTTCGTGACAGTAATATTAGAGTTTACAGGTAAGATGGTCCTAAATTAATATCAATATCTCCTTCCAGATGCCGTTCTCATCGAGGACACAAGTGCAATGCAACGGCAAAAATTGTAGTCTGTCCTGATGGTCGATTTGAAGTGGGGAAACGGTTCCCACACAATCATAGTGTAAGTTTTTTCTAGTAATTTTGAAAAAATATTATTTTTGATTTTTTCAGATGGACATTTTTGAAAATAAAAAACTCTGGGAAAGACATCGACGGAAATGGTTCCCACCCGAGATAGGTGGCCATAGAAGTACAGAGAGCGCGTCGGAAAGTGATGAAACGTCTGAAAATAAGGATCACATCAAGGAGAAGGACAATGGCGAGACGAGTGTTGAAAAATCTGAAGAAAGCGAGGGTACAGTCAATGAAAATGGAAAGAAGCAGACCAGGGGACCTCGAGGACCCTATAAGAAAAGTGAGTTTCATCGAAAAAGCGAAAAATACGGGATTCAATGTTTTCGTGGCGGGACCTAAATTAAGTTACCCTTCATCTGGGGCAGCAGATTTCATTTGGGGTAGATCGGGTATTGGCCCAACATGTATAGCAAATGTTGCAAAATTCTTTGACCAGCAGGCCAATCGGTTGAAATCACATACACATTTTTAAAATGACTAGCCAAAAACCTGGATCGGCTAGTCAAAGTGTCAGAATGGCCGTGAAATCTCAAAAAAAGCTACCAAAAGGTTTGAATAGGTGTGAAAAAGTAGGCGTGACAAAAAAATTTGTAATGGCTAGCCAAAAACCTGGATTGGCAAAACAAAGAGTTCGATTGGACAGCCAAGCTATTAGGAATGCCCACTTTGGCTAGCCGGTCCAGGTTTTTGTCAAGCCATTAAAATCGTTTTGTCATGTCTACTTTTTCACACCTATTCGAACCTTTTGGCCAGCTTTTTTTGAGATTTCACAACCATTCTGGCACTTTGGCTAGCCGATCCAGGGTTTTGGGTAGCCATCAAAAAATTTAGTTGTGATTTCAACCCATTGACTTTGCCGGTCAGAGAATTTTGCAACATTGGCTATACGTGTTGGGCCAATACCCAATGTGCCCCAAATGAAAGCGCTAAATCAATATAATTTTTTGAAAATTTTTGTCCATTTATGACTTCTGAATATCGATTTTTCGACAAATTACAATTGTAACCATTTTTTATAAAAATCCCCAAAAATAAAAACATAATGGAAAAATTGCCCTTCCAGAGAATGACATTCCTCCACCACCCTCCGAAGAGCTCAGCCTCTCCGAACATTCCATCAATTTGCTGCTCCAAAGCCTTCAAGAAGACCTCAGTTCGACTGGCGAAACGTCAGACCAAGTGGAAAAAATTAAAGTAAAAATCGAAAATGATGACGAACAAGGTTGTCCATCGAGCTCAGAGATGAAAGAGCAGTCATTTCCGGAGATAAAAATGGATGATTTTGGAATTGGAATTACTAATCCATCGACTAGCAACTATAACGATGCTTTAGATGAGCTGGAGGAAAGAAATGCGGTTTTGGTGAAAGAAAATTCGGAATTGATGTTACAAAGTAAGTAGAGTACAGTGACGGACCTGATTCAGGGGCAAAAAAGTACCATTTTGCATCCGGGAAGTGTCAAACAATGTGGCAAAATACCTCCATCTCCAAGTGAAAAAACTTCGTTTTGAACGGCGAGTTTTTGAAATCGAGTTTTTTTTCAGTTGGAGGGGGAGGCATTTTGCTACATTTTGGATACTTCCCGGATGCAAAATGAATTGAAAAAAGAGACTACGGTGACGGACTTGATCCATTGGCAAAAAACGTGCCTTTTTGCAACCGCGAAGTGTCAAAAAATGTGGCAAAATGCCTCCCTCTAAGTGAAAAATCTTCGTTTTGAAGTCTCCCTCACAAAAAGAGCGGGCGCGCTTTTGAAATCGGAGTTTTTTCCCTTGGAGAGGGAGGTATTTTGCAACATTTTTAATACTTCCCGGATGCAAAATGGTACGCTTTTTGCCACACTGGATCAGGTCCCCACTGTAGACGGAAAAAAGGAATTATTTGAAATTTCAAACCAAAAATAAATTGAATTTTTTCAGTGATCCGTCTAAAACGACAGCTGAAGCAGAAATGCAATGAAAATGCTGATTTGGCGGCCGAACTTAATCGACTAAAATCCCAAATGAATCAACAGTAAATTTTGAGTTATTGCATTGAAAATTGTAAAATTTTGACTATCTCGAAATACATGAAAACCTTCTGGTAACCCTTGAATCCGCATAACCTCATGTTTAACCGATTTTTTCGTGAAATTTTTTCGAATTTTTGAAAAAAAAATCGAAAAATTGTCGAATTTTCAAAAATTTTTGTTATTTAGCCATTGTTAAATTTTTTTCACCTAATAAATAACAATCTTTATACTGTAACAAGAAACAATGTACATCAACAAACTACTTTCAGCCTTTAATGACGGCAATTGGCCTCAGTTTTACGGCTTTGTTGCTAATTCCGGCGCGTTGACAGGTGTCCACCACATCATGGACGTTTTTGTAGGACTCGGGCGCCTCTTCCATGACTAATTTTGGAGACGCTACTCGGATTGAGATTCCTGGAAAGTATTTTTGGATCTTTTCCCTAACTTCACATACTTTTTTTTACTAAAAAAGTCAAAAAATCTCGAAAAATCGAAATTTTCAGGCTGAAACTCGAAATTCCCCTTAGGCAATAAGCTCAAAACTTCTCCTAAGCTTTAAAAATTCTCACCTTTCTCTTTGAGATTCTGCAAAACCGCTTCAAACGTTATATTCCTCCTCGATTTTGATCTTGATAGGGCGCGACCTGCGCCATGGCAAGTGGTCCCAAAAGTCTCTTCGAATCCTTGCTGGGTACCCGTTAGCACATACGAGTTCGTTCCCATCGATCCTCCAATCAATACCGGCTGCCCTGAGAGCTGATAATCCACTGGGATCAAGGGGTGATTTGCGGGGAAAGCGCGAGTCGCGCCCTTGCGGTGAACACAAAGCTGTTTCGGTCGTCCGTCAACAAAGTGCTCTTCCATTTTGGCAATGTTGTGTGAGACATCGTAGATTACTTGCATATCCAGATCGTCGGGGGTCGAATCGAAAATCCGGGCAAAGGCCTGAAGGAGAAGGTAAAATAAGGTCAAAAATCGGAATTTTTGAGAGAATTCACCAAAAACACATGGCCTAAATCAAAATAGGACCGTTTGAATGAATTTTTGATTACTTTTTGGAGTAATTTTTAGTCTAGGTTTATCCCAATTACCCAAAAACTTCCGTCTGCACCTCCATTCCGGAGTTGGACGATTGGGGAACCGAAAAGTATTATTTTTCTTCGATTCAAGTGTCGAAATTAGGATAATCGAGGTGCTGATTTCGAAAATGACATTCATTTTTTTGATAGTTACTTTTTTCCTTAAGTAGTACTGTAAGTAAGTAATTTTTAAAATTTTTTTCACAAATGCTCGATTTGGGGGGTTTCGATGGTGCTGATTTCGAAAATCTTACTCTTTTTTTCTGATTTGAAATCAGCACCATCGAAAACCCCAAATCGAGTATTTGTGAAAAAAATAAAAAAATTACTACTTCACAGTACTACTTAAGAAAAAAGTAACTATCAAAAAAATGAATGTCATTTTCGAAATCAGCGCCCTCGATTATCCTAATTTCGACACTTGCAGCGAAGAAAAATAATACTTTTCGGTTTCCCCAATCGTCCAACTCCGGAATGGAGGTGCAGAGGGAAGTTTTTGGGTAATTGGGATAAACCTAGGCTAAAAATTAGTCCACAAAGTATTCAAAAATTCATTTAAGCGGTCCTATTTTGATTTAGGCCATGTGTTTTTGGTAAATTTTCTCAAAAATTCCGATTTTTGGCTTTATTTTACCTTATTCTTTTACCGTATTTTTCCCCAATCGCCCCTTTCCCCAATCGTACTTTTCCCAATCGCCCCTTTCCCTCCATCCTCACCTGTCGAACACAAAAAGTCATACAGGACCGATTCACAAAAGCAAAATTTGCGGCAGCAGCCATTCCCTTCAAATAATCCTGTCCTTCTTGGCTGAAAATCCTAGCGCATGCCAGTTGTCGGTCATTCAGTTCAATTTTATCACGAGCCATCGCCTTTTCCATGCTGACCAGCGCATCCGTCGCGACTTGATGACCCAGCCCGCGGCTGCCGCAATGCAGCATAACACACACTTGGCCCACGTGATCAATCCCCATTTTGGAGGCAGCATATTTGTCAAAAATCTCGTCCACCACCTGTACCTCACCGTAATGATTGCCCGCGCCGAGGGTACCCAGCTGAAAAAAAAGTGAATTTGAAATTTCAAAAAAAATTTTTTTTACAAGGGAAATTTTTTTCTATGGGGTATGGAGTTACAGGTCGAGACATATATCAAAAAAATCGCAGAAACTGTCTGATTCAGAATATGTAAAAATTAGCTGCCCACTTTTGGTTTGTAAGGGTGAAAAGCCCTTAGAACTCTTCTCGCAACACCATGCCTTTTTGACCAAGTTTTTACCAATTCAAAAGCTTTCTTTTGAGCTAAAGTGAACCCTTGGCATCTTGACACAAGTTTTAAAATATCAAATTTGATTAATACTACAGCTTAATTAGTAGTCAAATTTGATGTTTCAAGGCTTGTCAAGATCCCAGAGCTTACTTTAGCTAGCTCAAAACAAAGCTTTTGAATTGGCAAAACCTTGGTCAAAAAGGCATTTGCGTGGTGTTGCGTGAAAAGTTCTGAGGTTTTTTTCACCCTTACAAACCAAAATTAGGCAGCTAGTTTTTACATGTTCTGAATCAGAAAGATTTTGCGATTTTTTTGATATATGTCTCGATCTGTAACTCCATACTCCATAGAAGTAACTTCTTTGTAAAAAAATAATTTTTTTTTAATTCAAAAGGCGTATTTTACCTGAGGCAATCCGCGTTTTTTGGCTTTTGTCGAGACTTTACTGGCGTCTGCTTGCAACATTCGTCCATATTCTTCACAATGTTCCTTATCTTCAGCCCATGAATAGCCTTCTCGGAGGGTCCAATCCATTCCCATTTCCAGGCATTCGTCGAAATCTCTGGCCTAAAAATTTTAAAAATTAATATCCGAAAAGGCGGTTTAAGCCTCAAAACTTTCATTAGCAATCTTATTCTATCAAAATTTCCATAATTTCATCAATTTCGCATCTATTTTTATATTATCCATGAGATCAAATCTTACTTTGATCGGAATAATTCCTTGAGACCCCACACCAACCGGGATGTGGTCGAATAATGATTGGGCAAGTCGTTCTTTATGTGGCTGGACATCTTTTTCGCTGAGATTGGTTCGGATCAGCCTCACGCCACAATTAATATCAAATCCAACACCTCCCGGAGAAATGACGGATTCTGGATTGTCCACATCGAACGCAGCAACATTCCCAATGGAGAACCCATAGCCGGAATGAATGTCGGGGAGTCCAACGGAGTGCTGGAAGAGAAAAACTCTGAGTTACCCGGAATTTTTAAAATTTTGAAGACCCGTATGGTGTATAACTTACTTTGACGATCCCAGGCAAAGACGCAACATTTGCAATCTGCCGAACAGCCGGAAGGAAACCTCCGATCCCACCTTTTTCCACACATAACTTGAGCTCTTCAAACATCAAAGGTTCCAGAGCGCTGTTCACGTAGAATTTACCTTCCACCTAAAACCAAAAAAAAACTAATAAAAGTGATCGACTTACATTCATGTTGGGGACAAAGCCTTTGCGAATTGCAAAGGAGACATCAGAAAGCCTCTGGATGTATTCGACTTCCTGCTCATAAGTTCTAGGCATCTGAAAATTGAACTTGATTGGGTGGATAAGACGTCAAGTATAATATCGAAAAAACCGCGAAATTAAAGCACAAAAAGAAGTAAAATGCACTTATATAGCTGTAATGAGGTCTGTGGATTATATCAAGACCAGAAACAACTGGAAAACACATTAATTTAGTCAAAAACTTTCAAAAATTCTAAAAGATGTTTAAAACAATATTCCATCTCAACGAATACACAAAACCAGTTAAAACTATTGCAAAGGCAGTCAATCAATCTTCCCTTACAAACTTTTATGATCAACATCTCTCAAAAATTTCGCAAAGTATTTTTTATTTTAGTCTTCAACGGAAGTGCCCTGAAAATCAGGATTGTTGGCATTCCGTTCTAGGTAAAGAAAATGGAAAAAATTTCATACACACAAGCGGAAAGCTCCGTAAAACAGCCTCGTTGGGGAGAATCAGCACTTCGTTTGGATATTTCATAGCCAATTTTTGAACATCAAGGAGAATATAAGTTTTAGAAGAAATTGGAAGCCATGACTGTCGAAGATAAGGTCGAAGCTGTTAGGATCAAAGCGTTGGCTTTGTACAGAACAAATTAGTAAGTTGTTTTTATTCTTTTTTCACGGTTTTAGGTGAGTTTCTTGATGTCTAATGGATCAAGTATAATATGGCTGGATTTTAGCTGGTCTTTTGAAGGACATTTTTTCGTTAGGATACATAAAAAGTGTGAGAAGGTCATGATGTAATTTCCTCGTTGGTTTCCATTCAGTCTTTGGCTCTTTTTATAAAGGAAAGAAATTATTTTGCGAAATGAGCCATTTTCTGATATTGTAGTTGAAAAAAATGTTATAACTTGCTTCATTTTGGGCCAAACATGGCAGAATCAACGTTATGGAGAACCTTATAGCATGGGGAAGCTATTGACTTTGATTTCCGGTTTTAGTAAAGCTGTGAAATTTCTCAAATAAGCCGTTCTTTCCCACAGCACCAATCAACCTAAACCAATGTATTTTCAGTGCCGAACGTCTTGGATCCCACTTGCTAGCTGGTAATACAGCTCTTATCTTTCGAGATTATGCCGAGGCTGGACAATATAAGTCGGTTGGGTAAGTTTCTATTCAATATTTTTTTTTATTTTTTTAGTGATTTACTCAAGTATTTCCAAGAAGAAGGAGCTTACCTTTGTTCATTGTATCCAAGCGAATTTGTGTTGAGAAATATTCTCTGTGCGGCGTTGAAGATTGTCAGGGAAGAAGCGCAGCGATTGGCCTCAGGAAGCGACGATTTAAACTCGTTTGATTCGTTGACGGTAAGAGGTTGGGTTGTGGAATATAATTGATCAAAATAGATGGAAGATAACATTTTAGTGTTTGATTTGAAGTGTTGGAGGATTGAGAAGGTCTTTGAGCAAAAGAGAATCGACTTTTTTTGTAAAATACGCATATCATTCTGACTTCCGATCGTTTTATATTATTTTAGGTATAAAAAGATAAGATCACTGAAATTTCAATTTTTCTTGATGTTTTTTGTTATTTATTTGAATTTTATGGTTAAAATATTATTTGTAAATGACTTTCGCCCCTTTTATAATAAGTTTTCTTACTCTTGATGTCGTTTCAGAAGCTCTGGATCGACCCCAAGAACTCAAGGCTCAATGTGAATGTGGACGATCTGAGGAAGGCAGTGATGTCTTCGCTTGAAGAGTTCTCATTGGAAATGAGGTCCACAAGAAAGGAGATTGCCAATCAAGCTGTGAACCATGTCCTGCCAACAGATACAGTCCTCACATATCAATTTAGCACCTCTTCAACTTTGAATGTAAGTATAATATTATTTTTGGTGGGAAAATGGTGATAATAAGATAAATGAAGATGTTTTTGTTGATGTAAAATACGAGCATTATGTTTTTCCTTTCTAAAAATTCATATTTCTCCTTAAAATTTATATGATTTTAGACCACTAGCTTAGAATTGCTCAAAAATTATAAGAAATGAACTTCAATCACTCTAAAAATCGATTTCATTATTTTTCAGGCATTCTTCGAAAAGTCCAAGTGCTGCATTTTGTCGGTGGATGACAAAAAATTGCTTGCCGAGCCGAATGTGAAGGCCAATTACACCCCAATGGAGGATGTTTTAACTGTGATGCCTCAAGTCACAAGAGTCGTTTTGTCGGCGGTGGCGGTTCTACCCGATGGTTCGTGTGTTCTACAAGCGGGTAAGGGAAATTGGAAAGATTTTTTGGGAGTTTTATGTTGTTTTAGAGGGTTCTTAAAATTTTTTGGGATTGGTACAGTGGCGGATCTGATCTAATGGCAAAAAACGTACCATTTTGCATCCGGGAAGTATCGAAAATGTAGCAAAATGCCTCCCTCTTCAAGTGAAAAAAATTTCGGTTTGAAAAAATTTTGAAAAAATCGGAGTTTTTTCACTTGGAGAGGGAGGTATTTTGCCACATTTTTGATACTTCCCGGATACAAAATGGTACGTTTTTTGCCCCTGGACCAGGTCCACCACTCTATTTTTCTTATGTTTTTAGGCTCCCTAGGCATCTGCCTCGCCGCCAATCGCCATTCCGTACCAGTTCTAGTCATTGGAGCCTTTTATAAATTCACTCCCATCTTTTTACCCAACGTTGACGACTTTAATGCAACTACGAATCCAACCGTCGCCTTAGGCGATGAACATGAACTTTTGGAACGACCGAATTTCATCGTCAATAACCCCTTGTTTGACCATATCCCCAGCAAACTTGTGACGTTATACGTGACCCAATCCTCGGCCGTCTCCCCACCTCATGTCTATCGTCTGCTGGGTGAATTCTATCATCATGAAGATCTCTATCACTTCAAGGTCTGATTTTTTGGTCTAATTGTGGTCTGTGGGCGCTATGTTTTGAATTGGGAAGGATAAGAATGAATTTTGGACAAAAATTTATATTACACATGAGGTTCAAAATTTTTGATTTTTTTTTTGTTTTTTTTCCAATTTTTTTAGCAAATTCTTACTATAAGTTAATTGATTATTAGATAGAAGATCTATTTATAATGTCTGTCCCTTCAGCGCGATGATTTTCAAATCCTCATCACCGATGAACTGTCGCGTTTCCTCAAGAAATAGTCTCTGCCAATTTCTTCGCCCCAAACCGTCTCTCGTCATCCCGCGGAGAACCTTCCAATGGAACCTTGTTATGTTGTTTTTGTAGGCGCATGTCTCCGGGTACCGTCAATAAATTATATTTATCATTTTCAGCGATTTTTGAGATTTTTTGAAATTTTTGTATAAAATGTCGCCCTGTTTTCAACTGAAATTTTGAAATAAAATAAATTACAATATCCTCTTGATCACTAGAGTTATGTTTTTCACAATTTTTGAAGACTTTTCGACACTTTTCATCGTACGTATAAAATGTCCCCCGCAGCCTGCAACTTGAAATTTCGCTGAGATTCCGTCGAACCGCGCCCAATTATGCCCGAAGAAGGGAGATTTTCATTGTGAGAAAATGTGGGTCCGAGCTGTGTGCTCTCCATTTGCCCCCAACCTCAGGGCCCCCTCGTTTCGCGGCCCTCGCAGCCGCCCGGATGGAGAAGGAATTTGGGGGTGGTTTGGAGTGGGCCCTCGACCCACCAAAAATTCGAAAACTCTCTTCTATTCCCGTCGGATTCAATGTGTGCAATGAAGAATGTAAGTCCAGGCATTGTTTTTTGAGGGATTTAGGTTTTTATGAAAACAAGGGACCTTTGAAAAAGATTTGGGATCAGAAATGGGTATCAAGTTGAATAAAAGTGATAAAAAAGAAGAATGCAGTTGGATTGTTGAGTCAAATATAGATTATTGATGCTTATTCTGCCTCTGCGCTTCTTTCTAGGGCTAATTCAACCTGTAGTAAGCTGTTTTTGACCAAAAAATATGTTAATTTACTTTACACATGGCAAGATAGATAGAATTCGAAATTTTGTTGGCTAAAACAAACTTAAATTGGTCCCAAATGCCTCTAAATGAATTGTTTTTTTTCTAGTTAATTTTTGAGCCATCTAGAACCTAACAAAGGCTGGTTTTAGCCTTCAGAAGTAGCAATTACCTCTATATTATCTATGGATAAAAAAGAAGTTGAACTCCCAATTTTATTACCCAAATTTGCTGCTAGTGTTACGTCAAAGCCGTAATGAACTAGCACAACCACTTCCGTTTGAAGTTTGAGGAAAAAAAACTGTCTTAGAACCAGAGATTGCCACGGCTCCGGAGCCGGCTCTTGGCTCCGGCTCAGAGCGGCTCCGGCTCCGAGCCGGGAGCCAGAGCCGGAGCCGGAAATTTTGGGGTCGGCTCCGGCTCCCGAGCCCAAAGTCGGAGCCAAGCTTCCCAGCGGTCAGAAAAGTAAAAATTTCGTGATCTTGTTAAACCAAATTGCTTGAAAAAACACTGAGGAGGATGTCACTTGACTGCAAAAACGTTGGCTGTATGTTGGCTGGCCCTAACAACTTTTATTTTTGGAAAAATATTTTTAAAAAAACATTTTGCATAGGAGCCGGGAATCGGAGCCGGAGGCCTTTTTAAATTTTGCACGGAGCCAAGAGCCGGAGCCGGAGCTGCAAATTTAGCCTCGGCTCCGGCTCTGGGAGCTAAGAGCCGGAGCCGGAGCCGAAATTTTGACCGTGGCAATCTCTGCTTAGAACCCAAGTTACCATTAGATGTCAAGTACAATATAATTTGCCCATTTTTTGTAGAAGCTCGGTGTTTATAATCATGTCGGGTTCTTCAACACCTACGCCGAGGCTTATGAGACTATCGAAACGGAGTATCGGTATCAAAAAACCCTTCGTGACAGTAACATTAGAGTCTACAGGTAAGATGGCTCTAAATTAAGGCTACCTTTCATTTGAGACAGATTTCATTTGGGGTAGATCGAATATTAGCCCAATATGTATAGCCAATGTTGCAAAATTCTTTGATTAGCCAGCTAAAGGTCGAAATCACAGCAAAATTTTTTAATGGCTAGCGAAAAAGCTGGATCGGGTAGCCAACGTGTCAGAAGGGCTTTGAAATCTCGAAAAAAGCTTGTCAAAAAGTTGGAATAGATGTAAAAAGTAGGCATAACAAAAGGATTTTTAATCGCCAAAAAAACCCGGATCGGCTAGCCAAAGTGGACATTCTAACAGTTTGGCTAGCCGATCCAGGTTTTTGACTAGCCATTAAATTTTTTTTTGTAATGCCTACTTTTTGACACCCATTCCAATCTTTTGACTAGCTTTTTTTGAGATTTCAAAGCCTTTCTGACACTTCGGCTACTCGATCTAACTTTTTTGCTAGCCATTAAAAAATTTAGTTGTGATTTCAACTCATTGACTGGCTGGTCAAAGAATTTTGCAACATTGGCTATACATATTGGGCCAATACCCGATCTACCCCAAATCAAATCTACCTCAAATGAAACGCTCCGTAAAATAATGTAAACCCCCCTTTAAGATGCCGTTCTCATCGAGGACACAAGTGCAATGCGACGGTGAAGATCGTAGTCTGTCCTGATGGGCGATTTGAAGTGGGGAAACGGTTCCAACACAGTCATAGTGTAAGTTTTTCGAGTAATTTTACAAATTCTGAGTGTTGCACTTGATGCACTTCAGCAGGTAGTAATAAAATATTATTTTTGATTTTTCAGACAGCCATTTTCGAAAATAAAGGACTCTGGGAACGGCATGGACGGAAATGGGTCCCACCCGAGATAAGTGACAGTAAAAGTGCGGAGAGCGCGTCGGAAAGTGATGCAACGAGTGAAAATAAGGATAACATCAAGAAGAAGGCCAAAGTCGAGAAGAATGTTGAAAAGTCCGAAGAAAAAGCGGGTACAGTCAAGGAATATCGAATGAAACAGCCCAGAGGACCTCGAGGACCCTATAAGAAAAGTGAGTTTCGAAAAATTTCTCTCGAAAACCCGAAAAATACAGGATTATTGTTTTCGTGGTGGGACCTAAATTAATATAAATTTTCGAAAAATTTTGGTCAATTTGTGATTTCGAATGCTTTTTGAGAGAATGTAAAGTGTACAGAAGAAGAATTTAGAGCAAAACATTACAGAAAAAAATTTTATGGGCAAAATTCGTCAACCTGCCTAGTGTAAGGTGATGAAATAGAGTTTTTCGTCGGAAAAAGACGGTTTAATTGGTTGTAAATGCTCTAAAATTAATTCTGAGAGCATTTACTAGTATTACGAGAAATTTAATATGTCATAATGACCGATTTTTTCTTACTTTTGTTGAAAAAATTCTCGTTTTTTGACCCTTTTTTTATAAAAATCCCCAAAAATGAATAAATAATGGAAAAATTGCCCTCCCAGAGAAAGACGTTCCTCCACCACCCTCCGAAGAGCTCAGCCTCTCCGAACATTCCATCAATTTGCTACTCCAAAGCCTTCAAGAAGACCTCAATTCGAGCAGTGAAACGTCAGACCAAGTGGAACAAATTGATGTAAAAATCGAAAAGGATGATGAAAAAAGTGGTCCATCGAGCTCAGAAATGAAAGATCAAACAATTCCGGAGATAAAAATGGATGATCTTGGTGTTGGAGGTTCTAATTCACCGAGTAGCAACTATAATGATGATTTAGATGAGCTGGAGGAAAGAAATGCAGTTTTGATGAAAGAAAACTCGGAATTGATGTTTAAAAGTAAGTAGATAGAAGGGAAATGGATTCTTTTTTACATTTCAGACTACAAAATTCTGGATTTATTAGGAAATTTTTTGAAAAATTATTTTTTTTTCCGATTTTTTGCTAAATTTTGAGAATTTTTAGCAAAATCTTGGATTTTCATGTTTAAACAGGTACTTTCAAGTGCGAAACAACTGTAAAGTTATATTTTACGACAGATCTAGGCAATATTTTAATGAGAATTGACCTTATTTTAGATGAAAATTACAAAAAATTTTATTATTTTTATTTTTTTCTAAAAATTAGGCTTTCAAAAAAATTGATTCAATTTTTTCAGTGATCCGTCTAAAACGACAGCTGAGGCAGAAATGCCAAGAGAATAAGGCGCTGACAGCTGAAAACATCCGGCTAAAATCCCAATTGGATAAACAGTAAATTTAACGTTGTTTATTGTAATTTTTACCTTAAAAAGCGTCTCAAATGATCCTCAAACCCTCCCGGATAGTCTTAAATTTCCCCATTCTTCCTGTTTCCTGATTTTATTTTATCAGCAGAGCTTGAAATATAAATATTTTTTCGCAGTCTGCGTGTGACATTTTATACGATTGGTGGAAAAATGCAAATTTTGATAAGGAAACGGCTAGAAAAGCTGTGTTATGTGGTTTAGAATGATATCAAAGCAATATTATCGCGCGAAACTAATTCTCGAGCAGATTTTATATTATCCATGATCAAAACATTGTTTTAGTCATCAAATTTGGTAAAAAAAGCTCAAATTTGACGAAATTTGAGTGGGTCTTGATCGATAATCGATTGTAAATAGCGTGATATAGTCTAATTAATGTTTGTAGACCACAATGAGTCCGGTTTTGAAGTGATTTTGGCAAAAATTTTCGATTTTTCCAAAAATTTTCGTGTTTTTTGATGAAAATCTTAAAATCAAAATTTTCATGCATCCTTGATATTCTGAAATTATTTTTTATGAAATATTAAACCACTTGTTGTCCGAAAATCAGCGAAAATTTTATTATTGAATGCAAAAAATGCCGAAAATTGCAAGTTTTTTACGGCTCATCGGGCTCTCTGTAGTCGGCCACGCCGATTCGGCCATTCAGGTCGAGCACCACGCATTTCCGATGCAAAAACGGCAGGCCCAGCACGAACGCGTTGTCCTCGGCCGGCTTCAGCATCACTTTGCATTTGCCCTGATACTCGATGTCGGGGCGCACAATCAAATCCGTATTGAAACCGAGGTCCCCGAAGCCAAAGTTGACGGCGAATCGGTTCAAATATCTGCGGGCCAAGTCGCAGTCCATGGTCCTGGTGTCGGTGAGCTCGTCGTACTTACTGTTCTTTTGGATATTGCCGAAGAGTGTGTTGGGGAAGTGGATATAAGGAGTGGAAATGTCGATCGTTGCCTGGAAATTTATCGTAACTCAAAAAGGAAGAGCTCAGGGCGTAAAAGTCGACTTGTCTTGTTTCGGTCAGCCCTCTGTAGAACGATCGCCAAGCAAGGAAAATTTTTATGTGATACAGTGGCGGACCTGATCCAGTGGCAAAAATGTATCATTTTGCATCCGGGAAGTATCAAAAAATGTTGCAAAATACCTCCATCTCCAAATGAAAAGACTCCAATTTCAAAAAGCGTCCGCTCTTTCTGTAATAGAAAGGGCTGCAAAACGGAGTTTTTTCGCTTGGAGAGGGAAGCATTTTGCCACATTTTTTGATACTTCCCGGATAAAAAATGGTACGTTTTTTTGCCACTGGATCAGGTCCGTCACTGCAGCGTTTCCGGAAAGTCGACTTGCTGAAATCGGCGACACGCACTGCGCACGGCAACCCAAAATAGAGCAAAAATGTCTCCCGCCCACTTGTGAATTTCGTCCAAGCGAAGTGTCAAAGTTGACAAAAGAAATAAAATAATTACGAAAAAAATATTTTTCGGTCGGAAAACCACACGAAAATTTCATTTTTGAGACAGTGCAAACTCCAAAATACAGTCCGGCGACTTTCCGGAAGGACTAGTATCACTCGTCAAATCAAAAAAAACACATTCTTCTCAGCTGTCGGGAAAATAATGAGTACTCAGACGCAATCGAAACTTGCCGAGAAAATGAGCTGTGTCAAGAAAAAATCAAATTTCTTTTTGCTTCAGCGATCGTGGCAGCGACATTGTGCTCATTATTTTCCCGACAGACCGATAACGTCATTTTTTTCACTTACCAAATAATCGGCATGATTCGAGTTATTCAAGGACGTTCTCAAAACTCTGCCGTTCCACAGGTCCTTGGACACCGTTGGGAAAAAGTTTTTGGCGTCAATATTACACCGTTTCGTATCAATCTCCCCAATCGTCAGCTCAGCATCATACAGATGCAGCGGACTTTCGGGCTGGCCAAAGGCCAACGTGACCAGTGGGTTGCGGATGGCTCTGCGGTTGGTCAACTGCTTAATCGGTGTCGTAAGTCCTCGTGGTGCGTTGCGCGCTAGCCCGAACACCCCGTCGTATTTCAGGTCCGTGTACTCGGTCGGCAGCGAGGAGGAGTGCCCAAAGGAAAAGGCGTTGATTCTGGGGGCATTCTTGTGAGCGGCACCCAGTTGAAGCGTGTCCAGGGCGGCGTTGAAGATGGTGGTTTGGTTGAGAACGTTGGCGATGACGCACGATTTTCCTGAAGAGGAGGATAAGATCGTTACGAGGAGGGAAAACGAAGTGTAGATTGACAGGGGAGTGGTCAGAATGAGACACTCAGATTTTGATAAAACTTGGCACAAATTTAGATTATTTTTTTCGGAAATATTATGTTGTCCCATAAATAATGTCCCTCTTCGAGATGGTCAAATTCCAAAGTCCATAAAAAACGTAAACAACAACAAAATTTCGAAATATTGCAATCATTTTGTAGCTGGGAACAGAAGCTTTCGTTTAAGGTAAGACTTGTCATATCTCGATGAAATTACAGTAATTTAGCCTTAATCCAAAATTATGGGAAAAAATCAATCCGTACCGCCATCTTGTACGGGCAAAAACAGGGTACAAAAACCGACAGAAGCCGCACGAAAGATCTTTTTTTTTATGTTCAGCCAAGATGCTGTGAATCTCCGCACAGTGAAACGATGGTTCAAAAAGTTTCAAGCCGGTGACGGGAGCTGTACACTGTGCCTTTTCTCCACAGTGTACATCTCCGAAATCACTCCAGCGACTTTGCGAACGGACTAGTATGGCAATTTTTGCTCGAACTTACGGTCAATATAAGTCTTGGAGGCGTCGGAATTGAAGACATTCTTTCGGGTGCAAAGCGCAAACGAAGTTTCTGTTATGTTGCCCGGATCGATATCCTCACCCCCGCAACAATGGCTCTTGCAGATGTCGTAGCAGACGAGTTCGGGAACTGAAATTTGTTGGAGTTCCCTTGAATGATGGGCTCACTTACCGTTATAACATTCGTCGGCGCATTTACAGTCGGCATGCGGGACCCAAAGGAGGCCGGCGTTTGTGTCGAAGGCGACGTTGGCGCTTTGAGGAGGGGTTCCGACAGCGATGGTTCCTGAAGGGCAGAGAAATGATTTTTCTAGCCAAAAAATGTAGTAACGGTTTGTCGGGAAAGTAATGTGGATTTGACGCAGTAAAATGTCTTGCAAGATAGAAATTTAACAGTCGCGAGGCTAATCTCCTGCTGCAGCAAGCTGTCTTAAAGCGATGATCGGCGATTTCAAGGCGCGGAGAATCCACAATCCACATTATTTTCCCGATAGACTGATAGCCGTAAAGAGACGTTTTGCGACCCGGCAGCGACGCCTTGGCGATTTGGAATCCCAGGATAATCTTGGTGGGGCTCCACGGAGCCTTGGTTTAGGCGCTGGGAGGTACTATTTTGCATCCGGGAAGCACCAAAAAATGTAGCAAAATACCTCCCTCTCCAAGCAAAAAACCTCCGATTTCAAAGGCGAGCCTTTTGTAAAGGAAAGGGCTTCAAAACGGAGGTTTTTCAATTGAAGAGGGAGGTATTTTGCCACATTTTTTGATACTTCCCGGATGCAAAATGGTATATTTTTGCGACTGGATCAGGTTCGTCACTGTAGTAAGGTAATCCCAACATTCCGCCTGATGACACCGCCCAGGCGTCGCTGGCTGCGTTGGCAAGCGCGAAAGTCCGTTAAATCTTGAGTTGCGAGGTTTTTTTTCAATTTTTAACCCTTGTCACATTCAAGACCACATCAAATTTTGCCTCCTCTCTCTGGAATATCGACTTACCAACATAAGTCCCATCCTCCACAACATATTCCAGACGAATTGCACTTGCCTCCGGCACTCCCAGCGCCGCCACAAATACCGTACACACACAGGCAAACAATGTTTTGCTCGTCATTGTGTTTTATAACAAAACTCAAACTTTTCGACGGGCTTAAATACTCGCTGATAAGGCTCTTAAAAATCGTCGTAGGAGGACCTAATCCGATGACTGTTTCTCGATTAAATCGTACTTAATTAAAAATGGTACACTAATGTTCCATGAAGGGGGTTGGGCCGCTTCACAAGAGGGTTATCACTTTTTTTGTCGAGGGATAGCCCCGTAGGAGGCGATCGTTGATAAAAAGATTAACTCAAGCATTTGTGACCAGTATAAAAGGCAACAAATTTTACGGAATTTGTGAATCTTGAGACCAGAAAATGAGTGCCAAACTTGTTCTTCTCCTGCTCTTGGGCATTGTGTACGGAGCGAAGTACGATGGGAGCATCTATGGGGTCGATAATCAATTGACGTTGGAGAGAATCGGAGATGCGTTGGTTGGTAGGTTGAAAAAATAAAATGCTAAAAAATAGCGTCGGATTTGGCCCAGGTTTTGTGGGCTTGGTGTATGTCGAATAGCTCAATGCGCAATGTTCAGATTTTCTTCAAATCTTGCACACACATTGGGCAAAGACTAGATATCAATTCCTGAAGTTATCAGCTCGCGATTTGCAAGGAGAGCCGAGATATTCAACGATCTTTTCGACGAGAGAGTACGAGAAAATCGGAGTGCGGTATAGAGAAGACCACTATTTGGTCGTACCTTTGCCAGTTCCGCATAAAAAATGATATTTTTGTAGCATCCTTAACCTGTACGATAGAAATATGCAAGCACTAGACGCAGAATTTTGCAAAAGGCTATCTTTTTTACGATCTTCCGGCCTAAAAATCTCGGTTGTTCCTGCAAAGCGCGAGCATGGAGACTTGGGAGAACATATTGGTCTAGAATAGAGGTGACAATCGGGTCTTGCCCGGTGATTGGGCCGGACCGGGCCTGAGCAGATCTGAAAAAGCCACGGGACGGCCCGATTGCCACCTCTAGTCTATTTCTGCCTCAATTTTCATCAAAATCTGAGCGTCGAACATGGGCTATTTCTCTTGTAAGGCTTACACCAGATTTCCGAACGAATCTATTTTCAAAAGGGCATGCTATCTTACAGCAATGGGTTGAAATCGCAATTGAAGTTAGAGATCTTACTGCACTACATTGACCAATACCCCTTTCAGGCTCCATCTCCATCGGAACGCCCGCTCAAGACTTTAGCCTAGCCTTCTCGACCGAGTCCAGCTCTTTGTGGGTTCCCGACACCAAATGCCCTTGTAATTCGGAGTGCACTATCGGTAGGTAATCCTTTGGATAAAACACTGAACTTTTAGGAGGTGACGCACTGTGCTATGCGTCGTGCAAATTCCACTGCTGCTCGAAGGCCAACAATGACGATGACGTTGGGTTGTGCGACAAGAAGAATGTGTACAACCCCGAGGAATCGCAGTCACATACTGCTCGTAAGTTATGAGAACATCAACCTCAAACGTTTTCGGTAGAGTTGGAAATTTTATGTATTCTTGAGGAGGTTGATGCTGTTGGGTTCACACATAAGTCATACCAGGCGTAGGAAAGATGATGCTCCAAGAAAAGGTTGTATCAGCGTGTCGGGAAAATAGTGAGCACTCCGTCGCATTAAAAATCGCATCACCGAAAATGGTGTTGCGGCTGAATCAAATTTCTTTTCACTTCAGCGACCGCAGCCACAAGGTGCTCATTATGTTCCCTACAGACTGGTAGGAGGTGATTACGAGGCCTGGAAAGGCAGTTGAATGCTCGGCGGAGACTTGGCGAAGATTTACAATATGATATTTTTTTAAGAGGCGTAACTTTTATCTAGAAATTAGTAATGTGAGTACATGTAAAATAATTCAAAATAAGTGAATCAGGAATACCCTAGGACCTGCTCAACTTTTGGATTAGAATTTCTATTAATAAGTCATCTTCTAGCCTCCTCTATGCATACAACGACCAAAATGTCGATGACCCGAAAAGTCATTGTGCCCTGCGGACAAATTCTAATTACAATATTTCTTCAGGTTCCGCTCGTCTAACCGAAATCATCTCCGGAACCCCGACAAACCTGACCTCCGCCTACGAAACCGTTCATTTCGGCGCCAGCCACGCAACCAGCCTCTCCGCCAGAAACATCATCATCGGACATGGCTCCAGCTTCCCCGAGAAATTCGCTGATCAAAAGTTTGACGGGGCTTTTGGGCTTGGTCGGAGAGCACCCGACCAATTCAAAGCGCCACTCGAGCAGTTGGCCGAGAACGGAGTGATTGCGTCGCCTTTGGCTACGCTCTCCATTCCTGATGCGGCTGGGAATGGATACGCGACTATCGGACGGATCGATGAGACTTATTGCGACTTCGGCAAAGACAAAACTTTTGCTGTCGTGTCCGATGATAGCTGGAAGATCGCGTTGAAGGCCGCGTATTTCGGAGGCAAAGAATACCTTCGTGGATATACGGTAAGAAAGATACGGTCAACTTTTAGACACAGGCTCTGAACTTTCGAAAAAAATTTAATCTCGAAAGCTATACATTTTTTCAGGCCACAATCAACACCGACTCCCCATATCTTTACGTTCCTGAAGCCGCCTGGGACTGGGTGAAAGGACGTCTGACCTACGAACAAGCCACGGACAAGTACACTGTCTCCTGCAGAAGAGGAAAAGAGATCTTTTTGTCAACCACTTTCCATGTCGGCGGCCGCACTTTCAGCGCCTTCACCGTTCCGCAGAATCAGATCTTGGTGGACAAGCGGAATGATCATTGCGAAGTCAATGTGAGAAGTTCAGGAAAGGCCAACGAGTTCGTTCTCGGAAGGCCGTTTTTGAACCAACGTTGCGTGGTGTTTGACTACCGCGGATATCTGGGCATTGCCGATGTGAGAAAGCCCAAGTACACACTGAACTAAATTGAAATAAATTGAAGCAAAGCAGTGAAAGAACAGTTTATTTTTAGGGTGTCCCATAAGTCTTGTGTATTTTTGGGTCGTCAACTTGTATGAATCCTTGTGAGCTTTCAAGTGCTTTATGGGGTAGGGTGGAAACACAGTTTTGTAGCTGATGAAGTGCGCTTCTAAACCGTATATAGCGAGGCGACAGAAAGTCAATCTGGTATCTACGCTGACCCGATATTGTACTAGACATTAAAAAAAATTTAGCTTGTTGATCTCAGAATCGACATTGAAAAATTAGAGGGAGATGACGGTTCCAGTAGTACGAAATATTAAGGACTTGTGGAACACCCTGATATCAGTCTGTCGGGGAAATAATGAGCACTCTGTCGCATCGAAAATCGCATCGCCGCCGAGGAAATAAATTATGTCGCGGCAAAATCTTTTCACTTCAGCGACGCGATTGACGCAACGACAGAGTGCTCATTATTTTCCCGACAGACTTTCTTCAAACGCTTGAGGTTTTGGTCCGAGGGGAAAACTTGGCTCAAAGTGGGGTCAGGTGTTTCTCTGGCTCAAATGATTCCCGGTCGGCGCAAAAAATCCGTGGAATTTGTCGTAGTACGTCTTTTCACCTCGTACTATATAGTATCATTCCGTACTAAACAATACCAATACTTCCAAACGTCTTTTTTAAGGTACTAAGCATCAGAAACAATACAGTTAACGTAAAATCCATAGTTTCACCTCGTACTACATAGTGCTTTATAGTACTATAAAGAAAAAAATTCAAAATGACTTTTGAAACCAGCACCTTCAAAAACCCCTAAATCGGGAGTTTCTTTGAAGGTGCAGTACTATTACTTTTTTATTTACTTTGAGGTAAACTTTTATTCATCATCTCTTTTCCACGTCAAGCCTCATTTGAAAAGCCTCATTTCGTAACAGATCTAGCGACTGTAGCCGTGACCTCCAACGAATTCTCTTGTTTTCCGCAAAACGTTCGCCACAATCGACGTCGAAACGAGGGCAACACAAGGAGCACGGTTAAGGCGTCGAAGAGCGGAGAGATCGCGGGGCCCACGCCGAGTGCGATTGTGGTGTAACTCATCAGACTGGCCGGCAAAATGTTTATTGCGAACAGAAGATTTGGCACCAGCATGAAGACAAATGGAGGCACGGCCTGAAGTTGGGAAATTATAACTTTTCGAAATTTTGAGTCCAAAAAATTGAAAAGAACTATAAAAATTGTACCGGAAAAAAATGTACTTCACACTGTACCTGTAGCAAAAATAGAAGGTTGACGCTTTTGTTGAAACGCCTCGTCTTCGAGGTCATCTTTGCAACGTTCTCGCGGTACGTTTTCCAGGACATAAATACAAAGCAGAGGAGAAGGGCAAAAATCATGCACAAGCCGGCGTTTCCGAAAAAGTTGTGCACTTTGTTGAAGGCTGTGTTCTGAAATACGAGATTTTGAGGTGGAAAAATAAGCTCGAAGGAAGAAAAATTAGCGAAAAAATGCTGGACAAAGTGCAGTTTCATTTTTATTGAGAACGGAAATGATCAGCATGACTTCGATATCCTAATACAGTGGGGGAGCTGATCAAGTGGCAAAAAACGTACCATTTTGCATCCAGGGAGTATCAAAAATGTGGTAAAATGCTTCTCCAAGTAAAAAAACTCCGATTCCAAAAGCGCGCAAGCATTTCGCCGCATTTTGATACTTCCCGGATGCAAAATGGTAAATTTTTTGCCGCTGGGCCAGGTCCGTCACTGTTTACACGAACGTTTAGGCGCTGCAGGATGAAACGGATCGACGATGCTGGCAAAAATCATTCCCTCCGATGGAGCGATCTCGCCCTGACCGGACAATGGAAACCATTTCATAATTTTTTGCATGTGATTAGTGAAAATAAATTGAACTGAAAGTGTAAACGCCAAAAAATCTACGCATTTTCTGAAACGACTTGTAGTCGGAAAAATGCGCGGTTCTTATCTTGCACTTTGCTATGTACAACAAATTCTAATACTAGTCCGTTTGTAAAGTCGCTGGAATGATTTCGGCGACGTGCACTGTGCAAGAAAACTCAGGGTGCGGGCGACAGCCCAAAAAAGCCTATTGCACTGTGCAAAAAGCCAAAAAATGCACAGTGCAAAGTGAACTTTCGCTTTCGCGGAGTTCATGTCGCCGAAAACATTCCAGCGACTTTACGAACGGACTAGTATAGCAAGTACAACAAACTCTAATATAACAAAAACTCTCCAAAACAAACAATTTATAATGTCTCAAAAGCCAAGTTGAGGCCAAAGCGAATCTCCATACAACAAAGTCTCTTTATAACAAACATTTTTTTCTCCCGCTTTCATTCGTTGTACAGTTCGCAGTTCGTTTCACCTTCCTATGCTTACCTTATAAACAATCGTAATAGTCGGCAAACGACTCATATTGCAGCCTTCCACTCCGCCAAAAATGGCTTCATAAAACCCTTCAGGCTCCGGCTCCACCACCCAAATCCATGTTAGGCCATTGGTGAGCGCAAAGGTCAACAAACTCGCGAACGCCCCACCAATGTATCGCACTGCGACGTCTCCGTCGCGGAGTGCTCTGTAGCGGTAAAAGAACTGAATGCACGGGATTCCGCCGTGAAAATAAACAACAGTGTAGGTGAGGACCACTCCGAACAACTGCATTTCATTTGAGCTGTACATGAAAGCGTTGCCCACGGTGAAGAAATAAAAGTAATCGGGCGTGGTGATTGGTCGCTGAAAGATGAGAAAATGCAAGTTAAAAGGCGATTGGGGTACTTGAATTTTGTAATGGTGTTTGTATTTTGGATGATTGAAAGTCGAAAAAAACTGTATTGTATTTGCGTATCTTTCTTTTTCGTCTGTCTCTACTTGAACTTCACCATATAAGAGGGGTTCTGGGTAAATTCAAATTTTGTTCGGCCATGGCAATTTCTTTCTTCTGAACTCTACAAGGCACAAATAAAGCCAAAACTACGCGAGATGCGAATAGTTCTTTTTATTGTGCCGTTCAGGACACCTCTTATCCTGTCTTGAGCTCTGCAAGTTGCCAGAGACAAAAGTCGGTATGGCTGAAACGCGTGGCCTAAAAGAAATTTGAATTTACACCCCTCTTATACGAAGTATTATCAGTCTGTCGGGAAAATAATGAGCACTCTATCAAATCAAAAATCGCATCGCCGCCGGGGAAATGAATTGCATTGCGATAAAATTGATTTTCACTTCAACGACTCCATTTTCGATGCGACACAGCGCTCACTATTTTCCCGTCAAACAGATATACAGGGTCTTACAAAAAATCCGACATTTCCTGGTGATTTTCAACCGAAAAAGTCCGACATTTCTCGATCATTTTCAACCGAGAAACCCCTGGTTTTCGGGGCAGAGATGCCTCTACTTCAGAGGGTCGTAGCGACCTCAGTTTGCACTTTAAAAGCTTGTTATTTCGTAGACAAAAACTTATGTCTTTTAAAAATACATATTTCAAATACGAAGTCTCTGCGCCGCCTCCGCCGGAAGTTATAGCCTTCCGCTTTCCTTCACGTTTTTTGTAAGACCCTATTTGCACTCACAGGGGAAGTACTCCAAGATTTTCTTTAAATTTTGCACACACGTCGGGTATGGATTACACATCAATTCCTAAAAGTTTTAGCTCGTGCTTTGCGGGCGCCGCCAAGATATCGAACGATTTTTGCCGCCGAGAGAGTACGTTAAACGTGGAGAGCGGTCAGAGAGAAAAGCGCTTTTTGGCCATAATTTTGGCAGTTTCGTGCGGAAAAATTTGATTTTTTGTAGAAACATTATATTTTACAGTAGAAATAGGCATGATACTTTTGGTGGCAAAATTCGGCAAAAAGTCCTAAATTTTCGCCGATTTTCGATCTAAAAATCTCGATTGTTTCTGCAAAGCGCGAGCTATGATTCTCGCATATATCTGAGAAAAAATTATTCTTAATTTGTGCCAAGTTTCATCAAAATCTGAGCGTCGCACTTGGAGTACTTCCCCTGTCGAAAGAAGCGTCAACTTTTTGTAACTTTCGGCCGAAAAATCTCGGTCGTTTCTGCAAAGCGCAAACTTCATTTTTTCAAATGTCTTAAAATTCATGTCAATCTTCATTTATCTCAAGCTTCGTCAAAATCTTTCGTTCGACAAGAATGTCACCTTCACTTACTATGATCACTTTCAATTCCTGTATTGTAAAAAAACGCTCCTCACCTGTCCCACAATACTTCTTGTCAGTGTGAAACAAATATTGAAGAACGAGTCGAGTCCAATCAACTTGGCGTACATCTTCAACTCCATGGTTTGTTTTAGACTAAAGTAGATGACCAATGAATTGAAGAAAATTGAAAATGCACCAACAATATAATTGAATTCGTTGTGGAAGTAATGAATCGAATCGGTGCTGCAGGGAATGTTGAAAGTTGGCCGTAGCATGGTTAAAATTTAGTTAAAAATAGCTGGAAATGTAGCAAAAGGCAGATGAAAGTGCCTAACGTTGCGAGAAATTAATTGTACTTCTTGAAAGAACGCCTCTGCCCTAATTTTATCATACATATTACACTTGAATGCACGAACAAAAGAGGGAAAGTTCAAGAGCTTTTTTTGTGTCTTTACTACCTTCAAATGCTGCGATGTAAACGCTTAGTGTCATGTGCATTGCAGGTGCATGTTCAGTTCAGTTCTTTTAGTCATCGTAATCTATAAAATACGAGAGAAAAGGGCAAAATACTGTCTGTCGGGAAAATAATGAGCACCCTGTCGCATCGAAAATCGCATCAACGCCGAGTGAATTGTGTCGAACTTCAGAAAGTTTAATTTCATCATCAAGACCTGACTTTGCCCGCTCTTTTCGTGAGGTAAATCGTGTGCACTTCAAAACAAACTTTTTTCACTTAGAGAGTGAGCCATTTTGATACATTTTTTGATACCTCCTGAATGCAAAATGGTAGGTTTTCTTGCCACTGGATCAGGTCCCCTCACTGTAGGAAGCTGATTGTTCGGCCGCTTTCAGAGCGTCACTTTCATCGGATTTAGAGACATTGACTAGATCAACGACTTGAGCAGAGCCTTCTGCGGCTTTGTGGATGTCAAATTGCTCAAGTTTCTAGGGAATTTCAGCCATCTTCGCTGAGGATTCCGATACCCTCCAATTTTTGAAAAACCTGTCAAAATTTCCAATTTTCACCGTGAAGAAGATGGAATCCATGGTCGAAATTTGCATTAAAATTTTTTTTAGACTATTTACACACAACTTCTACAGATTTTACAATCAAATTCAGTTTTCCAATAATTTTTTGACACTTCGTCCCAATCAATAATTTTGTGACATTTCGCACAAAGCGCTTGGCGGGAAATCTTTTTCCGAAAGAAAAATGATTTCGCGCGTTTTGCAAAACTTTGTCGCTCAAAAAACTTGTCTCCATCGTATTTTATTCGTGTTTTTTTAGTTTATTTTGTTATTCACATTACTATTTGATATTAATTTGATTTCAGCTCAAAATGAGGATAATAAAGATTGAAATTGACGGCTTCAAATCCTACGGGCAATATCAATGTCTTGAAGATCTCGATCCCGAATTTAACGCCATCACTGGACTGAATGGCTCCGGAAAATCAAATGTTTTGGATGCCATTTGTTTCTTGTTGGGTATCACAAATTTAACTTGGATTCGAGCTCAGAATAACGAAGATCTGGTCTTCAAGAAAGGTCAAGGAGGTGTTACGAAAGCCACAGTCACTATAACCTTCGACAACAGTGATCCAAAACACAAGCCAATTGGATTTGAGGATCAAAACATTTTGGTCGTTAAAAAACAGGTGGGTAATATTTTTTTCGTTTTTTTCAATGTTTAGAAGAAGAAAATTCTGGCTGAAATGGATGTCAAGGGAAGATTATAGCTTCAGCTTTCTACCAATACCAATTTCGTCCCATTTTCAGATTGTCCTCAACGGCAAAGTCACTTATCATATTAACAATGTAGTTGCGAATGTGACCAAAGTCCAGAACCTCTTCAACACCTGTGCGATGAATGTGAATAACCCTCACTTTTTGATCATGCAAGGTCGGGTCACCAAAGTGCTGAATATGACTCCGCGACAAGTTCTGTACATGGTTGAGGAAGCAGCGGGAGTTCGAGTTTATGAGGCAAAGAGGAAGAGTGCAATGACAACTTTGGAGAAAAAGGAGGAGAAAATGAGGGAGATTAATCGAGTAAGAGATTGAAATAGCTAAAATATGTTGTCTGCTTTAAGTATGGGTTATATTTTATATCATATTTGCGATTACCGATGTCTGGGAGATGATTATATTACTTTAGATGAGCTTGATCTAGAAATTGTTAGAAATGGATCTGAATCGTCGATTTTGCGATTGATTTTGGTGTCAGAGTAATCAGTATTATGTCATAACTTTTTTACAACGGTTTTTACCACAATTTTTGGTGGTAAATTATACTAAAATCTAATTTTTATCTAAAGTTTTGACCATTTTTCCAATTTTTTCAATTCCAGATAATGGAAGAAGAACTCAGACCTCGAATTAACAAGTTGAATTCCGAAAAGGACCTCTACGATGAATTTGTAAGGTTGGGAAACGATGAAGAACAGCAGAACCACTTGCTTCATTGTATTGAATATTACACGTGTGAGGTGAGTAATTTTTTTAATTTTTTTCCAAATTTCTCTCTTGAAATTTGAATGTTTTGATGTTTAGAGACTAGTCGAAAAATGTAATCGTCGGATTGCCGAAAAAACGGAGGAAAACGAGCGCCGTGCCGAGATGGTGGAGCAAAAGAAAAATCAGATAGCCGAATTGCAAGGAGAACAACAGAACATGGAGAGTGATCTTCAAGTAAGTCATTTTATTGTTGCTATTTGAAGTTTAGGTCATGAAACGGCTAAGAGAAAATATTTTCAGCTGCTTGGTCAAGAAAGAGATGAGCTGAAACGAGAAGTTGAGGAGAAGGCATCAGGTCAAGTGGAAGCTCAAAGTAAGAAGAAAGCCAAAGAAGAGGAGGTGGAAGATGTGAACCGAGAGATCAAGAAGCTTGAACAGAACATTATCATGGTAAATTTTTTGGATTTGATTTGGATTTTGAAATTTTAGGACAAAAAATCATTAGAACAGAAGAAGACCAAGCTCACGAAGCTGGAATCGAACACAGGAAAGGAAGTGGAGATGTTCCAGAAAGCTGAAGCGGACAGAGAGAAAGCCAAAGCTGTTCTGGACGCATTGGATAAAGGAATGACGGTTGGCGCGGATGGAAAAGAAGCATCTTTGGACCAGATGATCATGGGTAAGATGAGATGGAAGGAGCTGGTTTTCTAATTAATTTGAGGGTAAAATACATGTTTGTGGACATATAAGGTCATTTTGTTAAGTATGCACCTGATTATAGATGTTTTAACGGGGAAAATTTATATTATTTTAGATGATATACCTAGTGTAAGGTAAAATTTTGTCGAAAAATTATAAAATTTGATATTCTTTTGCTGTAGAATAATAGATCAAGTATTTTTGATGATTTTTTAGTGCTGTTGAAGGCCTTTTTAGTCATGATTTAGATTATTTTTGTCTAGTGTAATATAAATAAGTAAAAAAATCTGATGAATTTTTCTTTGCAATGAGCCTCATTGGTCGTAAAATGAATTTTTATGGTGTCCAAGGTCTTTTTCAGCAACAAATTTGATCGATTTTTTCAAGTGTAATATAATTTTTTTCTAATTTTCATATTTTTGCAGAAAAAAGCACTGAAGTCAATCGAATGGAGACGGAAAAACAACGTGCGAATAATGTAATCTCCGACCTTCGTCCAGCCATAGTCGAAAAATCCCGAGAGATCAAGTCCTGTCCCCCACAAACAGCTCTCCTAGCCGAGAAAACCGAGCTGGAACGCCGAAAAGCGGCCTTAGAAGAGCGCCTAGCTGCCGTGAACTTGGACCCGGAGCGCTTCCGCAGAGACCGCGATAATGCCCAGATGCTGAAAAACGAACACGAAGAGCTGAAACACAAAATTCAAAAATTGGACTGGGACTTTGCTTATCTGTCTTTTAACTGTCCCAGAGGCGTGGTACAGCAAGACGAGGTGATCGGCGTCCTGGGAAAACAAATCAAGTTGAAGGACGAGCGATTTGCAACGGCCATTGAGACCGCTATCGGTGGGAATGTAAGGGTTTAGGGGGGTTTGGGAGAAGGACTAGGATTAACCTAAAGTAAGGTCGAAAAGTGATGAAAATTGAATGGAAATGAATTGAAATGTGTTTGTAGCTTCTTCACGTTCCTTGTGGAGGATGAATGATATATTTTTTGGGAGTTACTGCTTGAAAAAAATCATTCAAAAAAAAAAAATAAGGAAATTAACCTATAATAAGGTGAAAAATTAATGAAGATGGTTTGAAATAAGTTTAGAATGTTTAATAATATTTTTCATATTGATTACAGAGGATTTTGAACTTGTTTTGGATTGCATCACAGACGTCAAAGCTTGAGAATATCAAGAAAAATCTAAAATAAGGTCAAAAGTACCAAAAAATTTTGAAAAATGGGGTCCACACTCTGTGAAATGTCTTCAGTAGTTTTTTTTACGTTTTATTCATACTGTTTCCACTGGATGTATATTACAATTGGCCTTAAAAGCAACAATTTTTATCAAATCAGGGTACAGTGGTGGACCTGATCCAGTGGCAAAAAACGTACCATTTTGCATCCGGGAAGTATCAAAAATGTGGCAAAATGCTTCCCTCTCCAAGTGAAAAAACTCCGATTTCAAAAGGGCACCCGCTCTTTTTGTGAGGGCGCAGTTCAAAACGGAGTTTTTTAGTTGGAGAGGGAAGCATTTTGCCACATTTTTGATGCTTCCCGGATGCAAAATGATTCGTTTTTTGCTACTGGATCAGATCCGTCTCTGTAAGGTCAAGATCGATAAAAAATTTTGAAAAATCAGGTCCACAGTCTGTAAAATGCCTTGAAAAGTTGCCTTACGGTTCACAAATACTGTTTCTGATGGGTTTATATTAGAATTGGCCCTAAAAGAAACAATTTTTATCAAATGAGTCCATAATACAGTGGAGGACCTGACCCAGTGTCAAAAAACGTACCATTTTGCATCCGGGAAGTATCAAAAATGTGGCAAAATGCTTCCCTCTCCAAGTGAAAAAAACTTTGTTTTTGAAGGGCGCGCCCTTTTTCCTCATAAAATGAGCGGGTTCGCTTTTGAAATCTGAGTTTTTTCACTTGGAGAGGGAGGTATTTTGCCACATTTTTTGACACTTCCTGGACGCAAAATGGTACGTTTTTTGCCACTGGATCAGGTCCCCCCACTGTAAGGTGAATAAGTCCCCAAAATCAGGCCAAACCCCTTTAATATTGCCCGTAAAGGATATAAAACTACCGCATATTAGTCCTGCTTTAATTCAGATCAGCTCCGTGATTGTGCGCTACAAAAACACGGCCAAAAACCTCCTGAAATCGGGCCAGCTGGAACGCCGCGTGGTCTTCATCCCGCTGGACGATATTCAGTCGCGCACGGTCGGGGACCGCCAATACCAACGTGCCGTCCAGCTGGTGGGCGAGGGCCACGTATATCGCGCCATCGACCTCGTGGAGTTCAGCCCGGACATCCGGAAAGCGGTCGAATTCGCGCTGGGCTCAATGCTGATCTGCACGGACATGAATCGCGCCAGAGAAGTGTGCTTTGATCATCAAGTGCACACGAGAGTAGTGACCCTGGACGGCGAAGACTTCCGCCCCGACGGTGTGTTGTCGGGCGGAGGCACAGGGAATAAAGGACGATGCCTGAGGGCGTTGAATGAGTGTTTTGAGGGGAATCGAAGAATCCGAGAGATTGAACATGAATTAAGGAGCATTACGGGTGAGTTGGAGTAGAATAGAGGCGGAAGTTTGGGTTGAAAATGATATTTGGAATGCTTTTTGGGATTTTTTTGGGTCCCACCACGAAGAAGTTGAAGTGAGAAAAAAACAAAAGTGATTTTTTGCAAGAGAAGGGTTGTAGAATGCCGATCATAAAGTGGGATCATTAAAAATGTTATACTAGTTTGTTCGTAAAGCTGCTAGAGTGATTTCTGCGACATGCAATGTGCAAAAAACAAGAAATTTCACAATGCAAGGTGAATCTTTGTTTTTTTCACAGTGCATGCCGCAGAAATCACTCCAGCAGATTTACGAACGACCTAGTATAACATTTTTAATAATCCCGGTTCATGACCCGCTGATTAGTAAATGATTTTGGGTCCCACCACGAAAACTTGAAAATGCCAAAAATTGCTTGCAAACGAAGATTTATGCCGTAATTGGCTTTGGGGTGAGACCAGAGAGTCAATAGAAGACCCAAAAAAATGTTGGAGCAGTTTTTGAGATTTTCAGGTTTTCGTGGTGAGACCTAAAATTGTAAAAAAAGGCTGTAATTGTCGCGGAATTTGAAGTATTTGAGCATATACGGAATTTTTATATTGATTTTTTATTGAATTTATGATATTTTGGGTTTTTAAAAAGAAAAAAAAAGTTTTCGTGCTGGGATCCAAGATTATCAGGATTTTACAAAATTTTTTGGATTTTTTTTTTGATTTTCACGCCTAAAATCATTCCAGCCTACCTCACTGAATACGATTCGAAGAGAAGACAGAATGAAGGCGCCATGGTTCAGCTGGAGGACCTCAAAGAAAAGATTAACATCATCAACATCACCCTTGAAAGCGATAAACACGCCCGACTCCAGCGAGAGATCGACGACGCCGAAGCCCGAATCCAAGAGAGTGAGGCCAAAATCCGAGAACTTGAACCGGTCCTAAACCAATTGAAGGACGAATTGAAGGAATTACAGGAGAAAAAGAGGAATGAAAAGAAGTATCGAGAGGAGGAGCGAAGAAAGGCCGAATTCAAGCTGAAAGAAGCGGAAACAATCCTCAGAAAGAGAGACTCGGCCGGTGATAAGAGAGTACAGGACCTGGAGGTGGCCAAGTAAGACGGTTTTTGGGGATTTGAAACGATTTTTTGAGAGAAATTTGAGATTTTTTGGAAATTTTTGGGGGTTTGGCGAAAAATGGGGAAAAAAGAAGATTTTTTGGGTGAAATAGGTTAGTTCGAGCAAATGGAGGATAGTGAAGTCTATGAAGAAGAGGATTCTTTGCGATTGGAAGTGATTTTTTGAGAGAAATTTGAGATTTTTTTGGAAATTTTGGCGATTTTTGGGGAAAAGGAGGGGGAAAGGCTTGATTTTGAGGGAAATTGGGTCAAAATAAGAGTTATTTTTAGAGTTGATGGTCTAAAAATGGGTAATTTAGTAGGAGTTTGATGATTACAACGATCATCAAACTCGCACTAAATTACCAACTTTCAGACCGTGAACTCTCAAAATCACTCTTATTTTGACTCTATTTCTCTCAAAATCAAGCTTTTCCCCACTTTTTTACCAAAAATCGCCAAAATTTCCAAAAAAACCTTAAATTTCTCTCAAAAAATCACTTCCAATCGCAAAGAATCCTCTTCTTCATAGACATTAATATTTTCCATTATCTCGATCTAACGTATTTTACCCAAGAAACACCTTCTTTCTCCCAATTTCCGCCAAAAAAACCCAAAAAAATTCGAAAAATCTCAAATTTCTCCCAAAAAGTCGTTTCAAATAGAAGTACTTTTTTTGCAAAAAAAAATTTCCAAAAAGTCTACAATAAGCTAATTTTTGATCAATTTGTGTTGTTAACCCCATGTTTTGTCTTCAGGAAGGACGTGGAAGACACGGAGGCCGCGATCCTCACCCAAACCGAGCAAATCGCCCAGAATCAGCGCGCCTTGGAGACCCTGAACCAGGAGCTGGAGGTCCTAAAACAAGCCCTCGAATTCGCGGACGGATTCGTCAAAGAGATCGCCGACAACCTGAAAGCCAAGCAGAAGGAGGTCCGCGAAAAGGAAGCCGAAATCCGAAGAGTTATCGAACAAATCGACGGCTGTAAGAAAGAAATCCGAGAGCTGGAGCAGTCCGGAGCAAATTTCAAACGAGATGTGGATGATTTGAAGAAGAAGAGGAATGAAGCTGAAGGGAGAGTAAGTTAAGAGGAGATTGGAGGGGATTTAGGGGTCATAGATGGGCTTGGACATTATTTTTGATGACTTTTTGAGAGTTCGGACCTTATTTTAGGTGTTTTTGATGATTTTTTGGGTAGTTATGGGGTTGAGAAGCTTTTGAAGTAAGGGAAATTAAATTACAAGGCATTAAAACAAGTTTGAGAGGGGTAAAATGGCATTTGAACCTTGTTTTCGATGATTTTTTGAGAGTTGGGACCTTATTTTAGGTTATTTTGATGATTTTTTGGAGAGTTATGGGTTGTAGAAGCTTTTAAAATAAAGGAAATGAAGTTAGAAGGCATTACAGAGGATTTGAGAGGGGTTAGGTGGCATTTGGACCTTATTCTAGATGATTTTTTAATGATTTTTACCTTAGTTTAGGTAAGAAAAAAATTTTTTTTGGTGGTTTAAGGGTTCGTTTGTATCTGGGATCTTGTTTAATAGAGTGTAGATTGATTTACACGTTATATTTTTGCCGAATTTCAATGATTTTAAAAATTTTTATGACCTTTTGTGGTTTTTGACCTTATTTTAGGCAATTTTTTATGTTTTTTGCTGTTTTGAAGTCGAAAAATTCGTTGGGGATGATGTATATAGCCTTACTGACTGATTTACACTCCATGTTTTAGGGTGCCGTCCTCATGCGCACCCATTCCTGGCTGGAGGAAGAGAAAAAACACTTCAACAAACCGGGCACGGAGTACGATTTCCGCACCAAAACCGTCGATTCGGTGCTCCGAGAGATTGACCACATCAAAACTCGACGAAAAGAACTCGAACAACGCGTCAACATGAACGCCATGAAGAATTTGTCCGAACAGGAGGAGCATGTCCTTGTTCTCGAGGGAAAACATCAAAATTTGCTGGCGGAACGCGAGCGCCTCCAAGAAATGATCTCGGAAATTGACAGTGAAAAGGAACGCGAGCTTGTCCGAGCGTTCGAGACCATCAGTGTGAATTTTGGAGGCATTTTTTCGACTCTGTTGCCCGGCGCATGTGCAACGTTGAAACCGGTCGATAGACATGATCTGGAAGCCGGATTACAGGTGAGAGAGATGGTGGAAGGAAGTTTAGAGAGTAAAGTGTATGATAGAAGGGAAAAGGGAGGAAAATTTGAGGGGAATGTAGGAGTTTCGACCTTATTTTAGGTGAAAATGGGTGATTTTTAGGAAATTTGTTGAGAAAAAAGAATAGGAAGCTGGATTGCACATAAGAATGATAGTGGAAGAAAGTTTAGGGTGTAAAGTGTATGATGAAAGGAAAAAAGGAGGAAAATTTGTGAGGAATTTAGGAGTTTCGACCTTATTTTAGGTGAAAACTGGTGATTTTTAGGAAATTAGTGGATGGATAAGGTTAGGAAGCCGAATTACAGGTGAGAAGGATGGTGGAAGGAAGTTTAGAGAGTAAAGCGTGTGATGGAAGGGAAAAGGGAAAGAAATTCGAGAGGAATTTAGGAGTTTCGACCTTATTTTAGGTGGAAATGGGTGATTTTTGGGAAATTAGTGGATGGATAGGTTAGGAAGCCGTATTATGGGCGAAAAAGATGGTGGAAGAAAGTTTAGAGAGTAAAGTATGTGATAGAAGGGAAGAGGGAGGAAACTTGACGAGAAATTGCGGGTCCGGACCTTACTTTAGATGAAAATAGTTGATTTTTGGGGAAATTAATGGATAGACAAGATTAGGACACTGGATTGCACGGACAATGGTGGACTTGATCCAGTGGCAAAAAACGTACCATTTTGCATCCGGGAAGTATCAAAAAATGTAGCAAAATACCTCCCTCTCCATGTGAAAAACTTCGAATTCAAAAGTGCGCCCTTGAGGGGAAATGCGCGATCTTCAAAACGGAGTTTTTTCACTTGGAAGGGGAGGTATTTTGCCACATTTTTTGATACTTCCCGGATGCAAAATGGTACGTTTTTTTGTCACTGGATCAGGTCCGTCACTGTAATCCAGCCTCATAGCCTTATCTATCCATTAATTTCCTCAAAAATCACTTGTTTTCATCTAAAGTAAGGTCCGGACCCACAATTTCTCGTCAAGTTTCCTCCCTTCCCCCCTTATCACACGCTTTACTCCCTAAACTTCCTTCTAACATCTTTCTCACCTGTAATCCGGCTTTATAACCTTATCCATCCACTAATTTCCGCAAAACGCACCCATTTTCATCTAAAATAAGGTCTAAACTTCTAAATTCCTCCCGAATTTCTTTCCTTTTCCCCTCCTAGAAAAAAACCGACAGATTTTTTTGCCTAAAATAGGGTTGAAACAGAAGACTAACTGCTAATTTCTCGTTGTTTCAGGTCAAAGTCGGTTTCAACGGTGTCTACAAGGAGAGTTTGGACGAATTGTCGGGCGGTCAACGAAGTTTGGTAGCCTTGTCTCTAATTTTGGCCATGCTCAAGTGCAACCCCGCCCCAATCTACATTCTGGACGAGGTGGACGCCGCCCTCGACCTGAGCCACACCGCGAATGTGGGCACAATGATCAAAAAGCACTTCAAAAACTCGCAATTCATCATCGTCAGCCTGAAACAGGGCATGTTCAACAACGCAAACATCATCTACAGAACGAGTTTCGTCAACGGCACCTCCAACATCAAGCGCACCGAGAATCGGAGCTAAACCCACCTCTTATTTTAATGATCCTCACACAACTCTTCTTTTCTTGCCGGTTTTTGTGCTTGTAAATAAAACACCGACTAACCCAAAATATTATAATATTTTGGGAAGAATGTGAATGAAAGTTGATGAATTTGGCATGTAAAAAAGTAGTGGCGGAAGGTACTTGCTGCGCTTGACCTACTAGCACATTTTCTGGCATTTTTAGGCACTTGAAACAGAATGCCAAGAATTTGAAAATTTGGCGGGAAATTCAAAAATCAAACATTCTTCTGAGAATTTAGGTAGTGTAATAAGCAGTAATACCCACAGGATTATATTTGAAGATTTTCGGGGATTTTTAGAACACTTGAAACAGAATGCCAAGGATTCAGATATTTGGCGGGAGACTCAAAATTCAAAAACCTTGAGGTTTTAGGTTAGTGTAACAAGTAGTAATAGCCATAAGAGACATTCTAAACAATTTTTTGAAGGTTTCCGTCATTTTTAAGCCCTTGGAACAGAATGCCAAGGATTTGAAAACTTGGCGGGAAAATGAAAATTCAAATTTTTTTTGACGGTATAGGTTGTGTGATAAGTAGTAATAGTCATAAGAAGCATTCTACACGATTTTTTGAAGGTTTTCCGGCATTTTTAAGCACTTGAAACAGAATGCCAAGGATTCGAAAACTCAGCGGGACGCTCAAAATTCAAAAACTTTTTTAGGATTTCGGTTATCCCGAGCAAAAATAAACCAAATTTAATCTGAATGTCAATATATTAACAACGTTGCAAATCTTACAAGCCCCCTAATTCGGGGTGATCTCCTCTTTAGCCGTTTCCAATTGTTTGATCTGCTCTTTCAGCTCATTGATTGTTTGCCGGGCCTTGGCGTACGAGCTCTCCACCATTTCGTGGCGCATTTTGTCGGCTTCAATTGTGCCTTGGAGGTCTTCTTTCTCCTCCTCCAATTCCGAGATTCGCTTTTCCAACGCCGCAATTCGCAGTTCCCGTTCTTTGATTTGAGATTCTAGAGTTGTGAGCTTCTCTTTGAGGGTTTGGGCTTCGCTGGTTTGGGCCGAAAGTTTGGTGGTGAGATCCTGAAAAAAAAAAATTTAAAAAAATTTCAAAATTCGAAAAAAAATCAAAATTTCACAAAAAAAAATCACCAAAATCTTATTTTAATTGGCTGAAAATTTCCTCTAAAGACCTCTAAATAATTTATAACAACAACAATTTCATTTATTTCGTCAATTTTTGAAAAAAAAAAATATTTCAAAAAATCTCAAAATTCCACAAAAAATTAGTAAAATTCAATTTTTTTCAAGCCTAAAATCTTCTTTACAGCTCTCACTAAGATTTTACAATATCAAATTCAACTTTTGCCATCAAAAAAATTAAAATCAAAAAAAAATTTTGGTCCCACCACGAAAAATTGCAAAATTGGCATTCCGATTCACTCCTAAATTCCCCTCAAGCTTCTCTATTCCCTCCAATCTTCCCAACTCCCCTTTCCTCACCTTATTTTCCTCCTCCAACTTCAGAATTCTCGCCTTATTCTGGCCGTAAAGCGGTTGAGCCGGCGCGGGAGCACGAACTGCGCCCTGATTCCGAAGGATCTGTTGCTGAACCCGGCCGACGCCCGCTTGTGGGCCACGCTGAGCTCGAGGGGGAGTGGGTTTGGGCGGTTCGATTGTTCTGGACGGGGCGGAGACCGCTGGTTGGGAGAAGGAAGCGGCAACGACTGAAAATTGGGCATTAGCCTAGAAAAATCGTATTTTAACCGCAAAAATGAGGATTTAAAATGATTTTTTGCAATCCACTGGGTACTCTGGACATTACTCTCTCGTAATAATCTCATTTTTCCACACTGGGGCTTCTAGGATTACTGTAATTTTGAATTATTTCGTAAAGTCTAATATCAGGTGGGGGAGATGAAAAATTGCCATTTTGACGTCTAAAACAAGACCAATCATCCACCGAACATCTTTCATAAAGCGCCACAAGGCCTATACTTTCCTACAATGGTCATCAATTCTTAAAATTCCATCAAAATCCACAGTAATTCCAATTTTTTTCCACCATGTTCAATACCAAGTGTAATATCGCTAAGAATCATATTTTAACCTCCAAATCAACCTGAACTCTACTTATAATCCCCTTCACAATCCATCTTACATCTCATTCTACCCTACAATAGCCATTTCCTTCCAAAAAATCCAGAGAAATTTAAGAAAAACTCCAATTCTTCCAATGTCATGTACAACATGGTCCAAAACTGAATTTTAAATGGTAAATCAAGTCCAGACCCGGCTGAAATCGCCTTCATTCTCCAGTATAGTCCCTATTCTTTCTGATAATCACCATTTTTCTCAAAAAAAATCCTTCACAAATCGCCAAAAATTCCAAATTTTCCCTAACACGGAAAATTGGACATTAGACTAAAAAAATCGTATTTTAACCGCAAAAAGGAAGATTTAAAAGGATTTTTTGGAATCCACTAGGTACTCTGGACATCACTCTCTCGTATAATCTCATTTTTGTATACCGGGGCTTCCAGGATTACTGCAATTTTCACTATTTAACAAAAACTCCAATGTCATGTACAATATGGTCCAAAACTGAATTTTAAGTGCTAAATCAAGCCCAGCCCCGGCTGAAATCCCTTTCATTCTCCAGTATAGTCCCCATCCTTTCTGATAATCACCATTTTTCTCAAAAAAATCCCTTGCAAATCGCCAAAAATCCCAAATTTCCCCCAAAATCCCCAAATTTTCACCTGAACTTGTCGCTGGCGCTGCTGGGGTTGCCGTAGCCGCCGCACTCGTTGCCGCAGCTCCAGCTGGTTTCTGAGCCCTTGCGGATTTCAGTTCCTCTCGGAATTTCACGGCCAACGCCTTCACTTTTCCGCATTCTTCGTTCTTCTTCTCCAGTTCATTGGCAATCTTTTCTTTCTCATCTTTCACAATTTTTAGCTCATTCTCTTGTTCTGAGACCTTCTGTTTCAGCGTTGATAGTTCCAATTCGACGTCTTTGGTCTGTTCTTCCAATTTCTTCGTGAAATTTGCCTTCAGCTGGTCCAAATTTCTCTGTTTTTCGGCCAACAAGGCGTTCGCTTCATCAATTTTTTTGCTCGCGTTCAATTTTATTTGCTGCGTTTGGGCGGTAGCGGCCTGAAAATAGCATAACAACGTATTACACATACTCTAAAAGTGTTAAAAATTAATTTTACATCCAATTTAAAAAAAAATTTTTTGACCTTATTTTAGGTAAAAAATCGAAATTTTTTGGCGGTAGCGGCCTGAAAATAGTGTAATATCGCATTATACACACTCTAAAGCTGTTAAAAATTAATTTTACATCCAATTTACATCAAAAATTTTTGACCTTATTTTAGGTAAAAATCTAATTTTTTTGCGAAAAAATCCAAAAAAATCTGAGCAAATCAGTAAACTACGTATTTTACATCCAAAAACCCTCTCTAAAAACAATTTTTCAAGCATAAATCACCAAAATAATCCAAAAAATCCACCTTTTTTACCTTATTTTAGGTAAAAAATCCCCTTTTTCTCCCAAAAAATCGCTCAATCATTTCCCAAAAGACCAAACTCACAGTCAAATCGCTGTTCAACTTCTTCAGCTCGGTTCTGAGATGCAATTGAGCAGCAATGCAGTCCTGGGTTTCTCTGCGAAGAACCTCATTTTGGCCGAGAAGTTGAAGTCTTTGGGCGGTTTCCTGAAAATCAAAAGGGGTTAAAAATACGCAGTAAAACTTTTTCATTCCTCAACTTACTAAAATTCTCCCAAAAAAGTTAAAAAAAATCGAAAAAATATTAAAAAAAATTTTTTTGGGTCCCACCACGAAAACAATCCATATTGAAAAAACAGCTGGAAATCAATATAAATGCCTCTATAAAACCATTTCAACACAAAAAAATTGAAAATAACCAAATTTTTAAAAATTTTGGGTCCCACCACGAAAACAATTTATATTGAAAATTTTGCGCCAAGTCATCCAACACACGGCCAAACCACTATTTTCGATAAGAAAATTTAATAAAACGCCAAGAAAAATCAAAAAAATTTATTTTTGGGTCCCACCACGAAAACAATTCAAATTGAAAATTTAGCGCCAAATCATCCTAAAAACTGTCAAACCCATATTTTTGATAGAAAAGTTAACTAAAACGCCAAGAAAAATCAAAAATTTATTTTCATTTCCAGGTCCCACCACGAAAACAATCAAACACAAAATCGCCTCTAAATCTCGCCAAATCCCACTTACATTTGCCAATTCTTGTCTCAGCACATTCAGGAGCTCGGATGTCTCCAAATTTTCGGGGGATTGCTCCAATTTCGTTCGGACCTCATTGATGATCTGTTCCGTTCTTTGCCAGAGGGCGGATTTCTCATTTTTCAAGTGATTGATCTCCTCTTGGAGCTGGATGCGCTCGGATTCGGCAATTTTCTGCAACAAAAAAGGATAAAAATAATTTTTTTGCCAAAAAATCACCGATTTTTTGGACGAAAAATTTGGAAAAATAGGAAAAATCAAATTTTATTAATAAAATCCGTATTTTAACTCAAAAAATATTTAAAATCTCATTTCTAATTTTAATTTCTCTTCTAAAATACGATTTTTTGCCAAAAATTACCGATTTTTCGACGAAAAATTTTGAAAAATAGGAAAAATCAAATTTTAAAATCCGTATTTTAGCTCAAAAAAATATTTTGAATCTCATTTTTAATCCAAGTTTTTTCATAAAATACGATTTTTTGCTAAAAATCACTGATTTTTGGACGAAAAATTTGGAAAAATCGCAAAAATCAAACTTTAAAATCCGTATTTTAGCCCAAAAAATATTTTGAATCTCATTTTTAATCCAAGTTTTTTCATAAAATACGATTTTTTGCTAAAAATCACTGATTTTTGGACGAAAAATTTGGAAAAATCGCAAAAATCAAATTTTATTAATAAAATCCGTATTTTAACTCAAAAAATATTTAAAATCTCATTTCTAATTTTAATTTCTCTTCTAAAATACGATTTTTTGCCAAAAATCACCGATTTTTCGACGAAAAATTTTGAAAAATAGGAAAAATCAAGTTTTTAAAATCCGTATTTTAGCTCAAAAAATATTTTGAATCTCATTTCTACCTCAATTTATCTTCTAAAATACGATTTTTTGCCAAAAAATCCACTTTTCAAAAATTTTCCAAATTTTTCGTCGAAAAAATCGGTCTTTATTTTTCCTCCAAACTCATTATAAACCTCTTTTATCCACTTTACACACCAAAACTCTCAATTTTTTCATCACAACCCACCAAAAAATCGACCTTATTTTAGGTATTTCTTACCTGGAAGTCCTCAAACTGGTCATTAACCAGTTTCAATTCGTTATTTCTCTGTTCCAACTGTCCTTTTATGTCTTCTAAATCAAAGTCGAGTTCTATTTTCGGGATTTTCGCGGGTATTTCATCCACTTCCATCTCATTATGCTCTCTTTTTACCGGTTTTACCACTTTTTCCTCGGATTTCTTCAATTTCTCTTCGTATTCCGCGATTTTCGCCTCGAATTTCTTGTTGATCTCGCTGATGGCGGCTTCCAAATTCTGTTTCTCCATTTCCAGCTCCATTTGACGGGTGTGGGCGTCCAATAAACGGTCATTTCTGAAGGAAAACATCAAAAATTTGGTCAGAATCCCAAAAAAATAAAAAAAAAACCGCAAAAACATAAAAATTTCAGCAAATATTGTAGCTCTTACGTTTCCTGGATTCTCAGCTCGGCTTCATTGAACAGTGAGCGGATCGAATCCGAGTAATCCAGCTTTTCTTCGGGCTGAAAAATCCAAAATTATCAAAAAATCCAATTTTTTCGAAAAAGTTCTAAAATTTCGTTGAAATTTCAAAATTACAGTAACCAAAAAGCCCAAAAATAAATAAAAATGCTTTTCAAACACTTCTCGATATCCCAAAATACCCCAAACTTACCGGAATTTCGCCAGAACTCTCAATTTTTAAATTGAAATCAGCTTCCCATCGCGACTTCCAATCTAAAAATAAATCAAAACTAACTTCAGAATAGCATAAATTTTAAAAATTACCAAAAAATAATATTCTACAAGGCCTTCTCAACCCAAAAACATCAAAAATCTTCGAAAAATCATCAAAAACAAGCTAAACTTGAAATTCTGCCTCTTAAAACCCTTTCAATACCTTTCAAAATACCCTTAATTAACTCTCAGACCAAAATCAAATCATGCCGTATTTTCAAACTGCCGTATTTTACCTCCAATTTCTTACAAAAATTCTTCAAACCTCTTAAACTCCCTAAAAATCAAAAAACCTGTCCAAAACCCAAAAATTTCATCGTTCAACCTTTTCCAGTCTCACTCAAAATACCTTACAAGACATCCTCCTTCTACACCACAGCCCTATCACTACCGCCACCACTTATTTTACCCCAATTTCCCTTCAAACCCTAAAAAATGTCTGAAATTCCGAAAACAGGGCCAAACCCTGAAATTTTCCGTTTCAAAAATTTTCCAATCTCTCTCAAAATGAAACCAGGATGCCTACAAGGCATCCATGTTTCATATCATAGCGCTATGAATACAAATGACCTCGGATTTTACCTCAATTTCCCTTCAAACCCTAAAAAATCCCTAAAAATCAAAAAACCTGCCCAAAGACCGGCAATTTCACCGTTCAGCCTTTTCCAATCCCTCTCAAAATACCCTACAAGGCATCCATGTTTCATATTATAGCTCTATCAATACCGCCCACCACTTATTTTACCTCAATTTACCTTCAAACCCTAAAAATCTCAAAACCATCCAAAAAAGGTGAAATTTTTCGTTTGAATTTTTTTCCAATCTCCTTCAAAATATCCTACAAGGCATCCTAGTTTCATATCATAGCGCTATGAATACAAATGATCTCGTATTTTACCTCAATTTCCCCTCAAACCGCAAAAAATCTCCAAAAATCTCAAAACTATCCCAAAAAAGTGAAATTTTGAGTTTCAATTTTTTCCAATCTCCGTCAAAATATCCTACAAGGCATCCTGGTTTTATATCACAGCCCTATCACTACCACCGCCACTTATTTTACCTCAATTTCCCCTCAAACCCCAAAAAATCTCCAGAAATCTCAAAACCATCCCAAAAACCAAAAATTTTCCGTTTTAAATTTTTCCAATCCCCTTCAAAATACCCTACAAGGCATCCTTATTTTATATCATAGCCCTATCACTATAGATAACCTCGTATTCTACCTCAATTTCCCCTCAAATCCCAAAAAATCTCCAGAAATCTCAAAACCATCCCAAAAACCTGAAACTTCCCGTTTCAAAACTTTGCCAGTCTCCCTCAAAATACCCTATACGACCTCTCAGGTCAAGATTACATCAAAGCCCACAGTTATCATCTCGTATTTTACCTCAATTTACCTTCAAACCCCAATAAACCCTAAAAATCTCAAAATCTTCCCAAAAAACTGAAATTTTTCGTTTCAAATTTTTTCCAATCCCCCTCAAAATACCTTACAAGGCATCCTCATTTTATATCAAAGCCCTATCACTTTCATTTACCTAGTATTCTACCTCAAATTTCCCTTCAAAAAATCCATAATCCCTAAACCCCCCAAAAATCAAAAATACCCTCCAAAAAACTCTCAAAACCTCTCACATTCCGTCAATCTTGCAGTTGCATCCAGTTGGTACTTCAAGATCTCGACTTCATTGACCAGCATGAGGTTGTTGGTGTAGAAGAGGCTCGATTCCGTGGCTGTTTTTTCGTATTCTAGCAATTCTTCCGTCAATTTTTTGAGCTTCTCTTTTAACTCCGAATTTTCATTTTTCACCGGGTCCAAGCTGATGCTGGCATGCTCTAATTCGAATTTCAGCCTCTTGACTTCGCTTTCCAGTTCCAGTTTCAGCAATTTTAAATCATTTTCGAGCTTTTCCTTGGCCAAATTCAACTCCAAGTTGGTCGATTTCAAAGTCTGATTTTCCGACGTTAACTCCGCCAATTTTTGGTCAATTTCTTGGCGAGTTTTGGCTTCTTGCCGGTTAATCAAGGCTTCAAAGTCGCTAAATGAAGCCTTCAAATCGGAATTGAGGTCAAATTTTTTTGCAAATTCCGTTAATTGGGCCTTGAAAAGTGCGTTTGTATGGGAAATTTCTCGATAATTCAGGTCGAGGGTTCTGTTCTGGTCTCTGAAATATCATATATTATATTTTTCGGAGTCAAATCAGAGATTTTTTGACGAGGGAAACACTTGACCCAAAAATTCAAATTCGAGTCAAGTCTTTCTCTCTGACAAAGAAACCAAAAATAAAAAGAAAATCATGAATTTTACTCTTATCATTGCGTATTTTACCGCTATTCCACTGAGAGAAACACTTGACCCAATTTCTCAATTTTGGGTCAACTGTTTCTCTCGGTCCAAAAGCCCTTCAAAATCATCAAAACAAATCTCAAACTCAAAAATCGCAACGAACCAACTCTAAATCCCTTCAAACATTACAATATATTGCAATAACCCACCTCAATTCATCGATGATCTTGTCTTTTTGCTGTTCCCTGAAGAAAATTTCATCCCTCTTTTTGGAAACAAATTCCAGCCGTAAAGCCAGATCCTGGTGTTGTCCGGCGTGGCGTTTGATCTGAATTGTGAGTTCTTGAATCTTCTGTTTCAACTGGCTGATTTCGGCGTGTTTTTCGTTGGAATCTTTGGTCAACCTTTCGATTTGAGCGGTAAGGGAGGTTTTTTGTTCCGTCCATTGGGTTTCTCGTTGGGTTTGGGTGCTAAAACACAGTATATGAAGGAAAAAGCAATTAATTCAAAAAAAATTTTTTGAATTTCGCAAAAATATAATCAAGTATAATATCCATGAAGACCATAAATAATTCTATAGCTTTTAGTTACTCCTCTGCTACTTTATCAACCTCAAAGTTACCAAAAAAACCTTATTGTTATATCACCAATTTGGTTTCACCACGAAAGTTTGGCATTCTGTTTCAAGTCTCAGAACAGGTCAAAACCATCGCAAAATGTCAGGCGAACATCAAATTACCACTTTATATACTTAATTTCAACCAAAAATCCCATCCATCAACCCCTCAATTTGGCCCCACCACGAAAGTTTGGCATTCCGTTTCAAGCCTCAGAATGGGTCAAAAACAGCGCAAAATGTCTTCTAACAATCAAATTATCACTTTATATACTTAATTTCAACCAAAAATTCCCATCCATCAACCCCTCAACTTGGTCCCACCACAAAAGTTTGGCATTCCGTTTCAAGTTTCAGAATAAGTCCAAAACAGCGCAAAATGTCTTCTAACAATCAAATTACCGCTTCATATACTTCAATTCAATCAAAAATCCTATCCATCAATCCCTCAACTTGGTCCCACCACGAAATTTTGGCATTCCGCCCAAGCCCCCTAAACCACTCCCAATGCCTCCAAAATTGCTTCTAACTTACTTCGCTAGTCCTGTGAAGCGTTTCTCAAACGTTTCCGCTTTGAATTCAGCACATTTCAGCTGCGATTCCAGGCTATGAAGTTGGCTTTTTAATCTATTCACTTCGAGGTCGGGTAAAGTCCTCGGAGGTGCGTGCTGATCGACTGATTGCTTCCTTTTGAGTTGTTCCTTGTAATCATTGACGAGGGTGTTCATTTTACCGAGCTGCCAATCTTTATCATCTCTAATTTGTTCCAAAGCGACCAATTTATCTTTCAATTCCTTAAATTTCTTGTCTTCCGCGGCTTTCAGGGCCGATTCTTTCTCGGATTCCATGGTGTTTAGTCTGGAAAACCATAAAATTACATTATAAATTCAAAAATTTTGAATTTCCCGCCATTCCAGCTTATGTGTTGTTTTAGTCTAGTGGTAGTGATTTTGCTTTCTACGCAAAAGGTCGCGAGTTCGATTCCGCATGGAAGAAAACTCATTTTTCGTCCATTTCTCGTCTAATTCAGTAAAGCCAACTTATCGAATATTACTCTATGTTGTTTTATACATCATAAAGTGCAAACAAATTTTACTTTTACCCAACAATTTTGTCAAAAACAAGATTTTTCCGCAAAAATATCAAAAAAACTGCAAAAATCTCAGATTTCATTGTAAAATACGCAGAGCGTCCCTGGGTCAACACTTCAAAAAGTTCTTACCTGCTCACAAGCTCTCTATTCTTCAGTTGCAACTCCTTTATATCCGCGAAAAGCAATGGATTTTCACTGGGTTCTTGTTTTTCCTTCAATAAATGCTGAATCTGCTCCGAAAGCGCTCTGTAATCCCGTTGATACCTCTCTAACTCGTCCTTTGTGAACTGTAATTCATGCTGACTCGCATCTTGTGCGACAAGCACCTGATCTCGCTCCTGTTTATATTGTTTTAGCTGAGCTGTGGTGTGTTTTAATTCGAGGATTGCTTCTTCGTATTGCGCCGTTCTTTGGCGTAATATGGGGGTTTGGGCTTGGAATGCCTCTCGCAGTTTGGTTAGGGTCTTCTCGGCCTGTTGGAGGAGGACGACCTTCTTGGCGAGCTCGGCTTTTAGGTCAATGTGAGCGGCGTAAATCTCGGTTAAAGATGGGGCATCCTTCAGCAACGAGAGGGTCTCTTGTGCTGCTGGGGAGAAGATCGAATGGCCTCCTTGATACACTGCAAAAAATATAATTTTAGGAAAAAAACTTACAAGGAAAGGGCTTGGACCTCATTGTAGGTGAAAAAGGTAAAAAAAGAAATAAAATTCGGTGGAAAAGTTGAGTGTTATAGACGAAAAGAAAGGGATTATGATGTGTGTTGAATGTAAAAGTCGTTTTGGCTATGAGATTTTTGATTTAGAGACCGGTTTTACCTGGTTTTAGGCAACAGTTGATAAAAAATTTTTAAATCCCGATTTTTTCGAATTTTGATCTAAAATAAGGTATGTTTTAGGTGTAATTAGAAAGTTTATGATAAGTTCTGTACTTGGAAAAACTTTCGGCTGAATTCATAGACTTTTCGGAGTCTTTTTATATTGTTTTAGCCAAGGTTTTGATAAAAAACGAAAAATTTTGATTTTCTCTCAATATGTATCGTAAAATAAGATGTTTTTGATTGAAATACGATGTGTTCTATGCCAAGGAATCTTTTGGCATTTGTAGTTTTTAATTGGAGACTAGTTTTATATTGTTTTTGACAAAAAATTTGCTTTTGCTTACAAGGAAAATACTTCTATGGGGTTACAGGTCAAGAAATGATTAAATAAATCGCAAAATGTTTCTGATTTTCTAAAGGGAGCTAGTTTTTACATACTCTGAATCAGAAGCATTTCGCGATTTATTTAATGTATTTCTCGACCTGTAACTCCACACTCCATGGAGGTATTTTCATTGTAAGAAAAAGCAAAATTTTTTGTCAAAAACAATATAAAACTAGTCTCCAATTAAAAACTATAAATGCCAAAAGATTCCTTGGCATAGAACACATCGTATTTCAATCAAAAACATCTTATTTTACGATACATATTGAGAGAAAATCAAAATTTTTCGTTTTTTATCAAAACCTTGGCTAAAACAATATAAAAAGACTCCGAAAAGTCTATGAATTCAGCCGAAAGTTTTTCCAAGTACAGAACTTATCATAAACTTTCTAATTACACCTAAAACATACCTTATTTTAGATCAAAATTCGAAAAAATCGGGATTTAAAAATTTTTTATCAACTGTTGCCTAAAACCAGGTAAAACCGGTCTCTAAATCAAAAATCTCATAGCCAAAACCACTTTTACATTGAATACACATCATAACCCCTTCCTTTTCGACCATAAATATCAAAATTTCCACCGAATTTTATTTCTTTTTTACCATTTTCACCTAAAATAAGGTCCAAACCCCCTTTAATCCCCAAAAAATCAATTCAAACCCACTCTCATCCTTGATTCTGATGTCTTCTTTAGCCTTGTGCAGCTCATCCCTCAGTATTTCAATTTCCACATCTGAAATTGCCGAAAAATCATCAAAAGCTTCAAAAAATGTCTAAATTAATATAAATTTTTGCCAAAAAACATTATTTTCACCTTTTTCTTTCTTCAATTCCTCCAATTCTTTCAATTTCAGCTCAAAACTGCTCTGAATCTTGGCAATTTCCTCGTCTTTCGCCTTCAATTCACTTTCGCTTTTTTCGGCAATCTCGCTCAATCGTCCAAATTCTCCGTCATAGGACTCGACCGCTTCTTGATGGCGCTTTTCCCAGTTCGCAGCGGCCAGTTTTTGGGTCTGAACTTCTGCCGAGAGCCGTTTATTAGCGTTGGTGAGCTGCTCTAACGACTTTTGGAGCTGCCGAAGTTGTTCATTCTTTTCCTCAACCTCTTTTTTGAAATTGGCAGTGTCGATTTCGAATGCTTGGGACTTGATTTGCAAGACGGCTTCGGCTTCGGATTTTAGGGACTCCATTTTCTTCTAAAAAATCAAAATTTCTTGAAAAAACCAAAATTTTTGGTCGAAATATATCTAAAACACTATAATTTTCTCAAAAATTCTCTCAAATTACTACACAATCATAGTTTTTCCACAAAAAATTCAAAAAATCCGTATTTTAGCCCACTGTGTCAAAATAGTCTAACCGGTAGTGTGTTAGTCTATCATTCAAATCGGCGCAGGTTCGAATCCCACTGGATGCAGATTTCTGTTTTTCGAATTTTACCCGAATTTAATGGCTCAAAACTAACATTTTTTACGCTCTGACACATAAAGCAGCATCTGTACTATCCAAAAACATCATTTAACTCACCAACTGATGTTTCAAATCGTCTCTTTCAGCCAGATATTGTACATACAGCTCGGAATTCAACTTCTGCGCTTGAAATGCCGCTGCCAATTCCCGTTCCAAACGCGAATTCTCAATCTAAACATCAAGTAGATTATAACAAAAATCAAAACCAACCTCATTATGCTTTGCAACACTCTTCAAGTTGATCTGTTCACTTTCCAGCCTGTTCAATTTACTCCGCAATTCATTGGCGCCACGATGTTCCTTTTGTAGTTGAAGCTGCAACTTGGAATTGGCATCCATATACCGGGCAATTTGCCCTTCCAAATTGGCGGCCTTTTCTCTGAGGACTGCTTGTTCTTTATCAGTGGAGATCAATTGTTCCCGAAGACGAGCATTGTCCGCATTTAATTCTCGGACAGCTTCAGCACCGGCAGAGCTTTCTGACTCTGAAGGTCAAAATATAACAATATCGCCAGACGCGTAACACAAAATTCAGAGCAACTTTGATATTATACATGAGGCATAATATGTCAGATATCGTATTTTACCAAAATTAAAACCTTTTGAATAGCAAAATACATTTTAGAAGCCATTTTGGAATGTTTCAGATCAAACTTTGACTAAATGAGTTGGATTTTCACTAATTATATTACACTTGGTGTATTGAAACTAAAACAACAAAAAGGTACAATTTTTGAAAGCTTCATTCAACAAAAGGTTGTTGCATAGCTTCACAAATGTGTTTTGCAGCTAATGAAGCCAAAAACTCAACAAAAGGATCATCCATCGTCGAGAACCATCCAAAACTTCATCGACCTAAACACCAAAGCGAAAAAATCAAAGATTACCTGCCAATTTCAGTTTCTTATTCAAATCATAAATCTGATTAGCTTGCTCTGACACATGAGATCGTTGAGTGAACAAATCCGTCTCCAAAACTTGAATTTTACCTCCTAAAAACAAAGATTTCCCATGAACAACATCAACTCACGTAGTTGTTTCAATTCCTCGGTCACAAAGTAGACTGGATCATCGGGTTGTGCAATGTTCTCGCTTTCCGTCATGACGTTCTCCATCGAGACGGTCGTCGTTGAGGTTTTTGACGGAAAATTGTCGAAGGAAAATAATATTTTGGCAGCTCGCGCCCGAAGAGGCGGCAAATGGCGCGAGGCGAGTCGCGCCCAGTTTTTTCGCGAGGAGAATGAAGAAGATGGTCCGAGATGAGCGTTAGTCGGGGATTTGAGAGGTCCGTTAGTGCGAGCGGGGATAAACGCCGGCATTTTTTGCATAATTTTTTTCTCTTTGCATTTTTTGAAGGTTTTCTTTGTTTTTTCTTGATTTGCTTGGAAAATACGAGTTGTACTGCTGTAAAAACTAAATAGACAGGTTTTTTACAGTATGATACAACCGTAGTTTTTACTTTTACAACTTTTTACTACTGATTCCTCCTATTTCTCTGATTTTTTCTATTTTTTGATACCTAAATTTAGGAATTTATGAAATTTGATGCTAAAATAAGGTGTAAAACGTGATCAGACACCTCTCAGATCCTCGTTATATCCTAACAATGCAGGAAATGGTATTTTGAACGTCCTTGAAGTCCAATCTTTCCGTCTGGATCCAATTTTTACCTTATTTTACCATCAGATAGGGCATGTTCAAGATTTTGCCAAATTTGGTTGGAAAACAAGTTGTGAAATACGACAATGAAACAATTATACGTTTTTGACATCATAGGAGTTCTTTTAAGTCTATTTTTGCTCAGTTTTATCCACTAGCTTTTCAGCTACATCTTATTTTATATGATGGTATCCATGTAAAATATTACCTAAAATTTGGAGGTAAAATGAAAGTAAAATAGGGTATTTTTCTTGTTACTGCTTTTTTAATCCATTTCCATTATTTCTAAGACCATTTCAGCTCAGTTCTATCCCTTCCAAACTATTTTTTACCTTATTTTACCTTCAGGTAGCCTAGTACAATATATTTTGCCTCAAAAATGTGTCTCAAACCCCTTTTCCTCCAAAGTTTTCCATCTTTTCCTCAATGACCTTTATTTTCCTCTCTTCTTCTGTCCACTTTTCAAATTTTTTCGCACATTTTTCAATAATTTCGGCTAGTTTTCCATTTGTCATCCGTGACTCCGCCCCACGGCGATTTGAATTTTTTTGGATCGCACACTTTTTTTGTGACGAATTGGAGTTCGAAATGGACGCGCGTTCGAAAAAGTGGACCTTTTGCAATTAATTCTTGGCACCTTATTATGCAAATGAACAAAAGGTGTTCGTCAAGGGTGAAGATGATGGCCTTGAGTGACCGGCTAATTAATAGACACTTAATTGGTCTAAAATACGGGGAAATTCGAGAATAGGAGGGGGTTTTAGCTCCAAAAATGGTGATTTTTTAGCAATTGATGGCAAGTGTAATATAATTTTTTGTTGGAATTGATCAAATTTGATGTCTAAATCACAGCAAATGACCGGTAGTTAAATTATTTTTGATTTTTACCCAGAAAGAATTGCTTTTCTGTCAAGAAAATCGCAATTTTATCAAAATTTGACCTCAAAATCAGCTAAAGTAATATAAAATGCTCATTATTTGTAACTAAAAAGCTGAATAGAGAGCTAATAAACAACCACACGGTCATTGAAACGGATGAGAACCGAAAAATGTCCGAAAAAACAAGCGACATCTGCCGGAGAATTTCAAATCGGCTTGAATTTTTTATGAAAAGTAGCCATAAAGGTCATTTCAGGGGTGAAACTGGGTTGGAATATTGATTAGAATTCAAAAAATCAAAAATTATTGGGGTTTACTTACGTTATTGTGCTGTAAAATAAATTTGCACTGTGCGAAATGATTTTTTCTCCGCACTGTGCGAAGAAATTTTGTTTTCCATTTTGCACTGTGCAGTTGTCGCGCGGTGCTTTTTGCTGCACTGTGCAGTCAGTCTTTGGTCTGCACTGTGCGAAATGATTTTTTTGCACTGTGCAGTTGTCGCACTTTGCTTTTGCACCGTGCAGTTTGTCGCACGTGTGTTTTTTCTGCACTGTGCAGTCAGTCTTTGGTCTGCACTGTGCGAATTCAATTTTTTTGCACTGTGCAAAAACTCGCCCGTGTTTTCTGCACTGTGCAGTTGTCGCAAGTGTGCTTTTTTTTGCACCGTGCAGCCGGTTTTTGGTCTGCACTGTGCGAAGAAAATTCGGTTTCCATTTTGCACCGTGCAGTTGTCGCACGTGTGCTTTTGTCTGCACTGTGCGAATTCAATTTTTTTGCACTGTGCAAAAACTCGGTCGGGTTTCCTGCACTGTGCAGTTGTCGCAAGTGTGCTTTTTTCTGCACTGTGCGCTCAAATTTTTGGTTTGCACTGTGCAAAAACTTGACGGTTTTTTTGCACTGTGCGATATTTGAGAAAACAAAATTTCTTTTTTTGCTCGCACAGTGCAAAAGAACTGTTTTCGACACACTTTCGGTCTGCACTGTGCGAATTGAATTATGTTTTGTTTTGCACGGTGCAAAATTCAAAATGTGAATTTCTCGGGAGAAAATTGTCGGATTTCGGTGAAATTTGGGATAAATTTAGATTGAAAATTTTTATGACTGATCTGATTATGAAATTTTATTAGAAATTATTAATTTTTCAAGACCAAAAATTTGAAATTTTTTTGATTTTTTTTTTTTTTTTTGATTTTTATGTTAAAAAATGGTGCTCTATTCAAAATACAGAGCAGAATTTTTCTACAGAAAATTATTTTTTTCTGTCCAAAAATACCGGCACTGTGCAAAAAAAAAACATTTTTTTTTGACTGCACTGTGCAAAAACAATTGTTTTTTTTTGACTGCACTGTGCGAAATTCCGAACCCATTGTTTGTCACAACAACCTAACTCGATCACGAAAAATTCGGTCGAGCCCCAGATCCAGACTCTCTCCAACTGCTCTCTTGAGTGACCATTGTGCAATGTAATTGTGCCTTCGAGGGGCTGATGTCAGTCCGAATCACTCGCCCCCCCAAATTTGAATCGAAGGCACGAAAAAAGTGGAGGGGCGAGCGAGGGCAGGAAATTTTTATCGCCCATTCGGCGCGACGGCGTCCGTTTCCAAACAATTCGACACATGATCTGGGCAGAGTGGACGCGCAAAGGAAGGGACCGTAAATAATAAGGAGTGCCGAGAACTGGGGCCAGTAAGCCTGTTATGGTGTGGTTTCAAATTTTTTTGGGGTGTTTTGGAATTTTTTGGGGATGATATTTCCTGCTTTTCATGTGTTTTGATTGCACAGTGCGGTTTAAAAATTTTTTTGCATTGTGCGTTTTCGAAAAATTTTTGCACAGTGCGAGCTTCAAAAATTTTTGCACAGTGCACTTTATAAGAATTTTCGCACAGTGCGATCTTCAAATTTTTTCGCACAGTGCAATTTTCACATTTTTTTGCACAGTGCAGTTTATAAAAATTTTCGCACAGTGCAATTTTTTGGTTTTTCCGCACGGTGCGTTTTCAATTTTTTTTGCACAGTGCGATCTTTAAAATATTTTGCACTGTGCAGTTTCTAAAATTTTTCGCACAGTGCGATCTTCAAGAATTTTTGCACAGTGCAATTTTCAAAAACTTTTGCACAGTGCGATCTTCAAATTTTTTACACAGTGCATTTTCAAAGATTTTTGCACGGTGCAATTTTTAAAAATTTTTGCACAGTGCAATTTTCAAAACCTCAAAAATTTTTTTGCACAGTGCAAAAAAAACTCAAATCCCGTTTCCCGCACAGTGCAAAGAACCGGTTCTTGCTCATCGCACAGCCTCATTTCCGATCGTTTTCGCGGCCGTCCAGTCATTGCGACTCATTTTCCGGACGCGGCGCGACATTGGCACTCGCTCGCTCTCTGCCCCTCTTTCTCTCCCCCTCTCCAAACGGCATTCCATTCGTTTTGCGCGCGCCTCAAAACCTTCATTTGGCCCGATCGCCCATCCTCAATGACAGCCGCAAAAAACGGACGGCTGATCTTTCCTGTCTTGTCGAGAAAAGTTGTTTTCGGAGCGCGATTTCGAGCAAAATCGTCTGCACCGTGCAGGTTTCGAGATTCGAAAAAATCGCACAGTGCGCTGAAATTTGATTTTTTTTGCACTGTGCGGTTTTTAAACTTGATTTTCTTTGTCGCAAAAAGGTTTGCACAGTGCGGCGAGACGTTTGAAATGCACAGTGCAAACTTTTTTGTCGAGAAAAGTTGTTTTCGGAGCGCGATTTGGAGCAAAATCGTCTGCACGGTGCAGTTTTCGAGATTCGAAAAAGTCGCACAGTGCGTTGAAACTTTTATTTTTTTTGCACTGTGCGAATTTTAGAATGGATTTTCTTTGTCGCAAAAATTTTTGCACAGTGCGGCGAGACGTTTGAAATGCACAGTGCAAACTTTTTTTGACCGCAGAGTGCAAATTTAAAAATTTTTGCACAGTGCAAAATTACCAAATTTGCTGGGTAAATTTAAAAAAAAAGTTTGGAAAAGTTTTTTGAGGGATTTTAGACTATAATAGACTAGTTTATTGAGATTTTTTAACCGTTATTCTTTTCAAATTAACCAATGTTCACCTTGTTATTCACTAATTTTTGTATTTTTTTGACCAGCCAATTATGTCATTAGCCATGGCTGATGTCTTCATTTGTCACTGCTCTCGATGGATTCGAGGGTCTGTCAAGAGCTGGTCGGTCCTCCAGATGTTGCGCAATGTAACATTTGCTCAGTGGATCGCGAAATTGCTGCGAGGGCAGGGTAAATGGCATATAACGGGGGGACCAGGCGTTTTTCTTTGTTTATTTTGCTTGTTCTGGGAATATGCAATCGTATACGGGGGTTTGGTGGGATTTGAGGCGATTTTGACGATTTTCAGGTTTTCGTGGTGGGACTCAAAATTGATTTTAATTGTCGAATTTATCGCTGTTTTGGGAGAAAATGTGATGATTCTGAGTTTTGAAGCGTCATATAGTAATTTTTTATCGAAATTTTAAAATTTTGACCGAAATTTTGGCATTCTGTTGCAACCTCAAAAACTGCTTGTAAAATACGGAGAAGGCAATAATTTCTATATATGATGGTGAAATAGGTCGGTAGAGACAATAATTTTTTCATTTTACTTTTATTCCCTCAGGCGATTTTCTAATATTTTCATTTTTTCAAAGTTTTGCCTCAAAATTTATATTTTTTAAATTTTATCTCTCTAAAATACGATGAAAAATCCCATAAAATTACTTTGCCCTTACGTAAGATCCATTCTGCTTACTGAACCATAAGTTTACGGGCCATTCTCGTGACAAATCGTGTGATTCGTCAAGCCCTATCTGCAAGTACGATCTAAATTATTTTCCCTCGCTTAATCCGAATCAAAGGCGTAGATTAAATCAGCGTTCGCTGCAGTCGATTTGCCTTCTATTTTCGAATATTTGCATGTGTTTTGCATATTACCGAAGCATAGGGGAAAATTTTGAATTTTTGTGTGTTTTCGGCTATTATATTGTGAAAAATCTCAAAACGGTGTCTTGTAAAATACAAATCAACCTTTATAAGAGATTTCTGGCACAATATTACACTTAATTCCCAAAAATTTTCGTAATAAATTGCCGAAAATCCCATTGTTTTCCTCAGTTTCCTTTGTTTATCCCCAAATAATCGCGCAGGGTAATATTGCACCAGATGTTTTTCTTCTCTGCACTTAATTCGGCGATCAAATTCTTTCAGCACACCTAGAAAATTGCAGCCGCATAGTTATGCAATCGGTTTATTTGATTAGGCTCAACTTATTAAGATTTTTTAAAAAATCTCATTTATTTGTTGAAAATTTTTGAAAAATTTTGGAAAAAATACATTTTGGGTCGTATTTTACATATTTTAAAATTTGTTTTCCTAAGGCAATTTAGTGAAATCACGATTTTTTAAATGGTTTCTTGTCAAAATTTGGAATTTTCAAGAAATCTTGTGGGTTTTTCGAACTTTTTTGATGTATAATTTGCACTTTCGGGTCTAAAAATATTAGCTACAAGGCTAAAATACATTTTTCATTATTTTCCCCGCATCTACCAAACTTTTTTTCCACCCAAAAAAAGCTTTTGACCCCGACGTGATTCGAACACGCAACCTTCTGATCTGGAGTCAGACGCGCTACCGTTGCGCCACGGAGTCACACCCGTTCGGCGTTTTCCCCTCTCTCCAAACGAAAGGGAAACCCACCCGCACAGTGCAGTCGGCGTTTTTTCGCAGAGAAAAGAAGAAAGGGCCAAAATATAACAGAAAAAACTTGTTTGTGGTATAAAATAGACTACGATGGGGGAAAACGGAAATGTGTGGGCTGGAGAAATTGAAGTTTCGGGGTGAAATTTGTATTTTTAAGGGGGATTTTGACAAAATTTTTGTATTTTCAATGAAATATAATATAATTTTGATATTTTTTGAGGTGGGATGAGATTTTTAATTGTCGCGAATCTGTTTTCGAGCTCTTGAAACAATTTTTGTCATGTTTTGACTTAAAATTTATCTTATTTTAGATGATGAACAACGCATTTCAAATCCCGGTGATGCCCCAGATGAACCAGCCACCGTTAAATGGGCTCGCCATCAGTCCGAATATGCCAGTTCAGTCCACTTCGAGCAGTTATGCGGCATATTGGATGCTGGAACAGGCTGGAATGATGCAGCCGAATTTAAATTATGCTCCAAGCCAAATGTCTGAAATGTCAATGCAGTCAACGATGACTGGAACAATGTGTTCGGAAGTGGTAAGTGGATTGTAAAAATTTTTTGGTAAAAATTTGGCTTTTTTGAAAGTTTTTGTAAGTTTTTTCTCTTTTGCACTGTGCAATTGAAATTTTCGCGATTTGCACAGTGCAAAGAATTTCATTTTGAAAAATTGCAGTGTAGAATAGATGTCTTATAGAGTATTTTTCAATATTCAAAAATTAAAATTTCGATTTTTGCTTTTCCGCACTGTGCAAATTGCAATTTTGTCATCCGCACAGTGCAGTTTTATTTTTTGGTCGCTGCACGGTGCATAAAGTTGAGTTCGAAAAAATTCGCTTTCCAAGCGACGTTACAAGGTGTATTTTTCAATATTCAAAAATTAATTTTCAATTTTTGCTTTTCCGCACTGTGCAAATTTCAATTTTGTCATCTGCACAGTGCAGTTTTATTTTTTGGTCGCTGCACCGTGCATAAATTTGATTTTGAAAAATTGGACTATAGAATAGAAATTGCAAAGAGTATTTTTCATATTCAAAAATTAATTTTCAATTTTTGCTTTTCCGCACTGTGCAAAATCCAATTTTGTCATCCGCACAGTGCAGTTTTATTTTTTGGTCGCTGCACCGTGCATAAATTTGATTTTGAAAAATTGGACTATAGAACAGAAGTCGTAAAGATCATTTTGCAATATTCAAAAATTTATTTTCGATTTTTGCTTTTCCGCACTGTGCAAAATCCAATTTTGTCATTTGCACAGTGCAAAATTTTGAAAAATCTAAAAATGGTAATTTCGGTTAGGAAATGTGATGAAAAAGGATTTGGAAGTTACTAAAACACCACAGATTCTCAAAATAACCACTTACTATCCATTTTCAGACAGGAAAATGCATGGAAAAAGACCCAATGGTCCGATTAGGCGACATTATTGAATCCTTGGCGGATTCGGATATGGATGTGAACTTGCTTGGCAATGACCTGTTTCAAAAACTCTTCGAAACATATCGACATGTCATTGGGAAAGACCCAACGGCGCCGCAGCGACTTCAAGAAGTTTTTGGGTACACAGCAGAGAAATTGCACTTGGTCACCGAAGAAATGAAACGTCTACCGCAAGGAAACGAGAGATTGGAGGTTTTGAAGAAAGCGGTGGGTATTTAAGGGGTTGAGGGAGTATTAATTGGACTTTTTTGGGGTTTGAAGAGGAATTTTGTCTAAAATAATGTCCGAAGTTGCCTAGTGTGATATAATTGGTCTAAAAATTGGCTCTAGAGTAATTTTAGACGTCTGTAAATCTATTTTGATACATACGCCGGAAAAATTTGAAGCTTTCTTTTAGGGGAAATTTCAAGAATGTAATTTTTCGTACACCTTTCATCGTATAAAATGTCACTTTGTCATCTAGAGGGCTTGGATTGTCAAAAAAAGAAATGAAAATTGGTCCAAGACGTCTTAGCTTTTACAAAAAAATTTTAATGTCGCCTTTTTATCAAGTTTGAGGCAAAAATTTATATTGTTTTAGGTATGGCTCTACCTCCGAACAATCCGGTTGGTCTACCGCTACTCCACGGCCCTTCAGATGGCGGTAAGTGATTGGAAAAGGATTATTTTGTCTGAAAATTAAAATTGTGTTTATCAAAATTAAAAAAAAATCCAAAATTTGAGAGATTTTGACGGAATTCCAGAAAATCCGTCATCCTTTAAAAAATCTAAAGGATAATGTGCGTATTTTACAACAGAATTTTTTGTATGGGGTCTTATAACAATACATAAGAAGTGCCAATTTAAATTTTTCCGGAATTCCGCAAGATTAAAAGTGTCATCATGACGGATTTTTTGGAATTTCCCTAAAATTTTTGTTTTCCAGCGATTTTCAGGGTTTTTTTCGATGGTGATTGGACGAATAGAGTGTCATAAGGATATTTATAGCCTTAAAAAATTTTTTTGATTCAGTTTCAGACTATAAAATTTGCATTTTCCAGGAAAATCCGAATGTCGCCAAGTACAAGTACATCCACGCCCTCCTATTCTCGGCAGTCCGCGTCCCCGGCGCCATCGAACTAGTCATCTGCCCTTTGTATCACGCCAAGAAACATTTGAACCCGCCACCGGAGGCGCTGGCCGAGATCCGATCACCCGAAATATTGTACTTGCTACTGGACGTAAAAGACCTCGGTTCGGATGCGGAACGCCACTTGCATTACCTGTTTATGGACTCAGTCGAAGGAAATAGACAGTGTTTGGTTAGTTCTTGAAAGTTTTTGATTTTTTTTTTTTGAAATTTTAGGTAACAAAATTACTGAAAAATTTTTGCAGAATGAGCTGGAAAAGCAGAAGCCGATCACGGAATTTGTCCTCAGACGCGTGATAAATTGGCAGAATGTGCTGGAGACGGCGAGGAATCCCGCAGGACCGATTTGTTTCATAAAAGCATGGCTGAAATCGCTGAATTTCTTGTTCGACGCAAGAGGAGTCGATTTGGACCCGACGATCTTCAATAAAAATGGGTTTGTGGTAAGTTTCAAACACTTTGAGACCTTGTTTATAATTTTTAGGCAAAATTTCGGATCTAAAATTGGCCATTTTTCAGAAATTGGCCGCTTTTCTCAGCCTCTTCAACAAGAAATTCGTGAAACAAGAGGACTTTGTCTCGATAAATACGTGCGCCCTGAACGTCCTGGTCGCCTGCTCGTCCGATTCCAAGACTCTCAAGGACCAGGAGCTCCAATCGGTCCTCCAATGTTGTTTTGGGATCCTCATTTGTCTCGAGGATTTGAGTCGGAAAGGAACTCCGAATCCACAGACCTCCCTGCTCAGTTTGCCGATTTTGCAGCTGATTACGAATTTGTTGGTGATGAATACGACCAGAGTGGTGAGCCTTTGACTTTGTTGTTATGTTTTTAGGCGATTCAGCAAGGAAGAAGACATTTGGAGACCATTTTTGGGGAAATTATATTACTTTAGGTAGTAGGTTGGGGAAATGACCAAAAAGTGGAAATTTTGATGTCTAATTGAAGGAAAAGGGAGTGATATTGATCATTTAGGAGTAATAGATCCTTTTGAAGTCAAACTCCTCATATTTATAATAGTTTTTACAAGAAAATTATATTACTTTAGGTAGTAGGTTGGTGGAATGACGAAAAAAGTGCAATTTTGATGTGTAATTGAGGGAAAATTCAGTGATATTGAGCATTTAGGACCAATAGCTCCTTTTAAAACCAAAAAGAGTCAGTGTGATAATAGTTTTTACAAAAAATTATATTACTTTAGGTATGCCAACTAAAATCTGGTCATAAATTTTTATTCCGCATGGATTTTGAGGTCTAATAGCACTAAAGAGAAGTGATAGTTGATGTTTTTCGATTTTGCATATAGAAATTACAAAGTTCTGAATGATTTATAAAGCTATGACAAGATGGGAGCAAAAAATAAAATCCAGAAATACCCCAAATTTCTTTCAGGATTATGTCCTGTTCCATGCGCGTGAGGTCCAAAGTATCCGTCAAGTCTTCCCCGTCGCCTTCTACGTGCACGGAAAGTCCTCACAAGTCCTGAATTCGCAAAGCGAAAAGATCTTCACCCAGCTCCTGGAGGTGTCGATTCTGATCATCTGCGAGCTCAACAAATCCCCCCTGAGCAGCGGGATGGGCTCGAGTTTGATCTTCCAGCCGCAAAAAGCACGCGACGCCTCCGCCGTTTCGCTCAACGACATCCTGGAATGTGTTGTCTTCAGACCGGAGGGCACAATTTATCAACGATTGGATTATAGGAATGTGGAGAGGGTTGCGCGGTGCTGGAAGAGGGCTATAGAGGTTCGTGGAGCCTGTGGAAACCCGCAGAGACTCCCCGAGGAAGAGGCAGTCTTCTTCCAACAACTGGTCCATCTCGGCTTGAGATTCTTGGGACAGGCCGTCTTGAACAAGGTAAGCAAGTCGGGAATTTTGAAGGATATAAAAACAATGTTAGTTGTAAAATACGCTGGGCTCATTCTTGTTCTTTTTAAGTCATTACGGCGAGACTTTAGAAATATGAAACTTGACATCAAAGGTATACAAATTTTTGGTCATTGCTCGTTAGTATAAGGTCAAACAGATACAAAACGAATAAGATCGAGTAAAATAAGATTTATACTCTCTGTAGATTCATAGTTTCGGTAGAAAAAGAAAAAAGTTAGAAAGATATGAGATTTTTCATCAGATGTCAAGTATAATATAAAATTTCTGTCATAACTTGGTAAATTTCCCCCGGATTTTTTTGAAATGGTTATTATAAGGTAAAATACGAAAAAATAAATGCAGCCCCTTATTTGTGGATTTTTAAAGTTTTTTGTGTGAAAGATATTCGATCAAAAATCTGAGGTCAAGTGCAATATAAAGTTTTGGTCATAGCTTGCTGAAATGTTGTAGAAATAAGTGAAAATTTTGATAGATTGATAAAATACGGTATCTTTTATTTGGTTTTGATTTTTTCCAGGGCCAGTAGACCTGGAATGAACTAAAATATTGGATTTTTTATCAGATGTCAAGTGTAATATATTTTTTTTTAAAAGTTTCAAAATTTGTTTTGAAAATCATTGAAAATGAGCTTTATAGGTAAAATACGGTGGGCCAACCAAATATTTGATTTTCAGAACCCCTCCAAATCCCTGTGCGGAGCCATGGACAGTTGCATTGAGCTCCTCCGAGTCTTCACAGCCCTTTGCCCCAGCAATATTAAGCTCGAATTGGCCGGAACAGTCACAAGTATCGACTCGAAAATCATCTTCCAATCCTCCGAATACGGAGCCAGGTGCTTGTTGCGATCAATGGTGATCTGCATAAAGTCGTTGAACCCGGAAGACCGACTTTATGTAACGTCGAATCTAACGGCCAGCGAAAAAATGAGCTCGAAGGATCTGAATGAAATGCTTGGACAGTTCCCTAATTGTCGTAGGTTTTTTTTGGATTTTTTTTTTTTTTTTGATTTTTTTGCACAGTGCAAGTTGAAAACCTGATCGCACTGTGCGTCTTTCGAAAAATTTTTGTTGCACCGTGCATTTTTTCTGAGATCAAATTTTCGCACCGTGCAAGTTGAAAAAATTATCGCACTGTGCGTCGTTTTGAAAGAATTTTATTGCACTGTGCAGTCACATTTTTGATTTGCACTGTGCATTTTTTGCGATAAATTTTTCGCACTGTGCAAATTGAGAAAACTGGTTGCACTGTGCGTCTTTTGAAAGAATTTTATTGCACTGTGCAGTCACATTTTTGATTTGCACCGTGCATTTTTTGCGATAAATTTTTCGCACTGTGCGAGTCAATTTTTTGATTGCACTGTGCGTTTTTTTGCGATAAATTTTTGCACTGTGCGATTCAATTTTTTGATTGCACCGTGCATTTTTTGCGGTAAATTTTTCGCACTGTGCAATTTATAGTTTGAGTGCACTGTGCATTTTGTGCGACATTTTTTTGCACTGTGCAGGCTAAAAAATATTGCACCGTGCATTTTTTTGCGATAAATTTTTGCACTGTGCGAATCAATTTTTTGATTGCACTGTGCGTTTTTTTTTTGAACTTTTTGCACAGTGCAGACTAAAAAATATTGCACAGTGCAGTTTTCAGCAATGAAATTTGTGCACTGTGCGAGTCAATTTTTTGATTGCACCGTACATTTTTTTGCGATAAATTTTTGCACTGTGCAATCAAAAAAAAGTTGCGACAGTTTTTTGCACTGTGCAGGCTAAAAAATATTGCACAGTGCAGTTTTTTAGCGAAGAAATTTGTGCACTGTGCAATTCAAATTGCACATCGCACAGTGCAAAATTTTCTACAAACTTTTTTTTCACAAAATACATCTTGTTTCTTTCAGAACTGGAAATTCAAGACCTCCGCGACATCATGAACCCCTACGTCAACTACCTGAAGCAAGAACAAGAAGAGAAAACCTACGTTAACTTATAGCATATCATAGCCATCACAGTTATTTGTTGTCCCGGCTGATTTTTCGATTACTTGGATTTGTACTTCCTTTGTTAATTCTTTCACTCCTCACCTTGGAATCTCCATTTTTTATTTTTACTAACTTATTCTAAATATAATTTTTATTAAGAATTTTTTTATCTCTTTTTTTTGATTGTAAAACTAATGTATGTTGTACATAAATGACGTCATTTTTTGTTTTTATTAGAAATAAACTAGTTTTAATGACAATTTTGATGATTTTTTTATTTTTTTTTATTTTTTTTTGCACTGTGCAATCAAAAAATTGAGAGGATTTGGGATGCACAGTGCAGAAATAAATTTTATTATTTTTCTGCACAGTGCGGATAATGTTGGAGGAAAAATTGATAGGGTAGTATAAAAAACCCCTCAGGCAATGAGCTTTCGTTGTCAAAAATTTTCAATTTTTCTGCACTGTGCGAGAACAGACTTTGTTATTTTATTGCACAGTGCAGAAATAAATTTTTATCTTTTTTGCACAGTGCGGATATTGTTGGAGGAAAAATTGATAGTAGTAGTACTAAACGCCCTCCGGACAAGAAGTTTTCGTTGTCGAAAATTTTTAATTTTTCTGCACTGTGCGGGAACAGACTTTTTTATTTTATTGCACAGTGCAATAATAAAAAAATTGTTTTTTTTGCACGGTGCGGAATTTTTTGGCAAAAAAAATTTAGCAGAGTGATCTGGCCGCCTCTTTTTTGCACAGTGCAAATTTTCCTGCTTTTCTGCACGGTGCGGAAATAAAAAAAAAGATAAAAAAATAAATAAAAAAAAAAAAAATTCGCACTGTGCAGAAAACAAAAGTTTTGTTTTCAAATTGGATTTTCTTTTTAATTTTATTTGATAATTTTTATTTATACCCTAAAATTCCAAAATTATCATCCAAAAGATGTCACCCGATTTGTTTGCCTTCCATTTTAGCCAACCCTGTCATTCGATACGGTTTCGAATTTATTCGACCAGGATGGGTATCGAAATTAAGCCATCTGTCTGCAACAGGCTCTCTTGTTTTCCGAGTTGGCATCGACTTTATCGCACAGTGCAATTTTTGAAGTGCCAAAGTCAATAGGGAAAAATTTTAGGGTTGCACAGTGCGGTAAAATAGAAATATTTTTTTCCGCACAGTGCAGAAAAAATGAAAAATTTGGAAGGTGCAAAAACATTGCCTGAGGGCGTTCAAAAATACCCCCATCAATTTTGTCTTCAAAAATATCCGCACTGTGCAAAAAAAGTAAATTTTTATTATCCCACTGTGCAATAAAATCAGAAAGTCTGTTCTCGCACAGTGCAGGCAAATGAAAAATTTGGAGAGTGCAAAGGTATTGCAGGAGGACAAATAATGACATTCTAATAAACTTTTTTTGTTAAAAAGTTGCGCACCGTGCAAAAAAAAGCAATTCTTTACTATTGCACTGTGCAAAAAAAAAGAAATTTTTGATTACTGCACTGTGCAATAAAATCAGAACGTCTGTTCTCGCACAGTGCAGGAAAAATGAAAAATTTGGAAAGTGCAAAAAACTGCCTTGCGCACCGTGCAAAAAATCTAAAACGTTTTGCACAGTGCAATCAAAAAAAATTTTTTTCATTGCACAGTGCAGAAGAAAAAAAAAATTTTTTTCATTGCACAGTGCAGAAGAAAAAAAATTTTTTTCATTGCACAGTGCAGAAGAAAGAAAAAATTTTTTTCATTGCACAGTGCAGAAGAAAGAAAAAAATTTCATTGCACAATGTAGAAGAAAAAAATAATTTTTTCATTGCACAGTGCAGAAGAAAGAAAAAATATTTTTCATTGCACAGTGCAGAAGAAAGAAAAGAAAATTTTTTTTTATTGCACAGTGCAGAAGAAAGAAAAAAAAATTTCATTGCACAGTGCAGAAGAAAAAAAAAATTTTTTTCATTGCACAGTGCAGAAAAAAAAATTTTTTCATTGCACAGTGCAGAAGAAAGAAAACAAATTTTTCATTGCACAGTGCAGAAGGAAAAAAAATTTTTTCATTGCACAGTGCAGAAGAAAGAAAAAAAATTTTTCATTGCACAGTGCAGAAGAAAAAAAAATTTTCATTGCACAGTGCAGAAGAAAGAAAAAAAATTTTTCATTGCACAGTGCAGAAGAAAAAAAAATTTTCATTGCACAGTGCAGAAGAAAATAAACTTTTTTTCATTGCACAGTGCAGAAGAAAGAAAACAAATTTTTCATTGCACAGTGCAGAAGAAAAAATTTTTTTTTTCATTGCACAGTGCAGAAAAAAGAAAAAAATTTTTCATTGCACAGTGCAAAACAAGAAAAAAAATTTTTCATTGCACAGTGCAAAACAAGAAAAAAAATTTTTCATTGCACAGTGCAGAAGAAAGAAAAAAAATTTTTTTTCATTGCACAGTGCAGAAGAAAGAAAAAAAATTTCATTGCACAGTGCAGAAGAAAAAAAATTTTTTCGTTGCACAGTGCAGAAGAAAGAAAAAAAAATTTTTCATTGCACAGTGCAGAAGAAAGAAAATATTTTTTATTGCACAGTGCAGAAGAAAGAAAAAATATTTTCATTGCACAGTGCAGAAGAAAAAAAAATTTTCATTGCACAGTGCAGAAAAAAAAAATTTTTTTCATTGCACAGTGCAGAAGAAAGAAAAAATATTTTTCATTGCACAGTGCAGAAGAAAGAAAAAAAATTTTTTTTCATTGCACAGTGCAGAAGAAAGAAAAAAAATTTCATTGCACAGTGCAGAAGAAAAAAAATTTTTTCGTTGCACAGTGCAGAAGAAAGAAAAAAAAATTTTTCATTGCACAGTGCAGAAGAAAGAGAATATTTTTTATTGCACAGTGCAGAAGAAAGAAAAAATATTTTTCATTGCACAGTGCAGAAGAAAGAAAAAAATATTTTCATTGCACAGTGCAGAAAAAAAAAAATTTTTTCATTGCACAGTGCAGAAGAAAGAAAAAATATTTTTCATTGCACAGTGCAGAAGAGAGAAAAAATTTTTTATTGCACAGTGCAGAAGTAAGAAGAAAAACTTTTCATTGCACAGTGCAGAAAAAAAAAGTTTTATTGCACAGTGCAAAACAAAAAAAAATTTTTCATTGCACAGTGCAGAAGAAAGAAAAAAAATTTTTCATTGCACAGTGCAATAAAAAATATTTTCTTCATTGCACAGTGCAGTCTCAAAATTCTTTTCCGCACTGTGCAAAATACATCTTTTTTACATATATAAAACCACATATATCGTATTTTACATCATCAAAAGCAGAAGATCAAAGTGTGTTTCGCCGAGTTGGTGTATTTGATTTGTGTGTGCATGTCCATTGTGTTTGGTTTCCATGTTTACGGGTTTGTTTATTACCTCAGCCTCGGTGGGCGACCTCATAATGGCGAGGGTTGCGCAATATAACTTCCGGCCGATTATGTCATCGTTTGGGCTTATAAAAGCAAGGTGAAATGTTTACTCTTTGCATGCGACTTTCTTTTGCACTGTGCGGGCGAAAAAATAGGCTAAAATCTGACTGCACCGTGCGAAAAATGAAATATTTTTTTTTTGCACTGTGCGAAATGTAAAAAATTTTGCGCAACAGAAAAAAGTGTTTAAAATTAAATTTGCATAAATCAAAAATTCAAAAATTTCAAAGATTCGCACAGTGCAGTCAGAAAAATTGAAGAAAATTCTTTGCACAGTGCAGTCCAAATTTCTTTTGTTTTCGCACGGTGCAATCAATTTTTGCCGCAAAAAATGCACTGTGCAATCTTATCGCTTCTTCGGAAATCCAACTGCACTGTGCAACAATCTCTCATCATTCGCACAGTGCGAAAAAATTGAATCTTTTTCATCTGCACAGTGCAAATCAAAATGACTTGTATTTTCGCACGGTGCAATCAAATTTTGTCCCAAAAAATGCACTGTGCAGTCTTCTCGCGACTTCATCGATCTGACTGCACTGTGCAAAAATCTCTCGTCATTCGCACAGTGCGAAAAAATAGAATTTTTTTCACTGCACGGTGCAAATCAAAATGACTTTTGTTTTCGCACGGTGCAATCAATTTTTGCCGCAAAAAATGCACTGTGCAGTGTCATCGCTTGTTCAGAAATCTAACTGCACTGTGCAAAAACCGATAATTCACTGCACAGTGCGAAAAAATTCATTTTTTCCGTTGCACAGTGCGATTTAAAACCCCTTTTATTTTTGCACAGTGCAATCATTTTTTGTCGCGAAAAATGCACTGGCAGTCTTCTTGCGACTCCACTGATCTGACTGCACTGTGCAAAAACCGATAATTCACTGCACAGTGCAAAAAAATCGATTTTTTTCCACTGCACAGTGCAATTCAAGTATTTTTTTAAGCCGGATATTTCACCGTGCAGTCTTATAAAGAGATAGAAATGACCTATACCTAAGCATTACTACTCAGTCTCCATCAAAAAACAAAAGAATTATGACGAAAACAGTAAGAATTTACTATTTACTTACCAAAAACGAGAAATTTCAAATCCAAAATTTTCCTCCATATTCAAAGAAATTTTGCACTCTCTGCATATGCAAATTTTCATTCCACAACTTGAGCAATCAGGGCCAAGACGAAAAGGGCCAAAAGAAGGGCCGAAAAGAAGGGGAAAGGAAGTCGATTTCCGCCCGCTTTTTTAATGGATCCGCTTGAAATTGAGAGTCCATTCAGAGAGTATCATGGTAGCCGAAAAGAAGAAAGGCCCGCTATAAACAAGGCATCTGATTGCGTAAGGGAGCAAATACGGGGGGAAATTTTGGTTTTTTTCAGGAGAAATGAGTGAAATATGGAAAAAATTGGTAAAACTTGATTTAAAATACGTTGTTCGCGTGGAACTGGTCGTTTAATAGCACTTTTGCAACTTGTAAAAAACTTCTCAACACTTCTGAGCATTTGAAAAATTGATTTTTAGCTTCTGCATCCAGTGGGAACCGAACCATCGACATTTTCAGTGATAAGCTGGAACTTTACCACTATACTAAACAGGTACAGGCGTTGAAAATTGCTGATTTTGATCGGAAATTTGTTACAGTAACCCTCTCAATTATTTTCATCAATAAAAAATGCTGAAATCAACTATAATTTTACATTATATTGCTTCAATCAGCAAAAAAAGTAATGGCAAAAAAATATTATTTTTACTCTGGATTTAATTTCTGGCTGAAAAATCTCAAAAACGATATTATTTATTTCCTCAATTCATCATATTGACCATCTTGAAGCATCATAATTCATTTTATGTCCGCATAATTGTAGGTCCACCTAAGACAATATAACTGCTGCCGTTACTCAAAACCCCTCCTCAAACAATGGATTTTTGCGCGAAAATTTGAATAAAATCTCTCCGGGACCATTAGCCCCGTCTTTGTCCCCCGAATTGCCCGCAGAACCGGGAGATTGGCCGGGGGGCGGAGCCTCGCCCCGCTAGCCGCGCGCTGATTGGCCGAAATGAAGGGGCGCGAAATCTGGGATTTTTCGAGTAAATAAAAATGCGGATCCAGTAAATTATTGTCGGGACGAGGCGTGCGGAAGGAAGGGAACGTCCGGCCCCTTGTCAGAGGCGGACAATCTTTTTTCGTTTCGGCCGCAGGGCCGGATTCCGTCGAAGGCTACAGAATCCACGAAGAGAAGCGGGTGTTGTGACTGATATCGGGTTACGGTGGCGTGTAAAGCGTACGAGAATGGGTTTTCTATACTTTTTGGGGGGTTGAATACAAATCTTTCGATAATTTAGACTGCACAGTGCAAAAAAAATTTTTTGATTATTGCACAGTGCAGTAGCCGAAATTTGGTATAATGTTTTGATAGTATCATTGAAAGGTACTCTTAAAATTTTCCTTGCTATCGAACTAGCCAAACGTCTCCATATTACCTCTTCTATTTACAATTTTATTTTTTTCGCACTGTGCGGTCGATTTTATTTTGTCTATTGCACTGTGTAGAATGCAAAATTTTACTGTCATCTAAACTAAAATTATGAAAAGGACCTTTTAGATCATATCCGAGCCAACAAAAAAGTAAATTGCATCGTATTCAGATAGTACGATGCAATTTTCAATTTCATGCACAGTGCAAAAAATTTTTGAAAAATTCAATCTGCACTGTGCAGAATTTCTCATCATTGCTAAAAATCTTTGTTTTAGCAATGGTGAGTTGCTCAACGCACACCTCAAAACTTTATTTTGGCCAAAAAACGACTACCGTAGGCTCGCGAAAACTCCCAGCGGCCGAAACTCCGCCTTCGGCGAGCGCGCGGCCCAAACAGACCGCGGCCCCCGCGAGCCTCTGAATTCATTCGCACCGGGCCGGGGGCCTTTTAAACGGCCGCACCGGCAATTTCCTTCCTTCCACCGGTTTTCCTGATCCGATCTTTTTCCTCGCTGGCTTTTACCCGCCTTTTTCCGCTCCTCGCGCCGGGTCGACGAAGAGCCCCCGCCGCGGGCCTTCCGTGTGATAGTCAACGAGAGGGCGCCGGAAATCAGTCGAGGACGGAAATGACAGGGAAACGCACCGGTGATATGATAATTTAGGGCCTTGGGAGAGGTGGGATTCAATTACGTTAGCGGCTTTGGAGGCGGTGGGGAAAAAGGTGTGATCGGCAAATTTTGTGGGGTGTCTGGGCAAGAAATTTGTGTCGCAGTAATAGCCAGGCCATCAATCAGCATGCTGGCAACATTTTTCAAGATCTAGTTGCTGTAAAAAAACGCCAACTTTCAATTTTTATAGAGACCATCAGATTTGATGGGTAATATAAGTTTCTTGATTTTTCTACACTTTGAAGCAAGTATAGGGCGAAAATGTGAAGCCTGTGTAAAATCAGAGCTTTTATGATCATTTGGAAGTTACTAACTAACTAGCAGCATGCTTGGAAAATTCATAAAATGGGTTTGAATCAAGGGACATCAGATGTCAAGGATAATATAAAAAGGTCCTGTTTCTTCATGTATTCGGTCTTGATCAGGTCGAAAAATGGTACCGTAATCTCAAATAGCACTTAATCCTGCCAATCTGACCGTTAACATCTTACCTTAGCTTTTGTATTTACCATAATTTCGATTTTTCCCAAAACGATGACCAAAAATATTTAATTTTTTCCAGATCTCGTGCATTGTCAATCTAGTCATCTTATCGATCTCAACTCCTAAACCCCATCTCCAAACATCATGGAAAACATTCTGAAAGCAGCCGTAGCGGCAGCATCCACGTCAGCATCCAGTGTGCCATCTCCAAACTCAGTCCATACCTCGTTGGCCAATGAGCATGCAATTCAGCAGCAGAATCAAGTCATTCACAATCATAACAACGGCCTGGAGAACATCCCACAGTATCCTCCAATCGGGTTTGATTTGAACACAATCTCATCGCTGTCCGGCTTTCAGGTAAGAGGTTTTCGCGGCGGGACCAAGTTTTTTGGGGAAATTTTGAAGAAAATCGAAGAATTGTAAAATACGTTGTTCTTATTTATCTCCTCATATCAAAATTAGTTTCATTACAATCTAAGATGTCTATGGGTCATAATAGACACAATAATTTTTTCGAAAAAATTGCTTGGCTATAAGAAAAGCGAGATTGTTTTTAGCGTGTTCTTTTGAGGGTCTAGGCAAAAAACGGCGGATTACCTTAAGAGTTAGTGCATATTTTGTTGTTTTGATGACATTACATCATATTAGACGTCCTTGACTTTTATTATAAGATAATTTTTTTTAATTTTTATTTCTTGTTTTGAGATTTTTTGGTCTTTCTTTCAAATTTTTTGAAAATTTTTCAAACCTTGAATTTTTTCCCGGTTTAATCTATCCGTATTTTACAAAAGCCTAAAAATTGCTCTTTACAAATCGCCCACAGTAACTTCCACACTTTTTCCAGAACCCCAACGGCATGGGATTTGGCCAGCGCTACCCATTCTACGACCAAAACAGTCTTCAGAAGCCGCTGATTATGAACAATCAGTCGCAGCCAAACGGTGGTAAGTGAAGCACCAGCCCCTAAAACATGCAAACTCAATTTCCGCGGTTCAAAAGCCATCCCAATCCCGACGAAAATTGAATTCCGCGCACTGTGCGCCGAGATTTGCTCGACTTTACGGGAAATTGAGGAAAAAGTTATGCAAATGTTTGGGACGTGATGTTTCTGAAATTCTGAAGAGCTTAGATTTTACATTTTTTGATTTTTTCAATACCATTTTAGGGTCTAAAATGAGATTTTTTGATTTTGCACTGTGCAATGGAAAGTTTTCCGCACCGTGCAGTTTTTCGAGAAGATTGCACGGTGCAACAGTGCGAAAAATAATCTGCACAGTGCAGAAAATCATTTTTTGTCGCAAGATTTTTTGTTCGACCGCACAGTGCGATGATTTCCTTGATCTTTTCGACTGCACCGTGCAAATAAATTTTTGCACTGTGCATGGAAAACTAGCGACAAAGTTGCGACAAAAATATTGTTATGGCCTTTTTTAGACATCATTATTACTGTCTGATGTAAAATTTTACAACTTTTACATTTTGCACGGTGCAAAGACCTCATTTATTTTTTCGCACCGTGCAATCAAATTTATGATGTTTTTGACTCCAAAATAGGGAAAAATGAAAAAATAAGTTGTAAATTTGCAGCAGTAAACTTGTCGGTGCATGGTGCTCCAGCGACCTCCTCGCCGAACCACAGCAACACCACCAGTTCGACTCCAAATTCCCAGAATACCACATTGACGCACAATACGAATAACTCGGGTTCCAACGGGTTGAAGGATGAGGTAAGAATCCTAAAATCTTTTTTGCTCTCTTAAGCGATTACATTTTAATTTTGAAGACTATCATTCAATTGTCATTGATTTTAGGGGCTGTTTAATCCAATGAACTCGTGTTTTCCCTGCAATTCGCTGCCGGTCCCCGGAAAAACCAACAATAATGGGCTTCTGCAGCAAGGTAGGTAACTGTACCGTCTCCACCATGAACGCATATACTTTAACGGACATGGGAAAGCCCTAATTACCGCACTAGCATGATTTTCGATACAATTGCGGGGGTCACTTAGGGCCGCCGTCTTTCGGCAAGTCCTCAAGACGGGCCACCTTTTAATTGTTTCGACTGGGGCGGAAATTGCGCGCATCCCTTTCTTGGCCACTCAACGCTGGCCCCGCGTCTTTGATTAGAGATGGGCTATTTTGAATTTGCGGCTTCAATTATGAAACAATGAAAATTTGGGTCAACTGGGGAAGGTGATGATTTTTTGGTCATAATTCAGTGGCAAAGAAAGATTTTGACTTGAGATTTGACACAGTCAGAGATGGTAGATAGTTTTAACAGATACTATACTATCTTTTTTGGATATGCAAATTTCCTAAAGTTATGATGAAATTTTGAAAAAGGTTCAAAATTTTGATGTCATACTCAAGATTGTGCTCCAGCTCAGCCATAAATAGACCCACTGACTTCAAATTACCGCATAACATAGCTACTACAGCCCTCTACAATACTGTAAAATTCCAGTTACATCGATGTTTTACTCTTCAAGATATGACCAAAATTTTATAACCTACCAAAGCATATCCCCAATTTTTACAAAACCTCCCGCAATACCGTAACCCTCATGCCTTGAGGCAATAAAACCCAAACAAAGAGAATCAGTAACCAACCGAACATTTAGAGTGCATTTTCGATGGGCTTATGTCATGTCATGACCCCATTCAGCGGCAATTACTTGCGGCTCTCCCTTTTTTTGCCGCAAAATGTTTTGCGCGACAAAGAATGGGTAATGGAGCCGTAAAACGGCCGTGTTTAAGTGTCTTGCAACATATTCGACCAAGCTCTCCATTCTACGGAACTTATACTGTCAAATAAGGGGCAATACAATATCGAAAATAGAGATTTTTTGCGAGGATAATCGAAAAAAGATGACTTTTTGGTCAAAAAATTTTATTTTGAGATTTTCATCCATCTGAAATGGCCTGAAAATTTGATGGCCCTCATAAATAACGTCTTGACATGCTATAGAAGACAAAAAACGCAAAGATTCGCGGGGTTTATTTGATTTGAGCGCCGAAAAAGGCAAGAGACAAATGCACTGTGCGGCACAATGAAAACCCGCACCAATTGCGCAATTTTAATGCAAATACACATGCAGGAGGTGAGTAATGGAGGCGGTGGGCTACAGAAAATTCTATAAACATAATGGAAAAATGATTTTTTCCGATTTTTTAGCAAGTTTGAGATTTTTTTAATTTAAAAAAAAATAATTTTTGTTACAGTAACCCAATTTTGAGATTTCAAAAAGTCAAAATAGCATTTATTACATGATATAAACAGGTTGGAATAATGATTTTTTCCGATTTTTTGCAAATTTGAGGTTTTTAAAAATTTTTTTAAAATCTAGTTTTTGTTACAGTAACCCAATTTTGAGATTTTAAAAAGCCAAGATAGCATTTATTGCATTATATCAACATACTGGAAAGACACTTTATGCGATTTTTTTATAAATTTGAGATTTTTAAAAATTTTTGAAAATCAAAATTTTGTTACAGTAGCACTATATAACGTATTTTAACTTGATTTGCATCATAACCTGCTCAAAAATTTTTTTATTTCCAAAAAAATTCCCGGTTTCCCCCAAAAAATCCCAATTTCCCCATCCACTATTACAGTAAGACAAGCCTTTCATTTCGCTTGAAATGACCTCAAGATGGTCCGAAAATACATTGTCCCTAATAAGCGTGCAATTACAGCGCACAAAACAACTGTTGCCAGCGAAAAAACATTAATTTATTTTAATCCCATTGGGAGGCGATTTCCGGCGCGGATTTACCCACCGTTAAACACAATACGCACACAATAGAGGCGAAATTTATGGGGTAGCGATTATTCAGCAAGATGTATATGGGCGAAAAATGACTTGCTTTTGAGCGATTGCTCCTTGGGGACAGCTCGAAAAAGGGCCGAGATCAAGGTCAAAACAGCGATTTATGACTACTGTAGCCAAATTCTTGGCTGAAATACAATGTAAACTATATGATAAGGCAATTTAAAGCTCTGTGAAGCTCTGAAACTTTTCAAATTTCCCCTAATTCCACAAAATTTTGGCGCAATTTGCATGTCTTTGGAATGAAATTAGCGAGTTATTGTTTCCCTGGGCCAACAATCGAATTCCGCGCGCATTAGAGTGGAAGAATCAAGAGACTCCGAGCCTAACGAGACCACATTGACCTCTAGCTTTAATTAATCCGCGCGGATTATCGGATTAGCCGACTACCGTAATTTGCGGGGGAAATTGAGGAAAAACATGGCGAAAATATATGAAATACTAGACAGCTATTGCCGTATTTTACCATTTTGAAAATCCATGTTCAATAATAAATCATTTTCTGTCGAAAAAACCCAGTTTTAGGACATATCAAGTTTTCGTGGTGAGACCAAGAAGCAATAATCTCAAGTTGTATACACTTCGTAGCGTAAAATATCTGTGTGTCATATGGAAAAATCATGACTTTTGGCCAAAAAAATGACATTTTTTCATTTTCAAGTTTTCGTGGTGAGACCAATTCATCATGGAGGTTTTCTTATTTTACATGATATTACGACGAAAGACGACGTATTTTACCTCTTTTAAATATTTTATTTGATATCCCATCATTTTTAACCCCAAAATTCCATTTTTAAGCAAAATCAAGTTTTCGTGGTGAGACCAATTTAACGGTTGAGGGATCCAAAATCAATCAGGAAGGAATACTGCGAGGCAACGTATTTTACCTCTTTTAAATATTTTATTCGATATACCATCATTTTTTATCTAAAAATCCCGTTTTTAGGCAAAATCAAGTTTTCGTGGTGGGACCAAAGGCTTAATGAAAAAGCTCTGTGCACGTTGTATTTTCACACTCTGGTACTTTTTATGCAAAATAAATCGCTCTTTATCCAAAAAAATCCCATTTTTAATCAAAATCAAGTTTTCGTGGTGGGACAAAATTCCTGTAAGCAGTGCCGTATTTTACAATTCAAAACCCGGTTACGAGAGTTATTTGCACAGATTCGCTTCCGCGCCGGATCATAACACCATCTTCGAGGGCGATTAGGCGACAGTAAACAGGGCGGCCCTCTTCTTCTCGCCGCCAAAACCGGTGCAGATGCGCAAATAAAATTGAACAAGATTTACGAACTGGTGCGGATATTAGATGAGGTCAGGAAGCGGTGCCGGAGGTTCCTTTGGCAACTACAAGTCAGAAGTAAACAAAAGTTTTTTTGCACTGTGCATGTCGCAAAAATCACTCCAGCGACTTTACGAACGGAGCCGTAGGCCAAGGGTCGTAGGCTAAGAAAAATTCGAATTGAAACCATGAGAAATCCTTGGCATTCCGTGTCAGCTCACGCAGGACCGTTATATACTACAGTGACGGACCTGATCCAGTGGCAAAAAACTTACCATTTTGCATTCGGGAAGTATCAAAAAATGTGGCAAAATGCCTCCCTCTCTAACTGAAAAAACATCGTTTTGAAGGGCCCTCACAAAAAGAGAGGGCGCGCTTTTGAAATCGGAGTTTTTTCACTTGGAGAGGGAGGTATTTTGCTACGTTTTTTGATGCTTCCCGGATGCAAAATGGTACGTTTTTTGCCACTGGATCAAATCCGCCACTGCATGTTGTCAAGACCTTGGTATGGGTCAAGTAATAAGGGTCCCTAATCTAGTTCAACCTAAGATCCCTAGCCCTATGCGAATACAAGGACAACAGAAACAAGCGACAACACAACTAATTATGATCTAGGCAACAACTTCAAAAATGAACTCACAATACTTGAGGAACCAACTTCACAAGCTGACCATAGACACAATACTAATAGACTACAGTAGAAATACCATTTATTGCAACTTCCAACCGGGAAAACAAACACAAAATAATCATAATAATTGGCGATTTCTCTTCCTTTTATACCAATTTGTCGGTCATTACGTGGGAATATGCAAATTCGCACGCGAAGTCGTGACAATGTAGATTATACAAAAAAAAAATCAAAAAATCTCATTTCCCCTCAAAAATCGAAACTTTTTTCAGATCCCTACCAAATCCTCGGCCCCACCTCGCAACGTCTGGCCAGCGCCGGCAGCGGACAAATCCAGCTCTGGCAGTTCCTGCTAGAGCTCCTGTCCGACTCCCGCAACGCCTCCACCATCACGTGGGAGGGCACGCAAGGCGAGTTCAAGCTGGTCGAGCCGGACGAAGTTGCCCGCCGCTGGGGCGAACGCAAGAGCAAGCCCAACATGAACTACGACAAGATGAGTCGCGCTCTTCGATACTATTATGACAAAAATATCATGGCCAAGGTCCATGGAAAACGATATGCGTACAAATTCGATTTTCAAGGTAGGAAGAAGTTTTTTTGGGATTTTTTGAAGAAAAAGTGGGAAAAATGAAAAAATGACGTCATATTTTGATGAAATTGGGCATAAATTTAGACTATTGAGGATTTTTTGAAAGATTTTTGAGATTTTTAGCTAGCAATTTACCAAAAATCATTATGATTTTTAGGCCGAAAAATTGAAAAAATAGGGATTTTTTGGGATTTTGAGAAAAAATCAAAGAAAATGATGTCAGATTTTGATGAAACTTGACATAAATTTAGATTAAGATTTGTTGAGGGACTCATCAATATTTTTAAGACGAAAAATCAAAAAAAAATCCCGATTTTTTTGGATTTTCAAAAAAAGCAAAGAAGATTGAATTTTCACTAAGTGTCATCCAATTCTGAGCGAATTTTTTTCGAAATTTTTTTCGAAAAATTTCAAAAATTTTGGATTTTTTTGAAAATTTTTTTTATCAATTTCGATTTTTCGGACAATAATATAACTATTTGTATCATTTTTCATCACTTTTATAACTGTTATCCCCCCAATAAATCATCATTTTCAGGGATTTACCAAGCCCTTCACCCGCAAACCGCGCACGGTGCGTCGGCCGACCTATTCACGCATCCCGCCCGTTTCCAGCACGATCTCATGCAACACCCCTCGTGGCAAAACTATCGCTTCATCAACCCGGGCTTCCAGCCGTCCGCGAATTTCTTCAACGGCGCTATGGGCTACGGCAACTTCGGGGCGACGAATATGAGCGCACCGCGCAATTTTTCGTTGTACAACTCGACCAACTACACCCCGAAATGTTTGTAAAATACGCCAGATGTTTTGTAAAGTCTTTATGGATTAGTTTGGATAATAAATTTTTGATTTTTTCGTGGAAAAATTTGGAAAAAAAAATTTTTGGTGTGGTTTACCTAAAATAAGGTCAGAATTCTCTGATAGGTAAGTTATATCACTCCAAAACAGTAGTAAAATCATCGTAATCTCTCTGAAAAACACAAAAATCCGCTTTTTCAAAAAAAATTTTTTTGTGAGACGAAATGTCACTATTGATTTTTTTATATAACGAAGTGTCAAAAGAGAACAGCCATGAATTTCTCGCTTTTTAGTGGATTTGTTTATAAAGAAGCGTTTTATTTTTCGATTTTTCCCTCGAATTTTGAAAAAAATATTTTAAAAAATAAAAAAATCTCAAAACATTTTTTTTTTCAAAAAAAAGCTTCTAAATCAAAAACCGGTTCTGAAACCAAATTTATTTTCAATTCCGAGAAATTCGATATAAAGTAATTTGATTTTTACAGTCTATTTTTATGTTTTGTGCTCTCTAAGCCATCTGATCTCCGTTTTACGAGAAAAAATCGACTATTTATTTGTTTAGACATTCCTATTTCCCCATTTTTCGATGAGTAACGTTTAATTTCAAGGTCTTTTGACTCTTTTTTCGATCAAAACTTTTTTTTCTACTGCAAATTTAATCTAAAAAAGTTTTTTGGTCTGCACTGTGCGGTATTTTCAAATCGATTTTTGCACCGTGCAATCAATAATTTTGAAGATTTTTTTGCACAGTGCAAAAAAATTTTGTTTTTTATCGCCAGTTTTGCACAGTGCGGCTGAAAATTCAGCAAAAATTTTTTGCACAGTGCAGTAAGTTTTTCCGTTTCTCAATTCGCACTGTGCAATGAAATTCCATTTTTGTCGCCGGTTTTGCACAGTGCAGTAGGCTTCTTCGACTCTCCCTTTGCACTGTGCGATGCTTTTTGATTTTCTCTTCCGCACTGTGCGGAAAATTTTGGATCTTTTTTCCTTTTTATTCGCACTGTGCAGAAATTTTTTTTGCACTGTGCGAAAAATTTCGGGAAAAGTACCGCATTTTCTTCAGTTTCAAGCTCAAATCTTACTGTAATTTTTAGGGAAAATTCACAATGGACTACCAAAAGCTGGACGCGGCCTCCAAAGAGGAGGGTAATGAGAAATTCGAGGAAAAAATAAATATTCCATTGCCCGAGGCAAAAGCCCCAAGAAAATGCGAAAAACTGAGGAAATTATTGCAGAGTAAGCCCAATTTTGGCGAATGCCATCGAAAGGAACCCCTCGTCGAGAGGAACCCCTTGTTGAGAGGAACCCCTCGTTGAGAGGAACCCCCGAGTAGGAAATGTTGGATATAGAGGTAATCGATGACGGGGATTTCAAAAATGATGTTAATTTTTTCTGATTTTTACTTTTTTTCTTACCTAGTAGTGTTAAAAAGTAACTTTTTGAAATTTCTCTAAAAATACTGGATATAGGGGTTTTCGAGGGTGCTGATTTCGAAAATCATGTTAGCTTTCCTCTTTATAGTACTATCTGGTACTATGCAGTACGAGGTGAAAATATGGCTTTTGGCGTTAATGGTGTTGTTTTGACGCTTAGTACTCCTCAAAAACACGTTTTAAATAATTGGTACTGTTTAGTACCGTCTGGTACTATGTAGTACAAGGTGAAAATAGGAGTACTAAGCAACAGAACAACACCACTAACGCCTAAAGGCTAAATTTTTACCTTGTGCTACATAGTACCAGACAGTACTAAACAGTACCAATTATTTAAAACGTGTTTTTGAGGAGTACTAAGCGTCAAAACAACACCATTAACGCCAAAAGCCATATTTTCACCTCGTACTGCATAGTACCAGATAGTACTATAAAGAGGAAAGCTAACATGATTTTCGAAATCAGCACCCTCGAAAACCCCTATATCCAGTATTTTTAGAGAAATTTCAAAAAGTTACTTTTTAACACTACTAGTTAAGAAAAAAAGTAAAAATCAGAAAAAATTAACATCATTTTTGAAATCCCCGCCCTCGAAACCCCCTACATCGAAAAATTTCCTCCATATTCGGAAAAATCGAGAGGAACCCCTCGCGAGGGGTTCCTCTCGACGAGGGGTTCCTCTCGATGAGGGGTTCCTCTCAACGAGGGGTTCCTCTCGAGGAAAACCAATTTTGGCTAAAATTACCTTTATAATCAATAAATAATCCCTCAATTTCAGCTAAAATCACTGTGAAGCACGTCTTGATCGTCCTTCTCGTCTATTCTATATATTCGTTCATTGATTCCGAGTACAGTATTGGCTACAAAGCTCGTCGGGCGCGCGATCGTGTCATGTCTCGGTTTGGCGAAGGGCTGGCGAATCTTTTAGGATACGAAAAATCACCAATTTTGGTGAGAGACCCGTTGACTGGATTGGAGGTGAGTTTTTTAAAAAAGTTTTTTTTTTTAATTTTTAGAGTTTGCACAGTGCAAAGAACAAAAAAGACAAGTGGAAAAATTTTCACGCCACCATAAAAAACATTTTTTTTCTTATTTTTGACGACTGCACGGTGCGAAAAAATCATTTTCGGCTGTCGCACCGTGCGGACGAAACGGTCTTGGATTTTGCACCGTGCAAAACAAAACAAGGAAATTTTTGGTAATGCACTGTGCGACAGTTACAATTTTTTTTCTCTGCACAGTGCGAAAAATTATTTTGGCTTTCGAACAGTGCGTGATTTGAAAAAATTTACTTTGCACAGTGCAGAAATCGCAATCTTTCTTTTTGCACGGTGCGAGAAGAAAGTGACCCACAATTGTCGCCTGTTTCGCACCGTGCGAAAAATTATTTTCTTTTTTCTTGCATCGCGCGACAAAATCAGATTTTTTTGCTTGCACTGTGCGGAAGAAAAAAGGTTCGAAATTTGCACGGTGCAACAAAATTTTAGTTTACCGGCACGCACTGTGCGGAACAAAAACTTTTGGACATTGCACTGTGCGAAAATAGAGAATTTTCCTGCTTGCACTGTGCGACGAAAAAAGAATATTTTTCCTTGCACTGTGCGGTAGAAAAAAGTTTCGAAATTTGCACTGTGCATGTTCAAATCGGGTTTTTCGTCAAAAAAAATACAAAATTCGATTTTCAGACGTATCGCTGGAGAAGTGAGATCGAAAACGACCCCAGGTATCGCGATCAGCTGGACGCTTTGGACAACAAAAACTGATTTTACAAATTTCTTCTTGTTTTACTTTGATTTATGTATTATTCATGGGCATTTCAAGCAATTACAGTAATTATTATTCCATGTTGTTCATGTATATACAGAAATAAACCTGAGTATTCGAAAAAATTTGAATTTTTTCAAAAAAAAAAAAAAAAAAAAAATTTTTTTTATTTTTTAATTGTCGCCAAATACTTCAAGAATCAAGTTTTCGACAAAAAAGTTTTAATTTTTTTTTCTAAAATAAAAATTTGAATATGCAAATTAAAATTTTTTTGCACCAAAATGCCCAAATTTAATTTTTTTTTGACTTTGACTTTCCTCAAGGCCCTAAAATTACAAAATAGCGTGACTGATAGTGTAAATACAGGCTCATGAGAGGAATTATAATTTTGTTTGCCTTTTCCAGCCACAACTATCTTTTCCGATTTTTTTTATTTTCCTTGTGACTAACCGCTCTCGCAAGGGAATTTTTTCAAAATTTCTCTAAATTTTCAGATTTTTCTGCCCTTATTTTATTTTCGATGAGTAATTGCTTTGTTTCCGGAGAGTTTAAATGACCTTCAGGTCTTTTATTTTGAAGCTTTGAGCCTCTAGAAGAGTGATTTTTTGATTGCACAGTGCAATTTTTTAGGCGCAAAGTACCAAGTTTCGTATTTTAAAAAAATCCAAAAACTGTTTTCAGACATGTCAGAGGATGTCTCTTTTTTAATATTTGTTACATTACAATTGAAGGTTTCCGCCCTGCACAGTGCAATTTGAAGATTATTTTTTCGCACAGTGCAATTTTTTGAATACAAATTTCGACCAGCTGTATTTTAAAAAATCAAAAACGTTTTTGAGAATTTGGTCAGATGAGTCTCAGCTTTAACATTTTTCACATTTCAACTGAAATTTTCCACCCTGCACAGTGCAATTTGACGATTGTTTTTCCGCACAGTGCAAAATTTTGAATACAAATTCCGGTTAATCGTATTTTAAAAAATCAAAAAATTTTTTGAGAATTTGATGAGAAAGAGTCTTAGCTTTAATATTTTTCACATCTCAACTGAAATTTTCCTCCCTGCACAGTGCAATTTGATGATTATTTTTCCGCACAGTGCGGATTTTCCAAATTGCTTCGCACCGTGCAAAAATCAACAATTTTTTTTCAAAAGCTTGTATCTTTCTAGACTACATTTTCCAATGGACTACAAAAAATTGCCGGACGAAACCCAGTCGGTTTACTCACAGGACTCGACTTTAGTCAAGGAGGACAAGATGGAGAGCGATCCACCTGTTTATGTGGCCGAACCTGCTCGGAAATTGAAGCGGACAACGAGATGGAAACGATTTTTGGATAGTAAGTGCCTTTATGCGAAATTGTAAGCTCTATTTTTTTGTTTTCAAAGCAATTGTTTGACGGAAAAATAAGAAAAATGCAAAAAATTTGAAGAAAAAAAAATTTTTTTATAAAAGATAATTGGACTACTGTTAGCAGCAATAATTTTAAAATACGGTGTAGGTGGAAAATTCTATTTTATTTCCCCTGGTTCTGCATCAATTTTCCATCAAAAATAAAAAATTTTTTATCAATTTTTCACTTAAAAGCGCAATTTCCCCTAACTAGGGAAGTGTACAAACGAACCCTCACCAAATGGCAAGTGTTATACACCATTGGAAAGCCCTTGAAAAATGATGAAAGGTACCATTTTCATTTTTTGCAGAATGCCTCAGGGCAAAAAATTATAAACGGTTGATTTGTCCCTTAAGTAGTTACAATATCTGCTGTGGCGCAAAATTAATCTTATTTCAAAACGCTAAATGGTAAATATTGCTGCTAGGTTGGCCTAAGAATCATTATGGAGCTTGGCGCGTGCCAGTAAAACCATTTTACATATGATATTTACTGGTTTTAAACAGCCATAACGTGAAAAAACACTTTTCACTTTTTTTAATTTTGAAAAACATGTAAGTTTGATGGTTTTAACCGTAATCGACCGTTTTCTAGAAAAATTAAAGCGTTTGTAAAAGCTTAATTCAAATATTATCCTAACTGTAAGAACGCAAAATGTTTTTGCCCAAGCTGGGAATCGAACCTAGCTTGGTTTGGCTTATCAGCCTGCTCAGCAACCACTGCACTATTGAAGCAACCCTCTTCGAGGATTTTTTCCTGCCCAAGAGAAAAAAAGATTTTTGTTGCGAAATGACCTAAAAATAATGAAATTTACAGTATGTCGTCGCGGAAAGGCATTCTGCAAAAAATGAAAATGGTATCTTGCATCATTTTTCAAGGGCTTTCCAATGGTGTATATCACTTGCCATTTGGTGAGGGTTCGTTTGTACACTTCCCTAGTAAGGCTATGATTCCAAAATTAAGCGAAAAATACATGAACTACTAATATTTTTCGTGAACAATAGTGTTCTCTTCAATACTTTCACTATTTCACACTTTTGTCTGGGCGCAGACTGCGGGTGACATTTTATACGAAGAATCTTCTTTAGAAGTATCAAAAAATCATTCATGAACTTAATTTTCCCTTCTAGGTTATGCTCAAAATTCGACATTTTCTGTCCATAAATCAGGCGCGGGTGACATTTTATACGAAGGGTGACATTTTATACGAAAGCTTCCATAAGTCTCCAAATGTTTCGAAAAATTACTGACCTTATTTTTCCAGGAAATATAACCGTTCGACAGTTACTAATAATCCTGGTAACATGTTATCTTCTTCTTATTGTCAATGAAGAGCTCGGAATCACAAGAAATATTGGGAATGCAATTGGAGATGCGATAGATTGGGTTTGTGGAATTGGCAGGGCAATATGTAGACTTTTTGACCACCTTACAGCACCTGAAGACCCAATTGTAATGGATCCATATGCAAAATGGCCGGGAAGAGTGAGTTTTTCTTTTCGTTTTTTGCACAGTGCGGCCATGGAAAATGAAACGTGATTTTTAGAGCCTTTGGTAAAATTTCGAGCTTGATGTTTTCAGCATAGTATGTCAGTATATTTCTCATTCACTTGTGCAAAATTTGCCATTATCTTGGCCCTCAGCACAGTGCAAATTTATTTCAATTTTTTTCAACTGCACCGTGCGAAAAAAATAATTTTTCAATTTTCAGGCTGAAATCGAACGGACCAGAGAAAAATTTGGCCCCAGTGTCGCTGCAAGACTCGAATTTCCCGGTAACTACGACTGATCAGAATTTTTTTCCGGTCGAACACCATCAACATGTTATCCATGACATTGGTTGGACAACGAGTACAATTTGACTCTATTTTTTTTGCATTATCTGACAAACACGGTTTTCATCTGTGTTGTTTTTGAGTGTGATATTGTATTGGCTGTGTTTGACTGTGTATATTTTGACAAGAAATCATGATTTTTCTCTAAAAAAATTTTGGTTTTTAAAAAATTGATATAAAAACCGGATTTTTGAAAAAATGTTGATATAAATCTCTGAAATATTTTGCAATTTTCTCCAAAATTTAAATCAATTTTTTTCATTTTTTCAGCACCATTTGCCCAGCGCGTTTTTACTTTTCAGCCTCGCGCGATTCCCATTTTTCGCAGTGAGAGATCGTTTTTCCGGGGCCGCGACAAATTATCAGGACCTTTTTGCGGCGAGTGCTTCAAAGAAGAAGGCTATTTGCAACGTCATCGGAACAAGAGAGCCGTCTCAAAGGGGGGGAAATTCACTTTTGGGTTACAAATCTCTTCAGTTTTCAAATTTCGTCATCCTGAAGGAGACGTCCTTGGCCAAACAAGCGTTTCCCTCATTGATGATCCCAGAAAAAATAATTTTTTCCCACGCGTAGCTGGTAAACTTACGGCCAAGAAGTGATTTAACCTTTTCATGGACAACCACGTTTCAAGGGCGCTGCGACTTTCGGGTAAGCGACAGTTCGGCGCAACGATACTATACATGGATTGCGTTCTGACCGCTCTCCATGTCTAGCGTACTCTCTTGTCAGCAAAGGCCATTCAGTATCCCGGCGGCGTCTGCAAAGGGCGAGCTAAAACTTTCAGGAATTGATATTAAGTCTATGCTTGACGTATGTGCAAAGTTTAGAAAAAATCTGAATTTTCCATTCACGCACACCCTAAACACAAAGTAGAAATGATTTTAAATCCGCGGAAGATGTATTTCACACTCTATTCGGTTATTTTGGACCATTGCAGATGGCCTTTTGCAACGGTGGACAGCAAAAAAAATCTGTGACATTTCGTCTTCCAAGCCGTTGAAGTGAGATTCAAATCTATTATTATTTGTTTTGGCCCTTTAAAAAAGACTGCAGAATATTCGAGGGAGTTCAAGGGCTTCGATGGCCTCGTAAACACGGACGTTGTCTTATCGCTTTCTCTCTTTCCATGAAAAAGTTATGGGCGATTTCTCCGTTTCCCTTGTGACTAATTCTATCAGTTTCAAGCGGAATTTCAGCTCGTGAATTTCTTGTGTAATTTTAATCGCATGTTTTTCCGAGATGAATCATCACACCGCCGATTTTTCGCTTTTCCCTTGCATTTAATAGACACGCCAAAATATCATTACCGTATTTTAACTTAATAATATCAATTTATATTTTCGGTAATGGACTATAAAAAGTTGGCCAGCGATACCGAGCCGATTTACTCTCAAACCGCGACAGTAATCAAAGGATTTGAAAATAATGATCCACCTCCAACTTACAAGAAGATAAACACTCCGAAAGTGGATGGAAACACAAGATGGAGAAGATTTTTGGCTAGTAAGTTAAACTCTTTTGCATTTTTTGGAGTTTAGAGGGCACTAACGGCTGGTTTCATGTCTCTTTGACCTGGCCTCCTAGTTTGCAGAAACGACTGATATCTTCATGTAGAAAGATGTAAAAATGCTTCACTTTTCTTGCGTATTTTAGCATGAAAAGTCTAATAGCTATTTCAGAGGTTAACGTCTCCATAAAAAAACGATTTTTCCAGGAAAAACTGGCAAGGAACAGCCAAAACAGCGTTTTTCTCAGACCACTCTCCGCGTTTCGTTTACTCTCTTGGCGGCGACCAGAGTCTGTCCAAAATTTAAAGGAAATCCGAACGTTGTTATTGAGCTACTTCCCTTGCAAAAACTTCAATTTCTTCTGAAAGCAAAAAGAAAGGAAATTCAACAAAATATTACAAGGAAAGTACTTCTATAGGGTATGGAGATACAGTAACTGCCCAATTTTGGTTTGAAACTTTGATTAATACTACACCTTAATCGCAGTTCCAATGTAAAGAGGGGCATTTACGGCGTTCCATTGTCAGCTATGAAAATTAGAGCTTTTTCTTTGTCTCGAATTTTTACTGTAGTCTAACGAACGGGTATAACATATTTGGTATTAAACAAAATGGGGTTGTCTATGGATTCAGAAAAAAAAGAATTTTAACATTTGCTCAAAAACTAAAAAAGTTATGGCCAATTAAAATTCGGCCGAAAAATTGCCGCACCCTGTAGTATTTTCATAAAGTGTGTGGAAAAATTGTCCCTTTTTCTCACAGTGCATTTTGAACGTTTTTCCCCGCTTGATGGGGGTTTTTGTGCACAATGCCGTGGGCCGTGATGACTATGCACTTTATTTAAATCTATCAGTCTTTCGGGAAAATAATGAGCTGAACGTCGCTGAATTGAAAAGCAATTTCATTTTGCCGCGACACATTTCATTTTCTCTACCGCGATACGATTTTCGATGCGACAAATCCCCATTATTTTCTCGACAGACTGATATCTACTAATGCTGTTACACGAACGCTTCCTTTGTCGAAACAACTAGATTTACAAATCACTAAAAATTTGCTTTTTCAGCCAAAGTAACCGTCAGACATGTGCTTCTCGCACTCCTGATCTACTGGTCTTTCTGTTACATCGACAATTGTGCTGGGATCACCAGCGGCATTAAGCGAGCGATTCAATACATCGGCTACAACTTGAGTGCAAAAATTGGAGAGCTCTTCAACGACGATGACAAAATCAACACTTTCAGTAAATGGTCTACTAGAGTGAGTTTACAGTGCTTTGGAAACGGGGCAAAATTTAGTATTTTACAGTGTAAATGGTAATTGAGTAATTTTAGGAACACGGAATAGTCTTTGAAGAAGAAAGACGCCCGGTCATACATGGCGAAGGACCACTTCCTTGATGATCCCAAACACCCAGAGAATGTGCATGACATCAACGAATATTCTCCGTATTTTACGCCAGTATTGCATTCCAAATTGTAAACTAACCATTGATTCTCGAGTAAAACCAAATAAATATATATAATATGTCCACAAAAATTTTTGGCCAATTTAATACCAGTCTGTCGGGAAAAAATGAGTACAATGTCGCTGCCCCAGTCGCGTCGCCGAATTTGATTCTGCCGCGACACATTTCATGTTTCGGCGATGATGCGATTTTCATGCGACCAATCCACATTATTTTCTCGGCTGACTGGCATGAGTCATTACATGACATTGCGTTTTCAAAATCAGCGACGTTTATCAAAGGGCAGTTTTACAGCAGAAAATCCTTACGCCATATTCTGCTTTACTTCCTCTTGCGCAACAAGCAGAAGCGGAAATTTCTGCGGAAAAATCAACACAAATCAGAAATTAAAAACGCAGAAAAAAATCAAGCGAGCCGTATAAATACAGAGGAAGTTCCAGTATAAAACCATATCCTTTCGTCGTATTTCAATCGACTTTCATTATCATTTGTTCAAGATGTCTCAATTGGCCGATAACTTTGTTTTCGCCGAATATCTCGATGTTTGGGGCCCTCAAGCTTCAAACTCAAGCCCTTCCGTTAGCCCTTCTTCTACTCAGGCCCCCAGGCCATCGTCGGTGGAGAGCCAATCTTCAGGGTATTCGTCCTACGACGACCCTTCATCATGCTACACTCCATGGTCAACCGGCTCTTCCCCAGTCGAGCAAGACCGATTTTACCCGGAACAGAACGGGTATTATGCTCAAACGGAGATTTTTAATGTGAGTTTACAATTTTTTTTAAATGATTTTTTGAGTTTTTTTTTTTTTTAAATTAATTTCCAATTTTTTATTAATTTTCATTTTTTTATTAATTTAAAATTTTTTTACTATCTTTCAATTTTCAGCCTCAATTTTATCCCTGCGCTCCTCAGCCATACAGCCAAGGACAACAGCAATATCCAGCCCAGCCGTTCTTTTATGGACAAGCCCCCCAAGTTCTCTATGGAATGCCCTATTGGCCACAGCTTCAAGGCCATATCCCCCATCCACAGCCTAACTACGATGTGTGCTTCTGCGCACATTGCATGGAGATGACCAGAAAATCTTATAAAAAGCGCTAATACGTATTGTTTTTTAATTCCGGTGATCATTTTTAATATGATTTTCACATTGCTTTAACTTTTTTTTAAAAATTTTTTGATTGTACTGGGTTCGAAATTTTAATAAATATTATAATATAAATTTTATGAGATTTTGATTATAAAATTACTACGCTTCTAACACTAAAAATAGACATATCTTTTTCGAACTAGCCGTATCTACTTTTAGGAATTTTAACATGAAATGTTCTATAGCTATTTCTAACGTATAGGATAAGGCTTCCACAAAAAATCCAGTTCTTCTCGCGAACTGGTGAAAATATGGCCAAAAAATGCTTGTGTTTCGGAGCGCTCTCTCCGCTAGGCGTGCTCTCCCTGCGGCACAGATCTTTCAAATCTCGGTTGCGTCAGAGCAGGTTCCAAAAAAGACTTCTTCTTCCCCATTTCCTTTCTCATCTCGTCTTCAAAGCTCAGACTAAGTTGATTTTGAACCAGAGAAACACTTGACCCAACTTTGAATCATGTCTTCCCCTGAAAACAGGATCTAAAAAATTTGAAACAATTTCAATTTAAAATTAAAAATCATACAATTTCAAGCTCTAGTTCACCGTTGCAAGTCCGAACCATGCCTTGGATCAGCCGAAAAAATCAAAAATTCGGATGCCCCTTCCTTTTGCATAGTAATCTAAAATTTTTATAAATTGATGTACGGATTAGCCGAGCATATATACTGTCAAATTTTCAGCGAAGAATAGTTCCACAAAAAATAAAATTTTTCGCGCGAAACTGCGTAAAATATGGCCAAAAAGTGACTTCATTAGGTAAAACTTACCGGTGTTTTTTGTTTGGAGCAAGTTTTGGTCTTGTCTATGCTGCAATAACTTTGAGTCAAGTAAAGTAAAGTTAGCTACAGCTAAAATTACAAAAAGTCTCCGCCTAGCCTTTGCCGCTCATCCGCCATTCAACGGCTTTTCCAGGCCCGCAGGCACCTTCCACGACTTTTTTTGGGTCTCCGCTTGTTCTACCTCTCCTATCGATTTATTTTTGGTTGACCCGAACTGTCGTCGACCCGAAAAGTGGCTATCTAATTTTAAGGTGCAGCCCCTCTTCCCACATCAAGTCATGAGGGCTTCACCTCAAAATTACACGCTGATATCAACGCCTACGTTTGGGTGCTCCTGAAATTGAGCTGAATTAAGCATAAATTACGGATTATAATTCTATTTTATCAGCTTTTTAATTGCCTACGTTCATTTTTTCCAAGAAATTTTTCAGTTTTTAATTTATTGCCCATCAATTAAGAGCTTTGTTTGAAATTTAGATAAAATTTTATCAGTTTTTTGGGCACAGTTGTGCACAGACATCCCTTTTTCGCGGGTTTTTAAGCGCTGCAACAGTTGATTGAGCAGGTTCGAAATGGTTCTGCTAAAGTTGTTTTTTCTTCTCTTCCTAACTCAGCAATGTCATGGATATGTGAACAACTTCAAGATGAGCATATTCTTCAACGACCAGCCGACGAAAGTTCGCTATCTTTTGATCGATTTGGCCACGTCCGAAAGCTTTGCTCTTCATTCAAAAGGTGAGTCGGGGGCACTTGCAACAGTTGGGTATAAGCATGGCTGCAAACCGGGCCAGCCCGGCCCGGGCCTGCGGGCCGGCCCGGAAAATTTTTGTACTAGGTTGGAAAGAAAGAAAGCAGGAAATGAAGGGGAAATTATTTCACATTTTCGCAAAATGTAAAGAATAATTTAGCAAACCCTATAATAGTGCAATTGCCGCTGGACTATTTTTATAAATTACTAAGTCGCCATAAATTTTCTTACCATATGGTTACAAAAAATCATAAGCTTTTGTGTAGAGTCACCCAAATTTTAGCAAAAATATTTTATCACAGATCTTTTATCGGATCTGAAAAAACCTACAAGCGTATTGCGTATTTTTGAAAATTTTTCCTTTTTCTTTTTTGCGCATATTAACTATGAGGTCGCACTTAAGAATCTCTGAAAATTTTTTCAAATTGACAGGAAAATTATTTTTTTATTTGGGCGAGTGGTAAATAAGGTCACTTTACGTTTGCTATCAGCAATGTGTTCGAAAAAATGAAAAAATCTAACGAAAACCTTATTTTTCCCTTTTTTCCGGGCAAAAACCAGATTTCAAAAAAACCGGGTCGGCCCGGGCCGGGCCGGGCCTGAAAATCGAAGCCCGGGGTCGGGCCGAGAAATTATCGGCCCGACCCGGGCCGGAAAATTTTGGAAAGCCCGGCCCGAAGCCATGCCTAGTTGGGTAGGAAAAGGTTATTTGGAAAAAAGGTCCTAACATGGTAAGTACCTCATATCTTGATGAAAGTTGGCACAATACAACAATTTTTTCTAAGGCTCATCCGAAACTCCTAGTTTGCACTTTGCAGAAACAACCGAGATTTTTTTGATCGAAAGTCGAAACAACGCGACATTTTTAAAAAAAATTCTGATATGAAAAATTTCATGCTTATTTCTTCTGTTAAGCGCAATGCTTCTACAAAAAAATCAATTTTTTTCCACGCATAACTGACAAAGATTTGGCAATTTTCTATCTCTGGCTGTTCTCCGTGTTTTGTGCAGTCTCTCGGACCCAAAGATCATTCAATATCTCGGGTGTCTCTGCAAAGCGTCAGCTAAAATTTTCAGATTTTGATACGTGCCCTAAGCTTGAAATGTGTGCGAAAGTTGAAAAAAATGCAAGCGTTGCATTTTGACCATATAAGAGTGAAGATATAAGTATGCATGAGTCATTTTCAAAAAGCACCCTAAATTTGCTCACTTTTTGGCTCGCACGCGATTCTTTAATTTCGCTCACCGAAACGGCGAGCAAATCTTTCGCGGCTTGCAATTTTCTAATTTCGCCTGCCTAGGGAAAGACTTGGCTCAAAGATGCCGCGGCAGGCGAAATTAGAAAATTGCTCGCCACTTCGACGGGGGCGAGCACTTTTGAAAGTTTGCTCGCCGTTTCGGTCAGCAAAATGAAAGAATCGCGTGCGAGCCAAAAAGTGAGCGAATTTAGGGTGCTTTTTGAAAATGACTCGTGCATACTTATATCTTCACTCTTATATTTACTCCTTACTTTTAAAAAAAATCTTTTAGAATTCGCGGAAATCTACGGCGATGAAAACACCTTCGACTCGGCCGCTTCAGACACCTTTAAAAGCCTCAACGAAACTCTTAAACTAAGTTACGCAGAAGAATTGAACACCAATTCCTCGGCAGTCACAGGCGTTTTGGGCGAGGATGACGTCACTGTTGTGATGAGTTTCGTGGAAGGAGAATTCTTGGTGGCCAAGGAAATGTCGGGGAACGATATTCCAATCGGCCGATTTGATGGGTCCGCTGCGGCGGGGAGAATCGGATTCTCGAAGAAAAAAGATACGAAGACCAACTTGCGAGACGGTTTATTGGATGATGGACCGTTGAAGGTGCTGTGTTTGGATACCAGCGTCGCGAAAGACGGATCGTAAGTGGAGAAATGGAATTTTTGGGCTGTAGCGGAGATTGACGATAAATTTCGCTGTAAATTTGACTCTCTGCTTGGCGAGGCGGTGTATAAATTTATAAAAATTCTAGCATGCAAAGAGAGAAAAAATGGGGACGATCAGGTCGTTTTTTGGAATGAGCTACAAGCGCAGCCGAGATATTCAACGGTGTTTTCCGCGGAGAGAGAATGCCGAACGGAGAGAGCGGCATTAATACAAACATTTTTCGATCGTATCCTTGCTAGCTTCGCGCGAAAAATTTGATTTTTTTGAAACATTTCCATCCACGTTAGAAATAGCTATGAAACTTTTCATGCTAAAATTTCACAGGAGGTACGGGTAGCACAAAAACAATTATGACTAATTTTAGTAATAGAAGCGTAAAGTAATTTGAAATCAAAGTCTCCATAAAATTTGCATAATATTATTTATTATTCGAACCGAAGACAGTCAAAACATGTAAAAAAGATAAAAAAAATGTGAAAATTATATTATATTAAAAAGTGATCACCGGAAGTGAAAAACAATATGTTAGTGTTTCATGTATGATTTTCGGGATTTTTTCATACATCTTGAACAAAAGCATACGTCGTAGTCGGGGTGACGTTGGAAGAAATGGCACTGAGGCTGGTGGGGCACCCCATGGAGCATTTGGGGAGGCTGTCCATAATAAACGTATGGCTGGGCTGAATATTGAAGTAGCTCTTGTCCGTATGATGGGGGAGCGGAGGGGTAAAATTGAGGCTTAAAATAGAAAATTAGTAATTAAATAGTCAAAAAGTTTCAAGTTGATGACAAAATTTTTTTACTGAAAATTCAATATTTCAAAAAAAGTTATTTATATTCCAAAAAAAGCAATAGAAATTAGTAAACTCACATTATACATCTCCATTTGCGTATAATACCCGTAATTTGCCGGGTGAAATTGGCCTTGGTCGACGGGTGAAGAAGCTGTGGACCAGGGAGTGTAAGACCGCGAAGGGTCGTCGTAGGATGAATATCCTGACGACTGGCTTTCCACTGATGACGGCCTGGGGATCTCAATCGAAGGAGGGCTCACGGAAGGGCTCGATTTTGAGGCTTGAGGACCCCAAACATCGAGAAACTCGGTAAAAACAAAGTTATCGGCCAGTTGAGACATCTTGAAAGGGATGCTGACAAAAGTCGATAAAAATACAATGTATGGATATGGTATTAAAACTGAAACTTCCTCTGTATTTATACGGCTCGCTTGATTTTTTTCTGCGTTTTTAATTTTTGATTTGTGTTGATTTTTTTGCAGAAATTTCCGGTTTGGCTTTTTGCGCAAGAGGAAATTAAGGAAAAATGCTTACGTAAAATCATGATTTTCTGCTCTAAAACTGTCCTTTGAAAAATGTCGTTGGCTTTGAAAACATAACATTGTGTAATCAGGATTTCAAATTATTGAATTTTGAGATTTTTTGCTTGCAATTTGAAGAATTCGTCAAGATTTTCAGGAAAATTTTTCTCCATTTTCGAGGAGTCACAAAGGTTTTTTAATTTTTTCTTTGGCCGCCTCTCCTTATTTCGTATGCTTTTTGGTACACGAGGATCGTTGAATATCTTGGCTGTGGGGCAAAGCAAAGGCTAAAATTCTCAGAATTTCTTGTATGGCCTGTTAGAGGATTAACCAAAAAAAAAAAATTTTTTTTTGACAAATTTTTGATGTTTCCACAATTTCCCGATTTATAAAAATAATTTTTTTTCGAAATTTTATTATGACAAAATCAATTTTTTTTTATTTTTGGTGATAAATTGCATTTTTTTACATTTTTTTCACCGTGCAAAAATCAAAAAAAGAATAAAAAAATCTAAAAAATCTTTCATTTTTCCCATTTTTCATTTTCAGTAAAAAATACACTACTATTGCCAGCGGCGGTTATGTTTACCACGACAATTTCCGAACCAAAGTTTCCTCTCTTCCCAGCTCCGATGGCTTATGGAAATTTAATGTGAACAAAATTTCCATTGGAAAATCCACCTTCTCCACCGTCTACCCAGCCACTCTATCCACCACATACAACGGCCTGACCTTGCCGGAGCCGATTTTCCAACGGCTAATTCGACTGCTGAACGCTCAATTCGACCGCGAACGCGGTCGATATTTGGTGTTCTGCAATTTGAACAGGGACATTTTAATTTCCGTCAATTCCAACGTAATCCCCATACAGTATGACGCATATACGGAGACCATTTACAAGAGCAATTGGTGCGGTTTGAAAGTGCGTAGTACGAAGGAGAGGAAGATCGTTTTGGGAGCGCCATTTTATACGAATAATGGGATCTGTTTGGACTTCCAAAACGAAACCATCCACTTTTATGACGCTTCGCCGAGAGAGCGGATTAATAATTATGTGATTACGGGGAATTTCAGAAAGAATGGAATCACGAAAACCGTGTTCGAAGAGAGAATTTGAGATTTTTTGATGGAATAAATTATTTTTGCAGATATTTTTTAAAAATTTTTGGCTGTTATATACTAGATATAAGATAAAAAATCACAAAAAGTGGTAAAGTCAATTGTTTATTCTCCAAAAAAGAGTCAAAGTCAAATCGCGATCCTGTTTCTCATCTACTTCTTGGCCCTCTCGCTCTTCTTACTGTTTTCTCTTGCCGTCTTTGATGATTTGTCGGCTTTGGACTGAAAATAAAACATTTTACAGACCTCGTCACACATCACAGACACTCTCCCAAAAGTCCTTCGGCGACAAATTATACGATAAAAAACAAAAAAGGGAAATTCATCGTATAAAATGTCCCTTACCGCCTTGCTCTCCAAATTGGTCTCGCTGGGGGTTCCGGTAGCGGAGGTCAAAGCTCCAGGGGTTGCAACGGACCCCTTGTTGGGTCCCAACTTATTCGCCGCCTTGGCAGCACGTCGACGTCGGTCGTTGAGCGCATTCACCTTCTTCTTGTAAATGCAGAAGAAAACTATGAAGATGATGGCAGCACCGGTGAAGAGACCACTGAAAATAAATCTGGTAGAGCTGAAATACTATACAGTATGCGAGACATGCGGTTTTATAGTCCTCAGAGACATTTTATACGATGAAACATGTCCAGAAGAGCCGGTGCACATTTCATCATATAAAATGGCAAAAAACAGAAAATTTGGATGGTGATGTTAAAAACAGAACCAATGCGGCCATATTAGATATTTCCAGCTCATAGTTGCAGTTCAGAGACATTTTATACGATAAAACATGTAAGGTCAGGTTCCATCGTACAAAATGGTCCAAAATAAAAATTCGCTTCATAATTCATACATAGTGTTGTACCGAAGCCCCACAGAGACTTCTAGCCAAGTTACACCAGTGAGAGACACTTTATACGACTAAATATGCCACGAAATTACAAAGCATGTTCCATCGTATAAAATGTCTCTACAAGGGGCAAAAAAGCACATGTCCTTGCAATCCTGGTCAACAATTTTGAGCGTAACATAAAAATTAGGAGGAATCGTACAAGTCGAGAATGCCCTATATCAACCTCAAACAGCTTCCACCGTATAAAACGTCACCTACACCAACAAAGCCAACGCAAAGCCGATCCAGCACCAAAAACAGGCTGGGTCTTTCGCCTGCTCCGCTCTATCGTGCGGGATGATCTTGGGGATGGTGATATTTTCCTGGACGGCGGTTCGGTCGTACCAAAATTGTGGGAGGAAGTGGAGCTTGTAGTCCACCGAAGCGTCGGCTCTGATTCCAATCACATATTGCTTCGTGGTCTCGTACAAAATCTCTCGGTAGAGGTCATGCAGTTTGTGGTCGGCGAGCTGAAAAGTCGACATGTTATACGATGAAACAGGTCTTGAAAAACTAATTTTACTTCGTGTACATAGCCTAAAATTTTTTTGTGTACAACCTGACACTTCCTTGGCTCACTTTTCAGTTAAAAAATTCCAGACCGTGTTCATTTTATACGATGAAACCTGTCCTCATGTTTCTAGATTGTTTCGATCGTATAACTTGTCTAAACATCTTAATCCAAGAAAAACTTCAAGAAAGCACTTCTAAGCACACAAGATTAAATATTGGAGACACACGGAAAATTTGGGGTCAGCTTATACGATGAAACCTGTCCTCGAATTTCTAGGCAGTTTTTGTCGTATAAATTGTCTCTAAAGCGTTTAGTACGGCCGAAACTTTTCACATGGCCTCTATTTTTTACTCTATGCGATAAACAACAACAGTGACCAATTTGATTCCACTTTATACGATGAAACCTGTCCTCGAATTTCTAGACAGTTTTTGTCGTATAACTTGTCTCTAAAGCGTTTAGTGCGGCCGAAACTTTTCATATATCCTCTATTTTTTACTCCATGCGGTAAACGACAACACCGAACAATTTGATTCCATTTTATACGATGAAACCTGTCCTCGAATTTCTAGACGGTTTTTGTCGTATAACTTGTCTCTAAAGCGTTTAGTGCGGCCGAAACTTTTCATATATCCTCTATTTTTTACTCCATGCGGTAAACGACAACAGCGAACAATTTGAACCCATCTCATACGCTGAAACCTGTCCTCGAATTTCCAGACACTTTTCATCGTATAACTTGTCTCTTAACCGCCAATCCTACTCAAGACGTCTAACAAAATTCCTAATGCAAGGCTCAACTTACCCGATGCACTTTCTTGGTGACTTTGAACTTTTTGACACCCTCTTCTTCGTATTCTTCGGCCACTCCATAAGCGAGCTTGGATTGGAAGATTTGGATTAACAGGTTAAAGGGCTGGTCCGGTTTCGCAACTCTTAAGTTCTCCAAACGGACCTGACGACTGCTACCAGTGTCTAAGATAATACAAAAAATCCTTACATTACTTTAAAATTTTAAAAAATTTTCCGAAAAATTCGGCATCATGACAAAATTTTTTCCCAAAAATCGGTCATCATGACGGCTTTGACTGAAAAATTTAATCGAAAAGGCCAAATTAACTCATTTCGAAAAAATCGCCAAGATTTTTTTTTCACAAAACATCCAAAAAATGCGTCACGATGACACATTTTTCGCCCAAAAAACTCACGACTATCGTGATACTCCAAGAGGAACGTCGAAGAGTCCGCATCGAAACTTAACTTGGTCTTGAACGACGCCAACTCCCATTGATTCACATAGGCGGCCCAAAGCAGTCTAAAAAAGTCGTCATCATGACTCATATTTTATAAAATTAATGCCACAACGACGGAAAAGCTTAACCGACCCTTTTTGACCAATGTCCGAAGGTTTACCGACCAAGACGAACTCAATCCGAGAATTGGAAAGAGGCGCAAAGGCGTCCCAGTAGAAGTCGGAGCAATCCGAAAGCTTGAGGACGCTGAAAAAAATGTTTTGTAAAGCTATGCAGAGCTACAAGGCCGTTAAATTCCATCAAGATGCATCTGGAACCATTTGGTGGAGGTTTTGACCAAAAACAAAGGTTGAAACAGAATGCCAAAATTTCATAAAAAAAGTGTCAAAAAATAGAGAACTAAAATTCCGAAAAGACATAAAACATTCACCACTGGATCACATAGCAAGGGTAATCCAAACAAACCGCAAAAAACTGGTTTTCGATATTTTCAGGCTTTCGTGGCGGGACCCACATTTTATAAAACTGATATTCAAAATCGATTAAAATGGAATCTGGAAATTTTACAAACGACTTTTTTCGAGTTCAAAATTTCGTATTATACTCAATAAAGAATATATGTAAATCCTGCAGGTTTCCGTGGTGGGACCCAAAAATACGATTTTATTCAAAAATTAGACAAAAATAAGGTCTCCAAAGTGCATAGGTGTCTTTATCGAGGTAGTAGTCCCATTTTAAATCACTTTCAATTTTTTGGTTTCCAAGTTTTCGCTGCGAGACCCACCAAGATTTATTAAAAAAAACGTATTTTGGCCCAATTTTAGCCTCAAGTTACACATTTTTGAATGCAATATCTCACTCTATTCAATGTCAATCCCTAAATAGATAGTCAAACTCACATCGGGTAGTCCTGGACCCGACAATTGGAAGCGGCGAGGCGAGCTGCGCCCAGCAGAAGGATGGAGATCAGCGTGGTCCGCATTTGAAGCCGACCGTTCGCGGGGGTCGCGCGTTAGTTGAATGACCGAATTTTTCTTTTCGAAATGCTTTTTCAGAAATTTTTTAGATTATGCAAATTTTTTAGCCAAGGAGTTGAATTGAGAGTTTCCATGTTATAACAATGCTTTGTAAGTATTTCGTATTTTACCTTTTTATATAAATTTTTGTATTAAAAATGTCGGTGATTTCTGCAGATCTCGCGGGTGGAAATCAAGTATTATCGGTCTGTCGGGAAAATAACGGCGGATCGTTGCGCCTCGGAATCGCCCATCATCGCTCTGCGACTGCAAGCCGCGGCTTGGGAGTTGGTGCGCGATAGCGGCGAGGCGAGACATTTTGATGCGACGATCCGCCGTTATTTTCCCGACAGACTGATACTTGATTTTTTAAAAACTTAAAATAAAGCTGTTTCTGTGGGACTTCTAGACAGCGATAAATAAAAAGTCTCGTACAACAAAACCTGTCTTTAACAGACAATTTTAAAGGCAATGGCGTCGCTGAAGTGAAAAGAAATTTGATTTTGCCGCGACACAATTCATTTTCTCGACGGCGATGCGATTTTCGATGCGACAGAGTGCTCATTATTTTCCCGACAGACTGATTTAGGCATCTAATTTTTTGCTATCAGTCTGTCGGGAAAATAATGTGCATTCGTCGCGGCTTGAAATCGCCCATCATCGGTTTGTGGCAGCTAACTGCGGCTGGAGATTTGATGCGCGACTTCTGCTCATTATTTTCCCGACAGACCTATACTAACATCCATCCCTTCGTTATAAAAGGGTTTCGTTGTATGGAGGTAAAATTTTGGCAAAAATTTGTTTTTTGATCCCTTCCGAGTTGTTGTTCAGAGCGTTGATTGTGCTTGCAAAAAATTATTGTTTGACCTTTTCTCGTCAAAAAAAAGCGAAAGTTCATTTCTTCTCAAAACAATTTACCTTTGTACCCTTTGTTTCACACCTCATATTCCTCATCCCATCCCATTAGCTGTTCCGAATTTCTGACCTCGCTTTTGCGTTCCCCAAAGCGTCCCGTCAGTTGGCCGCTTTTCGGCGGCCAAATGCGGGAAAAGTCGAGGCGATCAAAGATTTTTCCTCCGTTTTCTTTTTCCGCACGGAAGCCCGCGATAAATCGTTGCGTTTCGCACTGTGCAATGGCGGGGTTTTCAGGGAGTTTTTTGCACTGTGCGGGAAAATTTTCGAGCGATATTTTTGCATTGTGCGGGGAAGTTTTCGAGCGACATTTTTTGCACTGTGCGGTGAAATCTTCGAGCGACATTTTTCGCACTGTGCGGGGAAATTTTCGAGCGACATTTTTTGCACAGTGCGGGGAAATTTTCGAGCGACATTTTTTGCACTGTGCGGTGAAATCTTCGAGCGACATTTTTTGCACTGTGCGGTGAAATTTTCGAGCGACATTTTTTGCACTGTGCGGGGAAGTTTTCGAGCGACATTTTTTGCACAGTGCAAGGAAACTTTCGAGCGGCGTTTTTTGCACTGTGCGGGAAAGTTTTCGAGCGACATTTTTTGCACTGTGCGGTGAAATCTTCGAGCGACATTTTTTGCACTGTGCGGTGAAATTTTCGAGCGACATTTTTTGCACTGTGCGGGAAAAGTTTCTAGCGACATTTTTTGCACTGTGCGAAGGAGTTTTGTGGGAAAGTTTTTGCACTGTGCGAAGAAATTTTTCGAGCGACATATTTTGCACTGTGCGGGGAAATTTTCGAGCGACATTTTTGCACTGTGCGGGGAAATTTTCGGGCGACATTTTTTGCACAGTGCGGGGAAGTTTTTGAGCGACATTTTTTGCACTGTGCGAAGGAGTTTTGTGGGAAAGTTTTTGCACTGTGCGGTGAAATTTTCGAGCGACATTTTTTGCACTGTGCGGGGAAGTTTTCGAGCGACATTTTTTGCACTGTGCGGTGAAATTTTCGAGCGACATTTTTTGCACTGTGCGGGGAAGTTTTCGAGCGACATTTTTTGCACTGTGCGGGAAAATTTTCGAGCGACATTTTTTGCACTGTGCGGTGAAATTTTCGAGCGACATTTTTTGCACTGTGCGGTGAAATTTTCGAGCGACATTTTTTGCACTGTGCGAAAGAGTTTTGTGGGAAAGTTTTTGCACTGTGCGTTTAGATTTTTTGCAAGAATTTGTGCACAGTGCGGCGAAATTTTCGAGGCGACATTTTTTGCACTGTGCGGCGATATTTTTGTGGGGATGTTTTTGCATAGTGCGGGGGGAATTTGGAAGCGACAATTTTTGCACTGTGCGGATGGGTTTAAGAAAGTTTTTGTGCACTGTGCAAAAAAAAAATTTGGAGGGGGATTTTTTTGGCACTGTGCAAGGATTTTTTTGGCAAGTTTTTTGCACCGTGCGATGGGATTTTAGGGATTTTTTTGCACTGTGCAACAAATTTTTGGGGTGGAATTTTTTGCACTGTGCGGAAAATTTTGATTTCTAAACAAGATTTTTTAGCCCCTAAAAAAATATTTTCCCTCAAAAAATTCTAAATTAAAATTCCCGCACAGTGCAGTGAGTCCACCAAAAATCGCTCGATTCACTCCCGTTTTACCCAAACTTTTGTCCACGGCCCCCTTCTCCGTTAATTTCCACTTGATCGGAGTGCCAATTTAAACTCATTTCTCACTCCTTTCGGCCTCTCTCGGGGGGCCCGCTTTCCCTTCCGAATCCGCTTTACCTGCGGGCCCGACGTAAAGCGGCCGAAAACTTTTTTCGATCCACTTTTCGGATCAATTTTTTCGCCGATCCCCCCAACAAATTCGAGGGAATGCGGGCCGGCCAAATCGCCCCATTTATTTGAATATTGACCGATGATTAGGGCGGATTAAACCGCACCGTGCAAAAATCCCCATTTGATTTGATTTGGAGGGCAATCTTGCTGCACAGTGCGAAAAAATCGATAAAGGTCTTTGCACGGTGCGGTGGGAAAATTCCGGTGATTTGTCGCGGCGACAAATTTTTATGAAAATTTTGCACAGTGCAATCGACTGACATGTCTTGAAAACTTTTTTCGTCTGCACAGTGCGAAAAAATCGATAAGAATCTTTGCACGGTGCGGTGGGAAAATTCCGGGGGTTTGTCGCGGCGACAAATCTGCTTGAAAATTGCGCACTGTGCAATCACTTCAAATGTTTTGATTTTTTTGTCTGCACAGTGCGAAAAACATGAGAAAAATGTTCGCACTGTGTGGTGAGAAAATTCCGGGAATTTGTCGCGGCGACAAATTTTTGCGCAGTGCAATCGACTGACATGTTTTGAAAACTTCGTTGTCTGCACAGTGCGAAAAATTGAGAAAAATGTTCGCACTGTGCGGTGGGAAAATTCCGGGGATTTGTCGCAGCGACAAAATTTTGCACAGTGCAATCGCTTCAAAAGTTTTGAAATTTTTTTGTCTGCACAGTGCGGAAAATTGATTGTTTTTTGCACGGTGCGGTGGGAAAATTCGGCCGATGTGTCGCCGCGACAAAATTTTGCCCTGTGCAGTCGCTTCAAATATTTTGAAAATTTTTTGTCTGCACAGTGCAAAAAATTTTACTGTTTTTTGCACGGTGCAAAGGGAAATTGAGTCCATTTGTCGCGACGAGATATTTTTTTGATTGCACTGTGCGAAATTTTCTTTTTCACTTTTTCTTGCACGGTGCAGCCGATTTCGTTGTTTTCGTTGCACAGAATTATTCTGTTAGACATTTTTCAGTCCAAAAAATTGGAAAAAAAAAAACAAAAAAAAATTTTATTTTCAAAATAAAACTTAATTTTTGTTTTTTATCTAACTAGGGGAAAACCGCAATTTTTCAAAAATTTTATCAATTTCTGTCGGGAAAATAATGATGTCGCTGATCGCGTCGCTGAAGCAAAAAGCAATTTGATTTTGCCGCGACACAATTCATTTTCTCGGCGGCGATGCGATTTTTGAAGCGACGGAATGTTCATTATTTTCCCGACAAACTGGTATTTAAAACACGATTTTTGAGTCAGGGCACAAGCGGTGGTCTTAGGAAAAAATTGATTTTGAGATTTTTGGCTTAAAATAGTCGGTAGCACTTGTGGAAGAAAAGCTAAAAATAGTGTTGCCTAATTATGCCCGGAAGGCATATTTTTTTACAAAATACGTTTTTACACTTCAAAGCCTCTGCAGGCCGATGTGATCCGAACACAGAGATTAAACCGGGCATACAGGGGTTTTTGACACCCAGGAATCTGAAAATCGTAGCATTTTTACCGTCAGATTACTGTAAAATGGTCATACTGTAATCCGGTCGATAAAAATCGACGATAACTTCTTTAGATCAAAAATGCCACAGGATTTTATTGCAGATTCGGAATCAGCATAAAATTCTGCTTCGGAAACATGTAAAATATGTTCAAAATTCCGTGGCCCAACCTCTGTAGTATAGTGGTTGTGCGCCAGGATTATCATTCTGGCGACCCAGGTTCGATTCCCGGTGGCTGCAAATGGCAGAAAATGGACTATAAAAGGGCGGAAACTTGGAAAAAAGGGAAAATAAATTACAGAAAATTAATTTTATGCCACTTAGGAGCAGTTTAAAACTTTTTGCAAGAATTCCGCATAAATTACGGTTTTTATGGAAAACGCCTTATAGCTTGCCGGAAAGTGGAGCAATCTGGTTAAAATTTACAGAAGAGGTTATTGAGGCTTCCTACTACGAAAATAAATCCATTTCTGCTTATTTGGTTAAATTTTCGGGATAGCCTGGGGTTTCTTTCAAATTCGGGGTTTTAAGAAGGCGAGCTGCGGCCGAGGTTTATCGAACGGAACAATATTTGACCAAAAAGTCATATAAGATTCACAAAAAGTCATATAAGATTCCCTAACAGCACCGGGATCACACAGCTTGTAAAACTTAGGCCGTCTTGCGTATCCCACGAAAAACGGAGCACGTGGACGCTCTGATGATAAATCTACATGGAGACTCAGTTGGTAAGGAACAGAGGCTAAACTACGGGGCTGTAACATGCGTGCTTCCATCTGAAAATTAAATAACTGTTTTATTTTATTTTATATTGCTTTCCTCGGCGGATATGATGAAAATCGGATAGCAAGCGTTATGTAGATTCACCACAACTCTTTTGTTGCCATTTAGGGCGATCTTACGAATGCTGTGAAGCGTTTTCCATAAAAACCGTAATTTCTGCGGAATTCTTGCAAAATCTTTTAAACTGGTCCTAAGTAGCATAAAATTAATTTTCTGTAATTTATTTTCCCTTTTTTCCAAGTTTCCGCCCTTTTACAGTCCATTTTCTGCCATTTGCAGCCACCGGGAATCGAACCTGGGTCGCCAGATTGATAATCCTGGCGCACAACCACTACACTACAGAGGTTGGGCCACGGAATTTTGAACATATTTTACATGTTTCCGAAGCAGAATTTTATGCTGATTCCGAATCTGCAATAAAATCCTGTGGCATTTTTGATCTAAAGAAGTTACCGTTGATTTTTATCGACCGGATTACAGTATGACCATGTTACAGTAATCTGACGGTAAAAATGCTACGATTTTCAGATTCCTGGGTGTCAAAAACCCCTGTATGCCCGGTTTAATCTCTGTGGTCGGATCACATCGGCCTCCAGAGGCTTTGGAGTGTAAAAACGAATTTTGTAAAAAAATACGCCTTCCGGGCAAAATTGGGCAAAAATATTTTTCGCTTTTCTTCCACAAGTGCCACCGACTATTTTAAGCCAAAAATCTCAAAATCGATTTTTTCCTAAGACCGGGCCCCACTACTGGCTGACGCAGTGACTCAAAAATCGTGTTTTAAGCACCGCGGTGCACCGTGCGAAAAACCGCGATATTTCAATTTTATTTTTATTTTTTAACTTTTTTTTTTTTTCATTTTTTTCAGCGACCAATTTCCAACTATATTTTTTTCAAATTTCCACAAAATTTCCGCCCAAGAATGGGTAATTCGAACAGCAATGGCAAAGTGATGAGGATTGAGAGTTTCGCGAACGATCCCACGGCGTTCCGAGTGTTCGTGAAGAAGCGGAACAAGTTTATTCCGGGCTGGCTGAAGGTGAACGAGGATGAGATCGTCTTCTTCCGGACCGCCACACAGCCGCAGTTCTGGCCGTTGGCGTTCTTGCGGCGCTACGGCTACACGTGTGCGGGTGTGTTCTTTTTCGAGAGCGGGCGACGATGTGCGACGGGAGAGGGGCTGCACACGTTTCAGTCGCATCAGGCGGAGAAGATTTTTCATGTGAGTTTTGGGCTTTGAAAGAAGAGGGGAATTTTATCAGCCTGTCGGGAAAATAATGTGGATTTCTTAAATGCACTGTGCGTTGGCGACAAGCTTGTGAAAAGGTTCAAAACGCGCTGCGCGGAAGAGAAAAAAATGTCCATGCAATTTATGAAAGTGCAGTTTCACTGTAATATCAGTCTGTCGGGAAAATAATGTGGATCGTCGCCCTTGGAATCGCCCATCATTGCTTTGCGACGGTTCTCCGCGGCTGGAGATTTGGTCCGCGAGGCGAGAACTTCCGCTGCGACAAGTCCACATTATTTTCCCGACAAACAAATATCACAGTCGGCCTTCTGTATTACAGTTGCGCACTGTGACAAAATGTCCATGCACTTTATGAAAACAAATTCTATCAGTCTGTCGGGAAAATAATGAGCCCAATATCGCTGAGCCAGTCGCGTCGCTGAAGTGAAAAGAAATTTGATTTTGCCGCGACACAATTCATTTTCTCAGCGACGATGAGACTTTCGATGCGACAGAGTGCTCATTATTTTCCCGACAGACTGATTTAGGCATCTAATTTTTTGCTCTCAGTTTGTCGGGAAAATAATGTGGATTTGTCGCGGCTTGAAATCGCCCATCATCGGTTTGTGGCAGCTAACTGCGGCTGGAGATTTGATGCGCGACTTCTGCTCATTATTTTCCCGACAGACTGACAATAGCTCAGAATGAACAGTTAGGCCAGCGATAGCTAGAGTTGATCATTTTCTAGAGTTAGAAAATGATCATATTGTAAGTCTGCGCCAAGTCTCCGCCGAGCCTTCGCCGAGCATCCAACGGCTTTACCAGGCCCCGTCAACACTTGTGCGAAATTGAACAAATTTCCATGTACTTTATGAAAATATATATTATACATGCTATAATAAAGTCATTTTTTCAGATCGTCCAGTCCCGAATCCGCTCCGAGGAATTCGCGCGTTCCCGGGCCTCCTCCGTCGTCCAGCATCGCCTCAACTCCGTGGCGGGCCCCGCCACGAACACCAAAATCCATCCGGTCCAACGCTTCTGCAGCGAAGGAGCGACAAACCCGTTTTTGTTGCGGAGAAACCCCTCGAATTCGCAGAGAAACCCGTTGGGCACCGGTCCCATGATGCATTCGAGCAGCTCGACGAATGTGCACAGCACAGCGATCAGAGAGAGGCCGAGGAGTGTGGTGTCGGCCATCGAGTACGATGTGAATCGAGTGAACAAAACGCCGAACATCATGAACAACTCGTATTCGTCGGCGGTGAACAGTTTGTGGAGCAGCCAGCAGCGGCTGGAAGGGGAGATTGTGTAAGTTGAAAGTATAGCCCTATCTTGCCCTATATAGTCAATATAGTATAACACAAGCCCTATAGCTCTATATATAACCTCATATTAGTCTGTCGGGAAAATAATGAGCACAATGTCGTTGAGGCAAATCGCGTCGTTGAAGTGAAAAGCAATTTGGTTTTGCCGCAAAACAATTCATTTTTTCGGCGGCGATACGATTTTCGAAGCGGCAGAGGGCTCATTATTACAGACTGATATATTATATTACAATGTATTGCAAGAGACCAAAAAAATATTTGTCATAGAGGATATTTGTTGTAAGTAGGTTAGTTTTGGCCCTAAATTAACGCTCTTACCGCTGAATCTTTGTCATAGCATTATTTTCCCGATATAGGCATCTAATTTTTTGAACTATTAGTCTGTCGGGAAAATAATGTAGATTCGTCGCGCCTTCAAATCGCAAAACATTTCTTTGTGGCGGCTAACTGCGGCTGGAGATTTGGTGGGCAACTTGCTGCGACAAACACATTATTTTCCCGACAGACCGATATCAGTGCGGACCGCGACAAAATGTCCACCCACTATGAAAAGACTGTAGTCTGTCGGGAAAATAATGAGCACTCTGTCAAATTTAAAATCGCATCGCCATGGAGAAAATTAATTGTGTCGCGGAGAAAATCAAATTGTTTTTTGCTTTTAGCGATGCGATTTTCGAAGCGACAGAATGCCCATTATTTTCCCGACAGACTGATAATAAAATTGCGCTAGAAATTTTTGTACTGTAAAATACGCCTATTCAATGTTTCCTTCCAAAGCATTAAAAAAATGATATCAAACATCATCATGTATAGGATGTTCTTTACCCTTATTGAAGCTGTTTCCTCATCCTCTTTCCTCTTTGATTTTGATATTATGTTCCTCGTCCCAAGGCCATTCCAAACACCGCTCAAGACTTTTTCATGTCACGAGGAGACGGCTATTAAAAACATCCGAACACCTGGTGATTCAGAGACAGAAACAATTTACGTCAAAAGGGTAGTGGAAGATGGATTAGGCCAGATCGACTTGAAAACAGAAGATAAGAAAGTAAAATACGTGCTGGAAAAGTTATATTTTTACTGTCAAGGAAATTTAAATACAATATATTTTGCAAAAAAATTATGTTTTCACATCAAATTTGAAAGGTATCAGTCTGTCGGGAAAATAATTCTTGTCTTATAGAAAATCGCATCGCCGCCGAGAAAATGAAATTTGTCGCGATCAAATTGCTTTTGACTTCAGCGACGCGATTGGCACAGTCACATTGCGCTCATAATTTTCCCCACAGCCTGATAGTATCACGATAAAATAATTTTTCTCTAACCGCTCTCTTCGTTTTTATACTCTCTCGTCAATTGATGAATATCTCGGCGATGCTCGCAAAGACTTGGCCACAATTTTCAGGGGTTAATATATGGTCTGCAATGACTGTAGCTCTAGAATTTCAAGCGGATCTGAAGGTTGCCTTATGATCCTTTGTCTAGTTCGTAGAATTTGAAGGTTTATATAAAAACTCTGAAATATTTCAACCATCCGCTCAGCGGATCATCTGCCAAGCACCCCTACACTTTGCTACGTCAATAAGCAATGCTTTTGATTCATATTCACCCTTTACTAATCCAATTTTTTCCAGAAACGAGCATATCATCAACAACGGCTATGAGACCTACCAGTCCTGCGGCTCCGAGCGCTATATGCGCCCGTATCCGGCGCCTCCACTCTCCGATCAACTGAAATACCATTCCTACGTGAACGTCGAACTCCCCGACCCACGCTACTACCGCGAGACCAGCGTCGCGTCCGACTTGATGAGCTCAGCGTCGGCGCGAGTTCCGCCAAGAGCGAGAATTCAGCCGGTTGCGCCGTTCATGACACAATCGATGACACAGTCGATGATTGCCACTCCAACAAAACCGCAGGCATTCGATCCGCCCGGAGAGAGTTTTCCGGCCATTGATCGTGGCAGACCGGCGTCGACGAATGCGCAGCCGGCCAGGCCAATCCCCGTCCCACAAAAACCTCCCATGGAGTATATACAGGTAATTTTGTGCTTATTTTGTTTGGAAAGCGGTCTTTTTTACATTTAAAATGAAAGACTTGCTGATGTGCTCGTATTTTACAATTTATGTTAGATTTCTTGAATTTTTAGAGGTTGAAACGGAATGCCAAAAATTGGCGGGAAATTTGAATTTTTGGATTTTCCGCAATTTATATGTTTTTAACATTTCAAATAAAAGATCAAGAGACCGCGTATTTTACCATTCTTTTAATTTTCAACCGTTTTTATGAATTGAAACGGAATGCCAAATTTTGGCGGGGAATTCGAAAATTTGTAAAGGTGGACTTCTAGTCGGCTTAAATTTATTTTTTATTCAGTCAGGACGTTTTATACATACTCGAATAAAACCACCTTTGGGCAAATTTTCTTTTACAAAATTTAAATTTCAAATTTTCCGCCAAAATTGGCATTCTGTTTTATGGCCTTATACGAACTGAAAATAGTTTTTTTTCCGTGTAAGATCATGTTAGCAGAACGTCTTACACTCTAATACAGCCATTTTTGGAAAAATTTACTTTTACAAAATTTAAATTTCAAATTTCCCGCCAAAATTGGCATTCTGTTTTATGGCCTCAAATGGACGAAAAAATTGTGTTAATAAGAATTTTAGTCATCAAATGACTTCTTCTTCGTATTTCACACACTTTTCCAACACATTATTCTTTCCAGGTACCTCTTTCCAATCGACCACAGCCCCCTTCCAATCCTCCGAATGGACCCATCGAACTGACCAAACGGTGAGTGGCCTCAAGTCAATTTGCCTCTGAATTTCCCTCTTAATTCAGTTCCTATCCCTTTGATCGGGAGGTTAATTAAATTTTTGGGGAGAAACGGGAGATTTTAAAAGTTTAATCCAAACATCTCGCGGACAAGATTTATTTCAAACTAAATTTTTTCTGAACAAAGAAAGACGGAGGACTCGATTAATCTTGGTTCTAAATGTCTTGTCAAAACAGCGTTTTTATGGCTGGCAATGAAGCTTAATGGTTGTTAGGGAAGGGCAGCCATTTTTTGTTGCAAAATATAAAGTTGGAAAAATTTTGAAAATAAAAAATTTTTCGAATTTCATTAAATATATTCACAGGGGAAGTACCCCAAGTGCGACGCTCAGATTTTGATGAAACTTGGCACAAATTTAGAATAATTTTTTCTAAGATATATGCGAGAATTCTAGCTCGCGCTTTGCAGAAACAACCGAGATTTTTAGATCGAAAGTCGGCCAAAATTTAGGACTTTTTGCCGAATTTCGGCACGAAAATTTTCATGCCTAATTCTACCGTAAAGGATAATATTTCTACAAAAAATCAAATTTTTCCGCTCGAAACTGCCAAAGTTATGGCCAAAAAGGTGTTTCTCTCTGACCGCTCTCCACGTTTAGCGTGCTCTCTCGGCGGCAAAAATCGTTCGATATCTCGGCGGCGCCGGCAAAGCGCGAACTAAAACTTTCATGAATTCATATTTAGTCCATACCCGATGTGTGTGCAAAATTTAAAGAAAATCTGAGCGTCGCACTTGGAGTACTGTCAGTATATGCCACATACAAAATCCTCAAAATTCAGCCATGTTCTAATTACCTCGAATCTTCTAAAACCTCGTTTTTCAGACCCCCTTCGATCAGTCAACGTTCCGATTGCTCCTCGGTAATCTCAGCGTCCCCTTCGATGGGCGATCGCTCCGTTCTGTCGGCCCCACCTTCTAGTCGCGTCAATTATGCGCTCATCGACTTCAACAAGACCAAAGCCCTCGAGCAATTCTCGAATGTCAAGCAGAAAGCGGCCGAAAAGCTGCGGAACAGTCGATTCATCCGAAAACATTGACCTCAAATTACAATATTTTTCCATTTTTGATTGGTTTTCAGTTTGTCGGGAAAATAATGAGCACAATGTCGCTAAGCCAGTCGTGTCGCTAAAGTGAAAAGAAATTTGATTTTGTCGCGACACAATTCATTTTCTCGGCGGCGATGCGATTCTCGATGCGATCAATGCACATTATTTTCCCGACAGACTGATAAAGACAGCATAGTATGGGAGTTGTAAATCTATATACCTGAAAGTTTGTTCCTCTTTTTGGATTTTTAATTAATTTGAATATTCAAAATTTTATATAAGTTTTTTGTTCGTGGGAATGATATTATTATTGGATATTTTGGATGATACAAAAATAAATAATTTGAATTCTTTTCCGTTATCTTTTTACAGAAAAAGGGCTGCAAGTGCAACGAACGTCAAACTGAGGAGTCCGGTGACCGGAATAGACTCTTCGCTATCGGTTTTTTACACTTCGTCTTGATTTCGCATAGAAAGAGAGAAAAAAGACACTCAAAAGCGTACTCTCTCGCCCAAAAATTCCCCATTTCTTCCCCGACAAAACGTTTTTTCGCGTCTTTTTTTGGCAAATTGCCAATCCATTCACCGGACTGTTTTAGCTCATCTCAGTTTGACGTGCAAAGCTCAGATCTTGATGAAATTTGGGGCCAATTTCCTGAATGAAAGTTGGCTCCGGGATTCCGATTTTTTCTTCCTGGAGAGCGGTCGGTTTTCCTGTCCACCCATGCCGTTGCGGGCACAAAGGGCTTCGCCTGGGACAGTAGCTCTTCATCGTAATGGATTTCAAGTTCATGGTGTCAATGTTAGATCAATCCAAACCGAGGGAAAATTGAAGCAATTCAAGAAATCGTTGGAAACGGAAGTGATCAGCATGAATTCGACATCCCCCTATACACGACCGTTTGGGCGCTTCAGGATGAGATGGATCGACGATACTGGCAAGAATCATGGCCTTCGGTGGAGCGATCTTACACTGACCGGACAATGGAAACCGTTATGATACACTCTATGATTTTTTGCAGGTGATTAGTGTAAATAAATTGAATTGAATTGAAGTTGGCTCCGGTGAACCGGGAAAGCTTGTTTTCCGAGGCGTCTTCGAGATGGTCCCGTGCAAGCTCTCCGAGCTGCGCCCTATCATTTTCAACTATCGGTCTGTCGGGAAAAAAACGGCGGATCATCGCGCCTCGAATTCGCTCATCATCGCTTTGCGACTGCAAGCCGCGGCTTGGGATTTGGTGCGCGATCGCGGCGAGGCGAGACATTTTGCTGCGACGATCCGCCGTTATTTTTCCGACAGACTGATAACTCTCGGCAAACTTTCAGTCAGCGCATTGACCCTGGGAATGGTTAGACTCGACGAACCATCGAGGTGCCGCTGGCCCTACTTCGCGACAAAATCAAATTTCTTTTCACTTCAGCCACACGATGGCCTAAAACTATGATGACTATTTTCCCGACAGACTGATGTTCGATCTATTTTTTATTGTCATTTTACCCTCGTTTCAAAAAAGTTTCCTCATTCCATGAGGCCATTCCGGGCGCAACACTTATCGCCACCCCAATGTAAACAAAATTCTCGGTGCAGAAACGTATTCGCAGATAAAGATGGGTCACATGGTTCGAATAATAATTAAATTTTTTATTTTTCTTTATGTTTACAAACGAAAATACTCGTGGCGATAAGCGGTGTAGTGATAAGCCACAATGTCAGTTCTGCAAACAAGGTTGCGGTAAACAAAATGTGTCTAATGTAGAGTACGTTCTACGAGAAGATTTCGAATGTATTTCGGAGAAGAAAAAAGGAATAAATCAAAATATCAACAATAGTCGTTGAGCTGCGACGCTAACATTTTCTTTAAACTTACAGGGGAAGTACTCCAATTGCGACGCTCAGATTTTCTTTAAATTTTGCACACACGTCGGGTATGGACTAAATATCAATTCCTGAAAGTCTTACGAGGGAATGGTCTGAACTTCCCCCAGCGTTTGGGAAAATGACTACAGTGAGGGACGGGATCCAATGGCAAAAAACGACTTATTTTGCATCCCGGAAGGGACCAAAATGTCTCCAAACCCTTCCCTTCTCTAAGCTAAAAAACCCCGATTTGAAGATCCCGCCTTGAAGGAAAGGGCGCGCTTTTCAAAGCGGAGTTTTTTAGCTTAGAGACGGGAAGGGTTTGGAGTCATTTTGGCCCCTTCCGGGATGCAAAAGGAGACGTTTTTTGCCATTGGATCAGGTCCCTCACTGTAGTACAGGTGGATAGAGCATGTCAACTTTGGTAAAAAGAGCCATTTTCCAGCTGCGGAATAAGCCCGGCTGACGAGAAAAATCGACCGAAAGTTCCACAAAAATTTCCTCTTTCTCTTCCTTCGGAAAAGAAGAGCGGTGTCCAATGGTTCAGTTAGCCGAGTGGATAAAACATCCGCTCGGTACTCTTTTGGGGGTTGGTTCGGTTCCGGGGTCTCGTGGAAGGACCATGATAAGCCTTTGATGAGCAAGATCAAACTCTCAACCCAAAAAAATATTTTGCCATTTTTATACGTTTTATAGGGGCATTATACCAAAACAATAATCGTCAACAAATGCATTTTTGGGTGCTTCCGAACTTTCAAAGCGATGGAACGGCGAAGTTACACTGGTTTGGTGATAGACTTGACTTTGAAAAGGCAAAATAATTTTTTTTTGATTGTTAGAGTTTGATCTTGCTCGGTCCTTCGCGAGACCCCGGAATCGAACCAACCCCCAAAAGAATGCCGAGCGGATGCTTAATCCACTCGGCTAACCGAACCATTGGGGACCGCTCTTCTTTTCCGAGGGAAGAGAAAGAGGAAATTTTCGTGGAACTTTCGGTCGATTTTTCTCTTCGGCCGGGCTTATTCCGCAGCTGGAAAATGGCTCGTTTTACCAAAGTTGACATGCTCTATCCACCTGTACTAGTCATTTTCCCAAACGCTGGAGGAAGTTCAGACCATTCCCTCGTTAGCTCGCGCTTTGCGGGTGCCGCCGAGATATCAAACCACTTTTGCCGCCGAGAGAGCACGCTAAACGTGGAGAGCGGTCAGAGAGGAACGCTCTTTTTGGCCATAACTTTGGCAGTTTCGTGCGGAAAAATTTGATTTTTTGTAAAAATATTATCGTTTACGGTTGAAATAGGCATAAAACGTTTCGTGCCGAAATTCGGCAAAAAGTCCTAAATTTTGGCCGACTTTCGATCAAAAAAATCTCGGTTGTTTCTGCAAAGCGCGAGCTAGGATTCTCGTATATATCTTAGAAAAAATTATTCTAAATTTGTGCCAAGTTTCATCATAATCTGAGCGTCGCACTTGGAGTACTTCCCTGTTAGCCCGGGTTAAAAAATTGTCAAGTTCGCAGACTCACAGTCCTTTTGCGCCGTCGGCAATTGAATCGTTGCCTACTGTTTCTCATCCATAGGCTCGACCACAACGTCAAAATCCACTTTTCAACGCCAAAACAATAATTCCACACCCATGTGTGCACGGCTCCCCGAACATGTTGTTTTTATCGAGTTCAGGAAACATTCACCAACATTAGTCGCAGAGCTCAAGCTCTCTGCTCAGAGGCGTGGATTCGGCTTCGGCTGTGGCCTCGATGAAGCCTTATCAGCGTGGAATCGCACTTGTTTTGCACGCCGGTGGGGTATAAATACACACAAAGTTCGATGGAGGTAAACATATACATATAGGTTGGTTGCTGAAACATTTTGACATGTTTTTAGGCGATTTTTTTTAGCGAAAAAGCTACGAGTCGTCCGGAAAGTGGCAAGACACATTTTTGAAGATTGCACTGTGCGAAAAAGTCAGGGTGCGAGCGACAGCCCAAAAAAGACATTTGCACGGTGCAAAAAACAAAAAATTGCACAGTGCAGAATAAACCTTTGTTTTCGCACAGTGCATGTCGCCAAAATCACTCCAGCGACTTTCCGGACAGACTAACAGTCTGTCGGGAAAATAATGTGGACATGTCGCGACTTAAAATTTTCCATCAACTCCTTTGCAACGGCTAGCCGCAGCTAGGGATTTGGTGCGCCACTGCGACAAGGATAGATATTTTGTTCCGAAAAATCCACATTATTTTCCCGACAGACTGATGCTGGTCGCGCCACGAAGTCCGTAGAGTTTTGCACAGTGCTTTCATCGCTTTTTTCGCATGCAACGCTGCACTAGCGAGATACTTTTCTGCGAGCGCACAAAAAATACCACAGGCTTTATGGCACACCTAGTATCTTGGCTGAAATTTTTAGGGCCTTATGTGTGGACTAGGCAAAGCAAAGGTCCCAAATTTAAAGACAGTATAAGTTCTGACCTTTGAAAATTTTAACTTTTAGCTCAACGTCTCCCTTGACTTTGTGGATTTTTTGGCCACAATTTTTTTCACTTCAGCGACGCGATCAGCGACTTTGTGCTCATTATTTTCCCGACAGACTGATAATCTTTATTTCTACAGAAGCCATGACCGAGACGATTCCCAAGACCCAAAGAGCGGCCGCTTATGACAAGCACAACTCGCCCATTTCCATCCGCGAACTTCCCGTCCCCGAGCCCGAAGCTGACGATGTGCTGATCAAAGTGTTGTACACCGGCGTCTGCCATTCGGATCTGAGTATCTGGAAAGGCCTCTTCGACGGCCCGCAGAAATTCCCGTGTGTTGGAGGGCATGAGGGCGCTGGAGTGGTCGTTAAGTTGGGAAGCAATGCGAAGTATCTGAAGGTTGGAGATAAGGTTGGAGTCAAGGTAAAATACGAGAATTTTTGATGACTTTGCGGGGTGGAAAATTGGAGAAATATTTTTTTAATACAGCAAAGCCTTTGCAGAACGAATTTCAGGGGAGTAAAAAAATATTTGTTATAGAAGGAGTTCGTTGTAGAGAGGTTTGTTTTGGGGTAAAATTAGCCTGTAGGACCGTTAAAATTGTCCGTTATAGAAAAGTTTTGTTGTATAGAGGTCTTACTATCGTTTCTGTAAATTTGAAGCTAAAAAATCTCGGATATAAAGAAGAAAATTCTGCTCTACATTTGGAACAAGTTTGGTAAAAATTTTGGAAAAACTACTTTTTTTTATTTAAAAAATTAAAAAATTTCAAAAAAAGTTCAAAATTTTTTTTGTCTTTCAAAAAAATCAAAGGTTAATAAAAGATATATAATCTTTTCCAGTGGATCAACGGGACCTGTAACAACTGTGAGATGTGTCGGCGTGGGTTTGAGCCCAATTGCCCGGACGCCATCAACTCCGGCTTCTCCAGACACGGCTCTTTCCAACAATACTGTCTGATGCGCGAAAATGAAGCCATCAAAATTCCGGATGGACTTGACTTGGCGCAGGCTGCGCCCATCCTTTGCGCCGGTTTGACCGTCTACAAGGCGCTGTTGGTGTCCGGAGCGCAAGCCGGCGATATTGTGGCGATTAATGGAGCTGGCGGCGGATTGGGAAGTCTGTGCATTCAGTACGCAAAGGCTATGGGATTCCAGGTAAAAAACCATAAAGTTTCCTTTTTTGATTTATTGGAACAAATAATTAAAATTTAGAACAAGTGAAGTTCAATTAATCGTATTTTAAACTTTTTTAAAAATTTCTTTTCAAAATTTTTGTGACAAAAAAATATTTTTTGAAATTCGACAAAAAGTCTCAAATTTTTTTCGACTTTCGACCGAAAAATCTCTACCGTTTCTGCCAAGCGCGAGCTAGGATTCTCGCATATATTTTAGAAAAAATCATTCGGAATTTGCGCCAAGTTTCATCAAAATCTGAGCGTGGCACTTGGGGTACTTCCCCTGTAAATCAAATTTTTAATTTTCTCAAATTTTTTCAATTAAAAAATTACAAAAAAATGTAAAAAATAGTTTTTTTTGAGTTTTTTCCAGCAAAAAACCGGTCGGAAATTTTTGATGAATTGTATCTGCTAAGCCCGTATTTTGTCTTGAAAAGCAAAATTTTTTTGATTTTTCAAATTTTTTTCCGACAAAAATTAGTCAAAATTTTGTTTCAAGCCAGACCCGTATTTTTCATAAAATTTCCTGATGTTCGCACTTTTTTCCCGCTAAAAGTCAGCCAGAAAATCGCCAGAGATTTACTGCGACCGTATTTTACCTTAGCAACGACATTTACAAGTTTTTCCAGGAAAAAATCGGAAAGTTCTAACTTCCGTATTTTACTTTATAAGCTAATTTCTTGATTTGTCAAATTTTTTGAGCAAAAAAAGCGGTCAGAAAATTGTAATTGAACAACTGTGATACACCGTATTTTACTTTCAAAAATAGTTTTTTTGATTTTTCAAATTTTTTCCGGCTAAAAATCGGTCAGAAAATCATACTACTACAGGGTGGTTCAGCCGAAGCTTCCATCCTTATTTCAAGTATTTCTCCGCCGATAATGCACCAATTTTTATAAAATTTATATCAAATTGGAGCTGAGGTTCCCCATTTTTTGTCCACCAAATATGACAGGCCCCAGTTCAAGAATACCCCCATACTGACCTTTGACATTTTCATTCCAAATTTTGGAGCCCGAAATCGGTGAAACTTAGAAAATTTTTGGAATGATTTTCAATTGAGTTTCTCGGACTTGGAAAATATTCGAGTCTTTGGCTAAATAAGACATTTAGATGTAGGTGAAAAAATTGACGGCAGTCAACGGAATACTCCTAATTAATCTGAAGGCATCGCTCTTGTGTTCTGGGGTAATAGGCTTCGTTAATCGAAATTTTAAAAAATACGAACAAATGGGCGAAACTGTCTATGTGGATGACGAAATCCACCCTGAAGATAAATAACGAGTTGTAAGTCCTGGATTGCTCGAGAAAAGAGCTTTCGTTTTCAATCGTTCGATTTGGTGCCGCGCCGGCCCGCGCCGGATTGAAATATGCTTTTTAGGCACTTGCTACTTCTGTAAACCTTACCTTTTTTTAAAAATTTTCATCGAATTTGGCGACTTTGTTTTTGCCGGAAATCCTAAAATTTTCCAAGTCCGAGAAACTCAATTGAAAATCATTCCAAAAATTTGCTATGTTTCACCGATTTCGGGCTCCAAAATTTGGAATGAAAATGTCAAAGGTCAGTACGGGGGTATCCTTGAACTTGGGCCTGTCATATTTGGTGGACAAAAAATGGAGAACATCAGCTTCAATTTGATATAAATTTTATAAAAATTGGTGCATTATCGGCGGAGAAATACTTGAAATAAGGATGGAAGCTTCGGCTGAACCACCCTGTACAACTTCCAAGTTCCGTATTTTACTTTAAAATGGAATTTCTTGATTTTTCAATCTTGTTAAAACAAAAAATCGGTCAGAAAATTGTATTAGAACAACTGGCCAATACTGTATTTTACTTTCGAAAATATTTTTCCTGATTTTTCACATTTTTTCCGACTAAAAATCGGTCAGAAAATTTAACTGCAACAACTTTCAGCACCGTATTTTACTTTCAAAAAAAGTTTTCCTGATTTTTCAATTTTTTCCAACAAAAAATCGGCCAGAAAATTGCACTAAAACCACTGTATAATACCGTATTTTACCCTCCAATCAAGCACACCCCAAATTTTTCAGGTCCTTGCGGTGGAGACCAAGGAAAAGGAGCAGTTCTGTCGCGCGCTCGGCGCCGATTTCTTTGTCTGTCCCTTCTCCTCCAAAGACATTGTCGCGGAGGTGCAGGCGCTGACGCAGGGCGGTCCACACGCCGTCCTCAACGTCACCAACGCCGTCGCGGCCATCAACAAGTCCGCCGAGTATGTGCGCACACGCGGCGTCGTGGTTTTGGTGTCATTGCCGCCGGGCGAACTGAACCTGAACATCATTTCGACCGTGTTTCGGACGGTCGACATCCGCTCCACGTACGTGGGGAATCGCATCGACACGGTGAAGGCGTTGGATTTTGTGGCCAGAGGGCTGGTTAAAGTCCCCATTGTAGTGAGGCCATTTGACAAGCTGAATGAGACGCTGGACGAGCTGAAAGCCGGCAAACTGAAGGGTCGAGTGGTTCTCGATCTGTGGAAATAGACGTGAAATAGATGGAAAAAGATGTAGTATCATACGATGTAAAAGACCAGCAGACGAAGATATCAGATTTTTAAAAGTTTTTTTATTGTGTTTTATCAAAGAATTGTAATCAGATTTTGACGTAAATTTGTAGTGAAGATAAAGTTGTTGTATAGAAATGGTCTCTTTTCATATTCAAGAATTTTAGCGGATGGTGTTGGCCCGTTGGTTCTAGAAGCGCATATTATTAGAATAACGTCGGGTCGTCGCAGCAAAATCTTTCGCCTCGTCGAAAAAAGCCGCAGTTGCACACCAAATTTCTAGCCACGGCCTACCGTCGCACATGATGGGTGATTCCAAGTCGCAACGACCCGCAGACTGACAGATGCAAAGAAACTCTTGTCATTCTAGTCTTCGTTTTCCAAATACTTCTTTACTCCCTTGACGTCGCAAAATTGGTTGGTCCGGCACAAAAAAAGTTTCGGAAAATATGACCCGGCCTAGACTTGGCCTTCGGCCCGGCAAAAATATAATTCTGAGTCTCAAAGCGAAAACTTGGGTTGCCAATAAAATTAAAACGCAAAGCCAAAAACACTGTAGACACGTTTCTGTTTCCTTTTGGAGGTTGATTCGTCATGGCTGCCACGTCGATTGCTATGTTTTTTTTTAAATATATGTTTGTTTTTCAACGGGTTGTGAGATTTTTCGTGGTTTATTTCGACATATTTTATTTTTAGTTTCAGAGACCATGAGCGACCAGGTACAGGATGAGGAGGCCGGCAATGAAAGCATTGGCAATGCCCTCGAGACCGGCACTGAAAGTTTTGGCAATGCCCTGCAGGGAGAGGACGTTGAGTCCACGGCAATGGTAAGAATATATTTATTTTAATATACGAAATACTGTATAATTTTAAAATTTTGAGAATCTTTCTTTTTTTCAGAGTAATGGCCAACGATCTGTCTGGGAAAATCAAGATGAAGATGAAAGCAATGAAGAAGGGACAGAGGAGGATGAGTCCGATGAGGAGGATGAAGAAGAAGAACAAAATGGGACCGAAGAGGGTGAAATCGTTCACGAAGATCGTGAAAGTAATGGCCAACCATCTGTGTGGGAAAGCCAAGAAGAAGATGAAAGCAATGACGAAGGCGCAGAGGAGGATGAGTTTTTACCCGGCCTAGTCTAAATACATAGTTTCTGCCTGGGCTCCACAAACTTCGGTTATTCGTTAAGTCCCAATTGCATCTACATAGCCATCAACAATTCTGCCCTTATTGTAGGATGGACAATATAATACTATTATTTTCTGAACCCATCTTAAAGTTTCAGCATCATGTGATTGGAAAAAGTTGATTAATTCTTGTAAGGTTCTTATGAACGTCTTTGCTTATAATTTTATTGAGCTCAGCATAAAAGTGGAGTCTAACGATAAGGAAGACGTTAAAACGCGTTTTATTACAAATCGTAGTTTGGCCCGGACATTGTTAAAATCAGTGTCTCAGAATTGAACGAAAATTGGTCAACTTAATCACTGATAGGCACAAAACATTCGCTTTCTTTGTTTTTGCCCAAAATTACCGTATGACGGCATACTGTAACATCATTTTTAAAAAAAGATATGCCCTAATCGAGAAAACGAAGCGCTATTTCAGCGCAAATTGAGTTCGGGTATATGTTTTCGATCATGTAGAACATTTTTGTAATTGTCACCGAAAACTAAAAATTACATCTAAGCTATGTTACACTTGAGACAACATACCATTTCGGGTATAAAAAATGCAGTTCGGACGAGGCGCAGATTTTGAAACCGGAATACTAAACTTCAAGCCTCGTCTAACAAACCATAAAAATTTCAGAAAGATCAAATATATAGTTTTTGAGATATCGGACATTCAATGTCTCATGTGCAAGATCACCTTGACCCCGAAAAAAACTGGCATTCTTAGGGTTTTGGCTAGGCGCAGATTTTGAAAGTTTCCAATACATTTTTATGACGTTTTAGGAGGATATAGAAAGTTTCAGAGGAAAAAATGAATAGTTTTTGAGAAACCGGCCAAAATACCTTGTTTTAGGTCATCAGATGCCCGAAAAAATCTGGCATTCTTAGGTTTTTGGCTAGGCGCAGATTTTGAAAGTTTCCAATACTTTTTTATGAGATTTTAGGGAGATATAGAAAGTTTCAGAGGAAAAAAATGAATAGTTTTTGAGAAATCGACCAAAATACCTTGTTTTAGGTCATCAGATGCCCGAAAAAATCTGGCATTCTTAGGTTTTTGGCTAGGCGCAGATTTTGAAAGTTTCCAATACATTTTTATGACATTTTAGGAGGAAATAGAAAGTTTCAGTGGAAAAAAGTGAATAGTTTTTGAGATATCGACCATGGTGAACCTGTTATAGGTCAAGTTGCTGGAAAATTCGACCAATTTTCTTCGGCATCTCTTTTTTTCCGAGATATATGTGTGTTACTGTTTTTTTCTCCAAATTGAGGTATTTTGGCCGATTTCTCAAAAACTATTCATTTTTTTCCTCTGAAACTTTCTATATCCTCCTAAAATGTCATAAAAATGTATTGAAAACTTTCAAAATCTGCGCCTAGCCAAAAACCTAAGAATGCCAGATTTTTTCGGGCATCTGATGACCTAAAACAAGGTATTTTGGCCGATTTCTCAAAAACTATTCATTTTTTCCTCTGAAACTTTCTATATCCTCCTAAAATGTCATAAAAATGTATTGGAAACTTTCAAAATCTGCGCCTAGCCAAAACCCTAAGAATGCCAGATTTTTTCGGGCATCTGATGACCTAAAACAAGGTATTTTGGCCGATTTCTCAAAAACTATTCATTTTTTTCCTCTGAAACTTTCTATATCCTCCTAAAATGTCATAAAAATGTATTGGAAACTTTCAAAATCTGCGCCTTGCCAAAACCCTAAGAATGCCAGATTTTTTCGGGCATCTGATGACCTAAAACAAGGTATTTTGGCCGGTTTCTCAAAAACTATTCATTTTTTTCCTCTGAAACTTTCTATATCCCCCTAAAATCTCATAAAAAAGTATTGGAAACTTTCAAAATCTGCGCCTAGCCAAAACCCTAAGAATGCCAGTTTTTTTCGGGGTCAAGGTGATCTTGCACATGAGACGTTGAATGTCCGATATCTCAAAAACTATATATTTGATCTTTCTGAAATTTTTATGGTTTGTTAGACGAGGCTTGAAGTTTAGTATTCCGGTTTCAAAATCTGCGCCTCGTCCGAACTGCATTTTTTATACCCGAAATGGTATGTTGTCTCAAGTGTAACATAGCTTAGATGTAATTTTTAGTTTTCGGTGACAATTACAAAAATGTTCTACATGATCGAAAACATATACCCGAACTCAATTTGCGCTGAAATAGCGCTTCGTTTTCTCGATTAGGGCATATCTTTTTTTAAAAATGATGTTACAGTATGCCGTCATACGGTAATTTTGGGCAAAAACAAAGAAAGCGAATGTTTTGTGCCTATCAGTGATTAAGTTGACCAATTTTCGTTCAATTCTGAGATGCCGATTTTAACAATGTCCGCCCTCTGTTAGGCTAAGCTCCAAAGTGTGGCAAAACGCGTTTTAAGAGTCTTATTGGGTAAACAAATCAAAAGAGTCCATGTTTCAAAACAAGCATTGCTAAAGGCAAAAATTGCTGATAATTTGTTGCGGCTCCGAGTTCTGCTCAGACCGCGACATTGTACATCAAGTCGAAATACGACTCGGAAAATATGGGAATCGAGCGCGACGTTGCGCAGGAGTGAAATTGACCTGTGCAAACACACTTTTTTTGGGCCGAACGCACGGTGCAAAATGGGTTTTTCGAAGATCGCCGAAATTGTCGCTCAAAATGCACAGTGCAGAATAGCAGAAAATTCCCAGGACTTTTTGTTGTGAGTAGCACTTATCAGTCTGTCGGGAAAATACATTATTTTAGACAGTCTGATTCCCAGTTCAAACAGTCCCTCTACGATTTTTGGGCCTCTTTCTCACTAACAAACCTCAATTCCTCCCTTCCCACAATTCCAGCGCCCTCATGGCGTACAATGGCGGGAATTTGTGATCACTCTGCAACAATCCTGAAGACTGATATCAGTTTTTTACTGATAGAACGTCAAAGGCACATTCTGAACGTTTCTGGTCGCGTCAAGACATGGTGAAAGTAGAATCACAACGGACTACAGTCACCGACCTGATCTATCGGCAAAAAAAGTGCCATTTTGCATCCGGGAAGTACCAAGAACCGTGGCAAAATGCCTCCCTTTGCAACTAAAAAAAACTCCATTTTGAAGGGTCCCTCACAAAAAAAGCGGGCGCGCTTTTGAAATCGGAGTTTTGTTTAACTTGGAGAGGGAGGTATTTTGCCACATTTTGTGATACTTCCGGATGTAAAATGGTACGTTTTTTGCCGCTGGCTCAGGTTCGCCGCGGTAGGCCGGGCCATACATGCCGTTTTTATCGCAGAATACATGGTCTTGTCTAACCAGCTCGGGCCGAAGAAGAACATCGAAAAACGGGCCAAGCCCGACCTCCCGCGGGCCAAATCACTATTTTTTCTTTGCAAAACGCAAATTATTATAAAATCCATTAGCAATAGACGCCTATTCCATTCAAAAACATCAAAACGTAAACCCTAAGGCACTCTTCTTCCGAATAAAACTTTTTGCCAGTCTCAGCAGATACGACGTTTCCACTGGACATGTAGACAATGAATTTGATGATGCAAGATCCCAAACTACAATGGACACTCAATCTTTAATGATTCTTCCTTTTGGTCCTCCAAATAATTTAATTTTTCGTCCATGTGACTCCGTCTTATCATTTCGTACAGAACGTACGAAAAGGTTCGAATGCAATCGGTCTGCCGAAAACTGCAGAATTTGGTCAGGAATTTTTCAAGGCACAACAACTTTGGCAATAAAGAAAGTAAAAAGATCGATAGTATTTCCGATGGTACTCCATCAGTCGGTCGGGAAAATAATGAGCACAATGTCGCTCGCGTCGCTGAATTGGAAAGCAGTTTGATTTTGTCACGACACAATCTATTTTCTCAGCGGCGATGAGATTTTTGCCTCGACAGAGAGCTCATTATTTTCCCGACAGACTGCTAATTGACGTGGCCAAGTCTGACTTTTTTTTGAATTGTGGTAATTTTGAAATTTCAACAAGGTAATCATAAGTTCAAAAACTTGATTTAGCAAAGCCTTTCGATAATGAACAAGAGCAAAACATTCGAAAAAAGTTGAAATTTGACCAAAATCATCATTTTTTAAAAATTTCAACAAAATTTTCCCGACTTTTCTTGACGATCACAATGAACAAGCTCCATTCTACATCAACAACATCTTAAACATCATTTTCAACTACTTTTTGCTTTATAAAAACCCCAATTTACAACTCTTTTTCATCCGCTTTCCCGCCATTCACAGCCAAAACCATGGAGTGTGCAGGCTGTGTGCGTCGACTCAAACCATAGCCAATTCGCTTTATCTTATCAGTGGTGGGGCAAAACAATTAAAGAACGAAATCAGGTTGGTATATAAGCGGTAGGGGCGCCCCTCGGATTCCACGCCAGTTCCGAGTGTGCTGTGTCGCGTTCGGCGTGCTCTTTTTTCCGTGGGGGAACGTGATTCGCGAACGGACGGAGGGGAGAGGTTTCAGGCTAGGCATGGCTTTGGGCTGGGCCAAACAAATATGAAGTACTAGTCGCAACCAGAGATTGCCACGGTCAAAATTTCGGCTCCGGCTCCGGCTCTTAGCTCCCAGAGCCGGAGCCGAGGCCAAATTTGCAGCTCCGGCTCCGGCTCTTGGCTCCGTGCAAAATTTAAAAAGGCCTCCGGCTCCGAATCCCGGCTCCTATGCAAAATGTTTTTCTAAAAATATTTTTCCAAAAATAAAAGTTATTAGTGCCATAGATCATACAGCCAACGTTTTTGCAGAGAAGTCACATCCTCCGCAGTGTTTTTAAAGCAATTTGGTTTAACAAGATCACGAAATTTTTACTTTTCTGACCGCTGGGAAACCTGCTCCGACTTTGGGCTCGGGAGCCGGAGCTGCACCCAAAATTTCCGGCTCTGGCTCCCGGCTCGGAGCCGGAGCCGCTCAGAGCCGGAGCCAAGAGCCGGCTCCGGAGCCGTGGCAATCTCTGGTCGCAACGTAAAGTCCGTAGAATTTGCACAGAGCATTTTTCGGCCATTGCACCCGCATCGGCCAAAAAACTTTATGGCGCGATATGGATCGGGACCGGCCCGAGGCGTGTCTGTTTAAAGCTAGTCCGTTCGCAAAGTCGCTATCAGTCGGTGGGGAAAATAGTGGCGGGTCTTCGCGCCTTGGAATCGCCCATCATCGCTTTGCAACCGATATCCTTGCAAAGCGAGAGAGGCTTGGGACAGCACCCTTTTTTTCGACGAGGCGAAACATTTTGCTGCAACGGATAGCCGTTATTTTCCCGGCAGACTGATAAAATAGCACTGGCGAAAAATTTGCAACGAAAATTCTACGCACTTTATGGACTAATAGTGTTAGCTGTCGGGAAAATAACATGTACTTGTCACAGGAAAGTATCTCGCAGACTGACAAAAAAAGTGTATTTTACATATTAGGGTTTACCGAGATCCGTAAGAGCAAAGACATGCCGGTAACGAGCCAAATAGCTGATTGCCGATAGAGCCCTGTGTTGGCAAACCCTTTGAGCAGAAGTGGGGGGCAGAAAGCGCCTAAAACGGGCCGCTTCAGCCACGTATGGCTTTGAGAGTTTCATGAATTACGTTCCTTCTTCGGAGACTTTGAGGAATCTGTCAGCCTGTCGGGAAAATAATGAGCACTCTGTCGTATCGAAACTTGCATCACCGCCGACAAAATAAACTATGTCGCAGCAAGATCAAGTCGCTTTTCACTTCAGCGACATTGTGCCCATTATTTTCCCGACAGACTGATATTGTCAAATTGATCTGTTAAACAATCAGTATTACCTCAGACTAAAGAGCAGCCTCATTTTTCAACCTTTTCTTCCGGTTCCTCTCAAATTCAGACGTTTTCTAATTAAAATTCTCGAAGATACGACTATTTATATCAATAATTTCAGCCCACTTTTCCCATTTTTCTCTTCTTCCTCAGCTCTCGTTTACCATGTCCGCCGAGGCAATCCCAGCGACCCACAAGTCCGCGCAATACGACGAATACAACGGCCCGCTGCACATCCGCGAAGTGCCGGTCCCGGAGCCCGGCCATGACGATGTTTTGGTGAAGATCTTGTACTCCGGAGTCTGCTACTCTGACGTGAGCATCCACGCCGGATTGTTGCAGGGAGATCAAAAATTCCCCGCCGTTGGAGGCCATGAGGGCGCCGGCATTGTGGTCAAGGTGGGGTCTCATTGCAAAGACCTCAAAGTTGGAGACACTGTGGGAATTAAGGTGAGAAAAAACTGAAAAAGATATCAGCTTTCAGTGCAAAGCATGAGCTAAAATTTTCAAGGTTAAAAGCAAGTTCTATGTAGACTATTTGAGCCAAATACCAACCCATACTGAGCTTTGACAGTTGAGAAATTTGACGTTTTCTTCCCATATATTCGATCTTTTTTGGATCCTCTAGGTTGAAAATATCGTTGAATATTTCAGCTCTTCGTGGAAAGAATGAGCTATAGATTTGATAAACGAAAGCGAGTTCTATGTAGACTATTTGAGCCAAATATCAACTCGTTCTATGCTATGACAGTGGAGAAATTTAACGGTTTTCTTACTGTATTTTTGATTTTTTTTGGATTCTCTACGTTGAAAAGATCGTCGAATAGTTCAGCTGGCCTTGCAAAGCATCAGCTAAAATTTTCAAAATCAAAAGTGAGCTCCGTGTAGACTATTTGAGCCAAATTTCAACCCATTCTGAGCTTTGAGCGTCGAGAAATTTGACGTTATCTTTACTGTATTTTCGATTTTTTTTTGAATTCTCTCGGCTAAAAGATCGTCGAATATTTCAGTTGCCCTTGCAACGCATGAGCTAAAAATTTCAAAATCAAAAGCAAGCCCCGCGTAGACCGTTTCAACCAAGTTGCAACCCATTCTGAGCTTTGCCCGTCGAGAAATTTGAACGTTTTTCTCACTGTATCTTCGATTTTTTCGGATTCTTTTGGTTGAAAAGATCATGGAATATCTGAGTTTTCTTTGCAAAGCATGAGCTAAAATTTTCACAATTATAAGCGAGCTCTGCGTAGATTATCCACATCAAATTTTAAGGACGACAATGTTCTGAGCTTTGAGAAATTCACTTTTTTAACCCTGCCTCTATTACACCTACTGCAATATAAATCAAATCCAATCTTTTTTCAGTGGATCAACGCCACCTGCCTGAACTGCGAATATTGTCGGGCGGGCCGCGAGCCCAACTGCAACACCCCTCTCTTCTCCGGCTACAATCGCGAGGGTACCTATCAGCAATACACTTTGGTCAAGGAGTTCCATGCCATCAAACTGCCGGCCGGCGTGAATCTCGCCGAAGCTGCGCCCATTCTGTGCGCCGGCGTTACGGTTTATAAGGCGTTGAAGGACTCGGGAATCAGAGCCGGACAGACGATTGCGATTACCGGCGCTGGCGGTGGATTGGGATGTTTGGGGATCCAGTACGCAAAGGCGCTGGGATTCAAGGTATGAAAGGGCGGGGCTTTTGGAAGACATATGTACAGTGAGGGACTTGATCCATTGGCAAAAAAAACATTTCGCATTCGGGAAGTATCAAAAAAATGTGGCAAAATGCCTCCCTCTCCAATTAAAAAACTCTGTTTTGAAGCACGCGCCCTTTACCTCACAAAACAGAGGAAGCGCGCTTTTGAAATCGGAGTTTTTTCACTTGGGGAGGTATTTTGCTACATTTTTCGATACTTTCCGGATGCAAAATGGTACGTTTTTTGTCAATGGATCCGGCCCTCCACTGTAGGTGTTGGTGTGTTATCAGTCTGTTTTTCCAGTAGATTTTTGAATATCAGTCTGTCGGGAAAATAATGTGGATTTGTCGCAGCAAAATTACACGATCCGTCGCAGTCGCGGACCAAATCTCCGGCCGGGAGTAGCCGTCGCAAAGCGACAATCGCCGATTCCAGACAAATCTACATTATTTTCCCGACAGACCGACAATTTGCTCCGTCAGTCGGGAAACTTAAAATGCATACAGTCCGTCGGGAAAATAATGAGCACTCTGTCGCAGCGAAAATTGCATTGCCGCCGAGAAAATGAATTCAGTCGCGGCAAAATCAAATTGCTTTTCACTTCAGCGACGCGATTGGCATAGCGAAATTGTACTCATTATTTTCCCGACAGAATGAAGAATCTGGCCAGTACGTCGGCTAAATTTTGATGAAAAATTTGGGGCAATCTAGACTAGCATCTCTTTGATGTTTTCTAGTTTTTTCAAATCACTCTCCTTTTCAGGTCCTGGCCATTGACGCCGGCGTCAAAGAAGAGTTTTGTCGGAAGCTGGGCGCCGACTATTTCGTCGACTCTTTCGCCACCAAAGACATCGTCTCCACCATCCAGACCCTCACCAACGGCGGCCCGCACGGCGTGCTGAATGTGGCCAACTCGGCGGTCGCCATAAATCAATCAATTCAATACGTACGCACTCACGGCATCGTCACGATCGTGGCGCTGCCCAAGGACTCCAGATTGGATGTTGATATTATTACCACCGTACTTCGCAGCATCACCATCAAGACCTCGTATGTGGGGTCGAGAGAGGAGGCGGATGAGGCGCTGCGATTCCTGGCCGATGGGCGCGTCAAGGTCCCGATTGAGATCCGGCCTTTTTCGGAGATTACCAAGAGTTTTGATGAGATCCGCCAAGGAAAAGTTCAAGGGCGAATTGTACTCGACCTGTGGAAGTAGAGGAATGTAAATTTGATCAGATTTGTAATGAATTTTTTGCAATTTTTATTAGATATTGTACATGACAATCTTTTGTGTTTAATAAATCTTATTGCTGATTTTTTGGCTGCATTTTTTCTTAAAATCTGGCACATATATTTTGCCTAGACCACACATCAATTCCGAAAAATTTTAGCTCGCGCTCGCGAAGCAAGAGATCGGCCTGTCGGGAAAATAAAGAGCACAATCTCGCTGCGCCTATCATGTTGCCGAAATGAAAAGCAATTTGATTTTGCTGCAATACTCATTATTTTACCGACAGACTGATAATTTTTCGTTGAAACGTTGTGATCTTCCTTGGAATTGACGCTAACGTTTTTTATGTTAAAGCTCGCAAAAAGCGTTAAATTTTAAATTTTAGACAAAAAACTTTGGTTCTTTGGCAAAAATGAGACATTCAATGTGTTGCTTCGCTCCACAAGTTTACTGCTTTTCCATTTACAGCATTTGTATGCAACGACACCTGTCTAAAACCAACAATTTCAAGGGCCCGAGGACCCAACTTTAGGCCGAAATACACCTCCGTACAAACCCTTCTACAATGACTTAATTTTTGGTCGCTTGCAGCTGGTTTTACAGAGGCTTGACTCTACTCCAAATCTGACCCAGATCCAAGTCCGCTGAAACATCGGTTCGCCCTCAAGGAAGTCTCGATTTCGCTCCGAAAGTGGCCACTTGACGAGGGGGATTCGATTGTCCGAAGAAGGGATTCGGAGCCAAGCCGACCGCTTCTTGACCTACCACCGACTTGGACTGGAATCGATTTTTCGCTTTTTCTATTTTTACACTGTAAATTTATTATTAGTTTTTTATAAAGTGCGTGGACATTTTAAAAAAAAAGGTCTACGCACTTTTGAAAAGCCGTAGTAATACTTCTTTATAAGACAACATAATTGAGAGAGAACTGTTAAAATGAAGGTTCGAAGGATATCAAGGCTATTGTTTGTTGCGATATTACTGTGGACATATTCAGGTAAGAAGACTGATTGTAATTTTAATTTTTTACGCCTATATGCGATCCCCATTTTTTACCTCTTCATTTTCCAGACACTTCGGTCTACGCCACAACAGAAGAGCTGAAACGTTGGATCATCGCGAACAAACACAAATTCCCCCGCGAAATCCGCGACTCCATCACAAATGCGTCCGGCGCAGAGATCACTGCCGCCTTACTGCGAATGCTGGGCTTCAAACCAATCCATTCGAAGGCCCCGTTGGCTGCAATTTTACCCGAGGCATTCACAAAAGTCGACAGTTTACCGGCAATGATTGGAAAGGGCGATCGAATAGGGCAAATTAGAGTGGGCGAGAAGGAGAGTAGAGGTAGGTTGGAAATGGGGATTTTATTGATAAAAAATTGGGAAAAATTTAAAACCAAAGTTGAAAAAAAAGAAAAAAAAATAAAAAATAGAAAAAAATAAAAAATAAAATAAATAAGACTAAATTTTAAATGAGTAAAAAAAAAGTTTTAAACCAATTTCAAACGTTAAAAAATTATTTTAAAAATTTTAAAAATCAAAAAAAATAAATAAAAAAATTATTAGGCAATAAAAAAATCAAAAAATAATAATAAAAAATTAGCGAAGATTATAAACCAATTTTTAACATAAAAAAAATAATTAAAAATTAGAAAAAAAAATAAAAAAAATAGTTAAAAAAGAGAAAAAATTCAAAAAATAAAAAAAAAAAATTTAACATGCATTTTCAACAATTTTTTGAAATAAAAAAAGTTAAAAAAATTAAAAAAAAAAATTTTTTTAAAATGCCCCATCAAAAATCATTTTTTTTTTTATTTCCAGCCACCGTATGTCCATTCGACTCTACCCCACTGCTCCTTATGGGTGAATACTCTTATTGCAAGCCGACCAGTCCAGAAGATTGCCCAGCCGGATATGTTTGTGATCAAAGTTTCGAGTTGGGGAGATCGATCTGCTGTAAGGAGGGAGATCGACTCTTCAAGAGTTTGCCGACGTTTAAAGAAAGAAGTAAGTAATAAAAACTCTTAAATACATTTCGTATTTTACCCTAATTTATCAATTTATAAAAAAATTTACCTTTTCATTTTACGTATAAAATGTCCTCCGCAGGTCGCGCCTTTTAATTATCTCAAATCACTTGTTTTTTTGGGAAAAGTGGGCCCTGTGGAACTTTTACCTCATTTAATATACATATATTTACATCTTCTCGCATTTTACCCTCAAGTTTTTTCTTCCAGATAACCTTACAGTTCCCTCAAATCTGGTTGGTTGGAAAAACATTGTCCCGCCAAAATCGACGCAGGAAATGATCATTCTCGGAAGCAAATTTACCACCAACCCTCCTTGGTAGGCTTTGTGTCTGATATTTTTTTGTAAATATCATGTTTATATTAATTTTTTTCGTATCTTTAGGAACCCATTCAAACCCCGTCCTACCGTAATCCCAATCAAACCCGGAATAGAGCCATTCACGGGAGTTCCCATAAGGTAAAATACGGCTTCTGGAAAATTTCCAGCTTATTTCTGTTTCATTTTTCATTTTCGCATCAGTTTTATAATGTGCAGCTAGCGGAACCAAATTATACGATGAAATATTTTTATTTACCCGGAGGCTATGAGACAAAAAAACTTCATTTTTGGTTTTAGCTAGTTCTAGTTTCTCTAATTTTGATCCTATTGCCTTCATTTTCCAGGGGTTTTATTCCGCAACCCGCGGAACCAAGTTATACGATGAAAGATGTTTTCTCTCCCCTAAGGCTATAAGGTTCAAAAGGAAAACTTTTTTGAGGCCTATCAAGCTCTACTAATTCTGTGTATCAGATTTTTTGCCCTTAATTCCAATTTCTTTCTTTTGAAACCTGCGTAACCAATTTATACGATGAAAGATATATATGGTGGCCTAAGGCTATAAGATTCGGAAACAGCAATTTTTGACATCCAACTATCCCTACTAACTTCGTAAATCAGATTCTTCGCCTTTACCTCCCAGTTTTTTTTCTGCAGCCTGCGGAGCCAAATTATACGATTAAACATGCCCCACTTTCCACCCTAAACCAACATCGAACAAAAATTAACTTTACCTCTCTCCAAGCACCACGCTAATCAGTCTGCACTCTTCTAGGAAATTCACAATTGGAGGAACCGCCACTTTATTGCCTTACACCCCAAAAGGTGGCAAGGTGAACATAATGACGACCACAATGGCCACGATAACCCCCGCCAAACCCAATGAATGGGACAAGTTATGGTCAACAACGCGAAGTCCCATCAAAACAGTCGATGTGTCGGTCATTCAGACCGGCAGCAGGAATAATATGATGGTGAGTTTGGAATTCTTGGGAATTAAAAATTTGAATTTCCCGCCAAATTTTTTCTGGTTGAAAAATCAAGGAAAATAAATTTTAAGAGTAAAATACGACAGAAAAAAACTTGAATTGATCAAAAAATTTATAACATTTTTGATGATTTAAAAAAATTAAAATTTGAATTTCCCGCCAAAATTCAAATTTTAAAATTGGCTTAAAAATTCAAATTTGACGTAAGATACGAAAAAAGAGATCTCTTTTTAGTAAATTTAAACAAATTCTGATGACTTAGAACAATTTTTTTCAGGAAGACCAAACCGAAGTTGTCGGTGCCATCACCTTGATCAAGGACGGCGGAACGAACGTTTTGGTCGACACTGGCGCCGCCAGTGAGACAGAAAATCTCCTCAGAGGCCTGGCGGATCATGACGTCTCTTTGGATGACATTCAGGTCGTAGTTGTGACACATGCTCATCCCGGACATGTTGGGAACTTGAATTTCTTTGGTCAAAAACCCATTTTGTTCCATTCGAAGGAGTTCATTGGTCATCATGTGACAAATACGGAGCTTTTCGAGGTGAGTGGAGTGTTTAGGAGGCATGAGGAGGGCATTTTTGAGGGTTTCGGAGGTTTGAAACAGAATGCCAATTTTGGCGGGAAAATTGGAAATTTGAATTTTGGGGGTTTCAGAGGCTCGGAAATGAAGAATAAAGGCATTAGAGTAAAGAAAAAATGTGTTGTAGGGCATTTTTTGATGCTAAAATACGAAAAATTTAAATTTAAAAAAAAAATTAAAATTTCAAAGATTCTGAAAAAAATCCGGTTTTCAGCGGCCTTATCGCAAATTAACCCCCAACATCGAAGTCTGGAAGACTCCAGGCCACACTCAGCACGATCTCAGCGTCCTCGTCCACAATGTCCCAAACTATGGGACCATGGCCATCGTTGGCGACCTAATCCCGGCCGAAGTCATGCTCTCCGAGAAACGCGATCCCGCCCTCGAGGAAGGCGTGTGGGACTCGACTATCAAGCGGCAGAACGCAAATCTCATCATTTGCATGGCCGATTGGGTGGTTCCCGGGCATGGCGCGCCATTCCGGGTGTTGGCCGAATACCGACAACGTGCAGGATGCGGAACGGTGGCGTCGACGAGACGAAAACGATAAATTATTGAGCGGAACATTGTCTGTTTATAACCCTGAGGACTTAGACCAATAAATATTTGAAACTTTTAAAATTAATTTTTTCAAAATTTTTTTTACATCAGATGTCATGGATAATATAAAAAATTTTTTAATTTGCTCTAAAATTACAATAAAAGTTTGGCACATGAATAAAAGTCGTATTTTACTCTCAAAAAACCGATCTTTTACTTTCTTTCCCTTCAAAATTGGCATTCACGAAAAATCTTGGCATTCCGTTGCAACTATTTTTTCTCGCTTTTTCTCCCGGATTTTCTCAATTTCTCCGTCAAATCCACTTGTAGAATGTCAAATACAACGGAGTATCCGAGTGTTCAGCTTCCCAAAGGCTTGGAAATTGTGAGTTTTACATTTATCCTCTTTTCTCCGCGTAAATTCTTTATTTTTTACCTATTTTTTACAAATCTCATGTGAAATTTCAGGTTGATGGAGATTCTTATACCAAAGACAAATCGATGATAACTGTGGTTATGAAGGGCGAAGATCACACGATTGCCAATCTGCTGAAACATGTTATCGCCCCGATGTAAGGTTTTTTGATGTTATTCTTGTTGGTTTAGGTGTGGAGACGGAATTGAGGCGAAAATAATATTGATTGGAAACAAATTCGGAGGAATTTGTAATGGATAGCTGGAGAATTTTTGACTGCTTCTTTATAGGCTGACATTGACTAGTTTTTATTGAAATTACCACGGATGCCAATAAATTGGTGATCAGGACGAGAGTTGACCCATGTACAACAAATGGGTCAAATGTTTCTCAACTCACAAAAAAATGTTTTTACCGGTCGAAAATGAAAATTGAGCTTACTTTTGATTCTCCGATCAACATCCAGCCTATTTTACACCTGATAAATTAATTTTCAGGGAAGGCGTTGAGTTCGTCGGTGCTGGAGAGACCCATCCATTGGAGGATCAGATCTGCATTCGAATCCAAACCGTCCCCGAGAAGAACATTGATGCCGGAGAGGTCCTAGCCCGTGGATTCGAACTCATCGAGCAGCTCTTTCAAGGGATTGAAGATAAATTTGACAAGGCTTGCCAGGAATTCGACTCATAATCTCAACTTTTTGTAAAGTTTTTGATTTTATTACTTGTTATTGTTGAAATTTGTTATAAAATTGATTCCTATACTGGTTGACAAAATTTTCTTTCCACCTCGTATCTCGGGAACTGCTGGGCCTAGAACCTCAAAATTCGGCATAGAAACATCATGGGACAATCTAACACCATACCCAAAAAATCATACCATTTGATGCACTTTCAGTGCACTTTTTATGCAATCGGCAAAAAAAGAGGTGACAAAATTTTCTTTCCACTTTGGAAGAACGTTTGTAAATTAAAAGCCAAAGGCATGATTGTGGTATCGTTGTGATCGCGAAGAAGTCCTCTTTCTATCCGTGTCACAATTTGACAGGAGTTTTCGTTTGTTCGCCCTTGGGCGTCTGCTCATCATTGCGTTGTCCGTTTTCGGCCAAATTGGTGGACAGAGAAGCTCGCAGAAGGCCCAATGAGATGAAACTGCCCTTAAAAAATCTGGCATTTATGTCTGCAACATTGTTTACACCAGCATTAAAATTAGATTTAATTTAAGTGTGTTGCGTGGGAAAAAGCGCCACCTTTAGAGTGCGCGAAACCGGGAAATTGCTTATGTACAGAATGGAAACGTCGAAATGACATGCCTTTGCAGTACATATGGCGTATTTTAGGTATTATACGACCGTATGTGTTGAAGCCTACCGTCTTACCTTACCCCCTGTGGTCTATGTCGTCTTAGGTAATACAGGTTGTTGCACTACATGACGGAGAGGCATTACCATAACTTAAAATTGATATATTGGGAAATTTGACTGCCAGACTACTTTAATACATTGAGATTGACCCGCCTTTAACGTTTTTGCTACGACAAATAATTTGCGCGGGAAGCTTAGGGTTGCAAATCTTGCACATGGGGCATGGGGAACCATTCTTCTGCTCACAACTAAGCGCGACATCAGATACTAAAATCTTCGGTATTTTTAAAGTCTGCAGTATCATAGAAAATATATCAGCAGGAAAAGTTATTTGAATTATCTGCAGTATTCCCATAATAACGTAATTTTCTGGCAACGAGAGGCTTGGAAGTGCACATTTTCCCATGCAACACACTTAAATTGAATCTAATTTTAATGCCGGTGTAAAAAATGTTGCAGATATAAATACCAGATTTTTTAAGGGCAGTTTCATCTCATTGGGCCTTCTGCGAGCTTCTCTGTCCACCAATTTGGCCGAAAACGGACAACGCAATGATGAGCAGACGCCCAAGGGCGAACAAACGAAAACTCCTGTAAAATTGTGACACGGATAGAAAGAGGACTTCTTCGCGATCACAACGATACCACAATCATGCCTTTGGCTTTTAATTTACAAACGTTCTTCCAAAGTGGAAAGAAAATTTTGTCACCTCTTTTTTTGCCGATTGCATAAAAAGTGCACTGAAAGTGCATCAAATGGTATGATTTTTTGGGTATGGTGTTAGATTGTCCCATGATGTTTCTATGCCGAATTTTGAGGTTCTAGGCCCAGCAGTTCCCGAGATACGAGGTGGAAAGAAAATTTTGTCAACCAGTATATATAATCCGAAGAGCATACGAAACCTATCTGGTAAGTTGTTCAACCATATATGGGAGGTGCTTTATAAATTTCAGCGCACTTGTCTGTTCGACCCCTGCGGATTTCGTCCAAAGTTAACTTTGGACGAAATTCGCCCAATCTCGTCCAAAAATTTCATGGACTTTTTGCCGGATCCAAAGTGTGGACTAAATCTGCCGGTATTAGTCCAGGCAAATTTGTTCCCGTGGACTTTTGCTTTTTCGTCCATCTAGATAGACGAAGTCCACTCCGTGGACTAAGTCCAAAGTTTGGATTTTTTTACATTTTTGGTTGGAAGATCAAAATTTGACTTTTGAAATCTGTGTATGTTGTACTAGGTATTATACATATTTTTTGGGGCGGAGGGGGTGGAAAAAAGTGGTGAGGGGGACCAAGAACAAATTTTTCCTCTAGGAAGCGAAATTTTTACAGGACTGCCTGTGCATCCTATTTATTATATTGTACTAGGTATTATACAGATTTTTTGGGGCGGAGGGGGTGCAAAAAAGTGGTAAAAGGGGACCGAGGCCAAATTTTTGCTGTAAGAAGCGAAATCTTTTACAGAGCTGCCAGTTCAGGCATTTTAGTATATTGTACTAGGTATTTTTACGAGTTATTGGTTGAATTCAGCTAGTTCTCAAGACGAAACCGTCTATTTGATCATACTGATTTATTTTTGACATCCTAAATGTTCTTTAGGATGTCAAAACAGCCAATGTACTCTAGAAAAAACCAACTGCGAGTAAGGGGCCGACAAGAAACAAAAATTAACGATGTAAAACATCGTTGACTCCGCGCATATAGCTAAAAAACACGTGAAGACTGTAAAATACAGCCGTAATCAAGTTAAAAGCCAGGAGAACAAAGAAATACATGAAGAAAAACTTGGTAACAAAAAATTTTGACAGTGAAATCTGTCAAATCACAGGGCGCAAATTGCGGAGCCTAGCGTAGTCCCGAAAATATGTCAGGATGACACCCGTTTAAAACGCGGCAGTCTATTAAAAACGGTTGTAAATGACTACCAGCACTCCCTAGTGTACTCTGAAAAAGACACCAGGTTCAAAACTTTCGCTCATCCAAACTATGAAGTTTGGATGATGCATTTTCTGAATTTTTTTTGGCGGCGAGAAAAATAAATTTTTCGTCACAAATAAGTTTTCTTCATGGGTAATGTTTTTTTTCTGGCTTATAATTATGACCACGGCTGTATTTTACAGTCTTCACGTGTTTTACCTATTTGCGCGGAGTCAACGATGCTTTACATCGTTGATTTTTGTTTCTTGTCGGCCCCTTACTGGCAGTTGGTTTTTTTTTCTTGAGTTTGCGCTAACATTGGCTACTTTGACATGCTAAAGCACATTTAGGATGTCAAAAATAAATCGGTATGTTCAAATAGACGGTTTCGTCTTGAGAACAAGCTGAATTCGGCCAATGACTCTTTAAAATACCTAGTACAATATAAGAAAATGCCTGAACTGGCAGTTCTGTAAAACATTTCGTTTCTTATAGCAAAAATTTGTCCTTGGTCCCCCCTTACCACTTTTTTCCACCCCTCCGCCCCAAAAATCTCAACAGTAACCTTAAAATGTAAAAATACGGGGTGTGACTTCAAATCCCAGAATATTACTATTTTGGACTAAAAATGGCGGATTTAGTCCAAAGTTAACTTTGGATCGAAAACAGCAAATTCAGTTCAAGTCCATGTGATTAGTCCAAGGGTAGGATAAATTCAATTTATCCAAGGAGAGGGGTCCCAAATGGACTTGGTCCATTTGAGGCCCGAAATTTTGAAAAATTCGTCAAGTGGGTGGATTTTTTGATTTCGTCCAGACAAAAAAAAATTTCGTCCACTCTTAGGACGAGATTGAGCGAATTTCGTCCAAAGTTAGCTTTGGACGAAATCCGCAGGGGTCGAACAGACAAGTGCGCTGAAATTTATAAAGCACCTCCCATATATGTTCTCCGTTTTTTAGGAAAATTTGACAAAATTAGCAAAGGTCGTCTAAAGCAATATAAATTATTTTGATTTCTCCCAAATTTACAACGGAAACGGTATCTAAGCCATGCGAAACGGGTCAGAATAGAATATTTCCTGGTTCAAAATTCATTTCGACCACTTGTGAACCGGATTTTCGCTCCAACAAAGGTAATATTTGTTTGTTTTTGTCTCAAGATGCGCACTGGTAGCGGATCTCCGATATGTGGGTTTTAGAATTTACTGGAACATAAACAATGACGCAGCTAATCCAGCGTTTTATTTGATTCAAATTGTTTGCGAAAGGATGTTACACTAGACTTCTGATATTGCACTAGAACAAAATTTGTCGCTGCAGCGGAACTGTTGAATTTGGTGGTTGGAGATTTTCTTTCTAGGCTATTACAGGCTGTGTGGTGACTGGTCAGATTCATTTCAATTGGATTTTTGCTAAAAATTATATTACACTTGACACCTGACATTGAACTTCAGTCGATTAATTTGGCGAAATTTTTGGTTCTTGCTATAAAAAGTTAATGTTATTTGCTATTTGCAAGCTATTGAATCCAGCTGTACTTTGTATTTAGCTCTAAATAATATTAGCTAACATCTGATATTACACTTGGCAAATCCTGCTGAATCTCGAAAATTATGTGGATTCACTAATTTTATGAGCCCGAAACTGTATTTGTCCTACTATTTATTACTATTTTCGTTTGTTTTCACCATGGTTGAGACGTGTTTTCCGATCGGCGACCGAAATCTGATGGCCGACTTGGTTGGAGCGCCAGATCTTCGAAGTAAGTCGTTTTATCTGTCGTATTTTCTCTATTAATTATATTACATCGAGTATTTTCGCTTTTCAGAATCTTTGGGAGGCGATATTGAGATTGATTTCGGGTTGACAATACCTCTGATAAAGTACTGTAAGTCTTACTGTAATTTTTTTGAAAATCTCCTTTAGCCAGTCCATTTGGCCAATTCAAGGTCCGATATGCGTGTGAGTTGAATTGCGCGAGTTTTGATGCGCTTGGGACCGCGGAATGCCGCTGGCGAAATGAGCTGACCGACTGCTGTGAGAATGGGGGAGATGAGTTGGATTGGGTCCGAGTGAAGAATGGATGGGGTCTGGAAGAGGGAATTACGATTTTTGGAACCGAACAGAGAGCTAGTAGGTGTTTTAGATCTTATTGCAGGACTAGACACCGAAACTGAAAGGAGAAAACGGATGATTTTGTGATCAAAGCACATATTGGTCCAAGAATCTTGCTGGAGATTGCTGAAATCATCCGTTATTGTGAGATTTTGTTGTCTAGAAGGTTTTCTAACTTCGCCAGAGCCCTTTATACAACAAAATCTCACAATAACAGAGGATTTTGCGCGGTCTTCAATGAGATTTTTGGGTAAAATACGATAATCCACCGAATTCCATGTAAAATACAGTGCAATACTTATTTTTGGACCGATAGCGATCTTATGCAATCTATGCTTTGCTTGAAATGCCCTATAAGACCGCTGAGAACCCGATTTTTCCAGATCGATACTCAATTCTCGCTGGTGCACAAGAAAAACGACCGCCAACCGACGCCGCTCTCCTCATTTCCGACCCAATTCAATGTCAAGAAGGTGATGCCAGGTTGAGTTTTCGTTATTGGACATCACCGCATACAGTGATAAAAGTTTGCACAAGGCCTCCAGGCATGGGCCGAGCTTATGATTGGTGTAGTAAAGAGATCTCGAAAGGTGATCCAGGACCCGCAAATGTGACCATCCCAGGCTCAGTCATGCAGGACTTTGAGGTCAGTCAATGTTTTGACATTCACAGTGTCGGAATTGGTGTAATTGTCAAAAGACGGGAAATGTGATCCATGAAAATCTTGGGTCGTCTTTTCCGTTTTTTGCCGATTACATCCGACACTGTAGAAACGAGTTATTCCCGAGATGTCGACGATTTTTAGAGTGAGATTTCAGTTAGTTATAGAAGCCAGCCACTTCGATTACGATGCATTTGGATTTCAAGGCGGGGTCGTGATCCTGGATGACATCGAATACACGGCCAGTGCGATCTACAATTGCAGGAATAGTAAGTCGAGTTTAGAATTCATTTTAGATATTATTTTTTCCGTGCTCTCCGCGAATCATTTGCTAAAATACGCAATGACTTGATAGCGTACAGTGACAGACCCGATCCAGTGGCAAAAAACGTGCCATTTTGCATCCGGTAAGTATTAAAAATGTGGCAAAATGCTTCCCTCCCCAAGTGAAAAAATCCGGTTTCAAAAGCGCGCCCGCTCTTTTTGTGAGGGACCCTTAAAAACGAAGTTTTTTCACTTGGAGGGGGAAACATTTTGCCACATTTTTGATGCTTCCCGGATGCAAAATGGTACGTTTTTTGCCACTGGATCGGCTCTGTCACTGTATGATGCCGCACTTTTCAGTCCCCCACATCGAACCACTGGAGCCTCTACCCCACAAAACTTGCGAGCTCCTGGAATGCGAATTCGACGAGCTGGACCGCTGCTTTCTCAGACTCCGCCGCAGCGGTTGGCATCATTCCGATCGAGCCATTGGGAACTTACAAACTGGAATCCGCAACCTTTACAGTGGACCGTTCGTCTACGTAAAAGGTCGAGGAAGAAGGGTCCTAAATCTTGGAGGATTCGAAGTTCCACGGCAATTATTGCTGGAATTCTGTAGTTATATCGCAAGTCAAGACGCCCATTTGACGATCGAAGCGCAAATTCGGGGCTTTGAAAAGCAGACCTTGGTGGAGATCGCGGAGGATGTGAAATTGTACCACAAATGGGATTGTCGGAGGATTGTGTTGCAACCTGGGAATTACACGGAGGTAGGGAAGATTACGGAAGAAGGATTTTTGAATAGAATTTGCATTACCATGGGGGACCTGATCCAGTGGCAAAAAACATATCATTTTGCATATGGGAAACATCCAATATGTGGCAAAATTCCTCCCTCTTCAAGTGAAAAAACTTCGTTTTGAAGAGCGCGCCATTTCCCTCGCAAAAAGAGCGGGCGCGCTTTTGAAACCGGAGTTTTTTCACGTGGAGAGGGAAGCATTTTGCCACATTTTTTGATGCTTCCCGGATGCAAAATGGTACGTTTTTTGCCACTGGATCGGGTCGGTCACTGTAGTGACCAGTGATCATTTTTGATGACAAAAAAGGCCTCATGGATCACTTTTGATTCATGAGACTTTTTTTGTCTCCAAAAGGGATCAAAAGGGATCATGGATCACAAATGCGGATTTTTTTAAAACTCTTTTTTGATTTCCATTTCTTGTTTCTTCAAAATTTTGCTGTTTTAGTTCTCATTCGTCGTGGAGCACTTGCCAAACGACCTTGCTTACGTCGGCCTAGACGGTATTCATTTATACGAGACGGATCAAAAAACCCGCCCTTGTTTTGACTCGGGTTTTGTCACTGAAACACCCGCTGTCGTCACCGAAAAAGAGGCAGTTACTGAGTCGGGCTTCGAGGAAATAACGGCTTCAGACTTGAAGGAAACCGAATCCCAGATTGGAAAACAAGGCCTGCTCGGCTTCAATGAGGCTTTTAATTTAGAAACGACTACGGAGGTATCGCCTACGGGGATTGTTTTTGAAGGCGAGGTGAATACCAAAGAATTTGCCGAGCTGAATTTGCAAGAACTTCTAGAGCCAGAGGAAACAAAAGATCAAGGCGAACATGTGAGATTGCCGATTTATAGCGAACCAAGGAGAATGTTTTTGTAGGGTGATGTATTTTCTGAATAAATTAATACGTTTTTGAAGCTTTAGTTTTATTTGTGTATGTCTAGTATCAGTCTGTCGGGAAAATAATGTGGATTTGTCGCGCCTTGGAATCACCCGTCGTCGTTTTGCGACGGCTAGCCCGCGACTGGAGGTTTGGTGTGCGACTGCACCCTTTTTTCGACGAGGCGAAACATTTTGCTGCGACGACCGCCGTTATTTTCCCGACAGACAGGTACTCTGGATTTGTCACCCGTCCTCGTTTGAGGTACTCGCGGCTTGAGATTTGCGGCTAGGTCATTTTGTTGCGACAAATCGACATCATTTGCGCAACGGACTGCTACGAAACCCGATATTTTTACGACGCTTGTTTTTCACTTCAGCGATGCATTTGGCACACAATCATTGTTTTCAGAGAGTGACAGAACTAGAGAAAAAAAAGGTTTTGCAGAAGAGTTTAGTCATGTACTTTTTATAAGATTATGTGCAGCGGCCAAAAAGTCCACCTTTAGGAGGGTAAAATTCTGTTTTGACGCATAACTAATTTGAATAGAGTTCTCTTAATTGAATTATTTATAGTGCTCCCTATAATATGTGTACTTTTTCAAACACCAAGGTAATTTTTGGAACATGGTGTTGGGCCGAAGAAAATTTCACATAGATCGAACCGACTGGCTGCGGCTTCTCTAGGGAGTCACGTATAAGCAGGGGGCCTTAAGGTTTGATGGTGTCAGTCTGTCGGGAAAATAATGAGCACTTTGTCGCATTGAAGATCGCGTTGTCGCCGTAAAATCAAATTGTTTTTCACTTCAGCGACGCGATCGGCGCGGTGTATCTGTTATTTACCGACAGGTTGATATTTTTGTTTTTTCGATAGATTTTGGGATATTTTGCTGTCGGGAAAATAATGTGGATTCACAGCAAAATGCCTCGTCTGCCAAATCTCCAGCCACGGCTGGCGCTGATGGGCGATTCACGTAAAAAAAATCAAAAAATTGAAGAAACAAGGAATCTCGGAGCATTGATTTTTTGCGAAGTGCCACAGAATTATCGAGATAGAAAAATTATTTTTCTCTTTGAAAAAACATTTTTCGCGAAAAAAAACTTTTTCTCTGGGAAAATTTTCTTCTGTGACTCGATAATTCAGCGACATTTCGTCAAAAATCAATGATCCGAGATTCCTTGTTTTTTTCACTTTTTCTTTGACGTGCGATTCGAAAGCGCGACGAATCCACATTACCTTCCCGACAGATTGATATTTACAGTGAGGGGCCTGATCCTATGGCAAAAAACGTCTCTTTTTGCATCCCGGAAGGAACCAAAATGACTCCAAACCATTCCCTTCTCTAAGCTAAAAAACTCTGCTTTGAAAAGCGCGCCCATTCCTTCAAGTCGGGCTCAACATTTTGGTCCCTTCCGGGATGCAAAATGAGACGTTTTTTGCCATTGGATCCGGTCCCTCACTGTAGTCGAAATCGACTAAAAAGCATTGGACAAGATTTTTTATAAGCTACAGACTAAAGAGCAAGGTATTTCCTGCCTTTAATCCTGTTTATGGAAACGCTTATTAAATTCGCATTCCCTGTGCAAATTTGCTTATGACATATTTCGGGGTTTTCAAATCGAATTTTTTCGCTACAATGTTTGATGTTACACGTCCGATCAGCAGCAGCTCCGGCAATTTGCGAAAATTTGATTACCTGGTCTGGCGGGTCTCGGTTGTTTTCGACAACAAGATTCGTGGAGCCGCCCTTCCAAATGATTTCATTTCCGAAGTTTATACCTGAATACAATTGAATTACTCTCTCCGTGCATTTACCGTTTTTTGCCGTAAAATGACGGTTAAAAGGGAGTCCGTTTGAATGTGACTTTAGGATTGTACTCTCTTAGAATCACTAGAACGGGTTGGCGAGAAATTTTTATATAGTTTAGCGCGCATCCGCTTCATAGGCCGCATATCGGTCCGTCGGGGAAATAAAGTGCATTCTTCGCGACTTGGAATCGCCTATCATCGCTTTGCGTCGGCTAGCAGCGGCAGGAGATTTGGCGAGACGGGGCATTTTGCTGCGACAAATCCACATTATTTTCCCGACAGACTGCTTGCTAAAAAGTCCCTTCCGCTGGACAGATTCTTCGAAAGTACAATCCTGATGTTACACTTAAATTTTCTTTCCTTTTATCCGCCTTTCAGGCGAAATTTATACAATATACGAATGCTAAATGTGTTGCATTCATAAAGACGTCTCATTTTCGTTTTTGTCACCTTTATTCGAAATCTGATCTGTTAGGTCGCTTTATGTCAGTCTGTAAGAAGAAGAGAGCACGCTGTCGCCGCGCCAATCGCGTCGCTGAAGTGAAAAGCGATTTGATTTTGCCGCGACACGATTTCACGGCGGCGATGCGATTTTCGATGCGACAGAGGGCTGATTATTTTCCCGACAGACTGATAGAACAAACTGTGGCTCTCGGCAAATCGCAAAACTCGACCTTCACTTCAACAATTTTATTATCGACGAACGGGTTTGACACTACAAATTTTAGCTGTCCAAAGCTCTAAAAATAATTTGCTTGCAGTTATAACGGCCGCGGAAATAAAAAAGAAACCTAATCAAATTGTTACTGGTTATTTTATTACTGTCACATAGGCTTGCCGTGGCAATTGCCCGTAAACGGCAAGAAGTTTGGTCATGTTTAACGTTGCTCCTGTAGTAATAATGGATATATTTACCATGTTGTACCTGTTGATTGGAGGATTATTGGCGGTTTATGGCTCTGCCAGCATTGTCGTCGCCACCGTGAGGAAGCCGTAAGTGATTGTGGGAATTTCAGCGTTTCAGACGACCCTCCGAACGAAGAGGCTCCCCAAAAAAGGAGAAGAGGCCCTCAAAAAATGGAAAATATTTTGCAAAATAAAAAAAATGGGCTGTGACATATTATACGGTGAAAAAAATGCGGAATTGGGATGACGTCTTATACGATGGAAGGGGTTTTGCAAAACAAATTTTGTCATCGTATAACATATCACTCCTCATTTTGGTTTTTTTAGATTTGTTTGAAAAAGGGGGTTTCTTCGGTTGTGGGCCTCTTCAGCCCCTCGAACAGCCTGCTGTAGTCAAGAATCGTCGTATTTCAGGAACCTCCGGCACAACTGCAACATCTTTATTGCATTTCAAGCCGTCTGCTTACTATGCCAGGCCATTGGAACACTAAATATCTTGCTTCTCTCACTTTTTGACTCTCTGGACCAACCCGCAATCCATTGCTTCTTCATCCAGCTTGTGCCGCAGTTCTCGATGACCTGTGGTGTTTGTTTTGCGCTGGTAATTGGAGTTGACCGACTGATTAGTGTCAAGTGGCCGCATGTGTGAGTGCAAGCGCCAAAAATCAGTTTTATAATGCATAGTATATCGGGGAAATAATGAGCACTCTGTCGCATCGAAAATCCCGACGCCGCCGAGGAAATGAAGCGTATCGCGGCAAAATCAAATTGCTTTTCGCTTCAGCGACCCGATTGTCGTAACGACGTGGTCTTTATTTTCCCGACAGTCTGATACCGTGTAGTGTCACCTGTTTTCCGTGCATTACGCGACAGTTTGTTTCAGCTACTCCAAGATCGAACCTATTCCTTACATCCCGGCCGTTTGTTTACTACCGTGCTCCGTAGCATTGTTTGTCGAAGTCTGCGCATATTACATGGCATTCGTGAGCTCCGAAAAGACTGTTCTTTGCACCATAAATGGAGTGTTGGTGCTTCGTGAAAATTACTTGTTTTACCTGCACTTTCTCCATGCATTTGTAGCGGTAGCTACGCTTCTAATTTACATGCAAATGTGGAGAACTGCAAAGGACTTCCGTGAGTGCTTTTTAGAGCTTCCCGCAAAGTTGGCAGAAAACGTAATATTTTGCATCTGTGAAGTATCATAAATGTGGCAAAATGCTTCCTTCTCCAAGTTAAAAAACTCCGATTTCAAAAGCGCGCCCGCACTTTTTGTGAGGGCCCTTAAAAACAAAGTTTTTTCACTTGGAGAGGGAAGCATTTTGCCACATTTTTGATACTTTCCGGATGCAAAATGATACGTTTTTTGCCACTGGATCAGGTCTCCCACTGCAGCACAGTAAACTCATGATTACCACACGATTTTTAGCCCTTCAAACGAGGCGTCTGATCAAGTCGCTCTTCGCAATCGTAATATCATTCGTCATCACATGGCTGGTCACCAGCGGCCTGCTTTCCGTTGTTTACATTGCCGGCATTCAAGATCCGTATCGGTTCGCGATTCGTTTGCTGACGCTGGGATCCATCTCTCTTTGCGGATTCTTCGATTTTGTCATCTACTACAATATGAAGTAAGCCAGTTCTTTTTTGTCCGCCCTCTTTTCCGCGCCGACATTTTTGTTTTCCCTTTTCAGCAGCGAGTACCGGCAAGCATTCCAGGAGCAGATGTGCTTCTCGCCGCAGCGACAAACAAACTTCCAAGTGAAGATGCTGCGGCGGAAAAACAAGCCGTTGCAGTTCAAAGCCAGAACCGCCGCTGCCGCAAATATTCGAATCGTCGACAAGCCGGTCGACGAATCCACCTTCACCAACAACGAAACTCAGCAATAAAGCCGTTTGCGGAATAAAAATGTTTATGCTATGGCCTCCTTTCTCATGGCCTTCAAAATCAGCAAAATGAATATTGCGGTCCTCCTATTGGACTCTGATTCTTCTGCGATATCCCACGGATCCGCCGCTCTTCTCCTCGCCGTACCCCCCGGCTCCATGTGCGCCACTCTTGGCGCTGTCTCTTGGTGGGCAAGGGCAATATTCAGCGTCCTTTCCTGGCGCTCCTTCCGGTCCTTTTCCTCCCTCGTCTCCAGGAGCGCCGCCCGCGCCGACTGGGCCGGGTGGGCCAGGTTCTCCTTTGGGTCCTGCGGCTCCCGGCGCTCCATCCGCTCCCTTGTCTCCTTCTGGGCCTTCCGGACCTTGTGGTCCGGGCAGACCATGTTGACCGCGGCGTGGAATCGGCTTCTCGGCATCTTCGCCCTTCTCTCCTTGCGGGCCGGCCCGTCCGTCGTCGCCGGGCGCTCCCTCTGGTCCTTGATCGCCGGGAGTGCCGGGGACACCGTCACGTCCGGGGAAACCGGGAGTTCCTTTCGGTCCACGCATTCCTCGCGGTCCGGGGCGGCCCGCACTTCCGGGCGCTCCTTGTGGACCATGGGGGCAATGGAAGCAGCCCTTCGGGGGTTCGTTGCTGACGTCCTCGGCGGTTTCGCCGGGAATCCCCGGTTTACCGGGAAGACCGGGGATTCCGTCGAATCCGGGCTCGCCAGGAGGTCCGGCTGGACCGGGAGGGCACTTGTTCTCGTCGCCTTCTTGACACTCTGGAACAAATTGATGTTTAGCGAGTTGTCAGCCAATTCAAGGGTAAATTCAAAGAAAAAAGACAAAGCTGCTGGCATCACACAGCAAGAGGTATCAAAATTTCGCTCAAAAACTCACTGCAAGCGATGTGTGGAGCTGCGTTGACTGCGCCATATCCGCCAGCCCGTCCACCATTTCCAGCAGCTGGGCCCACATTCTGGCCCGACGCCCCATACCCACCGTAGGCCTGTCGCCGAGCGCGATTGGACGGGGTCGCAGCGCCCATTTGCAGCATCTCCTGCCACAGGTCCTCGGTGTGCACCTTGAACTGGTCCATTTGCACGTCCAGGTCGGCCCAGACGCTCTGCACCTCGCGATAAATGTTCAGCATGGAGATCATGCAGATGATCACCGTCACTCCGGAGAAACCCAACGCTCCGGCGGTCGCTGTGGGCACCGACATTGCGCTCAAGTCGTTGATTTGGCGATGTAATTAGCGCTTTTATAGCGGGGAAGGAGATAGATGTGTTTTTCTGATCTTTTGGGCGGGCGGGGGAAAGTCGAAGGAAGAACATGTAATACAGGAAAATTAGAGAGCATTTCGGAGAAATTTAATGGGGATTTTAGCGCCCACGGGAATTCGTAGACGTGGATTTCGGGGAATGCACTTCAAAGAGAATCGCATAGTGCAAAAAATAGAAAAATGCAGCAAGGAACATGAATTTTCTGACCTCGAGAAAATGCTCTATAGGTTAAATTTTGAGCATTTTAAATAGTTCATGCTTTGCACGGATAGCTGAGATGTTTAACGATATTTGTCTGTCCGGAAAATAATGAGCACAATGTCACATCCAAAATCGCATCGCCGAAAGAATTGTGTCGTGACAGTATCAAATCACTTCAAATACACTATTTTTTTCAGGGCATGAATATCATTATCAGTTTGTCGGAGAAATAATGAGCACTCGAAGACTTCATCGCACGCCGAGAAAATTAATTGTGTCGCGGCAAAATCGAATTGTTTTTCACTTCAGCGACACAATCGGCTAGCCGCGTTGTTCATTGAATTTATTAAGATTTTTTGAATATCAATTTGTCGGGAAAATAATGTGGATTTGTCGCAGCAAAATTTCTCGCCTCGTCACAGTGCTACACCAAAAATCAAGTCGCGGCTAGCGGTTGCAAAGCGAGGATGGGCGATTTCAGGGCACGACAAATCCACATTATTTTCCCGACAGACTGATACAGTCAAATCTCTGTGCAAATGTCGCAATGGGCCCAATAATTAGTTTACACAAGGGCTTTGTTAAACAGAGGTGCATTTTGGCGAAGAATCGGCTTGGGAAATTTGAAATTTTTTGCGGTGACAGTTTTCGTTGCACTGACACGGAGATAGGAGTGTAAATAGTAATTTTCCACGCCTCACTGTGCAAACTTGCCAAGACTTTTTGGTCAGTCTAGTACAGAGGCTCCATAGTATCTCACAATTGCTCTGGCGAGCACTTCTTTTACTCCTTTTACGTCACAAATCCAGTATTCCCTAGAGTTCAAGGTCCAGTTTTGCGTCGTAATTTTTTTTTTTGCATTTCCAAATTTTATGCGCAACCAAAGGGAATCGACAAATTAATTGACGCCGAATCCCCAACGGGCGTTCGACTTCCTTCCAGATTACGATCGCAGGAACGCACGCGAGTGTGGGCTGATCTGATTCGGGTGGTTTGTTTTTTGGTTGTTTTTCGGCGTTCGTCACATTCTTCAGCGGAGATGGATGTTCTTGGAGATTTGTTGTTGAAAAACATAATTCGAGGAATTTTTGAGGGATGGATACAGTAAGAGGGATAGAGGAGAAATGCGTGAAATGCGCGCTACTTGGGGAAAACAAAGTAATTTTTTCGCTGTTTTATCTAATCAAAAGCAGAATTTGTGAGCCAATCTTCAAAAAATATTGACCTATGTTTGCTTTACAAAAACTGTCAAGTTAAACTACATATATATCAAGACCTTAGATGGGCCGGAAAGAATCATAACGGCCTGCAGAAGGCCCTCGAAATTTGTTATTTTTATGAAACACATTTATCAGTCTGTCGGAAAAATAGAGTGCGCTCTGTCGCTGAAATGAAGGTTAATTTGATTATGCCGCGACACAATTCATTTGCTAGGGCCTAGCTTGGGAGCTGAAACAGTTTTCCGAGAGTCAGTGTTTCTGAGACCGGGTAGAGAAACTACAGTGGGGGATCGGTTTCAGTGGCAAAAAACGTACCATTTTGCATCCGGAAAGTATCAAAAATGTGGCAAAATGCTTCCCTCTTCAACTGAAAAAGCTCCATTTTGAAGTGCGCGCCCTTTCCCCCTGATACTTTTAACTGATGCTTTTGAAACGTTTACCATTGAGATTTTTAGACCAAAAATTGCCTGAAATTCAAGATTTTTGTATATCAGTCTGTCGGGAAAATAATGAGCACAATGTCGCTGCGCCCAAAGGTTTCCAGCCGCGGCTGGAGATTTGGTACGCGACTGCGACGAAGCGAGACATTTTGCTGCGATAAATTCACAGTATTTTCCCGGCAGAGGGATATCAGTCTGTCGGGAAAATAATGAGCACAATGTAGCTCGCCGATCATGTCACTGAAGTGAAAAGCAATTTGATTTTGTCGCGACACAATTCATTTCCTCAGCAACTACGCGATTTTCGCTGCGGCAGAGTACTCATTATTTTCCCGACAGACTGATAATAATTTATCTTTTCTAATTTTTTTTTCTTTTTGTCACCACAATATATCCAATCAATCCGCACGGAACATGTTCGCCCCCACTCTACACAATCCTTTATTATCCAAAGAAGGCGATTATCAGCGAAGGTGTGATTGATATGAACAGATTACCCGAAGATTTGCGGATCACATGGGTTGGTAATGAGATTGGAGTATCATGATTAATTTGGGATGAAGTGCTAATTACAGGGCGTTTGAAATGGGGAGTGAGAGACGATTAAAATTTGTTGACAATCGGTTAAATGTGTGTGTTGTTTTGATTGAAACTGGATTCTTTTTTTGGGAAGAAAACGGCTCTGAGTTTGATGAAACTTTCAAGTGGAATAGCGCCAAGTGCGACGCTCAGATTTTCTTTAAATTTTGCATGCATATCGTACATAGGCTACGTATCAATTTTTCAAAATTTTAGCCCGCGATTTGTAAGCGCCGCCGAGATATTCAACGATTTTTGCGGCCGAGAGAGTACGCGAGACGCGGAGAGCGGTCAGAGAAAAACGCTTTTTGGCCGTACCTTTGCCTATTTCGTGTTAAAAAAATGATTTTTTGCGGAAACATTACCGACTACAGTATAAATAGATATTCAACTTTTCATCCCCAAAATCCTCAAAAAAATGTCACATTTTTGCCAATTGTCAACCTTGTCTTTCCGGAAAGTTGCCGGACTGAAATCGGCGACATGCACAGTGCAAAAAGAAAACCTTTCTTTGCACGGTGCAATTTTTTGCTTTTTGCACCGTGCAATAGGCTTTTCGGGTTTCGCTCGCACCTTGACCTTTTTCGCACCGTGCAAGCGCCTAACATCAGTCCGGCGAATTTCCGGAAGGGCTACTACACGGTTTAAAAGTGCGTAGGCTTTTTGTCGCAAGCTTTCCGCACCGTGCAATCGCATTTCGCGGTCCAACAAAAAATTGCAAGATTAAAAGTTCAAAAAGAGGCAAAAAGCACTGTTCGCAACGGAAAAAAAGTCCATGCACTTTATGGAACGACTAGTAAATTCTACTCCAAGTTTTGGGAAAGTTTCATCAAAAACAGGGCCAAAAAGTTAAAAAAATAAAAAAAGTTGATAAAAAATTGTAGCGATTTGAAAAGAGAGACTGTACAAAGCAGGAGAACTATCGAGAAAATCAAAAGAAAATACCCCAAAAAAAAAATTTTTTTTTGAGGACTTCCTATTTTTCCCCACTCTTTTCCTCCCCATCCGTCTCCTCATCAACATGAGTGACATCATTCAGCAGTAACGTCTCTTCATGGTTAATTTCCTCCCCATTATCATCCTCCTCCTGGATCGGTGGATGAATATTAATGGAGATCCCGGAGAAGCCATCGTTGTCCTTGGGGACGCTCAGTGTCCCATTGTAATAGCTTTTATTGCCCTTGATGATTTCGGGTTGGTCGATGTGGAAGTCGTTGAGTCGTTGAACGGAGCCGCAGGACGATTCCTTGTTGGGGACGGCGCCTCGGACATAAATGTCGGATAAGGCGAGACGGAGCTGAAAAAAGTATAAAAAAAGTGTATTTTTTTCTTTTTTTTTTTTTTTTTTTTGAAAAATTAAACATGTTATAAATTGAGGAAGTATATACGTCAAGTGTGACGCTCAGATTTTGATGAAACTTGGCACAAATTTAGAAGAGTTTGTTCTTACCTCCCGCAACGCGACAACTCCCACCAACCTTCCGCGATGGGTCACATAGGCGTGGTTCAGTCCGAGAAGTGAGAAAAGAGTGTGAACTTTGAAGAGACTTGTGCCAAGGACCAGCTGAAACGGAGCAGAGTCGACGGCCAAGTCGTCGATGTCAATGGGTTTCTCCAGCTTCATGGCTCGGTCCAGCAGGACACTTTCGGCCTGAAGAAAAAACATTTAGGGGTTTTCGAGGGTGCTGATTTCGAAAATCATGTTCATTTTTTCTGAACTTTACTAGCTCGCGACTAGGTGGTGACCGGGTAAAATTGCCCGAAAATGATGCCACGGCCAAATTTGCGGCTCTGGCTCCTGGCTCTCTAGGCACAATTTGATTGTTTTGGTGCTTTCCTGTACACTAAATGCGGGCTATTCAGCTTTGGTTGCTCCAGCGTACTTTTCAAGCCTTTCGACAAGTTTTGGAGCCAATTGAACACGCCAAGTCGTACGCAAAACATGCTTACCAGTATTTTTCAAGCAATTGATTCAACAAGGTCACGAAACTTTTACTGTTCTGAGAAGACTGGCTCCGACTTTTGGCTCGGGACCCGGAGCCGCGCAGAGCCAGAGCCAAGAGCCGTGGCAATCTCTGCTCGTGACCGAGGTCAAGGAAGTTGCCTAAAATTTCCCGAAAATGGTCTCAATGCCTGACTGTGGTGATCATTTTTTTAGGTCACGTCATCACCAACGTCAGGACCCACGAGTAATGCCGAGAAAATTTTAAGACTGGATAACTCCATTAAAAACATTATTATTTTCGTATTTTTTCCCCAACTTACCAAAGAAGGGTCGGATTTTCGATGGAATGACAACGATGTCCGCAGGCCATTTTCTACAAAAAATAATACAGTAATTATCATTCCAACTCGCTGTGAAGGCCTTTAAAAAATCTGCAACTCACTCTTCAGATTCTCATGCATTGGACTGTTGGACAATAAAGTGTGCCCAGACATGCTCGTCCTCATCACACTTGTTCGATTATACGTGCCGAACATATCGGCCGCCTGACTTCGTCGACGCAAGGTTAGGCCGGGATCGGGGCCGAGATGGATTGTCACGAGGAAATTCAAATATTTCCGAGCAACCGAGCCGAGGAGAATTCGTTCTTCTGAAAAATTTAATACATATTTATGTATTTCTTGCAGTGAAAAACTCAAACGGAGAAAGTGGCAGAACTGCGACGTCCAGATTTTTTATAATTTTGCAATACACTATGCATTTCGAAAATCGCCCGACGTAAGCTTTTTCAACTGCATCGCCGCGCATTTTGTGACAACAATTTCACAGTGCAAAGAGTAGCAACTTTCGCCGTGAATAATCAGATATCAGTGTGTCGTGGAAAATAATGTGGGTTTGTCGCGCCTTGGAGTCCCCATCATCGCGTTGCGACGGCCAGCTGCGACTGGAGTTTTGAAGCGCGTCTGCGACGAGGCGAGACATGTTCCAGTGACGTGCCCCATTATTTTCCCGACAGACTGATATTTGACTATTTTTGTAACCGAGAGAGTACGCGGAGAGCCGTCACAGTGAAACACACCTTTAGACCTTATTCTTGACCCCCTCTTTTCAAAGAAAAAACTGATTTTTTTGCGCATACATTACGATAAAAATAGGTACAAAACTTTCCTAGCCAAAATCTGCAAAAAACTGTCATTCTTTGCCAGCTTTCGGCCTAAAAAACTGTCTTGTCTGCAATGTTCTAGCTTGGGATCTTGCATCTGTTTTAGAAAAAGATTTCTCCTAAATTTGTGCTTATTTTCATCAAAATCTAAGCATTGCCCATTCCACACTTCCTCTATAAATTTTTAAAAATCTCACTCACCGTCATCAGTGACCAACGGATACGATCTCAGCTGAGGCGTCGAGATCAATAACTCTCTCAGCTCTTTGTACGTGGTATCCTTGGTTATGTACACAATGTCCTTGACCATGATCTGCTCAACTTTCAGCGTGTGGACGCTGATCCGCGAAGGCGGCAGCTCCGTGAGATGCGGATACTTCTTCAGCATGATAATGCTTTCGTAGATGCTTGGATGCAGGAAACTTGAGACCGCATTGCCAATCATCAGAGCTATCTGGGGTGGAAAAATAAGTAAATATTAGAGAGAGATAACGATTAAGGGATTAAGGTGGAGGTTGGCTCAGTCTGTCGAGAAAAAAATGCGCACTCTGTCGCATCGAAAATCGCATCGCCACCGAGAAAGTGAATTGTGTCGCGGCAAAATCAAAGTTCTTTTCACTTCAGCGACGCTATCGGCACAGCCAAATTTATTGCGTATTATTTTCCCGACACATTAATAACACTGAAGCGATTTTGAGCAAAAAATGTGTCAACAAGAACCTGTTGCTCTTCAAATGCATTTTTTTCAATTTTTTCACAAATCAGTAGCATAGGAACCCTTCTGTGGTATATAGTATTTTCATGAGTCTATCGGGAAAATAATGTGGACTTGTCGCTGAAAATTTCACGCCTTGTCACATACCAAAGCTCCAGCCGCGGCTAGCCGTCGCAAAGCGATGATGGGCGTTTCCAAGGCGCGATAAATTCACATTATTTTCCCGACAGCGCATGGACATGTTTGTCGCGCAGAAAAAACCGCAATTTTGTACTGTGGATTTACTTTTCTTTTGGTTTTTGCACTATGCTTCAAAATATCGAAAAAGTTCAAAATGCACTGTGAAAAAAAGTAAAAATGTCCATCAACTTTGTGAAAATACTAATAGACTGCTTCAGAATGACGGTAACTCACCAAAACCGGCAATAATGGACTCAATTGACCAGTGGTTTCGCAGACAATCACAGCAATTGATAGTGAATGCGTCACGGCGCCGGTAAATGCAGCGGCTCCTAAAATAAGCAACCAGAAATTGAAATATCCATTTTTTCCACAAATTTGGAAAGATTCAGAATGTTCCTCACTTACCGACCACGGCATATAATCCAGGATAGATCTGTGGTCCCAGTGGGCCACGCATTCCATCGGGGAAGAGAACTACCATAAGTTCTCCGACAATTCGACCGCCACAGGCGCCTAATACGAAAGCTGGAACGAAAATACCAGCAGGCACGGCTAGGGTGATACAAATTGGAACTAGCACGAACTGAAAAAAGGTAAATGAGAGTATTTTTTATTTTTTTTTTTTTTGTTTAAAGATTTTTTTAATAATTTTTTTTTCATTTTTATTTTTATTTCGAATTAAAAAAAAATAAAAAAAAATAATGATTTTTTTAACATTTTTTATCATTTTTTTATTTTCTTATTAACAAAACAAAAAAAACCATAAAATTCATTTATTTTTTTATTATTTTTTATTAAAAGATTTTTTTTGTATAATTTTTCCAATTTCTTTTTTCGATTTTTTTATTTTTCTGTTTTATTCTTTAGTCGTTGCAAGTTCATAGACTAATTTCTCAACTAAACTACTATTTTAATTTAATTAAGTTTAAACCTACCATCAAAAAAAGAGAAACAAAATAAGAAGTGAACGACGGTGTTTTGTTTAAAAAACTTTATTAAAAAAAATTGCTTTTGATTTTTCCAGATTTTTCTTTGTTTTATATTTAAAAAATTCTCTATTTTTCATTAAAAAAAATTTTATTTTTTTATTTTATTTTTTTTATTTTTAATTAAAAAAAGTAAAAAATACTTCATATTATATTAAAAAATACTTTTTAGAATTTTTATTTTATTTTTCTTTTATTTATTTTTATATTATCTTATTTTTTTTTATTATTTTTTTATTATTTTATTCTTTACTCTTTACAAGTCCATCGACTAATTTCTCAACTAAACTACCCTTCTAATTCAATTAAAATTCAAACCCACCATCACAGAGAAGTACCCAACCAAAGTCGGCATCACATTCGGCGTTGTAGCGGCGGCGTCAGCAGTCCAGCGGAAGACCATTTCTTGGTCGCAGCCTCGACTAATCGAGGTGTTGTACAAGGTCATGGTGCAGTTACTAATCAGATCACTCAGCGTTTCGCGGAAGTTGTAGCGGCCGTGAACGTAGCTGCCAACGCCATCGGGGAATGTAATAACGCCGACAACGAATGCCATAAAGATTGTGAACGCGAAACCGCTGAAAATTTGGAAAATAGAGAAAGATAATAATTTGCACAGTGCGGTTTTGGGTAAAAGTTCCTTATTTTGGCCACAACTTATAACTTTGCGGAAACTGGTCGGAATTAGCCCAAATTTAGCGTGCACGCTCAATTCATCGTTGTCAATGCCCGGACATTGGATTTAGTTAGTGAGATACCTTCTTTTTTACGTACCTCCTTACCCTTCAAAAACGGCTGCAGCCACTTTATACGATGAAACATGTCCGGAACTGAACTTATTGCCTCCGTATGGAACTAAATGAGTCGTCACAGCCATCGTAGGTACCCTTAAAACTATAAAGCTATCATAGTAATTCAGTGTAAGCTAGATCGAAGCGTTTTTTCTTAAACTTTAGTGCCCAAGCTTGGGCGCAGTTCGCGGAGTACCTTTGTTGTGGCCAAAATAAGGAACTTTTTCCGGATATGTAAAATCAGGGACGTAAATTCATCAAAAACACAAGTCAACTTACTCCTTTCCAAACACCTTCAAGAAGATCCGATTGCGCCGGATAAACTTGGAAATCCTCTTGTGTAATATCAAAAATGCCGCACCAAGAAGGCCACTCAATATTCTGAAGAGCAAAATCAGCAAAATCATATTCATCATATCAAAAAAAACTTATTTACCTACCCAATCATCGCAAAAATCGGGATCTCCTCGACGACGAACACCTCGTTCGGGAAGCTCGTCTGATAATACGCGGTAATCGAGCCCGCAATGTCCTTCGGGATGATGGCATAATTTGCGAAACGAAAAAGTAATGCGGAACATGTGGTTGCGAAAAATGAACGCCAATACGACTTGACGGCAAAATATTTGTGGGTGGATTCGATGCCGTACAAGACGGCTCCGGCTGGAGCCGAGAATGTGCAGGCAATCCCCTGAAAAAAGTGATTTTTTGAATGTTTTTTATTTGTAACTTTTTGAAGGAAAAATGGACAAATGATAATATCAGTTTGTCGGGAAAATAATGAGCATTTGGACAAACAGTAAATTTAATTTTACCACAGTCAGAAGCCTGTAGAACGAATCGCAAAAGACCAAAAATTAAGTCGTTATAGAAGAGTTTCTGTAGTATCAGTCTGTCGGGAAAATAATGAGCAATATCGCCGATCGTATCGCTGAGTGAAAAACAATTCGATTTTGCCGCGACACAATTCATTTTCTCGGCAGCGATGCGATCTCCGATGCGACAGAGTGCTCATTATTTTCCCGACAGACTAGTAAAACTCATTAAAAATGTTTGAATATGGCCAAGCCTATCATATTTCTGTTCATCTGGCCAAATCAAAAAAAGCGGCCAATCCAAAAAATGGCCAAAACAAAAAAATGAGGCAAAATAAAAGAAATATGGCCAAATTAATAAATGAACTTGATATCTTGCTCGATTTGGACCGAGGTTGTCAATTTAACGATCTTTTTTTCAGTCCGTCAAATTTTGCCAAATTTCCGTCAGTTTGGTCTCGCTGAACGCACTGTGCAAGGAAAAAGGCCAACTGCACAGGGCATTAGATTTTTCATACAAAATCGCTGCGATGGAAGCTTTTTTTCATTACAGATCGCGTCGCCCGAAAAAAAGCGATAAGCACAGTGCACGTCAAACTGAGGAGTCCGGCGACCGGAATAAACCCTTCGCTATCGGTTTTTTACACTTCGTCTTGATTTCGCAGAGAAAGAAAGAAAAAAGACACGCAAAAGCGTACTCTCTCGCCCCAAAAATTCCCCATTTCTTCCCCGACAAAACGTTTTTTCACGTTTTGGCAGATTGCCAATCCATTCACCGGACTGCTTTAGCTTGTCTCAGTTTGACGTGCAGTGCAAAAGGCACTTTATGAAAATTTTATCAGTCTGTCGGAAAAATAACGGCGGATCGACTCCGAGGCGCGACGATCCGCCGTTATTTTCCCGACAGACTGATAATACAGGGTCTTACAAAAAACGTGAAGGAAAGTGGAAGGCTATAACTTCCGGCGGATACGGCGCAGAGACTTCGGATTTGAAATATGCACTTTTAAACGACATTAATTTTTGTCTACAAAATAACAAGCCTCTAAAGTGAAAACTGAGGCCGCTACGACCGTCTGAAGTAGAGGCATCTCTACCCCAAAAACCAGTGCTTTTCGGTTGAAAATGATCGAGAAAATTCGGACTTTTTCGGTTGAAAATCACCGGGAAATGTCGGCTTAGCCCGTTAGTATCGCGCGGTCGCTTTAGACCAATTGGACCGCAACCGATGGCTTCTATGTGAGTTTTCCGCCATTTTTTTACAGTTTCTCCCTCAAAAAACCTACCACAGCGCATCCGCTCGACAAAATCTCCACATCCCTTCCTTCATTCGAATAGAACGCATTGTGCTGGAAAGGCCTTGTCGCTTTGGCCAACAGTGTGGCCACAATTGCTCCCATATGGACGAATGGACCTTCTTTCCCGACCGGCAGCCCACTGCCCAACGTCAACACTAGGCCCGCGACTTTGGCGACCAACGTCCGAAACGTGAGGTAGTTTTGCAACATGAACCCGTTCATGATCACCTTCACCTCGGGGATTCCACTCCCAATCGCGTGTCTCGAGATGTATTTACAGACTATGGCGCCTCCACCCACAAATGCCACTATGTACATGACCCACGCGCTAAACCCGACGATTCGGTCCACCTTCATCGCTTGGTCGTAGACGATGACTTTGTCTGGAAAAAGTTGCAAAAAATTTAATATTTTTTGTTTTATTTTGATTCTTGGATGTTTTTTTTTGCCTAGAGATATATTTCTTATCAGTCTGTCGGGAAAATAATGAGCAATCTGACGCAGCGAAATCGCATCGACAAATCCACATTATTTTCCCGACAGACTGTTCGAAAAGCCGTCCATTTGTGCACAAGGTTTCATATTTTAATTTAAAAGGCTTGGATATCAGTCTGTCGGGAAAATAATGTGCAATCTGACGCAGCGAAAAGGCCGCAGAAAAAATGAATTGTGTCGCGACAAAATCAATTTTTTTTCACTTCAACGAAGCCATTGGCCCTGCAACATTGTGCTCATTATTTTCCCGACAGCCTGATAGTATCAATTTTTGCGATTTTTAAAATTTTTTGAAAATAAAAAAATCGATTTTTTTGGGGGGATTTTTTGTTTTTTTTTTAATTTTTTTTAGTTTTTCTAGTTTTTTAAAGGAAAAAGTAAAAAAAATTTTTTTTGAAAACCCCAGAAAGATCGAAAAAAATTTTATAAAAAAATCGTTAAAAAATGAAAGAATTGATAATAAAGTTTCTAAAAATAAGCCAAAAAAAATCATCCAAGAATTCCCAAAAATACAAAAAAATCAACTAAAATAATCAAAAAATCCCAAAAAAAGTTGTGCCAAATTTGACCAAAAATTTTAAAATCCCAAAAAAATAAAAAAAAAATCAAAAAAATCTCAAAAACAATAAAAACCGAAAATACCCCAAGTGCGACGCTCAGATTTTCTTTAAGTTTTGCACACACGTCGGGTATGGACTAAGTATCAATTCCTGAAAGTTTTAGCTCGCGCTTTTCAAGCGCCACCGAGATATTGAACGATTTTTGCCGCGGAGAGAGTACGCCCAACGCGGAGAGCGGTCAGAGAGAAAAACTCTTTTTGGCCATAACTTTGGCAGTTTCGTGAAGAAAAAATTGATTTTTTGCGGAAGCGTTACCCTTTACGGTAGAAATCAGTATGCCACTTTTTGTGCCGAAATTCTGCAAAAAGTCCTAAAATTTCGCCGACTTTCGATCTAAAAATCTCCGTTGTTTCTGCAAAGCGCGAGCTAGGATTCTCGCATATATCTTAGAAAAAATTATTCTAAATTTGTGCCAAGTTTCATCAAAATCTGAGCGTCGCACTTGGGGTACTTCCCCTGTAAATTTCTCTTCATAAACCAACCCAAAAACCCCTAAATTTCCCGAAAAAAATCAAAAATCCCGAAAATTTGTTCTTACAATGATTGAGATATTCGTATGACAAGTCGACGGAAATGGACAAAATGGCGGTGATGAATCCCAACATGGCCGAGATGAACCAGTCCTCCACCAAGAAATGGATCATATTCTGCATGTGGCGGAGGAAAAATTCTTGGTAAGTTTCGCGGTAGGTGCTTTCATTGGTGTCATCTTCGTTGGACGTGCTGTCACTGGAATTTAAAAAAATTTTTTTTCAAAAAATTTAAAAAAAAATAGATTTTTTTTTTTGATTTTAATGAATATTGTAAAAAATTTAGGTTTGAATTTTTTTAATATTTGAAATTTTTCATCGCGCTTTGCAGAAATTACCGATTTTTTTTAGATTTTTAGACCGAAAATCATCGTAATCTTGGGTTTTTATTTTTGAGGAACAAGATCGTTTTTCGTATTTTACCCCTAAAATATCAATTTTGAATCTCCTCTGAACAACGAGACCCTTCCAAAACCAATAATTTCAGAGGCACCAAAAGTCAATTTTAAGCAAAACTCCATATATCGACGCCTTTCGATAACAAATAAATCTTTCTTGCTCCCTCCGGTGTTCTAATTTCTTTCTTTCTCTTCCAGATTTTTTGACGTAGAGCCTGTACCCTCATCTGGCGCTCTCTGACTGGATATCGCCAAAAAATATTTGTTAAGACCAGCGATTGCCACGGTCAAAATTTGGGCTCCGGCTCCGGCTCTTAGCTCCCAGAGCCGGAGCCGAGGCCAAATTTGCAGCTCCGGCTCTTGGCTTCGTGCAAAATTTAAAAAGGCCTCCGGCTCCGAATCCCGGCTCCTATGCAAAATGCTTTTTTAAAAATATTTTTCCAAAAATAAAAGTTATTAGTGCCAGAGATCATACAGCCAACGTTTCTGCAGTCAAGTCACATCCTCCGCAGTGTTTTTTCAAGCAATTTGGTTTAACAAGATCACGAAATTTTTACTTTTCTGACCGCTGGGAAGCCTGGCTCCGACTCCGGGCTCGGAGCCGGAGCCGCTCAGAGCCGGAGCCAAGAGCCGGCTCCGGAGCCGTGGCAATCTCTGGTTAAGACACTGTTTTCTTCGCCTTGGTAGACTGTCAAAACACCATGTCTCCGGTTAAATTTTGGTTGTGTTAGCTTAAGAAACTCTCGAGCTTTCTATTGAAATCAATATCTTGTGATTTACTGTTCATCTTTGTGTGAAAATTTTGCAAACTATTTTTGTAACACTAAAAAATTTGCCTATTGCGAAATGCCAAAGAATTCTAGGCTCTATCTTTTTCTTTTATTTTTTCTTGACGTATGGCGCCCATTTTGCTCATTATTTTCCCGACAGACTGCTAAATAAAAGCATTATTTTTCGTTGGCGTATTTTACACTTTCAAAAGCATGACTTTGTTATTTCTTTGTTTTTCAACACTTTGCCAAGTCTGCTTTCTCTCCCTAAAATTTCTTTTTCCAAGTCCTTTTTGAGCGCTCGTTGCCGAGATTATTCAAAAACTCCTAATCTTCGTGTGCTTTGGAGAAGGGAATTATCACAGCTGATTCCTCGATAAGAAAAGAAGCGGGTTAACGGCAACAGGACAATGAAAAATGAGACGAAAATTGTTTGTTTACAATGGACTTATAGTTTCGGGAAATTCGCTGAGGCAAGTGCTAAAAATGTGTTTCAGTTTTAGCCTTAAAAATGTTTTTTTTTTTTTGCAAGAGAGCATGCGAATTGAGAGGATGGCAGAGAAAAAATTTACAGAGCAAGTGCTTCAACTGTGACGCTGCGATTTTGACAAAACTTAGGACAAATTTAGAACAAGATATTCTAAGAAACATGGCAGATTTCTAGCTCGCGCTTTGCAGAAATGACCGAGATTTTTAGATAAAAAGTTCGCAAAAATGAAAATTTTTTTTGCGAATTTTGACATGAAATTTTACATATCTATTTCTACCATAGAGTATAGTGTTTCCACAAGAAATCAATTTTTCCCTCACGAAACTGGCAAAGATTCGGCCGAAAAGTGTTTTTCTCTCTGGACTCTCTCCTCATTTCATATAATCTCTCGTCGGCAAAGAATGTTTAAAAACCTAGGCTCTGTCCACAAAATTTTTAGGTGATTTTTACCTTTAGCAAGCGATGGGAAAATTCAAAAATCTTTATATAGACAAGAGACAACGCAAAATGAGGTGAGCGAAAGGCGAAGGTTGGTCCTCCCCGGACCTATTCAAAATTTTGCCATAGCCCCCAAAAGCCCGGCCTAGCCGACCCAGCCATTTCCGGTCTAAAAAGATTTTGTTGTAAAGTTTTTTGAAGACGTAAACATGTTTAATGAAAAAGAATTTCTGCCCTTAGGCGCTCTTTGAGCGCAGGAGAACAGAAAGAAAAAAAAACAATATTGCCAACGAAAAAATGTTTCGGTAAAATTCAAAAAAAATAATAGCCTCAAAAAATCCAATATGAATCTGTCGGGAAAATAATGAGCACAATATCTGCTTCAATAGCGTCGCTAAAGTGAAAAGCAGTTTGATTTTGCCGACACAATTCTTTTTCTCAATGCGATTTTTGCTGCGACAGAGTGCTCATTATTTTCCCGACAAACTGATAAAGTCGTTAAAAAATTTTTTTTATTTTTGATTTTTCAAACTGCACGGTTTTATAAATTTTCCTAAATGCTCGTATTTTACCCACAAAAAAACGGCGCAACTCACCCCTCCTCCTCGCACTCGCCATTGCCCACCGGATCGGCGATGATCTGTGTCTCGGCATAGTGAAGCTGGTCATTGAGCAAGCCGCCGGCCATCGCCTAAAACGACTCTCTAATCAGTTGCGTAATCAAGCGGAAAGAAAGGCCTTTTTTCGGAAAGATCGCCTCTCCCCCACTTCGCCCATAAATTTCACATAATTCCCATTCACATATGGGCTGTAATTATTGAGCGAAGGGGGGTCGGGAACGACGGGTTGATAGGGAATGAAGCCGCTTAGAGTCGGTACGTCATGACCTTTGGACTTGGGGGAAATCGCCCAAACTGTCTGGATGCAGGTGTAAAAGAGGTTGGGGATGATTTGAGCGAAATGAACGGCAAAAAAAGGCTCTTAAAAATGTGGGAAATAGACAAAAGGAGGAAGTTCTCAACGCGTGAAGGTCAGATTTTAATGAAATTTGGCAAAAATGCAAAATTCGTTTCTCTGGGGCACTGATTTCCAGCCTTCCTTTAAACGAAACCATTGAGATTTTTGGTCTGAAAGTTAGTGACATCCCAAAAATATTTTTTATTGCGTTATGAAAAATACCATTTTCTTATTTCCAGACCTGCCTTAGGGGGCCAGGCGGGCTTGAGAAAATGAGGTTTTTTCATGTACTCACATCAATAATGTCTAATAGATATAAGCTACGGATCCTCGTTTTTTGTCGCAGATTTTGTTCTTTTATATGTTACAATAACTCATGATAAAGAGAACTAACGTTAGAAGTAGATAAAATTAGAAAGAGTGTCCATATTTTAAGTCTTTGTAAAGTTTCCGCCTAGCCTTCGCCAAGCGTCCTCCGGCCATCCAGCGGCTTTGCCAGGCCTCGTATGCATTTCCTACAAGTTTTTTTGTATCCACTGACCCTACGCACCCTGCTTTAGTGTTGACCCAAACTGTAGTCGACCCGAAAAGTCGGGTTTTTTGTGGCCGCTGGCCCAGGGGAGTGCTCCAAGTGAGACGCTCAGATTTTGTCGAAACTTGGCACAAATTTAGAATTTTATTCATTAAGGCCTATGCGGGACCCATTGCAACTTCAAATTGCACTTGTAGAAAAGAAAAAATGAAGGATTCACACTTCATGATAAGAGTCAAAAAATTGCAAGAGTGCATTTGCGTATCAAAGAATTGTTTCTGTTTCCTGGACAATAAATCCTGGAAGCCTTACAAATCGGATTAGAAAACACCTGACGCACTTTTCCTATAAAAAAGTTGTGATAAAAATACAAGCAAACTTCTCTTACAACGAATCTCAAGGAATCAAAAAACATTTTCTTTATAGAAGATAACCGTTGCCAACAAACGTTGGCCTACAACTAATTAATCGAACATGAATTCCCGCTGATTTTTTCTTTAAACTTTCTTCGCGCACTCAAATGCGATTAATTTTACTCGTTCTCAAGACGACGAAAAACTTTGATCGATTGCACGGTAAAAAGAGCCCAAAAGGAAAATGTAAACAAGTATCCGGAAGTTACGGTAAGTTCAAAGAGCCGGACACAAGCTACAGAAAATCTGAGCGCCGTATTTGTAAGCCTTCCTTTTTATAAATCAAGACAATTCCGCACCGTGCCGAGAAAACATCAGTCTGTCGGGAAAATAATGAGGACTTTGTCGCATCGAGAAAATGAACCGTGTCGCAGCAAAATCAAGTTTCTTTTCACTTCAGCGACACTCATTATTTTCCCGACAGACCGAAAATTTTTGCACCGTGCAATAAAAAATGAGCCAAATTTTGCGCTGTGCACTAAAAAATGAGCGAAATTTTGCACTGTGCAATTAAAAAAAAGAGCAAAATTTTGCACCGTGCAACAAAAAAAGAGTCAAATTTAGCACAGTGCAATAAAAAATGAGCCAAATTTCGCACAGTGCAACAAAAAAATCAACAAATTTTCCACAGTGCAATAAAAAAATGATCCAAATTTCGCACAGTGCAATAAAAAAAAGAACCAAATTTCGCACAGTGCAATAAAACAAAGAACCAAATTTCGCACCGTACAATAAAAAATGGGTCATATTTCGCACTGTGCAATAAAAAAATGAGCGAAATTTCGCACAGTGCATCAAAAAAATCAACAAATTTTGCACAGTGCAATTAAAAAAAGAGCCAAATTTCGCACTGTGCAATTAAAAAAGAGCAAAATTTCGCACCGTGCAATAAAATAATTATCCAAATTTCGCACCGTGCAATAGAAAAATGAGTCAAATTTCGCACCGTGCAATAAAAAATTATCCAAATTTCGCACAGTGCAATAAAAAAATTATCCAAATTGCGCACAGTGCAATAAAAAACATCCAAATTTCGCACTGTGCAACAAAAAAATCAACAAATTTTGCACAGTGCAATAAAAAATAATTCAAATTTCGCACAGTACAATAAAAAAAAATGAGCCAAATTTCGCACGGTGCAATAAAAAAAGAACCAAATTTCGCACCGTGCAGCGATAAAACCGGCAAATTCAAAAAAATTGTCGTTACAAAAAGATTGAAATCAATATAATAAAAGATCACAAGTCGATCCGTCTTCCGCATGACGCCTGACAACTGTTTTAACGTGAAATTACAACAACCGACAACTCCAAAAAGAGCCGAAAAAACGCCTTTTGGTCTTTGAGTCGACGGGAAAGGAAAGGGAAGCCCGAACTTTGGAATGGGTCCGCCCTTCCGTCAAGTCGAATTTTAAAATATGCCCTGCAGTGAGAGCGGAGAGACGTTCCCCTGCCGAGCGGTCGCCCAAAAAAAACCCAAAATATTGAACTTTCGGAATTTGCGGGAAAAAAACACACCGGTAACGTGATCTACCGTAGTTTTTTTCACATAAGTACACCCAAAAAAATCTCAAATTTCGAGTTAAATTTGATTTTTACGCAATCTTATCAGTCTGTCGGGAAAATAATGAGCAACTCTGCCACAGCGAAAATCGCCGTCGAGGAAAAAAAATTCAGACAAAGTCATCGTATTATGCGATTGAAAACTCTTGCCACGAGTTTAAAATATCAGTCTGTCGGGAAAATAATGTGGATTCGTCGTGCCTTGGAATCGCTGATTATCGCTTTGCTACGACGAGCTGGAGATTTGTTGTGCGACAAAGCGAGATATTCGGCTTCGAAAAATCCACATTATTTTCCCGACAAACTGATATTTTAGACACGTGGCAAGATTTTTCAGTCGAATAAGACGATGACTTCGTCTGAAAAAAGTTGCGGATTTTTTTTTATTAGCCTGTCGGGAAAATAATGAGCGCAATGTCGCTGCGGCGTTCGCGTTGCTAAAGTGAAAAACAATTTGGTTTTGCCCCGACACAATTCGTTTTCTCGACGACGATGCAATCTTCGATGCGGCGGAGTGCACATTATTTTCCCGACAGAATATTAGCATTTTCACAAAGTGCCTGGACATTTTTTCGCTTTTGCACAGTGCATGTTTCATTTTTGTTTACTGTGGATTTTTGCCTTCGCGCGCCGTGCAAACCTCAAAAAAGCCGATTGCACTGTGCAAATTCTTGAACAAAACCGCAGTTGAGAAAAGCCTACGTCGCAGCGATATTTCAGATGCACAGTGCAAAATCAAAAAAAACGAGAGTGCACGGTGCAAGAACTCGCAAATTTTTTTGCAAGGTGCGGATGGCGATAAATGTCCAAGACCTTTGTAAAGGTGCTAAAATTTTTGGGAAAACAGCAGTTTTCTGTGCACCGTGCGATAGGCTTTTTTGGGGTATCCCTTGCAATTTGACTTTTTTTGAACAGTGCAAACGTCAAAAAAAAAGTCCGGCGACTTTCCGGAAAGAACTTGGTTTTTTTGACAAAACGCGGACGTCGTATATTTTGAGCAATACTAAATCATTTTTTTCTCTTGAAAGTATGCATGATTGCTAATTTTTTCTATTCGGCCATAATTTTTATTGTGGCCACATTTTTCGCACTTTTTTGAAAGCGTAAACAAGTTTTCACAATCCTCAAAACTGCACTTTTATTTTCATACAAGTCAAAAAAACTTTGCTGCGTCATTTGGATCCCACTTTACTTTGCTCACTTGAATTGTTGGTGGAAACGCACGCGACTGACAATTTGTGAGAGACCAACAGTCGCTGTACTGTTAATCCGGTCTTTAAAAATTCGAATGATATTTTATTGATCGCTCCTTTTTTGATTGCAAAACTGCGAGTGAGGTCCGAAGTGAATTGGTTTGTGGCTGAGAGAATAAATACATAAAGGAAAATACATAAACGCTAGAGAATTTCATTAAAACTTGTCAAAATGTCAGCGTGTCGGGAAAATAATGAGCACTCTGTCGAATCGAAAATCGCACCTGTCGGGAAAATAATGTGGATTTTTTGAAGCCGAATTCATCGCCTAGTTGCAGTCGCACACCAAATTTCCAGCAAGTCGTAGCAAAACGATGATGGGCGATTCTAGACGCAAGAAATTCACATTATTTTCCCGACAGACGGATACTGTATACCTTATGGTTAGAAAAAATTATTGCAAAGTTTTTATCAAAATCTATGCAACACTTTCACTGTCTGTACACAACGGCCAAGAAAGTGTTCTAGACGGAAGAATTTCGTTGTTCCGACGTTTGTGGTGGCCTAGAAGTCACTACTTCGACCTCTAAAATTGTTTGTTATAGAAAGATTTTGTTGTATGGGAGTTTGTTTCGCAAAAGTTCCGTTGCATTTTTACTCTTTAGGCAACTTTATAAAACAGCCACATGATCTGTTCTCCCGGCCCCTCCTGGACCACGTAACCGCTCTCCAGTGACCATGAGAATTTCGCAAACACCGACGTAAATTTTTTTTTCTCGACAGCTTATACAACACGCAATTGTACGAAAACCGGTTTCACACGACTAATGGACAGCGATTTGCATAAAATTCGGTAGAGAGACCAAGTCGGGCTCAATCCCGCTTGGATCGACGTAAATATTGGAGTATAAATAGGCCGTTGGCTTTCGTCGACAGAACTTATCGTTTCATTTGCTTTTGAAGAGCTTTATTTAGCGGCAGTAGTGAAGAGGGATACTGTAGTTACATAGATGGAAAAAGAAAGGTGGGAAAACTTAGTTGTTAGTATCAATCTGTCGGGAAAATAATGAGCACTCTGTCGCATTGAAAATCGCATCGCTGCCGAGCAAATAAATCGCGTCGCGGCAAAATCCTATTGCTTTTCATTGCAGCCATGCGATCGGCGCAGCGTCATTGTGATCACTATTTTCCCGACAGTACAGCCTCTCTGCGACTTGGCATGGCTCAGTATTTGTTAGGCCGGACATTGGGTGGGGTTTCTTGCGCGAGCGCCGGAAGTTCTGGCTTCCCTCTACAAAGCTGGTCATTTTTCTGGCCACCTTGCTTCGATGGCTTCTTCTGGATGGTCCCACGTTCCTCTTTCTCGTTCCAGCATTTGTCATGTCTTCGAAGGAAAACGTGCTTTTACATACAGTAGAGCCTCGGTACGGCAAAGTCGTTTATAACGGACCTGTATATATTGAACAGACTATTTCTTTTGGGCTTAAATTTTAATGTTATATAGGTAAACGTGAGCCTCCGTAGAATACAACAAAATCTCTTTATAACGAATAAACTTTTGATTATGCCGCTGGAGTTCGTCCTACCAAAGTCCTACTGTATTTTTATCAAGCACTAATAAATATGTATTTCAAAAGCAGATTTATCTTAAGTTCACCTCGTTCAAAGTTCTCCTTCATTATTACTAATTCTAATCTTCGACCCCACTGCTCCTTTGCAATTACCGTGTTAACGAGCGATCGCCAAATAAAGCACCTAATAAACTCATAAAACACTGAGGTTTCTTGAACCTTTCAGATTTACATTACTCCATTCTACAACAAACATTACTCCGTTCTACAAAAATGTCTCGTCGTCCCTCTTCAGAATCTGTAAATTCCGGCAAATTTTCGCTGAATTCGTTTGCCGACTCCTCAACAAATGCCAGCGATTTCAACGAGACCCGCACCGAGTGGACCAGCATCTACAGCGCGGCGCTGCTCTCCTTCATCAGCGCCGTCCAATTCTCGCTGTATTTGTCGTCCATGTGGCCGTACATGCAGATGTTGGACAAGGAGATCACCGAGAACTTTTTTGGGCTTGTAGTTTCCGCCTACAGTGTGGGGCAGATCGTGGCGGCCCCACTGTTTGGGTGGTGGTCGAATCGGATCAAAAAAGTCTCACCGCCCCTCTCCGTGGGTCTGACAATGATGCTGTTGGGGAATGCGATGTACATCGTCATGGCGGTTGTCCCAATCCCAAACCGGATCTTGTTGCTGGTTGGGCGATTAATTACCGGCGTTGGGAGTGGGAATGTGGCATTGCTGCGGACGTACGCATCCACCGCCTCCACAACCGACGACCGCTCGAGGGCGATTGCGTTTGTCACGTGCGGACAGGCGCTGGGAATGGTGGTGGGACCGGGTGAGTAGTGCAACAGAGAAATTTCACTTTGAATTATCAGTCCGTCGGGAAAATAATGAGGACTCTGACACATCGAAAATTGCATCGCCGCCGAGAAAATGAGTTGTGTCGCGAAAATCAAATTGCTTTTCACTTCAGCGACGCGATTGGCGGAAAGGGACATTTTGCTCACTATTTTCCCGACAAACTCATAAACAGTCAAACCTCTGCACAGCGAGCCGCAAAAGGGCCTGAAATTGACTTTTGAGACCTTGAAATTGTTGGTTGTGTAATGCATATTATCAGTCTGTCGGGAAAATAATGTAGATTCGTCGCGCCTTGTAGTCGCCCTTCATCACATTGCGACGGCAAGTCGCCACGAAAAATTTGTGTGCGACTGCAACGAGGGCGACAAATCCGCACTACCTTCCCTACAAGCTGTTATGAGTCTGTCGGGAAAATAACGAGCACAATGTCGCGTCCAAAATCGCATAGCTGAAATGAATTATGTTGCGGCAAAATCAAATAGCTTTTGCTTCAGTGATGCGACCGGCTCAGCCACAGTGTGCCCATTATTTTCCCGACAGCCTGATACACAGATTCCACCATTCTTTAGTCTCCTAATCCACTCAACCTTTGAGCTCTTCCCTTTCAGTCTTCCAACTGATCTTCACGCCCCTCGGCTTTCCCGGCTTTGAATTATTTGTCGACAAACTCCGGTTCAACTTGTACACAGCGCCCGCCTACCTCGCCTGCCTCATGAATATCGCGGGAATGGGGCTGTTGCGCTTCGCATTCGTTGAAAAGTCCGTTGGTATTGTCACAAAGACTTGCCAGTCCGCCGACGCGGAGAGCCAGCGAGTCGAAGAGGTGGAGGTTCAGCTGCCAAAGTACGATGGATGTGCAATTTTGGTGTGTTATGCGACCCGATTCACCGACGTCTTTGTGCGCACCAACTTGGAGACTCTGGGCGCTGCGTTCGCGATGATGATGTTCAGCATGACCGAGCACGAGTCGGTGGCCTACAATCCGGCCGCACAAGGGGTGGTTGGATTCCTGACGTTTGCAACATACGTCTTCTACATTTACTTCCATTTGGACAAACAGTGAGTTGGTTTTTATAATACGACAGTCAAAATTCTGTAGAAAGAGTTGCAAAAAAACCAAAAAATGAGTCGTTATATGAGTCTGTCATGAAAATAATGAGCTCTCCATCGCATCGAAAATCGCATCGCCGCCGAGAACATGAATTGTGTCGCGGCAAAATGAAATTGAATTTTCCGCGACATGATCGGCGAAGCGACATTGTGCTCATTATTTTCCCGACAGACTGACAGAAATCTTTCGTGGTACTAGTCCGTTCGAAAAGTCGCTGGAATGATTTTTGGCGTTTACACTATGTACAAAACGCGGACAGACTAGTACGAGGCTCATTTTGACTTCAAATTAGCTCTTGAGACCTCTGCGATGGTTGTAGGCAGGTCGTTGCGTAGCTTGATATTTCGATGTTTCTTTGTTTTATTTTTCATGAGGGCGTTGCTGCAAGTACTGAAAGGTCTTTAACATCCCTTGTCCAACGCGGACGACTCGTCATTAATGCGTTAATTTCAGCATCAACATGAGGCTTGGCTGTATGATCTCGTTGGCCGCGTTGATTGTTTTCCACTTGTTGACCTTTTCGTGGCCGTTCTTGCCAAAACTCAACGAAGCTTGTAAGTCCCCTATTAAATGCCAGGATCATCGGCAACCTTGGCTAGGATCTTCAACAGCCCCGCTGGAAGCTCTCATCATCTTCCGTAGTTAAATTACATTACATTCTATTTTCAGTTGATCCCAACGACACCGCAGTTGGTTGTAATTTCGGGCGGTTCGCGTGGTGCGATCAAATGAATGCCGTCAATGTGTACGTTTACTACGGCTCGTATGCCATAGTGATTGGGCTGGCATTCCCACTGCTCACCATCACGATGAACACGCTGTTCTCGCGGATCTTGGGCCCTCGTCGACAAGGCACTGAACAAGGACTTTTGCAAGGCTGTAGCGGACTGGCCCGACTAATTGGGCCACTCGCCGGCAGCTCGTTATACACGGCGTGGGGTCCGAGGCCGGTGTGGATCATGGAGATTGTTGTTATTGTCGCGGTATTGCTGTCGTGGCTCAAAATGTATCGACGAATGGTCCCGTTCGAGGAGAGGATGCTTCGTCGGCCCTCGGCAAATTCCTTCGCGTCAAACTTGACGATTGTGCGGAATGAGAAGCGAAATGAAAGCGACGAAAGTGCGTAAAGGATCGTGAAGATGCTATGTTATGAAGCTTCCATTCAATTACGGTGGATCGCTCTGTACAACAAACCCGTTTGCAACAAAACTTCATTATAGGGAACGGGATTGAGTCTGAATTGGTCTCTCTACCGAATTTTATGCAAATCGCTGCCCATTAGTCATGTGAAACCGGTTTTTGTTTTCGTACAACCCTTGTATAAGCCGTAGCGAAATTTACGTCGGTGTTTGCGAAATTCTCATGGTCACTAGGGAGTGGTTACGTGATCCAGGAGGGACCGGGAGATGAGATCATGTGGCTGTTTAATAACCTTGTTACGCTGCCCAAAGCTAAAAGTACAATGGAACAGCGAACTCCTATTCAAAAAAATCTTTCTACAGCAAAGAATTTCATATGACCAAAGACTGACTTCTAGGCAAAAATAAGTCTCCGCACAATGAAAAATTCTATAAAAAAACAAATTTTGGTCTCTCACAATTTGTTGTACAGAAGCTATATTACAATTTTTAAGCAGCCAAACCTCTTACAACAAATTGCAAGGAACAAAAAAACCCTTCGTTATAGAAGGGTAGCGTTGTAGAGAGGTTTATCTTGGCCTTAAATTGATTCTTAGGACCTCTGAAAAAGTTTGTTATAGAAAACGCGAAGCGGTTTTTGTTGGGCGGGAGTTCATTGCACAGAGGTTTCACTGTATGGGGGTCAACAAGAAATATAATAGAAGCCTCTGTACAACGAACCAAGGGATAAAATTCGTTGTAAAGAGGATTTGTTGTACGGAAGCTCCACTGCACATATACTGTAATATAATATATTAGGCTAAAGTCATCATTTCTTTGATGAGTCTCAAAAACACAATCCAATCATCAAAATGATGAGCCATTTATTCAAATTCCACGCCATTTACTGTGTCTGATTGACGTATTTGTACAAATCTGAAGATATTGTGCTGTATAGATGTGTAGGCTGTAGGCGTTGTTGCTTTTGTATGTTATAGCTTCTATGTTATTGCGAATAAAGAACATTTCTTTGAAAATAATTTGAATATGTTTCTGAATATGTCAGATTTATTCCTAACTGAAAATAAAAAATTTATGAAAGTCATTGCCAATCCACAACGGGAGGTGGTGGAACTGGACGGACATTTCGCTCTCCGAGATATGTTCGCTTCCTCGATTTTCGTTTCTGAAACCGTGATTTAAAATTTGGGTATTACCTGCTTATTGTTAGGTAAAAGTTGTCGAAAAATGTGGCATTTTTTGTGAATTTTGGTATGAAAAATTTCATGCTTATTTCTACCATACAGGATAATATTTTTACAAAAAATAAATTTTTCCCGCATGACATTGGCAAAGTTATGGTCAAAAGATGTTATTCTGACCGCTTTCCGCACTTCCCACCGGCCGCAAAGACCGTTGAATATCTCGGCTGTTACTGCACAGCGCTAGTTAAAATTTTCAGGACTTGACATGTGACCCATGAAGAATGTGTGTGCAAAATTCTGAGAAAATCTGAGCCTCGCTTCGTGAACGCGACACCTTTCTTTTTTTTCTCACCTTTATGCTGGGCGGCGTCTCAATGACGACCATTCGGTTCGGCGACGCGTTTCCAGCGCCCGTCTTGATCGACGGATCCTCGAACAAGGGGATTTGCATGCGAATCGAGAGCATAAAGTTGATTTGTTCGTTGTAGGCGGCGGGCGGTGGTGGACATGGCCGATAGAACGGGACACTCGTCTGGGCATACAACGATATGCAGGTCTAATTGTTTAAATTTGAGGGCAATTTTGCTTACATTAGCGTGACTGTACGTATGACAGACAAATAACATTGGGCCAAAGATGAGGCTGGCCAGAAAGTAGCCGAAACTCAGCCACATCACTTGCAAGTCGACAGCGAACATGAGGGAGTAGATTGCGACTGCCGACCAAGTAAACAGTAAGGTGCTGGATTTGCAGGTCTTGCTGAAATCGGCGTAAAAATAGAATCTTTCTGTGTCTAGAAAACGTGTCATGATGAGAACCGTTTAAAATGCGCCAGTGGTTTAAAAAATAGATGTATATGGGCAGGAGCACCCTCTAGAGTCGCTAAAAAAAGTTCAGGTTCAAAACTTTTGCATTTGCAATAAAAATCGAAAATTCGTCCAGAAAAGGTGTCACGATGACACTTATTTAAAATGTTCTAGTGGTAAAAACAACGTATGTATATGCCTATGAGTGCTCTCTAGAGCACCCACAAAAAAATTTAGGACCCAAACTTTAGCAATATGCAATAAAAATCGAAAATGCGTCCAGAAAATGTATCACGATGACATCCGTTTAAGACGTGCCAGTGGCAAAAACAACAACTGTACATGGCTGCGAGTAGTCTCTAGGGTAAAAACAAAAAAAAAATTAGCGCCCGACCTTTAGCAATATGCAAAGTGGATGACGGGTTTTCTGGATTTTTTTGGATTTTCCCACGCCAAGGGCCTTTACAAGCCAAAATTTTTTGAGTTGGTCTAGAGAGTATTCGAAGCCTCATAGAGCCGTTCTTTTTGCCGCTGGCACGTTTTACAGAGGTGTCATCATGACAGGTTTTCTGGACACAAACGATTTATGGACCTAGAGCCACATTTTGACTTTTGCCACCCCCATTGTTGGTGAACGGCAAGTTTTGTTGTACAGAAGTTAATTTCACACCGATTCGACCGCACTTACAACGACCAGTACATTTGGGCGAGATTGCTGCCCTCCAGGTCGGTCATTTTGCACATTGTGAACGCGAATTGTTGCACCAGGGTCATCAAAACAAAAGAGATCCAAACCGGCATCACAAAGGCCCAAAATTGCTTGGTTCGAGTGTAACAAAAGCAGCTAAACATCAAAAATTACTCGTTTTCTCGCAAATCCCTCTTTTTGTCAGCAAAATCCTCTTTTTTGTAAACAAAACCCCTTTTTGCAACGGCTTACTGTGGCTGCTGAATCCCAAAGTAGTTGGAGCATGTGAAATAACCGACAATTGTGGCGACAGCAGCCCCCAGAACGGGAAAAGCGAAGGCCAAGGTCCAGTGGAAGGTGTTGATGTGCTTGATTAAGTTGCGAATCATGCTGAATCAGCAGATTATAGACCTGATCCAGTGGCAAAAAACGTGCCATTTTGCATCCGAGAAGTATCAAAAAATGTGACAAAATGCCTCCTTCTCCAATTAAAAAACTCCATTTTCGAAATAGGAGTCTTTTCACTTGGAAAGGGAGTTGTTTTGCCACATTTTTTATACTTCCCGCACGCAAAATGCTATGTTTTTTGCCACTGGATCAGGTTCGCCACTGCAGGCGACTTTTGCTTACCATGTGGCCAAAACCTCTTTGACCAAAAAAATAAGAGCCACAAAGTCCATGAAGAACATGATAATGATCGCAGTCGCCGTACAAAGCCCTTGACTGTCCTGCGGATAAACGAAAACACCCATGAACACAAATAAACAGATGTAACCGAACTCTTGCGTCGTTTCCAAGAGTCGTTCCATTGAATAGACTCTACAAGAGAAAAGAAATGATATCAGTCTGTCGGGAAAATAATGAGCGTAATGTCGCTAATCGCGTCGCTCAAGTGAAAAGCAATTTGATTTTGCCGCGGTACAATAAATTTTCTCGGCGGTGATGCGATTTTTGATGCGACAGAGTGCTCATTATTTTCCCGACAGACTGATATATCCATCTTTTTGCGTATTATCAGTCTGTCGGGAAAATAATGTGGATTCGTCGCGTCTCGAAAGCGCATCATCGCTTTACGATGGCTCGCCGCGGCTGGGAATTTGGAGCGCGGCTGCGACAAAAAGAGACATTTTCCTGTGACAGATCCACATTATTTTCCCGACAGACCGATAGTAGTTTCATATCAGTCTGTCGGGAAAATAACGGCGGATCGTCGCAGCAAAATGTCTCGCCGCTATCGCGCACCAAACCCCAAGCCGCGGCTTGCAGTCGCAAAGCGATGATGAGCGACTCCGAGGCGCGACGATCCGCCGTTTTTTTCCCGACAGACCGATAAAGTGCCTGGACATTTTTTCTCTTTCGCACAGTGCATTTCAACTTCTTCCCTTGCTTGTCGCCAACGCACCGTGCATTTTCATTTTTTCGCACAGTGCAAACTTGAAAAAGCTGTTTGCACCGTGCAAATCGTCAGAGAAACCCGCGTCGGGGCTTTTGATGGCCTCTGTCGAAGCGATATTTCAAATGCACAGTGCGAAAGCCCAAAAAAAGTGAAATGCACGGTGCAAAATGGGAGTTTTTTCAGTCTGTCGGGAAAATAATGAGCAAAATTTCGCTGCGCCGATCGCGTCGCTGAAGTTAAAAGCAATTTGATTTTGCCGCGACAAAATTAATTTTCTCGGCGGTGATGCGATTTTCGATACGACAAATCCTCATTATTTTCCCGACAGACTGATATACACATGTATATTCCGCATTGTACCCAGCTTACTGATAAACCGAGTTGACCACCATGCATCCCATGCACCATGCCACCACCCAACCGGCGCTGATGTAAAACAAGATTTTGGTCGCCGTCAACTTGCCCGAGGGCAGCTCTTCCACCACACAAATATCGGACAGAATTCTGGCTGCTGAAAAAAAGAGAAATGCGGGTCAAAACTCTCTACAACGAATAGAGAGTCCACTTACATACGGTGTATTTCGTGGCCGTTGTAACGGTCGATGAGTCCGTTGCATCGCCGCTGACGACATCTTGTCGTTTTGGCCGTTTAAAATAATACGAATTACTCGGCAAATCCAAATTCTGCGCAATTTCATCAGCATAAATGCTGATAAAATTCAGCAGTAATAGGAGGGCCACAGTTAATTTCATTGTAAAATAGAAAAAAATTATAAATAAAATGTAATTTTAAACGAGTTGTAGATTGAATTACAACACTCTGCCCATCCTGAACCGGCTCGGGAACAGAATTATCACCAGCAATACGGTATAGGCGACGAACGCCGGGATTATTACGAATAATCGGAGGAGCGTCAGGACCGAGTCGAACATAACAGCTGAATCGGCCGGTTGTGAAATTGTAGCCATGGAGAGAGCGTCTCCGTTAGAAGCAGAAATGCAAAAACAAAGTCACAAAGAGTGGGTGTGGAAATATTTAACACCAGGAAGAGACAAAAGAGGATCCTTTTTTAGCCGGAAGATTGCAGAAATCATCGAGATTTTTAGGTTAAAAATACTACACTATCAGTCTTTAGGGAAAATAGAGGCCGCGCCTTGGAATCGCCCATCATCGTTTTGCGACGGCTGGCGTGGAAACGCGACTGGATAGTTTTTTCGACGAGGAGAAACGTTTCGCTGCGACGAAACGCCACTATTTTCCCGACAGACGAATCCATTTTTTTACAATGCTAAAACAAAACTCAAGTACCCCAAGCGTGACGCTCACATTTTCTTTAAATTTTGCACACTCTTCGAGCATAGGCCACATACCATGGGGGACCTGATCCAGCGGCAAAAAACGTACCATTTTGCATCCGGGAAACATCAAAAATGTGGCAAAATGCTTCCCTCTCCAAGTGAAAAAACTTCTTTTTCAAGGGCGCGCCCTTTTTCCTCACAAAAAGAGCGGGCGTCCTTTTGAAATCTGTATTTTTTCAGTTGAAGAGGGAAGTATTTTGCCACATTTTTTGATACCTCCTGGATGGAAAATGGTACGTTTTTTGCCACTGGATCAGGTCCCCCACTGTATTAATTCCTAAAATTTTAAATCACAATTTACAGGCGCAGCCGAGATATTCAACAATCTTTGCCGCCGAGAGAATACGACAAACGCGGAGCACATCGTTGGCGCGTAATTGAAAAGTGATTTTTTAGCTTGACGGCTCCATTATTGAGTGAAAAAATCGGAACGAAACGCCACAAACTTTGATTTACCACGACCGGTTTTACGCCAACACGGTTGATCGATATATCGAAATAATTGTGTTTACGCAAATTTGACGTGTTGCGGCTGCCACTTGCGCTAAATCTGTATTGTAAAATCGTTTCTTGAGCTCAGAATTTCACGCTAAAGTTGACCTATAATAACAAAAGATTGACCGGTAACTTGACCCTCGATCCCAATCTTGGGGTTCTCGATAGCTCATGAGCTGCATGAAGATATGACGAAGCTGAACACAAAAAATCAGACCAGGTTTCAGAGCTACTTTTCGAGAAAATTCAACTTCATATTATACTAGACATCCGATTTCAATGGATTCCTAAAAATCAAACAAAAAGTGAAAATAGCGACTTACGTTCCTATACCACTAATTTTCGAAATGTTTTCTTTGCTCTCCGATTAGCACTGGTCGATTTTAGTTTCTGCGGAAAATAAAAAGTGAATTTTCCGATTTTTGCACAACGCCAAAACTTTTTGGCACTGATAAATTTAGTCGTGGTGGGACAAACCATAATTAGCAGAAAAAAACGACGTGCGGAGAGCTCGTAGATAAAAACGCTTTTTAGCCATAGCTTTGCCAGTTTCGCGCGAAAAATTTTGATTTTTTTGTGGAAACATTACTCTCTACGGTAGAAATAGGGTTGAAACTTTGCATGCCAAAATTCGCAAAAAATTGTCGCATTTTTTTCCCAACCTTGAACCAAAAAATCTCGGTCGTTTCTGCAAAGCGCAAGCTAGAAATTTGGCATATGTTTTAGAAAAAATCAAGCTAAATTCGCGCCAAGTTTCATCAAAATCGGAAAGTCAAACTTGGGGTACTTCCCGTATAAAAAATTGGCGTTTTTCTCTCATTTCCCTTTCGAATTCGTAGCAAAGTCGGCGGTCGTCCGTGATGTTTCTCGTGTTTTGTTTGTGGAATCTGACAATGTTATGGACAACGGCGGCCCTCATACTAGTCGTGTGCTCCAGGAATAAGAAGTTCGAGAAGGAGAAGAGGCGCGACTCAACGAACGCCAATCTACAGCGTGTTTCAAGGAAATCCGCGGCAAGTTTTTGACGATTTCTTGGTGCTCACAATCAGTCAAGATATCCAAAAAAATTTTTGCATTAGAAAGAAGAAGGTGGGTGGTTTTTTTGCCTAAACAAACTTTTTTCTTCGCCAACGCGGAAAAACGTGTATTCGGCGGAGACTTTAAATCGTTTTTTTGGTTATCACGTCCATATCAAAGATGTGTGATGACCAAAAAGTGTCCAAAAGTCACCGCCGAATACACTGCTTTCCGCGTTGGCGGAGAAAATGATTTTCTTAGGCAAAAAACCACCCATCTTCTTCTTTACCGTGCAAAAAGATTTTTTTGGATATCTTGACTGAGCGCCAAGAAATCGACAAAAACTGTTCGGGGAATTTCTTGAAACACGTAAAATAATTTTAACCAAAAACTCCATTTTTAGCAAAAATGCTACAATGGGAGACCTGGGCCAGTGGCAAAAAACGTACCATTTTGCATCCAGGAAGTATCAAAAATGTGGCAAAATGCATCCCTCTCCCAGTGAAAAAACTCCGATTTCAAAAGCGCGCCCGCTCTTTTTGTGAGGGACCCTTCAAAACGATGTTTTTTCACTTGGAGGAGGAAGCATTTTGCCACATTTTTGATCCTTCCCGGATGCAAAATGGTACGTTTTTTGCCACTGGATTTCTGTGATTAATTTTTTGGACATTGCAAATTACTATAAATTCTCTTTAGAATGTGACCAATGAAGCGCGTTGGGACGAGAAGAAGGCGCGTGGGATCAGCAGCAGCAGTCATCGAAAGCCGGAAGCCGCCGTGCGCGCCACAAAAATGATAACTTTCGAGGAGCGAAGGGAGCGTTTCAGGCGGTCGTACAGGGAGCTCAGTAAAAAATATGGCCGCAAAAAGGAGCCCAAGGCCGACCGAAATTTGACCGCAACAATGTTGGTGGAGGAGAACGAAGACGATTTTGAGGTGGGTTTTGGTTTTAGTTGTACACTAAAAATTGTCGTTTTAGGACCCTAATGCGCCAAGTCCGCCGAAAAAGACCTGTCTGACACAAGAAACGACTGATTTATGCACGTAAGTGACGATTTAATCATACAGACCTGATCCAGTGGCGAAAAACGTATAATTTTGCATTCGGGAAGTATCAAAAATGTGGCAAAATGCTTCCCTCTCCAAGTGAAAAAACTTCGTTTTGAAGGGCCCCTAAAAAAAAGAGCGGGCACGCTTTTTAAATCTGAGTTTTTTCACTTGGAGAGGGAGGTATTTTGCCACATTTTTTGATACTTCCTGCATGCAAAATGGTACGCTTTTTGCCACTGGATCAGGTCCACTGTAGGCGTTTTGCTCGGGGAGCGACGATTGGGGAAAAAGACAGTTGGGGAAACTGAAAAGTATTATTTTTCTTCGGTATAAGTGTCGAAATTAGGATAACCGATGGCGCTGATTTCGAAAATGACATTCATTTTTTTTCGTTACTATTTTGCTTAAGTAGTATTGTAAAGCAGTACTTTTTTGAACTTTTTTCACAATACTCGATTTAGGGTTTTCGATGGTGGTGATTCCGAAAATCTTGTTCATTTTTTTCTGGTTTGAAATCAGCACCATCGAAAACCCCTAAACCGAGTATTGTGAAAAAAGTAAAAAAAAAACTGCTTTACAATACTACTTACGCAAAATAGTAAGGATCAAAAAATGAATGTCATTTTGGAAATCAGCGCCATCGGGTATCCTAATTTCGACATTTACGTCGAAGAAAAATAAAACTTTTCGGTTTCCCCAATTGTCTTTTTCCATAATCGTCCATTTTCACAGCCATCTTTTTCCCCAACTGTCTTTTTCCCAATTGTCTTTTTCCCCAATTCACGACGTTTCGTTTTGCCCTGGAAATGTCTCGCTCATTTTTATATTGTTTTAGGCAAGAGGAAAGTTCTAATCAAAAGAATGAAGTAACCGCAAGAAGATCAGCAAATGAAAGACCGTCTGCTGAAGTGTAGCAGTAGTTGGCTATCAGAATCGATTTCATCAGCGATATTCGCACTTAATTATCGACTTTGGTATATTATACTAGATAAACTGCTCAAATCGATAATTTCGTTTCGCTTTTGAAATGATTCGAGGAGAAATCATTTTAAAAATAAAGAATATAACCCTTGTCACGTCTTAGAAAGAGTAAACAAGCAGTTAACGACATATTTACATATTTATTTTACATTATCTTACTTTACCCATGCTCGAGAGATCGTTTGATAAATTTGACCCGTTGAAACTTGAAGAATGTAACGGCTTAGATTAGCCTGACCATTTGCCCAGCTAATCCAGCCAACATTATCCATATTGGCATGAAAACCACTCCATAAGTCGTCTGAATTGCCACTTGGCCATGTTCAAAGTCGCCCTCGATTTTTTGGCAGAGAAACATAAGAAATAGCCCAAACATTGATGCCCGGAGGAAGTTGAAGAGATGTCTGAAGTTTGAAGAATAGATTTGACCAGCTATTAATGGATCTCAATGGCCTCCCGGCCGATATTACTCTGAGAACAACAGGTGAAGCGATTCTTTTCTAAACTCCAAAAAAGGAATAAAAAACCGACTTACGTTGCCAAAGATCGACGTATCTGCTTCTCCTCGACGTATACTCGAAGGGCGACTATGAAAACAAAGTATAAATCAAGGCCTGACGCCAGAAACATTGGGCCGAAAATGTGCCAATAGCTGAATTGGACGATTTTGTACCATTTTACTGTCTGAAAAAGGCAAAATTCGCGTGTTAAGCTTGTAAACTTCATCTAAATCACGGAGGAAGTCAATTTCTAGCCCTACCGGCTCGATTTTCATGCCAAAATTGACTTACAAACATTATCGTAGAGATCAAAATGGCAATGCAGTGCATGAGCAGTTCAAACGGCGTAATCCCGGTCCATTTCTGCAGCTCCGGAAGCGTAATCATCTCCAGACTCATTGATGGTCTCGTCATTACCGGCAATACCGGAGAAATTGTAAAAAACAGAGAACTTATTTTTCACGACGACCCCCAGTTTCTCCCACCACGAAAACCCTGAAAATCAGGAGGGAGCGTTAGAAAAAGAAATATTTTTTGCAGCAAAAAATATTTTCGGATTGGTCTTTTTTTGGCACCATTTCTGATACCGTGCAAAAATGAGTGGAGGATTGTATGGTGGAGGTAAGAAATTCTGTTTTATCTTATATTATTCATGAGGTTCTAGTGAATGACTAAAATTTTTAAGTGTTACCTAAAAAACATGGGGGTTTATGCTGAATTTCTACTTTTTAAAGGTCATGGAAGATTTTCCTGCCCAATTTAGACGTTTTTCTCAAGTATTTTTGGGTTTATATTGCTTTACATTGATCAGGACTAAGTATCAAGAATAAGGTAATTTTTGGTCTTTTTAGATGATGTTGGTGCTATTGTCTTTGACGTTGGCTCACACACACTCAGATGCGGCTATGGAGGAGAGGAATTCCCGAAGGTAGGTTTTTTTCTTATATGTTTTCCATATTTTAGGTAATGAACAATGTGAATATTGGATTTCTCCTTTCAGATTGTGATTCCATCTGTTGTTGGCGTCAGAAATAGAAAGGATGCTGGGAATGTTACTGAGAGGACGGACGAGAGCATGGAAGTGGACAATGAGGCCAAACCAGCACCTAAAAAGGATTATTTCCTTGGCACACAGACGGTGAATGTTCCTAGAGCCGACACGGAGATCAAACCTTTCATGAAGGATTGTCAAATTGAGGATTGGGAGCTGTTCGAGCAGATGCTAGATTATGTGTACAATGGTTGTCTTAAGACGGAGAGCAAGAACCACGGGACTTTGTTTTCCGAGGCACCTGTAAGTTGTTTTACTTTTGGTTTTGTTGAATTTTAGGACACAAAGGGGACATGTTTTGATGTTTCTAGACGAAGACTATTATATAATACAACTTTTTAAAGGCATTTTGACTAGAAGGACAGCCAAAATTCATTCGTTTTGTCAAATATTATACTTGACATCAACTGAAATTTGATTTTAGTGGAATCAGAAAGATAAACGGGAAAAACTGGCCGAATTGATGTTTGAAAAGTATGGAGTCCCTTCCTTCTACTTGGTGAAGAACGCTGTGCTGACGACATTCGCTGCAGGGCGCACTGCTGGCTTGGTTTTGGACAGTGGTGCCACCTACACCTCGGCGTGCCCAGTCTATGAAGGTTATCCTCTGTTAAATGGTATGAATGGTTTCAATATATAGTTTAGGACGAGTAATGTTTTTTTAGGGTGGTTTTGGAAGGGCATGGCTTTTGTTTGACACTTTCCCGATATTATTTTAGACAATAATTGAAGAAAATTTCAAAAAAGATCCAATTTTTATATCGCAAATTAAGATTTGTTCCAAAATATCTTTATTTTAGCCGTCGTCAAGTCCCCAGTGGGCGGAGACATGATCGTCGACCAATGCCAACGAGTCCTGGCCAAGCAAGGAATCGAATTGGTCCCCTACTTCAAGATCAAGTCCAAAAAAGAAGTGGACGATGGGAAAAGACCGGTCTGGACGGCCAAGAAATTACCTCCAGTCACCGAAAGTTACGATAATTTTATGAAAAAGGTAAGATTTTTTTTTCATTTTTTTGTTTGATTTTTAGGTAACAAATCAAATGAAATCTTGGAATAAAAACTGAAAATTTTCAGCAATTGGTCGAAGACTTTGCCCATTCAACACTCCAACTGTGCGACACACCCGTTGACATTGAATTCATGGACAAACTTCCCGCCTCGTCGTACGGATTTCCATGTGGATTCAGGAAGGACTTCCTCGCGGAACGCGCCAAAATCCCCGAAAGTTTGTTTGATCTGAAGTATCTGGAAGGACATGATGAAGTCAAGGAGAGCTTACTGGACGTTTCTCAAGTCGCTCACACCTCCTGTGGCATGTGTGATATTGATGTCCGACCGGTAAGGAGAATATAAAATTTGTGGATTTTTTGAGAAAATTTAATGTATATAGGTAGAATATGGTGTGAAAAGAATGTTTATTACGATTTAAGGGTGTCATTTGGATAAATAATTTATCGACCAGTCGATTTTTAAATTTTTGAAAATTTGGGTTTTTTTAATTTTTTGATGGTTTAGTCGATTTACCTTGATATTTTCAGCATTTGTACGGTAATTTGTTGGTCACCGGAGGCAACTCGCTGATCATGGGCTTCACGGAACGTCTGAACCACGACCTCGCCCAAAAATGCAACTCCACGGTGAAACTCCGTGTCCCACAGTCCCAGCCGAACGAACGCAAATACGGAGCATGGATTGGAGGCTCCATTGTCGCATCGCTCGGCACATTCCAACAGCTTTGGATCTCCAAAGTGGAGTATGAAGAGACCGGGAAGGTGATTGTGGAAAGGAGATGTGCCTAAGATAAGGTCTTTTTTGTTTTATGGGTAAGTTTTTTTGCTAAATATGGCGTAGTAAACTTGGGGAAATGCTGAAATAAAAAAAATAAATAATTTGCGTTGATTTTCGAGGAATTTAGAACTGGCAGCTCGCGCCCGAGCTTATCAATTTTATTGCAAAAACTGTTGAAGAAATTGTTGTAAAAGGTTGTATGGTATATTAAAAAGGGCATGGAATATTTTTAAATAGTTATTTTGGGCTTTTACAGCAGTTTTTTATCGGGCAGCTCGCGCCCGGGCATATGAATTTTATTGTAAAAACTGTTGAAGAAATAGTTGTAAAAGTCAGTTGTAAAAAGCGGTATGATGCATTAAAAAGGAAGTAGAATATTTTTAAATCATTATTTTGAACTTTTACAGCAGTTTTAACTTGGCAGCTCGCGCCATGGCATTTTTTTTAAAACTTGGAATTTTGTAAAAAAATTGTTGAGAATGGTGTAAACTGAAGTAAAGCTGATAATAAAAACGTGTAATTAATGTAAATTCAATTTCAGAAGGCCCTCTCGTGCAGCTCACCGCATATTACACATCATCAAACTTACCCTCCTATTTATGTTTATATTATTATATATATTGTAATGATCTCCATCTTAAAGCCCTTAAACACACTTGTAATTTATTTGTCGTTGATAAACCCATGTTATTTTATGATTTGGTCTACTGTAACAGTGGTTTTTCCCACTTATTCAAGTATTTTTATGGCTTGGCAATTTGGATGGCCGGTGTAATTTTTATTTTGCCGTTGTTCAGGAAGGTACGGATAAGAACTGAGGTTGTATTTGACTGAAATGTGGTAATAGAAAGGTTGGAATACGGTAGTTTTACTTTAATTTGGAGAGAGAAAAGCTCAAAATGCAGACGAATCCGAAGAAAAAGACGCAGGTGAGTGGATTCTGAGCGTTTTTTTGGGGTTTGAAATAGCGTGGCGGACCTGAAAAAAAAATAAAAATTCAAAATGGATTTATAAAAATCCAGAATAATGTTGTAAAATAGTCAGGATGCTGGCTAAATGCCAGATTTTTTTGCCAAAAACGTCAGCCAAACGTTTAGAACACCTTATAATTCAAAAAAAATGTCGTTAATCGTAAACGAGACAACCCTTGGACGCCTTTTTTGACTCCCACATTTTTGTGGTGTGAACAAAAAATTCAAAATGGATTTCTGAAAAACGAAAGTAATGTTGTAAAATAATCTACGGGAATATTTTACAACATTACTTTGGATTTCACAAGGAAAGTACTTCTATGGGGTATGGAGTTACAGGTCGACATATATATATCAAAAAATTCGCAAAATTTTTCTGATTCAGAATGTGTAAAAATTAGCTGCCTAATTTTGGTTTGTAAGGGTGAAAAAATCCTCAGAACTTTTCTCGCAACACCACGCAAATGCCTTTTTGACCAAGTTTTTACCAAATCAAATGCTTGTTTTTGCGCTAAAGTAAACTCTTGTATCTTGACAAGCCTTAAAATATCAATATTTTAATATTAAATTTTAAGGCTTGTCAAGCTGCCAGAGTTTAGTTTAGCTCTAAAAAAAGCTTTTGAATTGGTAAAAACTTGGTCAAAAAGGCATTTGCGTGGTGTTCCGAGAAAAGTTCTGAGGATTTTTTACCCTTACAAACCAAAATTAGGCAGCTAATTTTTATATATTCTGAATCAGAAAATTTTTGCGAATTTTTTGATATAAGACCTGTGACTTCATACCCCATAGAACTACTTTCCTTGTCAGAAATTTATTTTGAATTTTTTGGTCCTACCACGAAAATGTGAAAGTCATAGAAAGCTTTCGAAGATTGTCTGGTTTACGATTGATGGTATTGTTTTTGAACTACAGGGTGTTCTAAAAAGTTTGGCCGTCGTTTTCGACAAAAAAATTGGGTCCCGCCACGAAAACTTGATTTTCCGAAGAAACGTAAAAAATAGCCTGAAAAGGAATAAATTGGCGTGTCAAATAGTAGTAGAACCGTGACCTTAACTTTTCAGATCTCCTTTATCATCCGCGATGAAGTGGAGTACCGTCACCGTTCGTTCGTCAACTGCCTCGCCTTCGACCCGTTGGAGGAGTCGCTGTACAGCGGCGGCAGCGACATGATCATCCGCAAATGGGACGCCACCTCCGACGCGAAGCCACGCGGCGCCTCCCAACGACATCTCATGTCCATGGAGCATCACTACGACTGGGTGAACGACCTGGTTTTGTGCTCCAATCCGACTTACTGTAAGGTGGTTTACTATAATATTTTGGTGATTTTATAGGTTGAAGTGGACGATGGGAAGTTGATTTTAGTGATTTGGGATGTGTTTGGGTGTAGGTTTGATTTTCGGATGGGAAAATAGCGATTTCTTGAATTTTCAGGTTTTCGTGTCGGGACCTAAAAATGTTAAATTTGGTGATTTTAAAGGCAAAATTAATCAAAATAATAAAGCATAAGTGTAAAAAGCAATAAAGAAATTTGTTAGAATCGAAATAGAGACCTATTTTGAGATTTCAAGTTTTCGCTGCGAGACCCAAAACTTGAAATTTTTTGTTCTTTGTTGTAAAATTATGTTGGAAAAAGGGTTTAGTTATCTATCAAAAAGGCCAGAGGGAAAAAACAAAGAAATTTTGACTAGCTGTCTTACTGTAACATCTCGATTTAGTGATCTCGGCTTCCTCCGACACCACAGTCAAAGTCTGGAACACAAAGAAAGGCTTTTGCATGTCAACGCTGAGGACGCATAAGGTAGGATTTTTACATGATTTTCAAAAAAAATTTCTCCGATTTCAGGACTGTGTACGGTGTTTGGCCTACTGCTCGCAAGGGACGGAAATGATCGCCAGCGCCGGCTTGGACCGATGTATTTACTTGTGGGATGTGAACACACTCACCAAATTGACCGCAATCAACAATACAGTCACCAGTAAGTCGAGGTTTTTGTTTTCGGAGTGGTTTGGAGGTTGAAACAGAATGCCAAAATTTCGTGGTGGGACCAAAAAATGCGGAATTTTGATTGTGGACGGTCGAATGGGCAATTTGGATTATATTTTGTCAATTTTTGTGATTTTCTGGGCTTTAGGGACAATTTAACAGAATGCCAAGGTTTCGTTGCGGGACCCAAAAGTGGTAAGAAAGCCCGATATTTGAAATGGGGATGTCAGAATAGGATGATCGTATCTTATATTTTTCGATTTTTATGATTTTTTGGCAGTATTTAGGGGAACTGAAACGGAATGCCAAAATTTCGTTGCGGGACTCAAACGAAAAATTCAAATAAAAGAATCATGAAAAAGTGTTTTAGTGGTGAAATACACACTGCATAAAGTGAGTTATTCATTTTTTCAGCTTCCTCTCTGCATGGCAGCAAGAACAGCATCTATTCGATAGCGATGAACCCGGACGGGAAGGTCGTGGTGGCCGGCTCCACCGAAAACGTTCTCCGAATCTGGGACCCGCGCACCTGCAAGAAAATCTGCAAACTCAGGGGACACACCGACAATGTCAGGGCAATTCAGATGAATCGCGATGGAACTCAGGTAGAAATTTGCTGGATTTTTGAGTTACTGGTATAGTACTTGAGAAAAGTTGATGTTACAGTAACCCCAGATTGGTTTTTGTTGAAATACCGATTTTTTTGAGTGTGGAGAGGCATTAGAATTCCTTTTATATTGTTTTTCGAGGATATTAGGACTATTTTTATGTTTTTGACTAAGTGTCACAAAAATTATTGGATTTTTTGAAAGCTTGTTTTTGCTCATAAAAATGAGTTGAGATTGGTTTGGTGGTTTTTAAAACGTATTTTATGCGACTTTTCGATAGTTTGATTTAGGACGAAGTGTCAAATTTTTTGACTTTTGGTTGACTTTTGGAGATTTTTATACTTTTTGTGGTGTAAAGTGTGGTTTTAGATGATTTTTTTTTCCTATTACTTACCACCCTAAAATACGGATTTCAGTGCCTTAGTGCAAGCAGCGACGGAACGATCCGTTTGTGGAGCATTGGCCAGCAACGATGTATTGGTGTCATAACCTGTCATTCCGACAGTGTCTGGGCCTTACAGACGGACTCCAACTTCTCGTTTGTGCTCAGCGGCAGTCGTGATCGAAGTTGCTGCAGAACTTTTATGAATGATCTCAATTCGTCCGAAGTCTTGTTTCAGGAAGACTCGCCGATTCAAAGGGTAAGAAAATAGGATTTTTTTGCTGTGAAAATGATGCATTTGGGCGAATGAGGAGCATTAAACTTGTATGAACTTATTTTCTGGGTGTTATGGGACGTTTTTTGAAAGATTGGACGAAATGTCACAAAATTTATTGGTTTTGACATTTCGTCATAGGAAATTGTAACGAGGAAGAAAATGGTTTTTCAATGCAATAGGAGTGGTTTTTTTAAAAATACGGCGATTTGCTAACATTAAAAAATAATTTGACGAAATGTCACAAAGTTTATTGATTTTGACATTTCGTCGTATTATTCCCAGAAAAAGGTAAGAATGTAATTGTTAGATGCCCATTGATTGATTTTTTTGTTTTACCGAGGTTTTCCTGGGGTTTATAACAACTTTGACGGAATGCCACAAAATTTATTGATTTTTTTATTTGTCATTCCAGCTCCAAACCAATGATTCGGACCGCCCCACGCATGTCTGGACAACGACTTGGTCCTCGAACATCAATCGATGGCCCCTGAAACGGCAGGAGTCCTTCGACTACGGCAACGACATTCCAATTACCTTCCAACAGCCGGATATTATTCTAGAAGGCGCCCCTTCAATTCGACAACATGCCGTCCTAAATGACAGGAGACATGTTGTAACGAGGGACACGGAAAACAACATCCATATATGGGATATTCTGCAAGGGAAGAAGATCTCAAACGAGGGGAAAAGAAATATGGAGGATGTGATCAAGGAGAACTTCAAAAAAGTCTTTGTTCCCTCCTGGTTCTCGGTGAATGTGAAAAGCGGAGTAAGAAATAAAAAAATAGTGTATGGTAAAGTGAAATCGACCAAAAAAATGGTCGATTTCGGTCATTTTCGAACGTTTTGAAAAAAATAATGTTTTTTATACATAAAATTAAATTTATGGGGATTCGAAGCCGAGAAATTTGGTTGAAATTTGGCATAGATGTTGAGTAAAGGTCACATGTCAATTCCTGAAAGTTTTAGCTCGCGCTTTGCAAACACAGCTGAGATATGAAACAATCTTTGCTGCCGAGAGAGCATGAGAAATGAGGAAACGGTCAGAGAAAAATTTCTTTTTTTGTCTATATCTTTGTGAATTATGCACAGAAAAATTTTATTTTTTGTAGAAAGGGTGTAATCTGTGTGATGATAAGAATGCGAAATTTTCATTTTGAAAATCGAAATATTTTTTTTTTTGAATTTTTGCGATTGAAAATTCAAAAAAAAAATTTTTCCAAAATGAAAATTTCGTGTTCTTATCACCACATTGATTACACTCTTTCTACAAAAAATGAAATTTTTTCGTGTATAATTCACAAAGATATATATAAAAGACATTTTTTCTCTGACTGTTTCCTCATTTCTCATAGTCTCTCGGCTGCAAAGATCGTTTCATATCTCGGCTGTGCTTGCAAAGCGCTAGCTAAAATTTTCAGCAATTGACATGTGACCTTCACTGAACATCTGTGCCAAATTTCAGGAAAATTGGATCGTTGAATCTTGAGCAACGATCAAAACTTTGATTTTTTTCCGTTTTTTCGAGAATTTTTTCGGATTTTTAAATTTTTCGAAAAAATTTTGCAAAAATTATTGACTAATTTGTCTATTTCTAGCTCTTGGAGATCACACTCGACGAATCCGACGTGTTTTCGGCGTGGGTTTCGGCGAAGGAAGCGTCAGATCGGAACGAAGAAACGGAAAGCAAGCCATTGGCGAATTTTGGTGGATTACTGCTGCGATCTCTCTTCGAATTGTGGCCATATTCCTTCCAAGACGATGAAATCGAATCCCCTTTGCATGGATACTTCCATTTCCCAAAACATATCCCAATTTTGATATGGTAAGGGGGGATTTTTGGAATTTTTTGGGGAAAAACGCCATTTTTTGGAGTTTGACTCGAAATTCGGGGAAATCAATAAAATTTTTGGTAGAAATCACCTTTTTAGGAACTACACCGAAGATTCCGGCCGCCCAATCTTCCGCACCACCGTCAAAGACACGGCCAATCCGACCGAGAGCGCCATGTTGAGAGATCATCTCCCGCAGTGGGTCCTGGACGTGGTGGAACACAATCAGTTCCCAAAATTCAACAAAATGCCATTCGTCCTCCAACCACACCCGAGTTATGTCTCAAAGGCCTTCAAACGGTAAGATTTGAAATTTGGACGAAATGTCACAAAAATTATTGGGGTTGGAATTTCGTTATTTTAGTAGAAAGGGGGTTGAAAGGGTCAAGGAAGAGTTTTCAGTGACCTTCTGACATTTGGAATAAATATTTAGAAGATTTTTCGGCTAAAAAGGGTAATTGGACGAAATGTCACAAAAATTAATGGGTTTGGCATTCCGTTATTTTGGGAGAAAAGTGGTTGAATTGACAAGGAAAGTATTTTCAGTTGGTTCCTAGTAGTTTGAGTCAAAATTTTACAAGATATTTTGGCTAAAAGGAGCAATTGGACGAAATGTCACAAAAATTATTGATTTTTAAAACTTTCATTTTAGCTTGAAATAGATAGAAATTCTTTCTAAGATTGATTACGGACTGATTTAGTCTTCATGCAAGCCTTTTTATGGAAGAAATGTGAAATTGTACGAAATGTCAAAAAAATTATTGATTTTTAAAACTTCCATTTTAGCTTGAAATAGGTAGAAATTCTTTTTAAAATTGATTACGGACTGATTTAGTCTTCATCCCAGCCCTTTTTTGGACGAAATGTCACATCGTACGAAATGTCAAAAAAATTATTGGTTTTTTAGAAACTTTTTCAAATCGCTTTCAGAGACCGCCTAAGCGCCACGGAGATGCTACAGATCCGGAAAGTGATGGAACACGTGTACGAGAAGATCCTATCGCCTCAGGACCAAAACTCGGAGCCCAACGACTCGGCCCATTCCTCGAACTCGAATCACGACAAATCCGGCTATTTCACGACGCCGATTCCGAAGAACATCGAAGACAAGGTGGAATTGTACTGCAACGACCAGAAATTGGAGCCCGACATGGATCTGCGTACCGTGAAACACTTTATTTGGAAGCAGTCGGCCGACCTGCTAATACATTATAAGCCGATTAAGTAGGAACTGATGGTCTTGTTGGTCCAACGACAGTGTAAAAATAATGCGAATAGGGTCTAAGAGTAATTTATGGTCTTTTCGGGACCGAAGCTGTCTAATTTATATGCTAAATTTAAGATTATATTATACTAGGTGAGGTCTAAAACCAATCTAATTTTCCGCCATTTTTTCTCAGTTTTCATGTGATATTCGAATAGAACTTGTAAATACAATCCATACAGAGTAAAATGAGATCAATAACACGGATGAAAAGGTTTATTTTTCTCATCCATTTAGCCCATAAAAGCCATGGCCACGAATCCAATGCCGGCCAGTCCGAAAAGCGCCGTCATCACTCCGCTGGCCACCAAACAACACTTGCCTTGAGGGCGACGCACCTTCTTCTTCTTACCCGCACCGGCGCGGACGGCTGAAAATGAGAAATTAGAGGGAAATTTTGGGTTTTGATAGGAAATATGGGAAATTTTGAGATTTTTGGTGGTTTTAGGGAAAAAAGTGGATTTTTAGAGTGTGAAAAAGGGATTGAAAGGTGTGAAATGTGGATTACAAGAAGTGAGAGATAATACTACAGTCTGTAACTCATTTTTTGTCATGATTTTTTACTCGAAAAATGTGATTTTTTGACAATTTTTTTGTAAATTTTTTTGAAAAAAATTTAAAAAAAAATGAAAGTAAAAATCACATAGTAAATATTTCTACTCACGTTTGGCACCCATGTTGAGGTTTTTGTCCTTTTTCGCCGGCTTTTTGGCCACCATCTTCAGCGCGGTTTGGAGGCGAAACTCGGATTCGAAACGACCGGTCGAGAACTTTCAAGTTCTGATGAAATAATGGGGAATCGCAAAAAATTTTAATACCTTTTCATTTTGAAAATTATTTATCCATTTTTGAAAAAAACGAATTTTGAATTTCTTCGAATTTTTGGTTGGCAGCCTGCGCCCTAGGAACTTGTTCAGAAATTGGGGTTTTCATACATTGAAAAGTGTGGAATGTAGTTGTTTAAAGATTTGAACGACATTAAATTATGAAAATCGATTTTTTCTTCCAATTTTTGATGATTTTCGAAAACGGCGAGCTGCGCCCTAGCTTGATCTAGAACAATTGTTCCAATCACCCCAAAATTTTTTTTCTCTTATAAATATGACCTTTTGAGACTATAGATCTGTAAAATTGCAAATATTCAATCAAAATTGAATTATTTTTTGATGGCAGGCTGCGCCCTAGCTTGAGCTAGAACAGCTGTCAAATGACCCCAAGATTTTTTTCTCTTATAAATATGACCTTTTGAGACTATAAATCCACAAAATTGCAAAATATTCCACTAAAATTCAATTACTTTTTTTGGCAGGCTGCGCCCTAGCTTGAGCAAAAAATCATCAAAAACCACAGTAATTTTACTCTGGAACGATCTGAAAATTGTCGTCCACCCAAAAATTACCCAAATTACTTTTTTTACGACTAAACAAAAGTACAAATTCAAGTTAACATCGATTTTTAATACCGAGATCTAGTACAATGTAATAATTTATGGAATAACAAGGTGGAAACTCGAAGTTTGATGCCAAAACGTATAATAACTATTCTAAACACAATAAATCAAACAATCGAGGCTTTGTCAAGCTCTGACTTTACTTCTATTAAATGATTTTAATCTTCTTTCGCCTGTTTCTGCTGGGGCTCTGATTCGGAAGTGCTGGCTGAAGCCGTGGGGTCTTCCACAGTTTCTGGGGCCTTTCTCTTTAGTGGGCGATCTGCTGGTGGGGCCTCGAACGACTGGGCAGGCTGTTCCGCGGCTTTTTTGGGCTAAAATTCGAAGAAATAAAAAAAAATTTTTTTGAAAAAAAATTTCAAAAAAATTCGCAAAAATAATGCCCTCAATCTAAAAAATGCCTTTTACAGCAATATTCAGCCTATTTCAGCTTCAAATCCCCCAATAACCTAAGATTTTCAACAAAAATTTTTGAAAATTCTCCGATTTTTAAAAAAATTCCTAAAAATTCCGAGAAAAAATCGGTCAAATACCCCCTCAAATCCAAGTATAATAATTTCTGTGCCATCTACAGTGCCTAAAACTACTCAAAATTCCAAAATAATTTCAAAAATTTCCAAAAACTTCAAAATCCCTCAATTTTTTCAAAATTTCCGTAAATTTCTTTCAAAAAAATCGGTAAAAGATCTCTCAAATTTGATTCATAACCCATCTACTCTCCTCTACTTGCCCTGGGACTCCCATAAATTTCAAGAATCATTCAAAAATTCAACAAAAATCGCAAAATTTACTAAATTTCTCAAATTTTCCGCTCAAATGTCTAAAACAATATCCAAAACCCCCAAAAAGCCTCTCCAAAAACCTCCACACTCTTTCTCCTACCTTGGGGACGCTTTGTTGGTTTTTCTGGCTTAATGCTTGCGCCTTTTCCGGGGCCACTTCACCCAAAACTTTCTCCGCTTCGCCGTACCATTGGCGGTAGCGGAGGGCTAATGCTTTGAAGGATGAATTGTTCGCCTTCAACGTTTTGATGTCTTCCTGCAGTTTCTGCATGTCCTGTTGAGTTGCAGCCAGCTCTTCGGCCTTGTTGTTTAGCTTGTTTTGATACTCTTGGATCTCAACCTGAAAATTGGAATTTTTAGTCAAAAAATTGAAAAAAATGAGTGAAAATAATCCAAAACCTCGACAAAAACTTTTTTTAAAACCACGTTAAAGTTCAACAACCCCTCTGAAATATCTAAAAACCACTTTTCAACACATTTTTTTCTAAAAAACAACATAAAAATTTCCAAAAAATCATCGAAAATCCAAAAAATTTCACGAGGAAAGTACTTCCAAGGGGTATGGAGTTACAGGTCGAGACATACATCAAAAAAACCGCAAAATTTTTCTGATTCAGAATATGTAAAAATTAGCTGCCCAATTTTGGTTTGTAAGTGAGAAAAAACCCTCAGAACTTCTCGCAACACCACGCAAAAGTCAAGTTCCGATTGATTTTTCACCCTTACAAACCAAAATTGGGCAGCTAATTTTTACATGTTCTGAATCAGAAAAATTTTGCGACTTATTTGATATATGTCTCGACCTGTAACTCCATACCCCATAGAAGTGCTTTCCTTGTGAAATTTTTTGGATTTTTGACGATTTTTTGGAAATTTTTACGTTGTTTTTTTAGAAAAAATGTGTCGAAAAGTAGTCTTTAGATATTACAGAAGGGTAGTTGAACTTTAATGTGGCTTTAAAAAAGGGGTTTTCTCGGTATTTATACCCTCTATCACCCATAGAACAACATACAGTTTCTAAAATCCTCCAAATTCCATATAAAATTTCCCAAAAATCAATTTAAACCGCCAAAAACCCCAAAAAAAAATAAAAATCAAAAAAAAAAAACAAAATAAAAAAAATAAATAAAAAAAATCAAAAAACCCCAAAAAATTTCTCCTTACCCTCAGGTCATTTATCTGCCCATTCATTCTGGAGACGGTTGCTTGTGCGTCCTGTTGTTTTTTCGCGCATTGGAGATGTTCCTGTTTCACTTGGACGAGCTGCGCCTGAATTCTGGAGGCGTCTTCTTGGGCGCCGGCCAGCCTCTGTTCCAGCGCGGAGAACTCGTTCTTCAGCAGCTGATATTGCTGCTCCACGTCTTTTAGTCTCTCTAATTGAACGATTTTCGCCAATCTTTCGGCTAGTTCTTTTTCTTGATTCTGAAATCAAAATTTGAACTTTTTTTTTGGAAAATTTCGATTTTTTTGGTCTTGAGACGAAAACATGTGAATAAAAAAACAGCAAAATTTAATTTACAAGGTACGAAATGGCTTTATCAACTTTTTAAACCGTCTACTTCCGCTTCTTTTTTCCTTCAAAAATATCGTTCTCCGGTCCCGCCACGAAAACCTTCAAGGTTCTAATTTGCTTCTAAATTGCTCTAGACGTTGTTCTTAGCCTTTCTATAGCCTTATAATAAGTTTCTACACTAATCGCAGCATAAAATTGTCCTATCTTCACCTTCATCATCAACCTTCTCAGGTACCACCACGAAAACCTTCAAGGCTCAAATGCTTCAGTAAAACCCCCAATACAGCATTGATAACCTCTCAACAGCATCATAAATCGTTCTTTACCCCAGCTACCACATTAAATTACCTTATCTTCACCTTCATCATCAACCTTCTCAGGTCCCACCACGAAAACTTTCAAAATTCTAATTTTGCTTCTAAATCCCTCTAGCCATTGTTCTATCCTTTCTACAGCGTTTATAATAAGTTTTCACACTTATTAAAGTATAAAATTACCTTATCTTCCTCTTCACCATCAACCTTCCCAGGTCCCACCACGAAAACCTTCAAAGTTCTAATTTTGCTTCTAAATCGCCCTAGACATTATTCTTAGCGTCTACACAGCCTTTATAATAAGTTTTTGTACTTATTACAACACAAAATTACCCTATCTTCCTCTTCACCATCACCCTTCTCAGGTCCCACCACGAAAACTTTCAATACTCAAATTCTCATGTCAAATCCCTCTAGACAGCACTGTTAATCTCTAAGTTCCATTCTACCCCCACACTAAATTAAATTACACTCCTTTTCATCAAAAAATTATATTATCCTTGCTTACCTCCAGTTTCAGGTTCAATTTATTCGTGATTTCGGCGTGTTTTTGTAGGCTAATCGTCTTTTCGGCGGTTCCACCAATCGACAAACGGCTTCTTCGCCGCGAAAAGCTCTCATCCTCGGACGAGTTCAGCTTCTCGTACATTTGATCCAAGTTTTTGGTGGCCTGATCGTAGAAGGATTGGTCGAGGGACTGACTCTCATTCCTCAGGCGTTCCGCCTCGGCCAGATCTTGTTTCAGGGAGGCAATTACGGCTTCCTGTTCCTTGGAGCTCTCCGCCGAGGCTTGTTTTTGCTCTTCAATTGCTTGTTTCAGTTCCAAATTCTCCTTGTTCACGGCGTCCAGCTCGGTTTGGACGTTCTGGAGTTGCTGACTGGCCGAGTCAAGGCTCAATTTTAATGTCGCAATCTCCGTGTCCTTCTGAAAACATCCGATTAGTTTTTTATCAACCAAAATTTCAATGTTGCGGCTCAAAAACAGAATGCCAAAATTTCGCGTTGGGACCCAAATTACAGTAAGCCATGAACCAAAAATTCTTCAAATTGCATAAAATCGCTTCTTTTACCTTCATTCGACCCAAACTTTCAATAGCCATCACATTTTTTAACCTAAAACACAATGCCAAAATTTCGTGTTGGGACCCAAATTACAGTAACCTATTAACGAAAAATTCTTCAAATTGCATAAAATCGCTTCTTTTACCTTCATTCGACCCAAACTTTCAATAGCCATCACATTTTTTAACCTAAAACACAATGCCAAAATTTCGTTTTGGGACAAAAAATACCGTAACCTGCATTGCAAAAAAATGTCAAAAATACTCTGAACATCCTCAGGCAGACAAATTCGAGCGTAATTTTCAATTTCCACTCCATTTATCAACCTAAAACACAATGCCAAACCATCGTTTCAAGACCCAAATTACAGTATTCAAACCGTCAAAAAATACTACAAAGGTTCATTGGCACTCCTATTTGACCCAATCATCACGTTTCATCCATATCCCGTCTTCCAAAACACAATGCCAAGCATTCGTTTCAAGACCCACCTACCGTAACACAAATTCAAAAATCAAATCTTCCACTTACAATTCCCATGACATCCGACGTTTCCACAAACCGAGTCGTGAGGTCTTGAAGGGTGTCGCTGGCGGTGTTGAGTTGTGTTTCCAGGCTCGACTTTTGTTCCTCGAGTTGGGCCAATTTTTGTTGATACTCCGAGACCAGCTGCTGGGTTCGTTGCTGCTCCTGGATCAGCTGTTCTTCTTTTTGCTGTTTCTCTTCGATCAATTGGGCGTTTTGGGATTCACTGAAATTTACAAAAATGTAAAATTCAAATAATTTTTTTTGGCAAGCTGCGGCCTAGACTTTAATAAAACTCGAGAATTTAGCTCAAAACTTCACAACAACGTTTCCAAACATCTCCTTACGGCATAAAACCCACCAAAAAACATTAAAAATTCCGCAGGCTGCGCACAGGACAAATTTATTTTTGGCAAGTTGCGCCCTAGGCTTTAATAAAACTCGAGAATTTAGCTCAAAACTTCACAACAACGTTTCCAAACATCTCCTTACGGCATAAAACCCACCAAAAAACATTAAAAATTCCGCAGGCTGCGCCCAGGAAAAATTTATTTCTGCGAGCTGCGCCCTGGAGCAGGGACAAAAATTAAAAAATTATTTAGCTCAACCAAAAAGCATGTCAATCGTCTAAAACTTCATAAATTTTCATATTTCAACATTCCTATATCCCCGCGAGCTGCGCCCCAGCCATTTCCAAAATCCGCGACCTGCGCCCTTACATGTTCTGGACCATGGTGTGGAAGTTCTTTTCGATGTCGTCGCGTTGCACCTTCTCCTCCTGGAGCTTCAGTTCCTTCTCTTTGAGGGACTTTTCGAAGATTTCGGCCGCATTCTTCACGTTCTCGTACCGCTCGTCCGCCACCTTCACCTGGGCCTTCAGCTCGTCGATGATGGCGTTCTTTTCGATCGTTTGTTTCTCGTAGTAGATGATCTTGTTGCGCAGGTGTTGGTTTTCTTTTCGGCAGGAGTCGGGGTCGGCGTCGGTGGAGTCAATGTCCGTGAGTTGTTTGTTCAACTGGTTGTACTTGTACTCCAGCTCGGAATGGACGTTCTTGAGGATCTGAAGAGAGCAATTTTAAGCTTCGAAAACCACTCATTTGTACAATTTTCAAAAAAAAACTTTTTAAAAATTTCGGTTTTTGGTCTCAACACGAAAACCTTCAAACAAAAAAAGAATAAACTAAAACCGTTATAAGCGTCTCCAAATCAACTTTAGTTCACTTATGCCACCGCTTCCCTCAAAAAAATCCCAAAAAAAACGTCTTTTCGGGTCCCGCCACGAAAACTTTCAAGGTCTCCAAAACGTCGCAAAATCATCTAAATTTACAGCCAATCGTTTAGAAACTTCACCAAAACCAATTTTTCCCCGCTTATCCTACCGCTTCCCTCAAAAAATCCCAAAAAAACTTCTATTTCAGGTCCCGCCACGAAAACTTTCAAGGTCCCAAAACGCCGCAAAATCGTCTAAATTTACTGCCCATCGGTTAGAAACTTCCCCAAGATCGATTTTACTCCACTTATCCTTCCTCTTCTTTCAAAAAAATCCCAAAACAATTTTTTCCCGGGTCCCGCCACGAAAACTTTCAAGGCCTCCAAAACGTCGCAAAATCGTCCAAACTCCCCAAAAATAAAATTTACTCCACTTATCTTTCATCTTCCCTCAAAAAATCCCAATAAAACTTCCTTTCCCGGGTCCCGCCACGAAAACTTTCAAGGTCTCCAAAACGCCGCAAAATCGTCTAAATTTACTGCCAATCGTATAGAAACTTCCCCAAGATCCATTTTACTCCACTTATCATACCGCTTCCCTCAAAAAAATCCCAAAACAATTTCTTTTCCGGGTCCCGCCACGAAAACCTTCGAAGTCTCCAAAACGCCGCAAAATCGTTCAAATTTACTGCCAATCATTTAGAAACTTCCCCAAGATCCATTTTTACTCCACTTCTTCATCCCTTCCCTCCAAAAAATCCCAAAACAAATCTCCTTTACAGGTCCCGCAACGAACCCCTTCCATACCTCCAAATCCTGTTCGGCCTGGGTGCAGCGGGCGCGGAATCGTTCGCTAGACAATTTCGCATCCCTCAGTGCTGTTTTCAGCGCATCCACGCCGCTCATTTGATGGTTTTGAAGGCTGGACACGAGCTGATTCAGCGTGTCCCGTTCTTTCCGGCAATTGTCCAATTCCGCTTGCGTTAGGTGGAGTTGTTCGGCGTTGATCTGGGAGTAGGCCGAGCGGAACTCGGTGAGGGCGTTCAGTACGACATTGGTGACGGTCTGGTTGTCCGAGAGCGAGTTGCAGCGGGCGCGGAGGTCGGCGGAATCTCGCTGAATTTGACTCAATTCCAGTTCGAGTGACTTTTTCTCGGCTCTAAAATTGATCAAAATTTATGATAGATCCCTTTACACGTTATTTTCTCTCCCATCAGTCCTTATTTAACCCAAAATTCGTCTCAAAACATCCAAAAACATCAAAATGTTACCTAAAATAAGGTAATTTTCTTTAAAATCTAAATTTTATCTCAATTTTTAAACTCAAAATATCAAATTTTTGCTCTAATCTAACATAAAAATCAATTCTACACCTTCCCCAACCCTTCCATCCTCCAATATCACCCAATTTCTCACCTCAATCGATCATTTTCCACCTTCACCTCCTGAAGTTGCGAATTCAACAAATTGATTTGATTTTTCAACCCTTCCGTCGTTCCCTTCAGCTTCGTATGGTCGTCCTTGATTTTTCTGTTCGTTTTGTCCAACTCTTGCAGTTGGGACTGCATTTTTTCGGTCGCTTCTTCATGACTTTGCACTTTCAGTTCCAAGCTGTCTTTAGTTGAATATAACTGGGCGATTAACTCGTTTTTCTGGCTGATTATGTTGTTTTGGTTCCTGAAATTCAATGTATCATTCATTTTTTTTAACTTCTAGGTGAATTTTAACGTTTGGGCAGAATGCCAATTTTCGTTGTAGGACCCAAAAATTTTACCGCAGTCTGTAAAAAACGGTCTGTACATCTCAAAGACACTATAAAATTTCCATTCCTGGTATTCAAAATCAATCCCGAGTCATTTTAAGCTCTTTAAACACAATGCCAAATTTCGTGGCAGGACTCAAAACTTCTACCGTAATCATCCAAAAAATCTCTTTTTACACCTTCAGGACGTCAAAAAATTTCCTATACAACGATTAAAACTTGTTCCCCAGCCATTTCCAGCTCTTTGAACACAATGCCAAATTTCGTGCCAGGACTCAAAACTTATACCGTAATCTTCAAAAAACTCTCTTTTTACACCTTCAGGACATCATAAAATTTCCTATACAGCTATTCAAAAACTTTTTTCCGGTCATTTCCAGCTCTCCAAACACAATGCCAAATTTCGTGGCGGGACTCAAAACTTCTACCGTAATCCTCCAAATACAACCCCAAAATTTTCTCAAATTCTCACTGAAACTATTCAAACACATAAATAACCACCACTTACTCTTCATTCCTTTGTTTTTCCTCAATAACTTCCTTCAGCCGGTCCTTCACACTGTCCAATTCGCAATTCAATTTATGGATCTGAAGTTCGGCGTCGGCCTTAGAGTAGGAAACTCCTTTCGTTTCGCCTCTAAACTCGGCACCTGTATCCGCTCTTGTTTTATAATATTCGACGAGTTTCTGGGATTTTTGGAGTTCCTCTTTGACTGATTCGGTTTGTTTTTTGTAGGCTTCCAGCTCTTCGATGGCTTGTTCGAATTGCTCTTGGAGTTCGTTTAGGTCCGAGAGAGGGGGTTCGAGGGCTAAAATTTTGGGTTAAAATCATTTTTTAGGAATTTTTGCAAAATTTCGAAATTTAAAAAAAAAATTTATCTAAAAAAATAGCAAAAATAACTGAAAAAAATTGGATTTTGGAACGCCCAAAATAAAAAAAAACAATTTTTACCGAAAAATTTTTCAAAAATAACAAAAAAATTTCAAAATTAAAAAAATTCCAAACATTTCAAAAAAATTTTTTTAGCCAAAACTTGTTATCCTTGTTCATTTTCCAGCCTTTTCCAACTCAAAATCGCCCACAAAATCAAAAAAAAATCAAAAAAAAAATCTCAAATCCAAAAAAACTCTGAAAATTCCCAAAAAATCCCCAACCCACCCATCTGTTTCGACATGTCCTCCACTGTCTGTCTGAGCTTCAAATTATCCTCCACAATTTCCTTAAAGTGATTGAATTTTTTGGGATATTCATCATCCGAGATCAGCTCGTCAAAGGGCAAAATGGAGGAGGTGAACTGGGAGATCAGCTCGGCATTGGCTCGTTCCAACTCCTTGTTTCGTCGTTTCAGGGCCTCCAATTCGCGGGAGAGTTGGTCTACGCGGAGGGCGCGGTCATTGAGCTCCACTTCCAGCTTTTTGCAGCGCTCTTGGGCCAGATTTTCGAGGTCGGACTGGGGGCTGCGGCCGCGCATTTCACGTTGGCGGAACTCCTAAATCATTTTTAATGCATAATTCGTCATTTGGCATCTTTAAAAATTTAAATTTCCCGTAAGTTCCTCGATTTCTGATATAAGCCTGGGCGCAGCTCGGACATGCCAAAACCATGGTAAAACAAAAAAATGTCTCGCAAAACCTGTACATATCGACTAGTCAAGCGTAAATACACTGATTATTCATCGTTTTTCTACAATCGCAGCTTTTTTGCAACTCCTCGGGCGCAGCTCGCCAAATTTCAAAAACTTAGAAAACAGCCAAAAATTGTAAAAATTCTTCAAATCATCATCCATGACTTATAATTCAACCATAATTGGATTAATTTCTTCAATAATTCCCATTTTTCGGGAAAAGTCTAGGGCGCAGCCTGCCAAATTCGAAAACCTCTCTAAACATCGAAAAACAAAAAAATAAGCCGTTACCTTCAACAATTCCTGCCGTTGCCTGACATAATGCTCATTTTCGGCCTTCAATTGGTTCAATTTCTTTCTGAGATCCGCATTTTCTTCAAGTAAATTCAAGTTTCCAAGATGAAATTGCCCGCCGGGTAAGGCATTTTCGCTAGCCGCATCGGCCGTGCAATCATTAATCCGCTGAATCAGAGTGTCAATTGTGTGTTGTTTGTCGGCAATGATATCATCTAAAAAAATCGAAATTAATATCAGATGTCAAGTGTAATATAAAAATTCGAAAATTAATTGAGTAATAAGGTTCATTTAGAATCTACAAGCTATAATCTCACCTTTCTTCCTCAATTCAAAGTCGAAATCGGTGGCTTGGGCTTGAATATTGGCCTCAAGATCGGCCACCTTCTCCAAGGCTAAATCAATCTGATTCCGCATCTCATCGTACTCCTTTCGCGACAAATCAAGCTCATCCTGTGTCAATTGAAGCACTCGTTCCAAATCTTTAATTTGGCTTTCCTTCAGACTGATCTCAACATCGATTTCGGCACGTTCCTTTAGGGCTTGGGTTATCCGCTGAAACGAGCAATTTTTTGAAAGAAACGGCATCACGACGTGCCAGAAAGTCTTATGCTTCGCTATAAATACATCAAGCTTATCTTAGATTACATAATTACCCCAAACTTTCAAAAAATTTCGTCTAACCTATCAAGTGTAATATCTTATGTATCTGTGGGCTCTAGACGGCTTACAACAAGATAAAATTGAGTGAAAAACAAGCAACAAGTACACAGGAAACTTTTGAATGCACTTAAGCCGCTGCTCATTCGATCTGCTTTCCCCAAAAAGGCAATTTCGGATATTATCCATGTCCCATTAGTGGTTTATCAAAAATGGATAGAAAACAGCTTGAGATCAATAAAATTTTACAAAGATCTCGATAAAAAGTAATTGCACAACAAGCACTTCCTAATGCAACAGATTTCACAGCTTATTTCGACCAATAAACTATCAAACAACCCATCTTTATCTGACCATCTAGTGCAATATAATTGAAGCCAAATCCTAAAAACAAAACAAACAAATAACAAAATACTCACTTCGGAAGCATCCTTTTTCACTTCGGAGACCTCATTTTGCTTTTGTTGCACGAAATTCTTCAGATCTTCAATCTCCGAGAGCAAACCTTCCTTCTCGACATTGAAGAAATCCTCTTTGCCCTTAACTTGATGCTCAGCCCGCAGAACCTTCAGTTCCATGTCGTGAATGTCTTCGTTCAGCTTTCGAATGTCTTTGAGGTAGGCTTCATTCGCAATCGAGAGCTTGTCCCTCTCCAAATGCCATTGTTCTCGTTCGGCCTAAAACCTGATATCAAGAATAACAAAATTTTCTTACATGAAACTGCCGAGTTAGTGTATCCACATCCATTGTCGCTATAAAATTGCTTGATGTACAAGCAGAGGACGTGAAACTCGAAGATCTTCGCGAAATTCCAACAAAAAAGGCAAAAAAAGCGCGGCAAGTCAAGTGTTCCCCGGATTTGGGTCAAGTGTTGCTTTATGACAATTTCTCGCGGTTTTGTATGTAAAACAGGTACATAACTGCTTGAATTTGCGTTTACAGAGAACAATTATTGTCTGAGAAACTGCTTAGATCAAAAAATTTTACATTTACAAAAAAATTATATTACACATGAGATCAGATGTAAAAAAATATCAGACTGTCGGGAAAATAATGTGGATTTGTCGCAGCAAAATTTCTGGCGTTTGCCGCAGTTGCGCACCAAATTTCCAGCCGTCGCGATGTTATGATGGGCGATTTCAAGGGGCAAATCCACATTATTTTCCCGACAGACAGTCAGATCTCCTCAAAATACCAGTTTGTCGGGAAAATAATGAGCACTCTGTCGCGACAGCTGTCGCATCGAAAATGGCATCTGAAAAAATGAATTATATCGCGGCAAAATCAATTTTTTTTTCACTTCAGCGACGCGATTGGCACAATGATATCCTCATTATTTTCCCGACAGACTGATATTTCGCAAACTGCAATATTTTCTGGCTCTATTGGCTATTTTAGGCATGTTCTATTTTTATTTTAAAATAAATAAATTAATTATCTGTCGTTGAATCAGCAGTTTGTGGTGGGAGTGGTGTCGCTGCACTTCAGATACGTGATGGTGGCTGGCTTGGCGTCTCCGTTGTTTCCTCCGGCAGGCTCCAGGATCAGGAACGCCTCCTCGGACAGGTTGACGTGGTCGACGTCGCAGGCGGCGCATTCGTTGTCCACCGGGAAGGTGCCGCTGAAATATATACATATTTATATACATATACAGTAGTTGACAGCGAATTGTCAATTTTTTTATTTCGTGTGTAACTTCACTCAGACTCAACAGAATTTGATGAGACCAAGAGCGTTTAAGAGGCTGGGAGACACGCTTCAACCTTATGAAATTGTTTTATTTCATATCGGCCGCAGGCGTGGTAAAAATTTCAAAACAAATTTTTTTGGGGGACAACGAATTGTCAATTTTTACATTTTGAGGCATAAGATCTCAATAAACCAGCATATAAAGACTAGAATGGAGAGTAATCAGTTGCCAGCAATCATAGAACAGCATACAACGGGTTTCAGCCATTAGTATAATCTCCTTCGCTTTCTATAGGTCGGGCACTTGGGGGTGGACCATGTACAATATAATGTCAGCCTGGGGGCTTCCTAGGCCGAAATTATCTTATATTCCGGTTTTTTATGGAAGATTATTGCATATATTTAACACACTTGCACCGCATTACAACTTGGAGGAGCTACGGGTCAAAAATTCGTCAGATAATATTATTTTTGGTCATTTATACTCTGTGTTTCGCCCAAAAATCGATAATTTTTTTGCCGACAAGGGGCATAGGTTCATTTAATCCTCCTTTACGGCCAAACTAACGATATTCTACAAATTATTTCATTACCTGTCTCGACGCCCTGAAATTTCCGGGTGAGATTCTGACGGTCCAATTAATTCTTGGGCCACACTAGGGTGGTGAGTATATTAATCATTTTATTGCGCGTCTTCTGCGTTTTTAAACGTTAAAACTAATATTTTTAATGCTTGTAAAAATCTCTAATATGCTAATAAAATGTCTTGGAAGTTGCAGGCTTGAAGAAATAAGAATTTTTCTGGGTGTTGCAAACCCGACGTGAAAATTCATGTAAATCCAAATATTTCCCTCTGCATACCTCTTGCATGAGTGCTGGTACTGACATGTGAAAGGCACTGAATATTTGACTTTTAGTGTAGTTTGTTTTCAAATATAGAAGGTTTCTCTAACGATCTTCATGCGCGACATTTTTTGATTTTGATACTCTGACCAACAGTATGAAAGGCCATGATTAACATATTCGAGGTAACAAGGCGCAAGTGTAACCCGTTAGGTGTAATTTTTTGACTTGCCCTAGCGTAGTAAGATGTAACCGCCCATAAAAAACCGGAATATAAGATAATTTCGGCCTAGGAAGCCCCCAGGCTGACATTATATTGTACATGGTCCACCCCCAAGTGCCCGACCTATAGAAAGCGAAGGAGATTATACTAATGGCTGAAACCCGTTGTATGCTGTTCTATGATTGCTGGCAACTGATTACTCTCCATTCTAGTCTTTATATGCTGGTTTATTGAGATCTTATGCCTCAAAATGTAAAAATTGACAATTCGTTGTCCCCCAAAAAAATTTGTTTTGAAATTTTTACCACGCCTGTGGCCGATATGAAATAAAACAATTTCATAAGGTTGAAGCGTGTCTCCCAGCCTCTTAAACGCTCTTGGTCTCATCAAATTCTGTTGAGTCTGAGTGAAGTTACACACGAAATAAAAAAATTGACAATTCGCTGTCAACTACTGTACATAGGTTAGGAAAAAATCTAATGGCGAAAGATGTACAATTTTGCATCCGGGAAGTATCAAAAATGTGGCAAAAGGCTTCCTTCTTCAAGTGAAAAAAACTCAGATTTCAAAAGCGCGCCCGCTCTTTTTTTGTGGCGCGTCAAAACGAAGTTTTTTCACTTGGAGAGGGAAGCATTTTGCCACATAAACTTGGCACAGACTCAGGTTAAATTTTTTTAACATATGCGATCCTGGCGCAGAGATACAATAGGGTCCTGATCCAGTGGCAAAAAAGTACCATTTTGCATCCGGGAAGTATCAAAAATGTGGCAAAATGCTTCCCTCTCCAACTAAAAAAAAACTTCGTTTTGAAGGGCTCTTTTCCTCACAAAAAGAAATCGCTTTTGAAATTTGAGTTTTTTTTCACTTGAAAAGGGAAGCATTTTGCCACATTTTTTGACACTTCCCGGATGCAAAATGGTACGTTTTTTGCCACCGGTAAGTATCAAAAATGTGGCAAAATGCCTTGAAAACAAAATTTTTTTCACTTGAAAAGGTGTTGCGGGCAGATATAAATCATCTCTCCCGCCGTCGGGAGAGAAAGAGAATCTCGCCCTAGATCTTTAGTCGGGGTTTGTTCTAGGCCTTGGGTGCGGACGCGCACCCTTGGAGTCTCCTCAATAAACTTAAAATGGAATATGATATCGGCATATATTGAGCTAATTAATATTGCGCTACTAGAACCAACGGGTCAACATCACCCGCTACAAATGGAGGTCCCTAGTGAGAGTAGCCTTTTAGCTCGGTATTTGTCGATATTCGTTCCTGTATTTTCTATCTATTCTTGTTCTGTATGGTCACTACTATTAGAAATTGATGTGAATTTCTGCGTACCTCAAATATTACCCTACGTTCAACGAAAACCGGAGACAAATGATGAAATGGAGCGACCCAAGGAAGAGGCAACGACTCCCCCGGTAAATTTTAAAATGATGGTGAATATATGAAAAACGATGTCTACATCACGAGGACGCGATGTCTCTTTTTGGTTGGGAGAGACCAGCACTGCAATGGAGAGTGCCGAAGATGCGCCAAGAGCAAGCGCAAGTGACCAAATCAAGAACAAGACCGATGGCCAAGTATAGGAGACGAATATGAAGTTAATCAGACAGTGAGATTCTTATTATATTTTGTTTTAACCCGACTCAATTCCATTCTGATTGAAAGTCTTTTAAGATCAAGTATCCCTCCGTTAAGGAACCATAATATAATAACATGTTTCTCTAGGTATTTCTGAGATTGTGTTTAAACTAACAGATGTAAAATTTTGCCCCTCAGATTGTATGTCTTTAGGGTGAAAAAATGTTAAGTAAGACGACGAGGGCGTCGTGTCTTTTTGGTTGGGAGGATGTTGCGGGCAGATATCAATCATCTCTCCCGCCGTCGGGAGAGAAAGAGAATCTCGCCCTAGATCTTTAGTCGGGGTTTGTTCTAGGCCTTGGGTGCGGACGCGCACCCTTGGAGTCTCCTCAATAAACTTAAAATGGAATATGATGTCGGCATATATTGAGCTAATTAATATTGCGCTACTAGAACCAACGGGTCAACATCACCCGCTACAAAGGGAAGCATTTTGCCACATTTTTGACACTTCCAGGATGCAAAATAGTACCTTTTATTGCCACTGGATCAGGCCCCGTACTTTAAAAAGAGTCGTTTTTCAGTTGTAAAGTGTGCCTGGCCGGCGCAAGAAGCGTCTATAGACAGCAGAAGCATAGTTTTGGGTCAAAAGGCGATTTCAATTTGTTCTAAAGCAGTTTTTCTTTCACAGGCCTGCTCATTCTTAGCAACTATCTTCTATTAAAAACGCATTCTTATCCTCCAAACCCCCCACTTCCCCAACTTACGTGACGCCCTTGTACTCGATCTGGACGCAGATTCCCTTGCACACAGGGTCATCCAGAACGTATCTTCCGTCCGGCAGATCCGACGGCACCCATTGGGAGCTGGGGTCGAAGAGTTTGGACGACACTCCGGCCGACAAATTGGCAATGTCCAGACCACAGGCGCCTCGGCCGGTGGCTCCGGTGAACGTGAATTCGCCGGTGATGGGCTTGTTCAACTGGGGCGTGATCAAGTCGGCGATGACGAACGGCACCACCACTGCCAACAAGCACAAGGGATTCATTGGGGCGGCGAGTTTGACGGCTCAAATCGGATCCTTAAATGATATAGTCATAGTGTTAAGATGGGGTTTATATACGTCCCAGGGAAGGGCGGAAACGTACCGGAGGACGGATTTAAAATAAAAAATTGAGAATTTAAAGGTGAATAAACAAAAATAACGCTGCCCAAACTCGGAATTCCATAAGCGTACAGGTGCGAAAACGGGATTTTACGCCCTCAGGGCAAAGCGTGTTTGAGTTCAAACAAAAAAATGGAAATAGTTTTGGCTTACTCCAGGTGCGAGGTTGTGATTTTGATAAAGCTTTCGATTAAATTTTTGAAAATTTTTTTGTGATTTTAGCGATATAGAGTGTGCAAATTAGAGGGTTTTCGTGGGTTTAGAGAGAAAAGATTTTTTTTGAAAGTTGGTAAAGATGTGGTAATGTGCAGTGATTGGCAAAGAACGTATAATTTTGCATCCGGGAAGCATCAAAAATGCGGCAAAATACCTCCCACTACAATAAAAAAAAACTCCGTTTTGAAATGCGCGCCCTTACCCTCACAAAAAGAGCAACGCGCTTTTAAAATCTGAGTTTTTTCACTTGGAGAAGGAGGTATTTTGCCACATTTTTGGTACTTCCCGAATGCAAAATTATACGTTTTTTGCCACTGTATCAGGTCCGCCACTGTAATGTCAATTTTGGCATCGAACCGTAGATTTTTTGTCGCAAGCTTTCCGCACTGTGCAGTTGACCATTTGCACCGTGCAATTGAAAAATTGCCGCGGCACAAGGCATCTTCGTTACAAACGGTCAAAAAAGGGATTTTTGTGCAAGGTGCGGCCTGCGACAAAAAATCTACGCACTTTATGGAACGACTAGTTATAGTATCAAAATATCACCAACAAAAATTTTAAATTATATTTATTCAATATTAAAGCCCATGAAAATCAAATAAAAAACGACTAGGCATATTATAAATCATATTACAATCACAATATTTACAATATTCCATTCAATATTAAAATGAAATTACATAAAAGCCAAAAAATCGATAACTCTCAGCACAAAGATCCACTGTGATATCCATCCGAGGCAAATCCTTCCACCGCGCCTGTACAGCTGACATTTGGCACCATAACATCATCAGAATCTATCGAAAGTTGAGTCCCATTCAACGTCTTGTCCATCAACTCGATAAAACTTTTTCGGAGCACTTGATTTTCTTGCTGAAAAATAGAAAAATTTAGATTTTTTTTAATTTTAAGATATTTTTTCAAAAATTACTGAAGAAATAAAGTAAGATTCTGGTATTTTACAACTCATTTCGGCCCAAAATTCACTTTCTTTCGTTTTCCACAAAATTTTTTACAATTCCAACTTGTCCCGCGGTTTTTTTGAAATTCTTGGCATTCTGCTGCAACCCGATTTTTTCGAATTTATCCCTCGGAAATCTACTGAAATCGCGTGTAAAATATTTGTGATCTTTAATTTACCATTGCCTATATGAAAAAGTCTCTTATTTCCTATCAAAAGGAAAATTTTTATATTGCACTAGACATCAAATCTAATTTTTTCTTAAAATAAAATAAATTTTACTAAAGATAAATTTGATTTCAAAATAAAAAATCACTTACATTCAAGTACTTTCTGGTCTCCCTTTCGCTTCTGTAGAGCTTCTGAAAACGGACACTTCGTCGGGAACAAAATTGGAGTTGACGTTGGATCATTTCAAGATCTCGTTCTAGTTTCTGAAAAAAGAAATTTAGTTTTTTTTCATAAATTATCTTGAAAGTGTATTTTTCTTTCTTTTTCAATTGATTTTACCAATTTCAGGGGTCTGAATCGAAATGCCAATTTTGGCGGGAAACTAAAAATTCAAATTTCAAGGTCTTTTTCGACTTTAAAAATTGTCGAAAACACCTCTTGAGGGGCTGTGTCGTATTTTACAACACTTTTTTTATAATTTTAGACTAATTTTATCCTCCGAAAACATAATGCCAATTTTGGCGGGAAGTTCAAAATTCAGGTCTCAAGACGGTTTTTTACCGTCAGAATAGTCAGAAATATATTTCCAAAAAAAAATTTTACACTTTTTTCAATTTTACACTGATTTTCCCTCCAAAAACACAATGCCAAATTTGGCGGGAATTCCAAAATTCAAATTTCGAAAATTTTTTTGACAGTGAAAAAAAATTGTCAAAAGTGTGTTTTGAGAAATTTACACGTATTTTACAACATTTTTTAATACATTTACCCTCCGAAAACACAATGCCAAATTTGGCGGGAATCCCAAAATTCAAAAATTAAAATCAAAACTCACATAAGTTTTCTCCCTCAAAACATCAACTTCATCCTCGCGGACATGTGGATGAAAGGAAACCCGCTTTCGGCAATTCCTCACGAATCCAGTGCCGGCTTCGGAATCCGAGTCCAAATCTTCTCCGCCGGCCACGGATTTGGCCGTGGTTCTTGGCCTGAAAGTGGTCGGAGGCTTGAATAAATGTGAGTAGGTGGATGGCCGGACATCTTCGTATTCGCGGACAAGTCGACGGTAGTGTGGGCGGGGCGAGGGATCCATCGGGAGGGGTGTTTCTTGACATACCTGAAAAATTATGGGTTTTTGGGGAAGTTTTGTGATTTTTTTTTAAATTTGATGGGTAAAATAATATCAATTTGCTACGAAATGCGATGACAACTCAGAACAGATATTTTGAAATTCAAACAGATCAATTTTTTGAGAGAAAAGGAGGTTTTAAAACAATTTTTTACCTTGTTTTAGTCAAAAATGATGATTTTTCTCGAAAAAAGCTCAAAACTAACGAATAATCGATTTAAATCATTTCGCATGTTGTAAAATACGACTTGGCTTTTCGTAGTTGTCTGTGGAGCACAAGACGAACAATTTTTTCTTCGAAAAAATAGAAATTTTGAGGGTTTTTAGCCAAGAACTACCATTTCAAGCGAGAAAATAAAAATTGCTGGTAGTTAACTCAAAATTCAAATAAAAAAATAAAATTAAAACATTTGACATACCTCTTTCTTCTCCTTCTTGGCCCTCTTGGTCTTGAACAGCTTTCCTTTGACTTTCTTCAGGATTTCGGACATTGTTTTAGAGGGTGTTGAAGGGGAAAAAATGATAAAAAAATTGCTGAAAAATAAAAATTGAACAAAATAAAAATTTAAAAAAGTAAATGATACTTCTCGAAAGGTAAAATACGATGTCTCATCATCGTTATTTCAAAAAAAAATTTTTCCAAAAAAAATTTTTTTTTTATTTTCGAAATAAAAATCGCTAAAAATGAATCGAAAATATTATAAAAACTACTAAAAAGTCATTTACAAGAAGGCACAACCTTCTTATCGCCCCCAATTTTTCTCAAATGACCGAAATTCACGCTTCCAAAATTGATGATGCTGAAGACGGAAGGCAGTAAATAAAAATTTATCTGCCCTCCCTTTATCGGCACTTTTGTAATCATGAAGCAGAAAATTCTCTTTTGTTTTTTTTTGTTTTGCCGCAGGCAATATTGCACTTGACTTTGGGTAATATCTGCGGTAAAAGTGTGATTTTATTGAAACCGAGGGGCTAATTGAAGAGAGATTGATTGAATCGAGGCTTCAGAATTGATTATAAAGCAATTTAGGTAGTTTTTAGGCGAGATTTCGACAAAAAATGTTTTCGTGGTGGGACCCAGACCGATGCAAAAAAGTTTTTAAAATACGATTGAAATAGCAAAATTGGGGTATTTTTTGACGTGGACTAGGTACTACATACACCATAAAAAATTTTGAGTTGAAAAATTCGGCTTATCAATTGTTCGTGGTGGGACCCACAACTATTTTCTAAACTTCTCCAAAACAATATTTCATGTTTGACTTTTGTGTTTTTAACTCGTACAAATAATCAAAATTATACAAAAAATTATTCCATTTCAATTTTTCAACATTTCAAACATTCGTTGCGGGACCAAAAACCCATGTTCAAATCTTTGAAAACTCTCAAATAAACTGTCCAAAACCGAAAATTTTCATAATAAACATCTTTATTAAACCGTAAAATTTATTAAATTACCCGTAACAACATATGGGAACAATTGAGCAGAGACAAAAACTTTGATATAGACATTTGTTGAAAGATGTCGATAAAATTGACAAAATAGCACCGTCTAACAGTGGGGGAACCGGTTGAAAATAGTCAACAATACAACAAACTATCCTATTCTAGGCTAAAATGCGGGAAAATGCGAAAAAATGTGAAATTCAAGTTTTCGTGGTGGGACCCAAAATTTTCAAATTCAAGTCAAAATCGGGGTAACAATTGAAATAAAAATCTTTTAGAGAATGTTTAAAACCTCTAAAAGCATTTTCCGTCCAAAATTTATCAAAATTTCCGAATTTTGGGTCCCACCACGAAAACCTGAAACCTCCCAAAAGGCCTAAAAATCGCTTTTACACACTACTTCTAACAATAATAACTTATGCAAAATTAATAATAATGCATAAAAATGTGTTTTTGCCACAAAAACACCTTATTTTAGACTTCAGATGATAAAAAAACAAAAAAATAATCAAAAAAAATCCGTCATCATGACCAAAATTTCCAAAAAAATAAACAAAAATCGGTTATATTCTACGCCATTGAGTCCATTTCCGGGTTCTTTTGAAATTTCGCATCCTCCGGTGGCTGCAATCTTATACTTGGCGCGGTGTGAAACGAGTCCGAACTGGAGCTGGTTGGCGGCTCCGAACCCAGCGATTTGGTGTGAATTGGGACCTGAAGGGAGTTGGAGGTGTCTGAGAGTTCGTTGGCCGAATGTGAGGTGGCAGGGAGGGTGTTTTTGCTGCCGTGGATTGGGAGCCGATTCGAGAGGACGATTGATGACGCGGCCGATGAAAGTGATGGTTTTTTACGGTCGGAATACATTCTTCTGAAAATTTTATTATTAATTAGGCATTGATTCTTCATTTTCAACTAATTTTTGAGCAAAATTCCCGTTTTTCTTGATTTTCAAGTTTTCGTGGTGGGACCAATTTCGAAATTTTTAAGCTATTTTTAAAAGATACGACATGAAAAAATCACTCCAAAGGACATTTTCAACCTCTCCGAATTCAATTTTTCCCTTTCCAACGATATTCATGTTTTCGCGGTGGGACCCAAAAACTCCGCCGAAAAGTCGAAAAATCGATGCAAAACAAAATTTTCATCAATTATAAGGTCCCATACAAAATCTACAACAATTTCAAACCCTCAGTATACCACAAACACAATCATTAATCTTCATTCCGGGTCCCACCACGAAAACCTTCAAATGCCTCAAATTGCTTCCAAAATCCTTCTATTCTCTCTCAAAGCCTCCTACCGACTTACTTCAACGCTTCCGAGGGTTCTTTGCAGCTCTCAAAGTCGGGGTCCTCCAGCTCCGTCTCGAAGGCATCTTCTCCTTGATAAGCGACCGCTTCCGGGTCCGTGGTTGGCGCCGCATCCGACGGAGGCTCACTTCTGCCGGTTGAAGGTCCATTTGAGAACGTGTCGGTGCGCTGTAGGACGGCTTGACGTGCCAAGTATCGCTCTCTTTGCAGTTGGATCATGATTTTGGTGGGAACATCCGGGATGATGTAGGCGAAGATGGCTTTTATGGAGAGGACAACGTGCTGAAATCGATCCACATGTATTTTACATTTATGATTCGTACATTACATTCAAAATCATCCAAAATTTTCGGACCCACAATGAAAAACTAAAAAATGTAACGAAATGTCAAAAACCGATATTGACATTTTGCGATGTAAAATCAATAAGTCTTGATAAAAATCGTGTTTTTACACTTCCGAGAAAAATGTTTTGGGGCTTCGGTAGTTCAGCCCCCCACGAAAGGTAGTTCAAACCCCCACTGTTTTGCCCGTTTCACACCCCACATAATGAACAAATTAGAATAATACAAAAATGTAAGTGGGGGTTTGATCTACTACGTTGGGGGTTTGATCTAAAACGTAGGGGGCTTGACATGAAACGTAGGGGGCTTGATCTAAAACGGAGGGGGCTTGATCTAAAACGTAAGCGGCTTGATCTAAAACGTAGGGGACTTGTGCTGGACCATACAACTTGGATTAATTCTTTGAAATAAATTTTGGGGTTCAGAATGGACGAGGGGGGTTGTACTGGGTTATGGGGGGCTAAACTGGACTGGGGGGCTGTACTACCTTAGCCCCAATGTTTTTACTCGTTTATACTGCTTTACACTTAAAAAAATCAAAATCAAAAATCCAATAATCTTTGAGACATTTCGTACAATTTTGCAAAAAATTAATTTTCTAAACGAAAATTTACAAAAACCGTATTTTAAAATCATTACCTGCTCAAAATAATCAAAACCAAAAATCAAATATTTTTTTGACATTTCGTCCAAATTTCCCAAAACCCCAAATTTTCATTTTCTCAACGCACTTTTATAAACACCGTATTTTAAAATCACTCATTGCTCAAAATAATCAAAATCTAAAGTCCAATAATTTCTGTGACATTTCGTTCAAATCCCAAGCTTCCCCGCCTACCTCAAATACCAATACAAAAATAAGTCGGAAAGCCAGCAGCATCCACCATTTGTTTGTGTGTGAATACAGGTTGTCACAAATTTGCAGTTCATCAGTCAATCCCAACGAACACGGGGGTCTTCGGTAGTCTCTGTAGCGGCACTGGGTCACATTCGAATACCCACTGCCAATCACCACAATTTCGGCCGCATTGAAGATGGACAACGACTCCTCCAAGTAGGTGTCCATGCTGCCTTCGTGGGTCAGGTAGTGGAAGAGGCGGGGGACAAAGTCGCTGGTGAACGCAATCACGAACGCGTTGCAGAGAACGCTAAGTTTCGACAGGAGGTCGAGGATCGTCATCCAGATCCCAATGTTGCGCGCCGGGCTGGGGATGGGCTTGCGTTGGGTGACAATGAATTTGAAGGCGTCCAGGCGGATCTCCAAGATGTTGTTCAGCAAGGCGAACAGGGGTGCCAGAGGGAAGGCGCACACGAAAAGGGTGCAGAAACCGAATTGGATCACTGAAAATTACGAATTTTTATTGAAAGACAGTTATTTTCTCATCTTTTTCCCTTTCCGAACCATAAAAATGAATTATTTCAAAATTTCAAGCTTTCGTGGTGGGACCCAAAATTTGAAAATAAAACCACTTCAAAAAACTTTTTACAGCGTCTCAGATCCCCTAAGGCACAGAAAAAACATTAAAATCCTATTTTTAGGTGAAAAAAGCAAAATTTTTTTTATTTTCAGGTTTTCGTGGTGGGACCCAAAATTTCAAAGATTCACCCCTAAAAAACTTTACGCTGCGTCAAATCCCCTCAGGCACCGGAAAAACAATAAAATCTAATTTTTAGACGAAAAAGCAAGACTTTTTTACTTTCAAGTTTTCGTGGTGGGACCCAAAAAATTAAAAAAATACTATAAAAAGCCTTCTACTGCATTTCAGGTCCACTCTGGGCATTAAATCACCCATTTTTTCAGTCAAACACCCAAATTTTTAAACTTCAAGTTTTCGCGGTGGGACCCACCTCCACAATTAAAATCCTTCAAACCACCAAAAAATCTCACCCATTTCCAAATACTCATCGAAAAGGAATTGTTCGCTGACCGGATTCAAGCAGTAGTCGCGCTCCACCAGCGTCACTCCGTGCGGCTCTTTTTGGATGGCGGTTTGGCTTCGCTGACGCATAATTTCTTCCTTCTGTTTTTCGCTCTCCATCGGGAGTTTCAGACGCCATCGACGCAGAATGTTCATAATTGTTCTGAAATTTCATGAAAACACTTTTAAAATTTGAATTTTCAAATTTCCCGGGGTTTGGTAATTTTTTTGGCATTCTGTTTCAACCGTCAAAAGCAGCTAGAAAATAGTCAAAAATTCAATTTTTAGATCCACATTGCCCTTAGAACAAGAGCAGGCCTTCAAAATCAGTTAAAAAATTCAAATCCCGATTTTCGCGGGCTTTTGGCAAAATCTTTGGCATTCTGTTTCAACCTCAAAAATAAGCAAAAACTACCCTAAATGCCTCGCTATACCTCTACTGCTCCCCAAAACACTACAAAACATCCGAAGTACGCGATATCTAAGCCCAAGATGATAAATTTTGTCTACTACAATATAAAAAAACTCACGGATATCCAATCTCCATGAAAGCTGAAAAGAACTGTTTTCCGCACATGATGATGAACAATTGGATCACCAGTTCGACCATACATCCGGCTGGGTCGCATTCTTCGAGGCGGTTGCCGAAAATTGTGAACGTTCCTTCGGCCACCATCGTGACTCCATTCACCCGGGCCAACGCGGCGGGATTATTCGGTTCTGGAGGGCCGGAAAATCTGAAAAAATCAGATTTATCCACCTCACATGGCGATAAAATTCATGTACGACAACTCTTATGCCAAAAAATGACAAGTGGCATAATGCCAAGTTTTCGTGGTGAGACCTAAATTTTTATTTTTTAAATACCGAAAATGTCGTCAACCTTCCACAAATATCTTAAAAATGTCTTATGATGGACGCTTGAGCCATTTTATCCACAAAAGACATAATGCCAAACATTCGTGGTGAGACCGAAAACAACATTTCAAAAAGTACAAAAATGGCAAAAAAGACCCCGAAAATATTACAGGCTTTCATCAAACACTTCAAAAGACTCCAAACATCAATTTTTCAGCCTCTGAAACACAATGCCAAACATTCGTGGTGGGACCAAAAAATCATTTCAAAAGGTCCAAAAATTTCAAAAAAAGACACAACAACTATCATAGGATTTTAGCAAGCACTTCAAACGACTCAAAACATCAATTCCCAGCCCCAAAAACAAAATGCCAAACATTCGTGGTGGGACCAAAAATTCAAAAAAAAATCCTCAAAACCCATAAAAATCTCCAAACCTCTTCCAAAACCTTCCAAAAGTCCCAAAAACAATACTTACTTTCCCTTTATGAACGCGATGTAAAACAATGAAGAGTAGAAGTTGATGAACTGGAAGAGGAAAACCTTCAACGTGTAGCTGTTGTCGAACTCCGTCTGGGTTCTTGGGCATTCCCATTCGGTCAGCTTCAACGCTAACGAGCTGTATACCTGCAAAATACGCCATGAGCTTTCAAATCATAAAAAAACGGGAAGAAAAATCTCAAAAATCGAAATTTTTTGGTGCGCAGGCTGCGCCCTTAGTTACAAAAATCTCAACCCAGAAAATTTAGAGCTTCCAACCACTAAATAAATCTTTTTCAATCAAAAAATTTTAAAATCCGCTCCATTATCATGTCTTTTCAGAAAATTTTAATTTCGGCAGCCTGCGCCCAGCTTACACTCCAAAACTCATCAAAAACGTCCGAAAAGCAAGTCAAAATGTGTAACTCACGTAATTCATGATCAAAATGAACACCAAGTTGATGCAGGCCGCTGTAACGGACGTTAAAATAAAGGCGCGCGACTTGAACGCGTCGTTATCATCCCATTGGAAGAACACCTTCAAAACGATGATCCTGTAGGCAATAATTCCAATAACCAGTGCGATTACGAGGCATAACTGAAAGAGAAATTTTTAAGTATACCAAAAATAATTTTTCAATACCCAATGTAATTTCAGGATCATAAGTTGCACAAATTTGACTCAAAAAAGATGCGAACGTATTTAAAATACGATTCCACACGTTGCAGAAGCTGCCAAAGCCACTTCAATCTGCTTATTACGCATTTTTCGACATCATTCAACCATTGAAACACAATGCCAATCACCTTCGAAAAAGCCCGCCAAATTCAAGATTTAAATTTTGAAAGCAGTTCAAATCAGCCAAAAATCTCGTAAGCCACTCTAACTACATTTCGATCATCCCATAAAAAGCATATCGACATATTTGAAGACTTGCAACACAATGCCAAAAAATTTCCAAAAACCCGCCAAGTTGTAAATTCAGATTTCAAAAGCAGTATAAATCCGCCAAAGATCTCGTAAATCCAGTCAAAATACATTTCAACCATCTTATAAGACGCTATTACCATTTTTCAACCTTGCAACACAATGCCAAAAATTTCTCACGGAAGCCCGCGAAATTCAAATCCAAATCAAAACTTACAAAAAACAGGACGGTAATGCCGGAGAAACTGAACCTGAGGACCCGTTCGAAGATCGGGATGTACGGTTCCTTCTCTTGGGTCACCGGATTCACTCTTTGCTGGCTTTTTCTGTACTGAAACTCGGGCCGGAGAACTTCTTCCTCCGCTTCAAAGTCGAAGACGTTCCATTTGTAGGCCAGCTCGGCGTGATACCGTTTCCATCCCTCCAGGAATAGTGTGGCCCATATGGACATGACCGCGGCGAACAAAATCGTGGCGCTATTGTCGAAAACGTAAGTGATTTTGGAGTACGTGCAGCTGGCACTCAACGGGGTGTAGTCGCAATAGTTGGTGCAAATCGGGCACATCAGGACGTTGCTCGAGTTGGCATTGCAGATTTGTTGGCTGAAAAAGCGACTTATAGCATTTTTCAGGGTTGTTGCGGAATGCCAAATTTTCGTGGTAAGACCCAAAATTGTGAATAAAAAAAACAAAAAAAGTGTTAGAATCCGTATTTTACTCAACTTTACGACATTTTTCAACTTAAAAAACCAATTTGAGACCTTATTGCGGAATGCCAAATTTTCGTGATGGGACCCAAAATTGTGAATAAAACAAAGAAACGGTGTTAAAATTATGTATTTTACTCAACTTTACGACGTTTTCAACTTATAAAAATCAATTTTGAGACCTTATCTCAGAATGCCAAACTTTCGTGTTGGGACCCAAAAATGTTTTCAAAAAATCTCAAAATTTCGTCAAACTGAATCCCTAAAACTCATAAAAGCCTTCACATGTTTCCCTTCCGTATTTTACATCACTTAAATCTGCATTTTCAAATTTCCCGCCATTCCAAACACAATGCCAATTTTCGTGGTGGGACCCAAAACCACCCCCAAAAAATCATAAAATATTTCCGCTCTCACCTCGGTAGGTCCGATCCCATCGTCGCGATTCCATAAACCACGCAGAACACTCCAATAATCGAGATGATATACAAAAACCTAGTGTAATATCCCAGCCAGGCAAAGTAGAAGCCGATTTTAGTGCCGAAATAGTTCCTAAATCATCCGGAATGACATGAAAATAAATAAAAACAGTTTCAAAATAAATTTAGTCCTACTTGATCAAATGCAGCGGCTGATATTTCCAGACATTTCGGGCTCGGACCCAATTTTCGTAGAGCAATTGGCGATCGCTGCAAGTCTCCGGATCGTACTTCTCCTCCTTGCTGAAGCTCAATTCATCATGCAGAGGATAGCAGGAGTTATACGTGCCATTTTTTACGAGTCGTTCCACTCCAAAACGGTATTTATCGCCGGCTTCTTTCAGGTCGTATCGCGTGCGAATCAGCAGGTCGTAGACCATTCGGGAGCGTTCGGCTCGCGAGAAAAATGTCTCAGGATCTTCGTGATTGACGAAGCATTCGAGATGTTGTTCGATGAAGGGTTGGCAGAAGTAGTCGCGGGTTTCAATTCGCTCTTTTACCTTGTCATCAAAGTCGAGGAAGCGGCAGCGCTTCAACAGCGAATTTACCGCTCCATCCATGAGATTGGCGTGCTGAAATTTGCATTTTATCTCCGCTCAGACTCCAGATTTCACGTATTTTACAAAATTTCCGTCAATTTCCGCAATCTCAAGTTTTCGTGGCGGGACCCCAATTTTTTCCAAATTTCGACAAAAAAAGCCAAAACTCGGTCCCCTTTTGCTCTATCACGCTCTGCATTCTCTCGAAACATCAACAATACTACCAAAATAACCTCAACCCACCTTTTTCACATCATTTTGGTATACTGGCATCTTCAACTTCAGCAGCTCCGCCTGCTTCATCAAGACCTTGAAAGGCGCGTGAATCAAGACAAAACCAATCCTCGAGTGCTTGGCAAAAGTATACTCGAGCTCTAGACCCAGAAGTTTCAGGTTGTGCTCGAAAATCCTTCGTTTCTCCAATTTCGTCTGATGATTTTGGGTGGCAGGAGTGGAAGATGGTAGGGAAAACGGCTCAAACTGAAAGGTAGCATAGTAAGTTTACTCTACGACGCTATTTTCACCCTTTTTTGGGCCAAAAACCCCTTTCTCAATAAAATTTCGATGTTACACTGGACCTTGCTGGGAAAATTGACCATTTCAGAACGAAACGTGGCTGTATGACCGCAATTTTGGTATGAACTCAAAGCTAATAAACCACTTTATCAGTAGATAACGGAAGGTTATCTCAAACCAAAGAATTTGTGAGGTTCCGACATAAATACCTTATTTTAGGTATCAACAATCAAAAAATTGAATTTTCCAATTTTTGGCCATGCTGAAGCCCAAAAATTCTAGACACGGTCTCTTGCAGTTTTCTGCATCCTCTAACATCTGTTTTAAGCCACCAGCAATGCCAAAACACAGCTCTTTTACCTCATTTTACCTAAAACACCAACAAAAAAAAATTTAATCTTCTTACCTCAATCCGATCCTCGCTGACACTCTCCTCATCCGAATTATCCAGATCGTAGGCCAAAACATAATCAATCAGTCGTCTTTCGTCCGAAAAATACCGGCCCATCGGTCGGTTGGCCGCCATTTTGCTGCGCTTTCGCCCATTTTCCGTGCCATTTTCCGGTGATACAGAGGCCTGAAAATTTGATGGATTGGGTTACAATAGGTCACAAATCACAAATAATTTGCTCGAGCATTACGTGCACGAGTAAATAAACGTGGAACGGATTGAATTTCTCGCAAATAATTTTCGTCGGAGATTTTTTTGTCTACTGTAATATAGCAGGTAAAAGTCCGGAAATTTTAAGAAAATTTTGAAAGATTATAGCTCTAAAAGGTAGAACACATGTCTGCGATCCGTTTCCTGCTTGAAAATATGTTTTTATCCGAGAGAAAACATTATTTTAGGTATCAAATAGGTGGATTATAATGTAAAACGCTGAAATTTTCGATTTTCTTATGTATTTCTTAATTCATAATGAGATACTGCTATCTACTAGCCGTCTATAAAGAACTTTCGATGGCAATATTTGTTTTCACAAGAGAAAAATTATTTTTGGTTCAACTGATGTCTAGTGCAATATAAACCTAAAAATCGTCGAAATTCAAATAAATTTAGCTTGGTATGACAAGGAAAAGGTTCGGCCTTGCTGATTAAACAAAAATTTTTACAATTTGGAGGCTTGCCTCACAGAAAATATTGTTTAGTTATCAGTTGACCCCTAAGGTAATACAAGTGCGAATATAGTCGAATTTCTGGATAATTTCGGTTTTACAAGAAGCAAAATTAAATATGCCAACTGATTCAAAGAAAAATTTCAAGGTTTCGCATGAGTTTTATCCGAAAAAATATTATTTTAGGTATCAATCCACTTCTAGTGCAAGATCCGCCCAAAATTTCCTTATTTGTCTCTAAATTCAAGTAAAGTAAATCAAAAAACTTACCATTCCTTCTTCGTGTGCAGATTTGACGACCCGAAAGAGTTGCGGACTCCAGTTTGGAGCGACTCCGCCGTTTCTTTGCGCTTCCTGTGCCAACTTGGCCCAGAACGGCCTGGGAACGCTCTGCGGGGACTGTGGTGAGATAAGCGGGCAGCTGGCGTCGTTGTTGGATGTGTTGTTGCGCGTGCTGCGTGTCACGAACTGATTGCGCTGAGCATCTGCAAGTTTTTATATTACACTAGGCATTAATGTTCAAACAGCTTTTTCGCCAAACTTTCTCACTAAAAACACTGTGAGAATCCGTCTGCTTTATCACTAATGCCCTCTAATATTTATGGAAGCGCCTGCGGACGTCGGAAATTACAAATTTCCGCGAGTTTTGGCCGTTTTATTTCCAATTCCACATGAATCAGGAATTAGATTACTAATTAGGTCTTAAATCACGATGTTTGGTGGCGAATGGCCTTCAGAAACAAAGTTTACATCCTGGGCGTGCAAATTATCGATGAAATCAATCAAACGAAAAGAGTTTTCTTTGCCGAATTGGCTAGAAAAGAGTAGAGAGAGGTCATTCTTGTCGGAAAACGCCTAAAATAGGGGAAATTCATGGGAGTATGGGTAGATTTTAAAGCGTAGGTGGATTTACACTGTCTCATAATATTCTCAGAGCTTGTGACATCTCGTATTTATCTATTTGAGAGGGGTTTCTCTCAATTTTGGCCTATTGGGGTCAGTTTTGAACTTTTTGCAATGTTCAAAAATTACAGTAACCCTGAAAAGTTCTAATCTTTTCTAATCTACTTTAAATAGTCTAAAGTATCTTGTAGCTTTAGAAAATATCAAGATTTTAGCTCACAACAACTCAATTTCCCCTTTTTTCGACCTTACACTAGCCAGATGTGATGGCACTTCCCTAACTCCCAAAATGTAAAAGTGGGATGCTAAATTGCTCAGCAACTTGTACCTTACCCTAATTATCTCTCCCTTTTATATTACACAAAGGCGGAACAATCAGTGTTGAAAATTTTTAGTTTAACAATGATCACCCGCCATTTGATGGTCAATAATATAAAAATTGTAAGAATTCTCAGAATACGTCGTTTTGTACACTTTCTTTTCGAGAAAGTGATAGGAAATGATGTCAGCTTTCTAGGAATATATGATTTTAATAGCAGAAATCGAAACAATAGATGAATTTTTAGTTCAAAACATTGAGGATGACTAAATATTGTTCATGGGGGAAATATATAATTTTTTTTGGGTGATTCAGTTGGAAAGATGTTTTATAGCGACTCTAAGGATATCTAAGTGTACTGCCCATCAAAGTTGACTCAAGAAAAGTTGTGAAAATTATGATTTCCCCGCTTTTTTGGACAAAAATTCCGATATTTTTCGAATTTTCGAAAAATACCGGTAACTTCATAAAATTATCAAAATTATATTGTTCCATAGTGTTCACTATGGAACCAAGAATCCAGTGATACCAAAAACGCATTATTATCTTATTTCTGATGTGAGATAATGACAAATTTTCCCGCTCATAATCAGCTTTTTTGCGTAAAAGAGGGTTACAAAGATGATGCGATAATACCCTACATAGATTCGGTATCCTACAAAGGTTAATGTAACTAGTAGATGTGGATGTAAGGTTCAGAAAAATATATAGGTCAAACTCTATATAGCGAAGGTTTGTCTATATCAAACCATTTTTTTCGGACTCATGATTTCGCTTCCAAAACTAAAAAGAACCAGAAAAAGGTGTTTGTCATCATAATTACATTAAACTAAAGGCGATGGCCTAACGTTTCTTCTCCGATTAAACCATGGGGAAATCGCACATGTTTTCGAAAGGCTTTTAAAATAAACTTTTCGCAGTTTAAAAATTTCGGGAGCCTATTTAGAATGAAAAATGAAGAGAGGATGCCCTCGGGGGAAAAGGGAGACGTTGAAGGATGGGAAAGTGCTGATTCAAAGCATGATTCGAGAAAGATAGGACAAAAAATTGCAATTTTTTGGGGCAAACGTAAAATAATAGGGTAGATTGACTCATTCTTCTTCAATTTCCCGGCCTTATGACACTGCTCTGGCAGGAAATTCATCGTATTCTTGGTTCTTTCTTGAGAAATCATTGGGAAATGGGAATTTTACGCTGTATAACGGGTTAATGATGACTCTTCACTATTCAAACTAAGATACAGTGAGGGACGGGATCCAATGGCAAAAAACGACTTATTTTGCATCCCGGAAGGGACCAAAATGTCTCCAAACCCTTCCCTTCTCTAAGCTAAAAAACGCCGATTTGAAGAGCCCGCCTTGAAGGAAAGGGCGCGCTTTTCAAAGCGGAGTTTTTTGGCTTAGAGAAAGGAAGGGTTTGGAGTCATTTTGGACCCTTCCGAGATGCAAAAGGAGACATTTTTTGCTATTGGATCAGGTCCCTCACTGTAGGACAAAAAATTTTGCAATTTTTTGGGGCAACTGTAAAATAGTAGGGTAAAAGGCGATTGTAAAAGCTGGCATATGGAATTTAAAGGGCTAAAAAATCAATTTCCAGACCACACGACGCTGCTTTGGTATAAAAGTCCTCGTATTTTAGGCCTTTTGTTGCGAAATCGTTGAGAAATAGAAGTTCCACTCTTTGAAACGGGTCAAACATGACTGTTGGACTGTTATTGTGCCTTGAATCACTCGAATTGCGGACTTATAGGTCGTTAAAAAATTTGGGAAAAATTTAAATAAGGATTTTCTAGGACTTTTGGGAGGATTTAAGTTTGCGTTTTGCAGAAACAACGGTGATTTTAAGGTCAAAAGATGTTGGAAATGGTTATTTTTTGCGAATTTCTTCAAAAAGAATTGAGATTTCTTGGAAGTTCGCAAAAAATATTTGCCTGATTTTCAGCAACTTTCGGCCTCAAAATCTCCGTTGTTTCTGCAAAACGCGAGCTTAAACCTAGCAAATGCACCAGAAAATTCTTATTTAAGCTTGTCACAAGTTTTTTCAAGATCTGTAAGTCCGCAATTCGAGTGATTAAGTCACTGTAATACTCCAAAGTTATCTTTGACAAAAGTGAAGGAGTGAAGCTTCTATTTCTCTACGATTTCTCAAGAAACGCCTAAAATACGCAGTCTTTCCTGCCAAAACAGCGTCTTGCGGCCTTGAAATTGAATCTTTAGCCCTTTAAATCCCATATACCAGCTTTTACAGTCGCCTTTTACTCTATCATTTTACGGTTGTCCCAAAAAAAATTGCAAATTTTTTTATCCTATCTTGGTTTGAATAGTGAAACATCATCATTGACCCGTTATACAGCGTAAAATTCCCATTTCCCAATGATTTCTCAAGAAAGAGCCAAGAATACGATGAATTTCCTGCCAGAGCAGCGTCATAAGGCCGGGAAATTGAAGAAGAATGAGTCAATCTGGCCGCGGAAACGGCCCAGAGATTGTCAAAAATATCTTTGCAATTGCGGAAAAGACGACGAGGAATGGCTTTTCAGACGCAAAAAAAAAATTTTACAGTAAGAATATGACATGTCGAATTTATTTTGAGAACTGCGATTCAAAAAAATCGATTTTTGGTCTCACCACGAAAACTTTTTATTTGAAAAAAGGTCGTTTTGGAGTTCGGAACTTCTCCCACGTTAATTTTTTAAGGCCCACTTATCTTATTTCCTTTGAAAACCGGAAGAAAAGTTTCCAAAAACTGCCAAAACCATCAGTTTTTTTCTGGAAAACGTCAATGTCATCTTCCGAAAACCCTTCAAAAAATATAAATTTAGCACCATTCTCGGTTGAAATTAACTGTAGAAGCGTTGGTAAAGTCTTTGCAATAAAAAATGAAGCTTTTCCAAATTAAAATATTTTCGTGGTGGGACCCAAATAAATGATTTTTTGGAATTTCTGAACAAATTTTGCATCCTTCTCGGTTGAAATTAACTGTAGAAGCATTTTTAAAGTCTCTAAAACTAAAACTGAAGCTTTTACAAGTTAAAATATTTTCGTGGCGGGACCCAAAATGCAATTTTTTTGTAAATTCAGAAGAAATTTTGCATTTTCTTCGGTTAAAATTAGCTAAAGAAGCATTGTTAAAGTCTTTGAAATTAAAACTGAAGTTTTTCCAAGTTAAAATATTTTCGTGGTGGGACCCAAATCAATTAAACTCTGAACAAATTTTGCATCCTTCTCGGTTGAAATTAACTGTAGAAGCATTTTTAAAGTCTCTAAAACTAAAACTGAAGCTTTTCCAAGTAAAAAAATTTTCGTGGTGGGACCCAAAATGCAAATTTTTTGGAACTTCTCATAAAATTTCCTCCAAAAAACTCCATTTTTTCACCATTTTCCCAACAAAACATGGACTAATTGCCCTCTGGAAAAAAGGATTTTTGTAGTGTCTTCATCAAAGAACCACATTAAAAATGAGTCCGTGGGCAACTTGAACACTTTCGGGAGCTTCAATTACCCCATTTCATCCAATTAGAAAAAATCAAAAACAACGGCGTAAAATTGTTACAACGACCGTTAAACATTGGCTGAATTCCGGGGAAAACATCTCGTCACTTTATCGTTTTTAATGACTGAAATGTTGGCGTAGTAAAGTGGGGAAAAGTGTTGTAGGCAACGCCTTGTTGCACAAGCCAGAGGAATATCGGGCTGTCGGGAAAATAATGTGGGTTTCTCGTGGTTTGTGATCGACGCCTTCTCACGGAAGGTGTTTTGCGGCAAGGCGAGACATTTTACTGCGACGAATCCACATTATTTTCCCAACAAACTGATATCGGTCTGTCGGGAAAATAATGTGGATTTGTCGCTCCTAGGAATCGCTCATCGTTTTGCGACGGCTGGTGACGAGGCGACACATTTTTCTGCGACGAATCCACATTATTTTCCCGACAGACTGATATTCCAGAGTCGTTGCAATGAAATTGGCGACATGCACAGTGCGAAAACAAAAATTCACTTTGCGCTGTGCAATTTCTGGCTTTTTGCACCGTGCAATAGGCTTTTTTCGGTTGTCGCTCGCACCCTGACTTTTTCTGCACAGTGCAAACGTCAAAAATCATTCGAGCGACTTTCCGGACGGACTAGTACTACCTCTACACTTGCGGACATGATCCAGTGGCAAAAAACGTACCATTTTGCATCCGGGAGGTATCAAAAAATGTAGCAAAATACCTCCCTCTCCAAATGAACAAAAACTCCGATTTCAAAATCGCACTCGGTCTTTTTTGAAGGAAAGAGCGCGCGCCCTTCAAAATGGAGTTTTTTTTAGTTGAAGAGGGAGGCATTTTGCCACATTTTTTGATACTTCTTCCCGGATCCAAAATGGTACGTTTTTTGCCAATAGATCAGGTCCGTAACTGTAAACTAATACAGGGTGGGACATCTTTGTGGCCCGAGTTGAATTGGCTATAACTTCTTTCGTTTTTGGCCAAATCTTAAAATTCTTTTTTTCCCTGAATCCCCAGACAACCCCATTTTGTCTGATACCAAATATGTTATACATAGTAAGTGTCATCTACAGTTATTGGATTTATTCTTGGAGTTCATTTTTTCGGTCGTTTTTCGGTTGTTTTTTCGGCCTTTCCCGGTGTGTCCGAAAATGGAGTCCGGTAACTTCCCAGAAGTGCCTAAAAGAGTGCCTAAAATTTTTATACGTCCAAAACTGGCAGTAAAATAACGCCAAATGTACCGTAATCCGTCCCCGAGTTTACATTTACCCATCGTTTTCAAAAAGACTAAAATTCAAGTGCTCTAAAAACCCCCAAGACACTGTTTTTACTCACAACAATACCTTCTGGATTATCTCCCAGCAATTTATGACCGCTCTACTTGAAAACCCCTCTGTTTTGAGTATCGTATAATAATTTTTAGCACGTCAGAGGTGCCTAAAAGAAATTCTAGAACATTAAAGTAAAAGATTGTACGAAAAAATATACTTGACAGGCTCACATCAGCTGAAGAGGATACAATTCTGACACTACTTGAGTGCTTTATATTTTAGACAGCATTTAAAAGTGCAATTACAATTTTTTGAGGCGTAAATGAAGGTTATTTGGGACGAAAACGAAGCTGGCCATAAAGTGTACAGTGCAGATTTTTTATATTTCTTTGTTCACTGCACTGTGCAATCCTAATTTTTTTGATAAAAAAATTGCACTGTGCAAAAAAAATTTTTTTGGCTGCACCGTGCGTTTCCCAAATATGATGATTTCGTATGCACAGTGCAGAATTTTTGGATTTTTTGTTGACTGCACTGTGCAATCCTAATTTTTTTTTGATATAAAATTGCACTGTGCAAAAAATTTTTGTTGTTCGCACATTGCAACTTTTACGAAGAGAAATTGAAAGAAAATTTTCTACAAGATTTTCGCTTTACGCACAGTGCATTTTTGTCGCCTATTTACGAGTTTCGCACAGTGCAGTAAAGATCTTTCATTTGGCTGCACAGTGAGGCCACAGCCGCCGCAACAGCATTCAACCGGTCGCTGCGTCCCGCCACGAAACCCGAAAGGACACCGCAATCAACCGAGACGTGGATTTGGAAGGAAAGAAGAACAGTTTGGAAGTCGCAGCCTGAGCGAGCGGTTGGCCGTCAGCGCGTGCGGACTATTGGGATCTGAGTATCGGCCTGCTTGTTTATCGTGTTGTTTGGGACAATAAAGAGGTCGTTGGATATTGTTGGAGTGTTGAGGAAGCTTGTCTAGGACAGCGTGTTAGGAGACCCGGTGTCTGATCAAGTGGACGAGGAACCGAGGATTCTCATTGCACTGTGCAGACACAAAGCACAATTTTTTGTAGTGACAAAAAAAACGCAAATTTCTGCACGGTGCAAAGACAAAATACCAATTTTCTGCACTGTGCAATGATGTCAGAGTGCAAGCGGCAGCTCGAAAATGCCTTTTGCACGGTGCAAAACTCAAGAAATTGCACAGTGCAAACACGAACCACAAATTCTGCACTGCACGTCAAACTGAGGAGTCCGGTGACCGGAATAGACTCTTCGCTATCGGTTTTTTACATTTCGTCTTGAATTCCAGAGAAAGAGAGAAAAAAGACACGCAAAAGCGTACTCTCTCGCCCCAAAAATTCCCCATTTCTTCCCCGACAAAACGTTTTTTCGCGTCTTTTTTTTTGGCAAATTGCCGATCCATTCACCGGACTGTTTTAGCTTATCTCTGTTTGACGTGCACTGTGCAGGCACAAAACACAAATTTTCGCACTGTGCAGACACAAAGCACAAATTTCTGCACTGTGCAAAAATCAAGAAATTGCACAGTGCAAACACAAAACACAATTTTCTGCACTTTGCAGACACAAAGCACAACTTTATGCACTGTGCACTCCATTTTTCCCGTAAATCCCTTCATGTTGCCCATTTTTGGCCCGTATTATACCGAAAAATGCTTACGTATGCCCTTGAAAAGCCACAAACACCAAGAAAACCACTGTCTAATTACGATTACAATGGAAAATTGTAATCTTTCGTCCAATTTACACCTCCCAGAACCCTCTTTTCCCTACGAAACCGTTAATAATCAGTTGTAAAAATCGACCCTTGGCCTCTGGTTTGGGAAAAATATTATTCTAATGATGGAATTGGAGGCTAATAGATGCTAAAACAATATGCAAATCATGGGAAAGTTAAAAATTTTTTTCTGGAATCTAAAAATTCGATCAAAATTTTGCATTTTTTTCAATTACCTGTGAATCCAACGGTGTAGCGTTGTTTCCGACGGGGCGTTTGCATCGTACGCATTCTTAAACTACCGATTTTTTAAACGAAAAATTGGAAATTCGCGAAAATTTTAAAAAATTTAAAAAATTTCCATATATGGAAAAATGCCGTCGAAAAATTGAATTTACCAAAATTTTCGCTCAAACGCCCGAGGCATTATTCCCGGCCATTCGAGCGTTTGTCGGGATAAACTTTGGGCGACATAAACTCTTAAAAATTTATGAAGTGGAACGAAAAATGACTTGGGAATTCCGTTGAGGTGATTTATTAGGCATTCGGCGGTTTGGAGGGTTGGAAATCGACTGGTCGATAATAAAAAATTTTTTTTTCGAATTTTTTTAATTGAATTTTTTGAAAAAAAAATTTTTTTAAAGTTTTTATGCATAAATCTTGATAAAACAACTTTTTTAAGACATATTTGAGATTTTTCGTTTGTCATCTACAAAAATTATCGAGGTTTTTAGGTCGAAAACTCAATTTTTTGCACTTTTCGACCTAGAAATGTTGGTAGGTTTTTGCAAAAAAAACTAAAAATCTCATCTCATATTGTCGATAGAAAATTATAGCATAAATTTGTGCCGAAATTAAAAAAAAAAAAAAAAAAAAAAAATTTAATCAAAAAATTGTAAAATCCCAAACGGAAGTGCTCCAAATGGCAAGGTCAAGTAAAAAAGCCCTAAAAATGAATATCATGATATATCAGCCTGTCGGAAAAGTATTGAGCATTCTGTCGCAACGAAAATCGCGATCGAGGCAAAATCAAATTGCCTTTGAAGTCAGCGCGGCGATCGGCGCAGCAACAGCGACACTTTGCTGATTACAGGGTCTTACAAAAAAAATGAAGGAAAGTGGAAGGCCATAACTTCTGGCGGAGGCGGCGCAGAGACTTCGTATTTGAAACATGTATTTTTAAAAGACATTAGTTTTTGTCTATTAAATAACAAGCTTTTAAAGTGCAGACTGAGGTCGCTACGACCTTCTGAAGTAGAGGGGTTTGGTAAATGATTTTTTTTTCTTTTTACTTGAGTTTTTGCATAATTTGCAAGTGTTGGCACTTTCCTCCTCTTTTTCAACATCACCCATATCGAAACCCTCCAAAAAATCCGACATTTCCTGGTGATTTTCAGCCGAAAAAGACCCAAATTTCTCGATCATTTTCAACCGAGAAAACCTGGTTTTCGGGGTAGAGATGCCTCTACTTCAGAAGGTCGTAGCGACCTCAGTTTGCACTTTAAAAGCTTGTTATTTTGTAGACAAAAACTAATGTCTTTTAAAAATACATATTTCAAATACGAAGTCTCTGCGCCGCCTCCGCCGGAAGTTATAGCCTTCCACTTTCCTTCACGTTTTTTGTAAGACCCTGGACTTTCCGACGGACTGATAGTAGAAACCCTTCTTTAACGACTTAGCTTTTGGTCATTTGCAGTTCGTTCTACAGAGGTTTGACTGTAGTAAAAATCAATTTACTTTTTGTCCAAATGCTCATTATTTTCCCGACAAACTGATCAAAGCTTTTGGGCTTTTAAAAAAGCTTGATCCTTTTAAAAAAAACTTGCTTTTAGTCATCGTTTTTTCCCAAAAAATCTCAAAATTATTTTTACAGTACCCCAAAAAAAATTACAAATCTCAAAGCTCAAACAACTTGGTTCCTTTACTCTCCCCAAAGACTGTTTCCATTCCCCAATCTGCCTAATCTTCACCTCCGACCCGGTCTCATTGTCCTGCGGGTATCAATTTCCCCGTAACCCGAACCGAAAATCCACACGGATCTTTCTTCATGCTTCCTCAAACAGTGGAACGCCGCCAAAAATCCCAATTCATATTCGAATTGGGCAGAGAAAATTTTTCGGCGTTTTAAGGGGGAATTATGCTAAATTCCCTCAAATTTTTGAAGGTTCAGTGCTAATTAGTGGCGAATTGACTCGTCATTTGGGTTTTTCAGTATGTCAAATTTATTCTAAAAGTATTTTGAGGGCAAAAAATTGTCGTATTAAGTGGAATATACACATTTTTCGACAAAAAATAGCAAAAAATTGGGTAAAATAAGGTAACTTAGGTCAATTCAGACCAAATTCGTCATGAAAAAGGTGTCCAAGCAAGCAGTAATTTCTAAAATTATGTCTCCTCTACAAAATTACCGTATTCTAGACATCAATTTTTCCGCACTGTGCAAAAAAAAATTTTTTGTCATTGCACCGTGCAAAAAATTTTTTTTGAAATAAGCAAAATTTAGATATAAGAATGTTTTCAGCATGCTTTTAGAGGCTTTTAGACTCCATCTCCCAACAATTTTCTTTGATTTTTATGAGCTTTAGCCCACAATTTTATAAAAGCCATCAGTCTTCATGGTTAAAAGACGATTTTTGGCTCGCTGCGTCAGCGGTGGACATAGGAAAAAATCGATTTTGAGTTTTTTGCATAAAAATGACCGTCGACATGTGCTAAGGAAAAGCGAACAACAGTTTTTCCCAATTCTGCCCGGAAGGCATAAATTTGCTTAAATTTGTCTTTTTTGGAATTTTCGACCTGGTGACGTCATAGAAAGAGCAAATCACCCAAAATTTTGCTTGTATACGTTTTCGACCATTGGGAATTCATTTTTTTGAAAATTAAGTCTCTCAGATTACTGTAACATAGGCATATTGTAATCCGGTCGATAAAAATCGACCGTAACTCCTTCGTATCAAAAATCCCACAGGATTTTATTTCAGATTCGGAATCAGCATAAAATTCTGCATATTATACACATAATGTGAGGTCATAACTCCAGGGGGGAGATCGCGTAGTATATTGGATTTTGGCAAAAAGTACGTTTGAAAGGTCGCGGGTTCGATCCCCGCTTGGTGCAAATATTGAAAACACGGCGGAAATCGCGTTTAATGGACACCTAAGGGTTACATGAGATACACTAAGCAATTTTAAACATTAATGGATATCTAATTGCGATTAAAACTGATTTTATATAATTTTTGGAGACTGAATATGCAAAAAATGAAACTGCTTCAAACCGCTTGAAATTGGTAACACTTATTCTAGGGTCAATTATAAGAAACTTTTCCGTTAACTTTTTTTGGTAGATCACCGTACCATGGATTACTGCAACATTAAACCTGATTTGGTTTTTCGTGTACCACATGGCGCATAGAAGTCGGATTGTCATCATTGTGCTCAGAATGGTTAAGAAAGGGTTTTCTTGTGTACAAAAAAATTTTTATGGCTGTACCGTTTCGAATGGCCGAGTTATTTGACGCACTTTCACCAATTGATTATGACATCAAGACGCGTTGCAATTAAGGTCGAATTTTCTTTCATATATACAAAGTGGATCTTTTCGCTGTCTAAAACGACTAGTTAAAACGATTTAATATTTTATGCAAGAATTTTGAAGAAAATTGCAGTTAATCAGGACACGTTTAATGCTACAGTAATCCATGGTACGGTGCTCTGCCAAAAAAAGTTAACACAAAAGTTTCTTACAATTGACCCTAGAATAAGTGTTGCCAGTTTCAAGCGGTTGGAAGCAATTCCATTTTTTGCATATTCAGTCTCCAAAAATTATATAAAATCAGTTTTAATCACAATTAGATATGCATTAATGTTTAAAATTGCTTAGTGTATCTCATATAACCCTTAGGTGTCCATTAAACGCGATTTCCGCCGTGTTTTCAATATTTGCACCAAGCGGGGATCGAACCCGCGACCTTTCAAACGTACTTTTTGCCAAAATCCAATATACTACGCGATCTCCCCCCTGGAGTTATGACCTCACATTATGTGTATAATATGCAGAATTTTATGCTGATTCCGAATATGAAATAAAATCCTGTGGGATTTTTGATACGAAGGAGTTACGGTCGATTTTTATCGACCGGATTACAATATGCCTATGTTACAGTAATCTCAGAGACTCAATTTTCAAAAAAATGAATTCCCAAAGGTCGAAAACGTAAACAAGCAAAATTTTGGGTGATTTGCTTTTTCTATGACGTCACCAGGTCGAAAATTCCAAAAAAGACAAATTTAAGCAAATTTATGCCTTCCGGGCAGAATTGGGAAAAACTGTTGTTCGCTTTTCCTTAGCACATGTCGACGGTCATTTTTATGCAAAAAACTCAAAATCGATTTTTTCCTATGTCCCGGGTCCATTACGGGCTGGCGCAGCGAGCCAAAAATCGTCTTTTAATGTCAAGTATAAGATAATTTGCTTTTTTTCGGCTCTGAATCTTGCCTAAAAGCGGAATAGAGATTGTAGATGATATTGAGTGTTATTAGAGACAATGTTTTGGTGAAAAAATTTGAGAAAATCGAAATTTATTGGCCAAACGTCATGTATAATATAATTTGATGAGAAATCATCCAAAAATTGTGGATTTATTGGCTGACTGTTATTCATATATCCATAATAGTCACTAAGAAGCTGTTAGTTACAAAGTTTACAATACTTTTTAATCATAAATTTGAGAAAATTAAAAATTTTTAGTTAAACCTCATGTTTAATATAATTTGATGAGAAATCATCCAAAAATTGTAGATTTATTTGCTGAAAATTGCTCTTGTATCCATAATAGCCACTAAGAAGATTCTAGTTACAAAGTTTACTATACATTTTTATCATAAATTCAAGAAAAACACGAATCTTTGGTCTAATGTCAAGTATAATATGATTTGATGAGAAATCACCCAAAAATCACTCATTAATCGACTAAAACTTTTTTCCCAGCTCCATACGACCTCAAAAACTCAATGGTAAAAGTTTTACACCATACTATCAACATTAATTTGACAAAAATTCAAATTTTCCCACAAGTGTCAAGTATAATATAAATCGATAAAAAGTGATCAAAAACTTTAAACTAACCGTTAAAATCATCGATAGAGTCCATCATGAGGCCGCCTTCTGTGTCGGCTTCGGAGCCGGAGTCGTCGTGCGGGCAGAATTCGGCCAGAGAATGGGTTTTCTCCAGAAACGAGAGCTCGGATGGCCGTCGGGGCCGGCGTTTGGCTAAAATTCTTGGGATTAA